TGGGAGGCTCTAGGGGTCATGGTGGGGCAAACTGAATCGCGGTACGTACGGTTGCTTTAATTGAAACTCCCGGGTAGGTATAGAATCAATCGCGTGGGATGAACTCCAGCTGGATGAAAACTCCCTTAATACCACGAGAGTGCCGCTGTTCTGTTCTGTAGAATTATCTTCCGCCAGAACTGGTCGGCTCATTTCAGGCTTGGAGGGGCTGAAACCCTGCCCAAAAGTTGATAGTCTGGAGGATTGTTGTTCCTTTTCCGGCCAAGTTGATGGAGGACTTGTATGCTTGTCATTCGCTAAGCTACCTAAAGGGGAATCTGGCTAATCTATGTGGGTCACGTGAGCGAGGTGCTAGTTGGATTACCTAACACCCCCCCATGCAACGAGCTCCAGCAGTGAGCAAGAGCCACAAAGATCCAAAGCTTCCAAATCTCTCAAATCTGCAATAAAAATTAATTACAAAATCCAGATTTATTCCTTCTTTAGGCTTAGCTCTGTTCACTGTAATATGGTATTTTCACCAGCTTCACTGATAAACCTCCATATTTTCCTGTATTAACCTGTCACCTCTATTGCACTCATGAATTGAGCATAGGGATCCATTGCAAGAGCCTTCATGAGTCTGTCAGCTTTATTTGCATCACTTCCAATGTGCTCAATCAAGATTTTGTCCTTTTGCACCCAGTCTCTTAGCATATGGTGCTGAATCTCAATATGGCATGCTCTTCACATTATAGCTTCAGCTTTGGCTAAGTCAACAGCTCTCTTGTTGTCAACACTTAATTTTGAGCTCCTTAGCCTTGCTGAGCCTTCACTAATTACCCCAGCATCTATTAACAGGTTGTTGATCCAAACCAGTTCACAAGCAGCTTCACTAGCTGCTAAATACTCTGCTTTGGTTGTAGATTTTGAGACAGACATCTGGTGCTGTGATCTCCACAATATTGGAGCTCTGTTCATGGTAATAATATAGCCACTGGTGGATTTGTATGCAGAGTTAGCTCCAGCCCAGTCAGAATCTGAACTGGCTGCTGGTTTCAAGCCTTCAGGATCTATATCCCTTTTGAAGACTATTCCTTTTGATTTTGTGCTCTTGAGATAGCATAGGATCTGCTTGAACACCACCCAGCTCTTTCTATTGGGCCTGCTGTTGAATCTTGCCAGATAATTGACTGCAAATGCAATATCTGGCCTCATACACATAACTAGAAACTGTAGAGAGCTCAGGCCTTTCCTGTAATTCATAGGTGTAGCCTGCTTGTCAACTTCATCTTTAAGGGTCTGATCTGGCACAAATTCAATGCTTATTTCTTTCTTTATTGGCATTTTGGAAGGTTTGCAGTCTTTCATTCCATATTTGATCAGTAGATTCTTAATATACTGTTCCTGATTCACAAAAAGGTCTCCATTTGGCTGCTTTTGAACCTGCATGCCTAGATAACAGCTCTGTTCTGTAACCTTCTTGATTTTGAAGTGTTCCTGAAGCTTCTTGATGAGTCATTCTGTTTTAGCTTCATTGGGTCTCATTATATAGCAGTCATCAACATGTAGGGTTAGATAGATTTGCTTCCTCTTGTGATAGAGTAGGCCTGTATCATATGGAGAGATCTGGAATTCTAGAGATTTCAGATAGTCAGTAGCTGCTTGATACCAAAGTCTAGCAGCTTGCTTCAATCTGTAGAGTCCCTGATGTAAGAGCCCTACTAGATTACCCTGCCTGTGCTTGAATCCAGTGGGTAGTTGAATGTATACATGTTCATTCTCTGGAAGAGTTTCATTTAGAAAGACTGTCATGAAGTCAAAAACTCTGACCTTCCAGTTCTTGGCTGTTGAGATAGCAAAGAAGGCTCTTGTTGTAGATTCACTGACAACTACTGCATAGGTCTTCTTGTAGTGAATATCTTCTTGCTGTTTGAATCTGTATACAACCCAACAGACTTTGAATTGTACTGTGCCATCTGTATTGTTGAGCTTTCTATCAAATATTCATTTGCCAGAGAGGATCTGCATTTCAGGTTCCTTCTCAACTAGAATCCAGGTGTCTTTCTCTTGTAATTTAGAGACTTTAACATCTAGAGTCTCCTTTCAATAAAGCCACTCTTTAAAGCATTTGGCTTCAGTAATGGATTTTGATATGTCTGTATGCATGCTGAGCACTGGAAGCTCAGCTCCATTTGCCTCTTCTTCTTTCATTACATTCAAGAGGATTTCTTGCTCTTTGTCCAGATATATGGGCTCTAAAGTCTCTAATTCACCATTTGTGAGCTTCTTCATGATTTCTGGCTTCTCCTTCACAAGATAAGCTAGTAGCTTGTGTTGCCAGCTGTTTAATGAATCTATATAATCATACTCCTCTGGAAGTTCAATGTATTTGGCTTCAGTTAGTGAATTCATAGAGATTTGATCCAATTTCTTATTGAATATAACATCTCGCGAGATCATTATACTGTTTGTTTCTGGGTTCCAAAGTCTGTAGGTGTGCATGCTACAATATCCTACAAATTTAATCTTCTTGAATCTAGATTGGAGCTTTGAGGATTTGTTCAAAATCTTCATGTAGGTGTCACATCCCCACCTATGGACCCATCTGTAATGGGGTTGGTGACCCATTCAGGCTTCAAAGGGTGTCAAAAGCGCGTCATCTTTATTCTCTAGAGTTGCTGTTACATAGCAGGGCTCTAGGAGTTTCATAGGTACTGGAAACACATATACCAGTAAATTGCATATCCTAGGTGTTCATAGAACTAGGATGTCATCCTCATTAAGTATGGCTTTAAAGCTCTGTGTTTTATCTGCTGATTCTAGTAGAAAGATATGTTCTTCATCAACATAAAGCTGTTCCACTGTAAAGCTGTCTTGTATAAGCTTCCCAAAGCTTATGAGGTTAATCTGGAGGTCAGGCACAATTCTAATCTCTCCAATGCTCAATTCTCCATTGTCAGTTTGGATACTGGCCATGCCAAATCCTCTGGTGACTGATTTCAAACCATTTGCCATAAGCAGTTGTGTTGCATGACTCTTTGGGTCCATTTGAACTAGATCTGTACATGAGGTTGTGTGGGATCCAGCTCCAGAGTCAAGAATTCATTTGTCTGTAGATTCATGTGCTTCTTTCATAAAGAAGGCTGCTTCATGAACTAAATGAATCTTGTTCATTACAACTATAGCTGTTTCCTTGTCTTTGCCTTTAGAGTCTTCTTTAGGCTTGTTAGACTTTGAATTCTTGTTAGATTTGCAAAATTTAGTCAAATGGCCAGGTTTGCCACAAATATAGCAGTTCCAGTTCTGCAGTGAGCTCTTCTCTGGATTGGATTTGGAGTTCATATTCTTATAAGATTTTTGGGGATCCAAGCTTGTTGCATTTGTATTTGGCTTTATAGATTCACCTTTCTTCAGGTCTTTCTTGAGAATTTAGTGGAGGATATTCTTCAGTAGATCTTCCAAATTCTTCTCTGGTAGATTCATTTCACTCTGGCATGCCATATCAAATCAGTTCTGTATGAACTCTCTCTATCAGAATGTAATGTTCATCTTCAAGATATCATGTAGAGTGTAGTCCAGTTGTTTGAACCCTAATCTCTCAAATTCCCCATGAATTACTAGAAATCTCTCTATATAATTTCTTTCTGAGCCAGCAGACTGTAGTGTCATTCTCACTAACTCTGTTAATAGGCTTTCCCACTGTATCTCAGATCTCTCTTGGAAGACTGTTCTTACAGCTTTCCAGAGTTTGTAAGCACTAAGACTATCTGATTCCTCAAAGTATTCTCTGGCTTGTGCAGATATTGTACTGTTAATTAGACTGTATAGTCATTTATTCTGAATGTTCCAGTATTGTGAAATCTTCAAGTTCTCTGGCTGTAGTAAGATCTCTTGTCTTTCCAGAATAATCTTCTCAGTATCTACTTGACAAGCTACCTTTAGAATGGCTTTGCTCCATGCTAGATAGTTGCTGGCCCCAGCTAGGGTTATAGACTTCTTTACCATTTTTAAGATCTTCATGAATTGATTGATTGCTCTGCCAGTTCATGTATTCATGTCTATAAGATTGCCAACAAATTCTTCTAGTTCATTCTCAGAGTCTATTTCTTGATCTTCTTTTTCTTGTTGAGCTTCTTGCTCTGGATTTTCCTGCACTGTTGCAGGCATGTTTGCTTGGCCTGATAAGAGGCTTATTTGCTGTGCCAGCTGTTGTACTGTTTTCTGTTGTCTTTGCATTATCTTCTGTTGATTCAGCATCATTCTGTGCAACATTTGAAGTTCACTCTTCTCCCTAGACTCCTGCTTGTTGTTTGGCAGGCTGTCTCTGAGCCTACTCAACTGTCTAAGCTCAGTTTGAGGTGTAGAGAGATTTATTGAAGCTTCCCAGTTGAGAGTTTGGTGCTCCAGTTCATCCATATGGTTCACCATGGCTTTAGTGTTGCCAGATGCTTGATTTGCTTGCTAGATGCATTTAGCAGGTGTTTCACTCACTCTCTGGTTGTGTGCCAGAAAGCTACAGGGTTCAACTTGCTCTCCAGCTCAGTGCTAGAAAGCTACAGGGGTTTGCACATATAGAAGATGTCTATCTTGATGTATGCTCTCTTTAGTGCTTGTAAAACCTCATTATCCACAAGAATAACTGTTCAGGGTGTTGATTGTAAGCTTTAATAACCAATTGAGCTGTAAATCAACCTTATATGCTTGCTCTTCAGCACAAAGGGCTATAACCTGATGGAGGACTTGTATGCTTGTCATTCGCTAAGCTACCTAAAGGGGAATCTGGCTAATCTATGTGGGTCACGTGAGCGAGGTGCTAGTTGGATTACCTAACACAAGTTCCGGAACAATTTAGCCCCGAGACGCTTGAACATCCCTGCCGACGCGATCTCGCTGCGACGCGCCTCGTGACGGATAATCATCATTCCCGCAGTCGCCGCTGTTGATCGGAGCTCTCCACGCGATGTTCCGCTCTCGAAAATGGACGCGCCGGAGGATAGCGAATTTCCTTTCTCTTCAAAAGCAGCATCTTAATCATTCACCTGGTTCGAGTCGCCAAAGACCGGTCTTCTTAGATACAGAGCAATTGATCTCCTTTTCATGCGGTGAATGTCAAAACATTCTGTATCAGTTTAGATTTATTTTGTTTTTTTGCACCAGTGCTGCTAGCGGCACGGCTGTCACTGTGCTTCTGCGTTCAGTGGTATATTCATTTTTCCAGATACCAAGATTAGGCCTGTCCTCTCCTGGATTACACACACTTACAACCTGTCACAATGCCTACTCCCATCCCTTCCACCACATCCCGACAGGCTCTCCTTGAGAAATCCTCCAACTCTATACTACCTCCCCCAAATCACTTCAATGCTCCCAACAGCACCATGAACAAACCTATCACATTGCCAAAAGGCACTGGCATTCCTGTTACATCACCACCCGCCGTTGCTGGCCAGAAACGGTCAATTGATCACGTGGATGCAGATGATGCCATGACACATGGTTCTTTCCACCAGGCAACTCGCGACCAGGAGTTTTATATCTATGAAGAGCCGTCGCGGTCAATCGTCGATCTCGGAAGAGAGGTATGCCTCAAAGCTGAACATGTTGCTGCTTGAAACAGACCCGCTTACCGATCCCTCTAGACTTCATATTTGCGCCAGTCCGCTGCCGTCGCCGACCCTCGTCTGGCTAGACGCGAGCAAGAGTCTCAAGAGAGTGTAGGCCTATCATCACTTCTCAACCTAAGCCAAGCTTCCGAGAACAATTTTTCCATCACACATCCCACAACCACCCGACAGAGCACAGGAGACTCCACCGAGCCCACCAGATCTGTGGTTCCAACGGATCCAGAAGAGCGAAGGATATTTATCCAGGAGGTAAGCAAGCTAGTGCACTTAAAACTGTGTCTGAAACTATTTCATGTTTTCTCACTAACTCATACCAGAAAGCTACTTTGCTTCGAGTACGATTACAAGCTGCTGTGAAAGTCATGGATCGCAAGCAGGATCTTGACCGCCGTCTCGCCGAGTTTGAAGCTCGTTATGCAGCGCAGAGAAAGTATTGGGAGGAAACGATTGCACAACTCAACAAAAGCTGCGAAATCGCTGCAGCCCTGCACAAAGCGGTCCCGAATGAAAAGACACCGAGGCTGGACCCGTCGCCCTCTCTTCGCGAGGGAGGTCCAATGCCTACGATGGATTCCTCTCCTCCTTCCTCGAGCGCAAGCGGAACTCCGCACAGCCAGGCCACTCCAAAACAAACCGCTTCGAGCTCTCACCGCCAGTCCCACGGACTCATGTCGCCAATCCACCTTGCAAGGTCTGATCAGCATGGGAAAGTGATCATTGTTGACAGAGATATCAACTGTTCAGTGGAAAAAATGATCGCCAAGGTCAAGCGAGGCGAGGCGTTGGATGGGCTTCTGAAATTGATGGAGACTACAACTGAGTATGACGGGTTGGATGAATGGACTGGGTAGCAGAAATATGAAATGCAGGTGTTGTAGATTATGACCATGTCTGAGAGGGGGGAAATGATGTGACTATGAACTGTATTGTTACTATACCCAGTGTTCAATCCAAACTGATCCATAGCATTCACTACCTATGTGTTGTGATGATTGCCTGTAGATCTGTGCAGATCGCCGTTGCGATGGTGATCCCGACTCAGTTCAGCCACGTGACCTAGCCCCTTTTTCCCAGCACCACCACAAACTCAGCATCAAAGTCAAGTCAATACCTTCGTCCCTGCGGTTCTCTCAGTGGTTGTGTTACTACATAGCAAAAATGCATCTAACTGTGCTGACCTTATCTGACTCACGATTTAGGATGTTACATGTATTCAATGTCCAAAACAATTTGGTCATTTCTTTCATATGTTTGAGATCTTTTCTCATAAAGAAAATGATAATGACTGTGACCGTGACTGGTCATAATGGCTTTAATTGACTGTGTTGTTCGGAGTTTGCCATGTGAATTTCTGTTGCATGACACCAAACTGCTTCTTTTTTTGATTATCCTGATATCTGTAAAAAGCCGGCAAAGTTTTCCTGCTGGGTGGTAATTGCAGTGATAAAGAAGCGGGATATGACGCTCTCTATACACTCTTGGGTGTGATATCTCACGTATAACTAGAGACTATTGCCACATTTTTCATCAGTGGTTGGAATTTTACACAGCTTTGGCATCAGTTGGCTTCTATCACTGTGCTGGAAGATCCCACCTTATAAGACCTCTTCTTTCTTTTTCTTTCCTCTTCTTTCTTCAATTTTTCTTCCCACAATATAAACCCTTGCGTTCCCAATATAACCTGACACTCATCCATCATCTCTGGTGTTTTGTGTGCAAAGAACGATAAATCTCTATTCAGTTCACATATTCCTCACCCCAAAACTCACATCAATAACACGGAAAGCGACAATATGTCCCTATACAGAGACATGATTTCTCCATCTCAGCTTTCCCTGTAAGCACCACAATGCATTCCAACTATTACTCCTGGTTTCCTATTAACACCACATGCACAGTCTTTTGAAAGGACCTACTGTCAAGATCGCCCATGCAAGCTTCGAAGATGACACACCAACAGTCATCTGCAATGCCATGCCAAAGGCAGTGGTGAAGCACTTCTCTCCCTTCTTGGACGACTGCTTCCCTCCAGCAGACAAGCTCCACGTAAGGCGAAAGGGCTGTGATGGTGCAACACACGTTACCATTTGCGGCGGTGTGAAAGCCGCTTTCATTTACATTTTCCAATGGATGCTCGCTTCGTGCAGAGGCACGGGTCTCCAACGAATTGAGCGTCTTGAGTTTGCACAATACGCCAGACTCCATGAAGCCGCAACGCTTCTTGGGATCCCGCGGATTCAGCAAGAGATGGCTACCCGCATGGATAAGATGTCGAAGTCGCAGGTTCCCATTAAAGACGTTAGGATCATTTACGAGAATTTCCCCCGGGACGCCCTTGCCCGACAAATAGTGATACGTAGCATCGGGGACGCCATATTTGAACGCCGCCTGCGTCGATGGGACCTGTACAAGGACTTCAAGCTCGAGTGTATCGAATACGATGACGACATCTACAGCTACATTGAGGGGAAGAAACGAGCAATTAGAGAGGCTGAGATGTTGGAGAATAGGCGTCAAGAAAGGCGACGGAGAAAGAAAGGAGGCAGCAAGGAATACCAGCCCGTAGCCAGGGAGCCTCCTCAGGTCGTAAACAAGACGGTTCAAGGTGTCGTCACTCGAAAAGGCCGCGGTGCCCAGCCCACTTACGTTCGCGTCGGACTGGAAGATTTGGGAGTTTCAAACCAGCAGTTTTCTCGTGGCGGAAAAGGATACCCATAGACGATTGATGATTTCCATTTTTGACCCTCTTGTTTTAAGTCTTGGGAATCCACCTACTTTCTGTTTTGGCCAGCTTTTTGTTTCTGACGTCCTCAGGAAATTGCATAGAATATTTAGGGAGTTCAAAAAGATATATTCTCTGAATACTATAGTGTTCCTTGTCAAAATATCCTTTTTCTTTCCGACTACAAAGTGAAATGGATATTTTTTTTCTCTAATCTCTGGGGTGATATCAATAGATGATTCAACCTACATGTAATACAGACATTCAGGTACTGCACATTTCGGAAGAATAGTGTATGAAGAAGGCCTCAGTGTGATCTTCCCTAGCGCTAGTTACTGCCATTCAGACACTCTTGGATTAAATTGTTTGATTTTCACTCCTTTCACAATGGTGAACATTTGATAACATCAAAACTCCCAATCCAGTTCACTAGAAAGCATTCACTGTAAATGAATCAAGTGAACTACACCTCAATGTCATTGTATTCACTCCCCACCAATACAGCAAAGTGAATATAAAATGAACACATCCTCCCCACCTTCAAATATGCGAGAGGAGCATTGAAAAGAAATGCATGCTATTCGCCTCTCCCATGATCCAACAGCAGAGAGTAAGTGAAAAAGAGCCGATAGCTCAGCTTAACCCCAAGGGGTAAGGTATATAATCCTTCATCCTCGAGCTGGTTTTGCTCTCTTTTCCTTTCATCCTCGCTATCAAAATCGTCTTCATCATCTCTCCTTCGTTCTTCTTCCAAGCTCGTTAAAAAGGAGCAATCCGTCTCCAATATTGGGCTCGCGCAAGCCAAAAATTTAAGTCTCTCCCGCTTTGTTCGTTTTGTCGCCAAGTCTAAGGTAAAGAGCAATATCAACCCACCAGGCTGAAGATAAAAAATATGGCTCCTAAGCGAGCGACGGCTCGTGGCTCCCGGGGTGGACGGTGTGGTAGCACCGTCACCAGAGGAAAAGGGGTTGGTCGGGGAAGTGGGACGGGGAAGGTCACCTTCTCACTCCTGGAGAGTGAGAAGGGAGAGGAGAATGGAGGTGAAAGCCCCGTCGCTGAACGGTGGACTGGTGAGTTTGCGTCCCTCTTTCAAGAAGAAAGGAGCCATTTAGTGGTCTGACTTGTATATAGTCGGGTGTAGGATCCTGCTGAGCGGAACCTACCCCGGCAAGGGAAAAGACAGAGCCTACTGGCGTAGGCAGCTGGGATGGCTCGGTACCAAGAAGTAAGCTCATTGTATTTGATTCTTTTTTCCTCTTTAAATATTTGAAGGCTGATATCCTGGGTTCTCCTTTGTAGCCAAAGAATACACCACCGATACGAGGCGGTTGGTGACCCGACCAGTCCAAAAAACGACCGCCGCCGATACCTCTGGGTCCTGGAGAAGGGCGAGTGGATCGGCAAGGGCGAGTGGATGGAGTATAAGGACCTTATCCTTGAGTGTAGCCGCGCGGGCACGCGGCCACACACTTGGAAAGGCTTCCTTGCTGGACGGACCAGCGCGGGCGCTGGGTAAAGTAAAAGGGAAGAGCTGGTTAGGGGCGATAGATGGGTATGGATCGGAAGAACATGGATGACGACATCCAAAATATGTGATAATGGTAAATATATGAACTGAATAAGGAAAAGTTGCATGCGGGACCAGAGTCACACCTCTTCTTTCATTATCAAGTTCTTTGTTCTCTCAAGGAATTATCGCTCACAACTCAGCGGGTCTTTTTCAATTTCCTCACCCTACGACCAAGCACGTCTCTCCCTTCTTCAATCTCTCCAAGAGCTTCCCGTTTTGCTCCTCCGACATCTTTCAACAAGCCTCCTCTTACTATTCTTCCTTCGATACTCACGCCTTCCTCCTCCCAAGCTACCATCTGCCTCCCAACCCTTTCCTCAATGGCTAGAACGAGCTGCACGTCTCGTTGGCCAACTAGCGTAATTGCTTCACCTTCTCTCCCCGCACGAGCAGTTCGACCAACTCGGTGAATGTAATCATCAGGATTGCGCGGAACATCAAAATTTACCACCAGGCCAACAGACGGGATATCTAAGCCACGTGCAGCCACATCTGTGGCGACCAAAAGCCTGGCGGCTGAAGCGCGAAACCGCGCAAGGTTGGATGTCCGTTCGGACTGGGGTAGCAAACTGTGTAGAGAAGTCACTCGGTGGCCTAATCGGCGTAATAAGCGGTCCAGTAGATCCGCGGTTTTCGTCCGGTTGCAGAAAATGATTGCTGGCTTAGAACTATTGGCGTCGGTGGATAAAAGAACATGAAGGAATGCTTCGCGATGGGTCATGGGAACTTGGAGATAGCATTGTTTTAGGGTGGGCGGGATAGTCGTGTTATTTTCGGTGGAGATTTCCGTGACGAAGATGGGTAGTCGGTCTTTGGGTCGTGGCATAGATTTAAGGGCACGAACTTCCTGAGTTACCGTGGCCGTGAAGAGTAATGTTTGTCGTGACGTCGATGGTGGCAGCGCTGATAGACAGGTTTCCACGTCGGGGAGCATGCTTCCCGGTCCACTGGCCAGAAGTCTGTCAGCTTCGTCGAGAACGACCATCCGTACCCGATTAAGCCCATATATTGTATCCTGCCCAGAGGTCTTTATGTGGTCTGCTAGACGTCCCGGGGTAGCGATGACAACATGCGGTCTCGTTGATAGAGCGATAGCCTGCGGACGCATCTCGCTGCCTCCGGTAATCAAAACAGGTTTAAGTGACTGCGGAGCAGAAATAGCTTTAAACTGCTCAAATATCTGAAGCGCCAGCTCTCTAAATCACCCCAGTCAGGTCTTGCTCCTATCAAGCTTTCCTCAAAGACAAAAAGAAAAAAAAGGAAAAAAGGCTAAAATCTTACCTCGTCGGAGTCAACACAACCGCAAATATCCCAAACGGATCCTCACTCCACCGATGCAATATAGGCGCCGCAAACGCAACTGTCTTTCCCGAACCCGTTCGACTCCCACCAATACAATCCCTCCCTTTCAATATCTCCGGAATACACGCTCTTTGAATCGCTGTGGGCCGCCTAATCGCCATTGCAGATAGCGAGCCAACCAACCAAGGCGCGAGGCCCAACGAAGAGAAGGACGAGTCCATCGACTGAAGACCCATAGCGAATGCATCTTTGGCCGTAACGGGGTCGGGCTGGTCGGCGTTTCGATCAGGTCCTTTGGCAGCGGATAAATCCGACTTCTTCTTTATGCGCGATAGGGTTGGGAGCGGTTGCTGAGGCACGAAAGGGTCATCTTCTGAGGATTCGGAATCTGACAGGCGGCGTCGCTTCGGAGGTCGTTCTGAGATCTCGACGCCGTCATCGTCTCCTGACACACTGGGTGATTGGTGACTGTGTATTTCCTCTTCGCGGTCCTCCTCTGGTCCCGTGTGCCTCTCTATTCTGGGTGCCATCGTGAGATTGGCCTTCCACTCCTCTTTCCAGCGATTACGGGCCTTTAGATTGCTCAATCCGCCGTTGAAATGCTTCTGGCAGAAAAGTTGCGGCGCTCAGGGCGGTGAAACTCAGAGTAATTATCACGTGACTATTCTTGCGTTGAGCTGAGAGATCGTGACGGGTGGAATTTGAAGAGTCGCACACCCTTCCCAGGATTGATAACCTGAGTATTCAAAATGATTCATACTATTCATCTACCATGTACTCTCCGAAACTGCAATATGGACATCAAGTAGGGTATAAACATCGATCAGGCGGTTTATGTGTGCAATCACGAACGACATAGCTGAAGAAGACTCGTAGGGGGCGCAAAAAGCTGCAGCGACCAGATATCACCACCAAAATTTATCCCTTTTCTTCTTTCCTTTTTTTTTTTTTTTTTTTTTTTTTTTTTTTTTACCTTCATTACTCGCGTTACCGTTTATATATATATATATATATATCTCCTCCGGGAAGAGGTCATTTGTCTCTGAAAATGATCGAAGTCGCCCAGGAATCACCCATCATTTCGACTACGTCTTCTCATGGTTTTCCTCATTGTTCCAAGCTCAAGCGCTTCGCCTCTCTCCAGCCCATCCTCGACAGCGCACTCCTCGACGCGCGGATCCGGTGGAGTCCTCAGACCCCGCCCCCGTTCTAATACGCCCGAATCATTGTTGGAATGGTCTTCAGGAGAATGCCCGTATGCACCACCAACGCTCTCCATTGTAAACGGACTCGCGGTGGGTGCATCGAGAATCGATAGCTCCAGTGGGGTGAACCACCGCGGAAGCAAAAATGTCCGTACGGGAATGAGCAGAAGAATGAAGACCGGGAAGCCGATAGCGGCGATGGTTTGAGTGATGGCGAACGTCGCACCGAAACCCACCAGCTCGATCGCCACGAATACCCAGATGGCGAGTCTGCGCTCGATCCTCTTAAGTGGTTCGGACGATGGGGTTAGTTTCTTGTCTTGAGCTAAGAACAAGAGTTTCTGCGTCATGCCGTTGGAAAGCAGGGCCTGGACTCCCATGATGAAGAAGAGGCCCGCCATGACTGCCTGGGGGATGAGGTTCAAGACTACCAAGAGCGGCCCGGTCATCGTTCCGACGGTTAAGAGACCCTGCGCGAGGTTGCTAACTCGCTGCTCAACAACATGATCATTGATCCGGACTGATTTTCCCTTGTTGATCTCATCGTCATCTGCAACCTGACGAGTTACACAGAGTGCAGCGGTGTGGAAAGGTGCTTGTGGGATGAGACCATTGGGAAAGGGAATCCCCATGATTCCGCCGATACCCGTAGTCAAACCGAGAAGGAAAATGTCCCAGTGGAATCCGGCCGGCTTACGAAGTGGAAACTCGGTACCTTGAGCGATCAGGGAAGATACTAAAACAGAAGTAAGTTGCCATATCCCTAAAAGTGTCAGATAAGGGCTAAGGTACCATTGTGGTCAAACCAAAACAGGATCGTTAACAGCATGGCGAATGGGACAGCAAGAAAGATGTCGCTAACATCAATATCCCAAAAATGGACCAGCCAGCCACGGTCCAGTGTGGGGAAGAATGCCTTCGTCGTAGGCAACGTTTCCACTTTAACGTTCTTCATATGACCGATATGAACGAATCCTGTGAAGAAGATAATAGTGAGAGGAGTGCCGTAGTCTTCGATAAATTTTCGAACCGGTCGCTTGAATAGATTGCTGTCGCCAATCCATCCGCAGATGAAACCGCTCATCAGAACAAGCAAAGCGACCATGATGGAGAGATACGCTGAAGCCTCGCCAGCCATCCCCCACTGTCTAGTCAAAACCTGGATTCCCTTCTGAATGTATATAAAAGCGACGTAAAATCCAAAAATATCACAGGAGAATCGGGTGACATAAGTCAAACCGTTGCAGGAATTTGTTACGGCAAGGACCCAGTGCATAATCAAAGACCAGCTACAGAACCGTCAGACGACTCGAAAGAAAGAATCTGGCCCCCCATCCACCGGGCAAACATACATTCCGATCCAAGCCATGAAGGCGAGATAGTTTGTGCCTCTCGGTGTCATGATATCATACACGGTGTAATTGAAGACCGTGATTGGGCCTGGAACGAATCAGCTTCGCACCCCTTTTTGTGATCGGCTTTTCGCCGTTTAGGCGAAATTCCGCTTTGAGTCTTACCCGTAACTCCGACAATGACGAGGGGCTGCGCAGCAAAGAGAGAAAAGACAACAGCACCCAAAACCGAGGCAAGAAGCACCTCGTTCACACCGAAGCTCATATGTGTTTTCTCAAACATGTCTAGTGAGAACGCAAGAGCGGGCAAGATACTGTCGTCCTTGGTAAGTTCTCCATCACGCCAACTGACAGGTGTGTATGACAGGTCCATGATCTCAGGAAGTTGGAAGTAGTACCATCATGGCGCGCTTGGTGTGCTTTTTCCGGAGGAAGTGCAATATGACAGCATCTGGGAAGCCGAATAAAGCTGGAGCTTCCACCCTGGAAAGCTCTGTAGTTTCAAGGGACACAAGAGGGGCTAAAGGGGGAAACAGACGAGGGCACGAAGAAAAAAACTCAAAGGAGGTCAACAAGAACCCAGAAAATGTGATAAGAAAAGAAGAAGAAGAGAAAAGAAAGAAAATCGTGCATTATCTGGGTCATACTTTGCAAAATACATGTAAATTGTCGCCGGTATCACTCGATAATCCCACGCATCCTTCCAGTCGCTCCAGTAGTAAGGGGCCCGCCTCCTGATGTCATTCTTCATTCCCTGGAAGAAATGGATCTTCCACCATTTATCCCCGTCATCGTCAGTCGCTGGCGGAGGCATGCCTGACTGTCGAGAGCCGAGTCCGCCAGATTCCTGGGACTGGCGCTGCATCTCAGCGGAGTACACGCGCGGCTGCGATCGCACTGATCGAAGGGAGGTTTTGCTAGATGACTGCCACGGCATCCGGTGAGAGGCAACGGGGGAGTTTGCAGAGTGAAAATTAGGGCCTTTCGGGAGGGAGAAACCCCCGTGAGAGGCGGTCTGTCCGTTGTCGGCCATAGCCTTTTATAAAGAAGTACTCCGTAGAACAAGCCGTTCTACTCAGAGGAGCGGAGAGCGACAAACCGGGGGAATTGACCACTGGCAGTTCAATAGCAGGGTGCGCTCCCTCGTATTGAAGAAGAAGGCAAAGGGGAGGAGAGGAGGAGACTCTCTCTCTCTCTTTTCGCTCGTACCTCGTTTTCTCCGCGAAAATGTCAATTTTTGCGCCTTCTCCAGTACCGCGGCGCCATTGGCCGGCGGGGCAACCAATGATGTCACGTCTTTAATGCTGAGTAACAAGCTTCCAAGTGGCTTGGGCGCTCCGCTGATTCCCGAGCCACAAGAGACTTTGCCGCAAGCCACTCAAGCAAGACGGAAATTGCGCTGGTCACTGCTTCACATACACACACACATACACACACACACAGCAGCATGACTTCCATAGCATGCTGCCCGAAGGTTACATGGGTCGAGGGCGGCACAGAGCGACACAGAGTGACACAAGGACCAGATGCGCCAGCACGTGGCCAACGAGCTCCAATGTAGGTGCCGATGCGGGGGCTCTGACGGCTTTGATCCATTTGGAGAATCCTCGCCAAGGAATCAAACAAATGGGAAGTAGTCCGTGCTTCAGCTGAGTATCGCGAGTCCGGAACAAAAGCCTCGAGACTCTGGCCGGGATTGAATGGATTCAAAGGCACATATATAATCCCCACAGGCCGTACGAAGTACATTATATATGGATGGGCAGCACACGGTCACACAAAAAATGAAAGAAAAGTGAAAGAAAAACAATAAAACCGTTTCGATAACCTTACTTCATTTCAACTAATCAAGTTAATACAGGTTCGAAAATCTCTAATCAACAATTTCGAGTATATGACACCAGAACACTGCTGACCTAGAAGAGCAAGAACATTAGTACACTTTGGTGGTGACCCTAAAGCAGTCAGTCTCTTCAACACACGTAAATCTGTATCCGCATTTTTAGATTTTTGTTTTCCTTCCTTTGCGCTGGTTGATATCCCCGCAAACATTAATCCTGTTCCCGTGGATCGACATCGCAAATTTAACCGGCTGGGCCCGAAAGATTCAGACTGCCGCCTGATCACGCTGGAGGTGGAGGTGGAGGTGGCTGTTCGCTCGGAGGCTAAATTCAAACCATTAGTTATACTGCTGCTTGATAAACAATGAAAAGAAAGGAAAATAGATTTTGGGGGTGAAAGAACTCACCGGTGGTGGTGGCCCATCAGCCGGGGGAGGTGGAGGCGGCGGATTGGCTCCTGGATATCCAGAGTACATAGATCCCATACCTGGAGGAGGCGGAGGGACACCACTGAGCCCTGGGGGAGCACCCATAGTTTGAGCACCGGAGAATCCAGGATATCCATATCCATATGCTGCTTGTCCACCGGGTGGGGGGGGGGGCGCCTGTTGTTGCCATGGAGCAGCAGCCCCGGGCGCGGCACCGTATCCAGCGCTATGCGATCCGTAGCCGTAAGAGTCGCCTCGTTCCACCTGATCCCCACGATCACCGTGGCCACCGCCAGCTGCCCAAGGTGGTGCAGCGCCGTGGTCACGATGTCCCTGGTCATCTCGGCGGTCGTCGCGTCGTTGCCAAGGAGCAGGACCGCCAGTCGGGCCACGTTGCCATGGTTTCAAATCGCGTTGCTCGCCGTACTTGTTACCCTGGTCATATCCTCCGGGTCCGGCTTCGATACGTCGAGGTGCCTCGCCGCTACCAGAAGGAGCACCGCCCGATAGTTCTTGCATAAGTTGCTAGGTTCCGTAGTTAGTTTTGATCCGTATCACACACAAAAGACCTGAACTTACCTCCATTTCACGGTCAACAGCATCTCCGATTCCTTTGCGCATGCTAGGACCATGGTTGCGCCAATCCGTGCCTCGTTGGCGATCAGGACAATCCTTTGCCATGTGGCCAGCATTTCCACAAACACGACAAATAATATTCGCAGTAAAGTTGCGTTGCTCAGGACAATCGTATTTGCGATGGCCGATTTGACCACCTATATAAAGGTTAAAATATGATGATTTCGACCGAACCGGGAGGAACTTACAGTTCTGGCATGCTTGATTTTCATCGTCGCGCAACGTGCCGTTAAGGGCAGCGAGTTCACGAAGCTGGTTCCTCTTAAGCTCGTTCTGACCCTCCGGAATGGATGCGGCCTGGGATTTCTTTTGGTTAGGACAAACATCCTTAAGTGCACCGGGGAAATCAAGGAACAAATACCGTTTCAATAACGTTATGGATCAGCTTTTTCGCCTTGTTCACTTTCTCTTCGGTATCTGCCATGATTAGACAGTGGAGATCTTCTTCCTGGTTGCTAGTGTGAGCCGCGTCAGAACGCCCTTTGCCTTCCTTCACGGATCCTTTTCCGCGAATGGCAATTTTAGCTCCCGACTCTGCCTCCATTTTCTTCAAGGTATTGCCTCGGGGTCCGATAAGTAAGCCAACTTTAAAGCGAGGGGAAGCTCAGTGTTAGTATTCAGAATCATCAATATCATCATGCAGGGTTAGTAGAAAACTGGAATAGCTGAGAACAGGAGGGAAAATAAGAACGGCAAGTGAAATAGCTCGAGAGAATACTCGAGCACTGAAAGGTAGACAAAGACGAAATGAATGCAAGAAACGGTTAGGAGTTAGAGGGTTAGTAATCATACTGAAGTTAATCTCAGGATAGTCGTTCACTGGGACATAGACCTTCTCCTGGGTTTTAGTCGGACGCCTATAGTCAGAAGGCGGATGATAGTTAGGAATAACTTTCATAGCCTTTTCAATCAGCTTATGTCGTTCGTCTTCCAAACGTTTCCGATAGCGGTTTTCCCTAGTATTGACACGTCTGCCAAAGTTATCGTACTGCGGGGCCGGCGAAGGAGACCTATGAAGACCAAGTTTAGCTATGATCCATCGGAGATTCACGGTTCACTCGTGGAGAATCACACACCTATCACCGTCCGCAGGCACAACATCGTTGATGCGAAGCTTTTGGCTAATTTCTTCGATGCGAAGATGCAGAGTATAAGCCTCTAGCTGTTCATTGGTCATATTTGCCATGATCAGTGTTGGAAGTCCCATGAGGCCCGCCGCCTTATTTTCCTGGGCATCTCCCCATCGATTTCGTTTCTTTCGCTTCTTGATTCCATCGGAAGGAGGATCAGCTATGAAAACAGTTTTATTAGCATTGTTCATATAAGGTGGCAAACGATAACTGCAATACTCACCTCGAACAGGACTTCTCCCACGCTTCATCCCAGCATCCGCGACTGCGGATGCCGGTGTTGTGGTATCACTCATGTCGGCTTCATCACCTCCAAACCGGCGACGTCCCAAAGGGATGTTGTTGGATCCAGTGATTCCCTGGTTTCGCCAGGCCATGGCTGTCAGCTGCTAAAGATTGAGCAACCGGGATAGAGCTGTGCAGAAAAGTTGAAAATGAGGTTGCGCAAGGAGAGTGCGAAGTGGCAAGCCCGAAAGATATTATGGACGGCGTACGGAGTGCGGAGTAGCTGATATTCCGGAGCCGCAAACCCTACCTATCTACCTAACCTAATCAGGAGTACGCCAGTCCCGTTTGGGGAAGAGTACTGCGTAATTTCACGTGATTCTATGCGGGGAGCGGTGGCTGCCAGAAGCGCCACAGCCGGCGAGGCGTCGTTGACGAGCTGCAGATTGGCTTTTTGGCAAATCATCAAAGAGTACGGAGTAAGCTGTAGTCGGCATTATCATACCTATTACTGGCCAACTCTTCAGGATAAACGGAGTACATATGTACATACATAATGGTTACGGAGTACCCATAACGAATCACATCATAGCAGCTCATTTTTGGGCATCTCCCTTCATCCCGGCCTGCACCCACGCTCGACTCTCAGCAGCGGCCTTCTCCATCCGCTCTTTATCCTTCAACAGCTCCTTAACCGTATGCCTAGTGGGAACGTGTCTTCCCTTCTCGACGCCCTCACGCTGCAACATTCTCTCCTCCCAGGTCTTGAGGTGCGGGAATTCATCGATGTCTACGCCAGACCATCCAGCGCTGGCAATCCATCCCCAATGAGCGATATCGGCTATGGAGATGTGGTCACCGACGAGGTATCCGGACTTGGACTTGGCGAGATGCCGGTCAAGCACGCCATACAGGCGACGGGTTTCATTGACGTAGCGGTTGACACCGTATTCAATTCGTTCGGGAGCATAGCGAAGGAAGTGATTCGCCTGGCCTGGATGGCATCATTAGCTCATATTCCCATTTTCGGCGGCATGCAGGAAGAGATGGATTCTTTTTTGCACGCCGCACCAAAGATGGAGGGACAACTAACCTTGCATAGGCCCAACTCCACCCATCTGAAAGTGTAGCCAGTTGTTCACCTCGTATGACTCTCTGCTTCCCCTGGGGTACGAGATCTTATAGTCCTTGTCATATTGCTCGGCTAGGTACTGTAAGATGCTCCCGGACTCCCAGATAGTAATCTGCTTGCCATCGGAAAAAGTATCAGTGATCGCAGGGATGCGCCCGTTCGGGTTGATCTCGAGGAACCACGGCTCTTTTTGGGTATTTTGCCGGAGATCGATCGCATGGACTTTGTATGGGATTCTAGCAAAGAGAAGTTGGTATCAGCCACCGACACACCCAATTGGCCTGCCAGAATCTTAGAAAGGAAGAAAACGCACCCCAATTCTTCCAAGGCAATAGAGACCTTAATGCCGTTGGGCGTTCCGGTAGTGTAGAGAGTGATGTTCGGTTGTCTGTCTGCCATGGTTGATGTCTCTCGGACTTGTATGTGTCTTAGATGCTGTGAAAGACGATGAAACATTTACCAGTTATAGGGCAATAGCAGGATGAGCAAAAGAAATAAATATAATTGAGGACAGCTATGTCTTATACTTCATGCCTACCGTTCCGTCATCCATCAAGAGCGGGGCCGAATCGGCATTACTCTTATGTGGTTCGGGTCCTCCACACTCCGTATTTCTAATCCAAACCCGGGATACTTTGCGCCATCCAACCCGGATATTGGCGATTCTTGCTGCGAAATCAACCGGCCAACAGTCAACTTTCTAACGCTCTTGATGAGAAATCCAAATTATACGTCCATTGGCAGCCAAGATGATTTAGGCGGCGACAGCTCAGACTCAAGCGATCGGCTTCATGCTGAGTCGCATTCTGCTTACCCCATCAAAACATATGATGCCATCCAAGACGATTTCCAACGCTGTTTACAAACAAAACCAACAGGACAACCATCTTCCTCCTGGATAATCTCTCAACTCCTAGTTAATGAATTTCCTTTGTGTGTACAGAGTAGTTACAGAGTACACAAATGCAAGCTCATGATAAATCATCTCACACCTTCACAAACTCCTTATCCTATATACAAGTAGAAGATCCCTTCAACATTTGCTCCCAAATATACACACATAGATACATAGGGTGTATAGACGCTGAAAATCCCCACGCAGACATTGACATCAAAAGGTCATATCAAGAAATGGGAAAGAAAACAAAATAAATTTACCAGGTGAAGCACTCTTCGATAAAGTCGATATGCGTTGGGGATTGCCTCTCTCGGCATGCTTTCCGGACATCGTCACTCAAACTTCCCGTACCGCAGACAAGGACTCCCATTGCGCCGACTTGGTTTTCCACCTCGCCATCGAGTAACCTCTCAATGTCAGGTTTTCCGGGGAACATCTGCACTTTGGTGCTGGGGCTCTGGATTTCTTTCATATTGCGCGGCCTCGTGATGAACAACATCACCCGTAGGACTTCACGACGGCGTTCCATGCTCAAGATGCTCGTCATCCACGGCTTTACCCACTCAAGATGGTCTGGAGATTGAATAATCCAGACCAACGTCACTCGTCGTGCGGCGACCGTACCTTTGGCGAAACCTGCAACGAGGTGTCGCACATAGGAAATCAGGTGCGTGATGCCGACGCCACCGGCGATAAGTATGACTGTCCCGTATGAATCGAGGGAATGTTCTGTGCCGTAGGGTCCTTCAACCACGGCTCGAAAGGTAAGCCGGCCGTCAGCAGCCCGGCAAGTGCGGTTATACAATCTGTTGGTTAGACCCGTCCTCCGTCGAACTACCAGGGAAATGTTAGCCCTCTGCAGTTTGAGAACATCCTGTTTAGTCCTGACAAGACCCCCATTATCCAAGGGGACCTCCTCGGTGTCACTCCAAGCTGCAGTGAACGGATGGGACATCCACAATCCGACTGCTGGCAGGTAAAGATATAGATGTTGGCCCGGCTTGAATACCCATGGTCGCACAATTCGCAATGTAATGCGCATGGCATCACCCGGCAAAACCTCGACGGTTGCAGTTGTCCCTCCTTTGCCCAGACTGAGATAGGCTGCACGTATCCACCGGACCGCTCGCTGATTCTGAGTTAGCCAGGATTCATCAACTTCCTAATGAACTGTGGATTACCTCAATGGCCCATATACCGACTACACTGGGTACATACGGTTGTTGAGGTTGGTTTTCCAGGTGGATCCACAAAAATCCCAAGAAAGCGGCGACAAAGACAATGTGAAAATGTAAAAAGGTCTCATAAAATGCGTGTCGTATTGGTGATGGAGAATGGATTAATATCATAGCCAGGATGGAGACGGCCTCAGTATTAATCAGCTGATAGTTCTTGAATCTTAAGGGTCGCGTCCCTTACAATTAATCCAGTCTTGATAAGTTTGCTCTGTGTGATTGTCACCATGAGCGCATTCCAGCCCGCTAGGAGACCCTCGAGTTAACATTTGGAGAGAGAGAAGTCATATTTCTTTGTATTGGACGACTCACAGGTATGGACTTTCTTAACCATATATGCAATGACGTGAATGAAGGACTCGAAAGCCACGATTCGACCAAGCCAGCGGTGAAGAAGATTCCACGTGTCGAAAGAGACTCCCAGCAATTTAATCAATGCGTTGTTTCTAGCAGCCATGAACACGAGAGGCGGCAAGTTGACCACTGCCAGTATCCCGGATCGAATCTGGATAGTGGTTAAAAGATCTTCTTCTGTCGATCCATATGGGACAGCAACGCAGCATAACGTTATATTCATTGCAAAAATCCCCATCAGCAGGGCTGCCTGAAAACGAGTCGGGAGAGTTCCAAAATTTATCGCAGATGACAATCGAATCTCGCGATTATGACGAACGCGGAACATGGGAGCGTATATAACATGACGTTTCAACCACGCCCAATACAGGCCCGAAGGAACGAAGTGGTTCTGTGTACCATTGTTCAAATTCGCAAGATGTCTAATGTGCGCAGAAATGCGAAGGCCGACCATCCATGTTAGGAAAAAGAGTAGGAGACCCAATCCAGCGTATAGCATTGATCTCCCAAACTCATTACTGACGATGCTGATATTTGTTGTGTCTTTGTGACCTCGACCGCCACTCGTACCCCTTAAGGACAAGACACTCTCATAGTTGCTGAAAGAAGGGTTCTGATGTTGGTTTGCACCAACAAGGGTGGAAAGAAGGAGCAACAGAAGTTGTATAAACATCACGATGACAATGATAACACTCAAATCCACACAAAGGGAAGCATGAAAGAATTAACTAAACACCAAGTCTCTATATAGCAATTTGCAAAAGCCGCGCTGACCAGCCTCGTGGAGTTTCATAGACCGGCCACAGGCTCAGAAAGACAGGAATTTAAAGGGGAACGGGGAACTTTCAAATATGTGCAGGGAACTGAACATGACTAGGAATATCACTCAAAATGGGTTCACAACATCGGGTATCGAGATTCATATACTCCCACTTAAAGATAGAAGGAATCAGGACAATGTGGGTACTAGGATGGAGCACTGAAATATAGCAGACAATGCTGTCGATGTTATTGAGACTCCCTCGCCGGCACCAGAGGTGACTGCGTGGAGCCCAACGCACAAAAGAGCAAAGTCACCGGCTAGTTCTGGGAGTTTGGAATGGAGTCGATTCGGCAACTATACAAAAGATAGCGCTGAAACCGAAGATGGGATGGTATCGTCCCACAGAGGTGAACTAGCAGTTGTCGTATGTCACGACAATGAGGTCACGCTTCTTATTGGACTTTTTCGAAAAAGCGTCGTATGTATTAGATGCAAAAATGCAAGGATTCTCGGCTTTGTGAAGAGGAAGAGTAAAGAAAACCCTTCGGGAAGCCACTGCACATAGCTTATATCCGGAGCGGGAACAAAGACGTGTGTAGTAGGCAAAGCAAGGAATCCGTGCTTAGATGAGTAAATCCAGCGGTGAGAGGAAAAGCCAACGAAAATGAAGGCCTAGTCTTGCGCCTTTGGCGCAGTGATAATCGTAGCTGGAGCAAGAGTGTACGAAAATGTAAAACAAAAGCCGTCGAGGTTGATAAAGACAGCAAATCACGATGCGCACACCGTGCCTGTGCTCTGCACGAGATATAGAAAAACCACACGTTCTCTGACTTCGAAATGATCAAAGAATAGATGAAGATAGAGGTAGTTTTCTGATCCTTCTGCATGTTAAAACTCTGTCGTCTCACAGCAGGCGACGACAACGACCACGACGCCGTTCTATTCCTTGCGAAATGTAAGAAACAACTGCAGGGAGGCAATCCAGGGGCACATCTGCCCGAGTATGCGTGTGGAGCTAACGGCGTCCCCTGTTCACAGGCTGCCCATGTTGTATCTGCAGCGCGGAAGCTGGGCACCTGTGCACATCCCATCCGTCGAGATTTGGTAATGGCAGTCGGGCCTGAGAGCCGGCCGTCCCCTGAAGCCTGGGAGATGCTCACTCGAAAATTTTCGAGAGATCGCTAGCGATCGCGTGGGGTGACGTTACCTAATTTTTATTTCAAACCGAATCGCCTCATCTCGCATGCTGATGCCTGTCTGTCTAAATACCTAGAAAAGTTAGACGGGCAGCCAGGATTACGAGGAACCCCGTGTTCCGCTGCAAACCCCAGGTCTCCAGGAAGGTAAACCGCCTCGATAAAGTGGATCATACATGCACGAAATGGTCTGTCTGTCTGTCTTGTCTGATATAGAAACTGGGTGGTCAGATTGATCGAACAACTTCGATTGTGAAAGATCCGCGCAGACACGTAAAGGATCACGCTCAAAGTCAACAGGCAAGTGACCACGCCGCGCAGCAAGGAAGCGCATTTCAGAATTTAAATTGTGCAGGGGGACGATTGCACCGATCATTCCAAAACAGGACGGCGAAACAGACGGCTCCCAGGTTTTGCCTTCGCAAATTTATGAAGCCACGATCACAAACCCTCGGGCGGGCAATCTCTGGAAGCATGTAACAAAGCAGAAGCTGCAGACTTGGCCATAATGCTCCGGTTCTAACAAATCGGTCGAGATGTTTTGCAAAGTCGAACAATCCGAGGGTGGACTCTTCGGTATCTGTAGAACGAGGTATTTCTCTTAAAGGTGAGTGATGAAACTGTTAGCAAATCGAATCACCTTGGGCAAGGTTTTTGGAGCCTGTCAATGTGAAGAACACGATGAAACAGCTCGAACAGCAACTATAAAGGACATCCCGGGGTGTTGTGATTTGGTTAGTTAGGTGATCGGCCGCCGAAGCAGATCGGGCCGGAAAGGAGTTACGAGTTAAAATTTCACATCGACGCGTGGGGTTGCAGGGGGGTAGGGAAATACATAACTAACTCCTCCATACGGAGTAATACTGATTTGGTTATCCACACAGAATAGTTACCTTGGCCCCCCTTTATCAGCTCCTTTTTTTATTTACGGGCTCAGCGAGCTAGTGATTGCTTCTCTAGTCTTAGCATGGGAGCAAAGTACGCACAATTGGACATATTATTACGATTGATGTCTTTTGCTTCGAGTCTATGCCCGATGATCCGGATCAGGATGGAGAATCGGTCACATGTAGTGCACCGTGCAAACCTTGTACGATGATATCTCACACCGTGGTTGGAACATTCAGCTTGGAGGAGCATGTCTCAGTGTAACTTCACTTCCAACGGTCAGCAAGGGGAACCAGGGAGACTTCCCGACGATCGGTACCCCAAAGGGGAGATAGCAACGACTACCAGTATTACTTTCGACATCAGAAGGGGAGGCGGAGAGCGGAATTTTGGTTCGAGTTATGATGCTCGAAACTACCCTTAGTCTGTTTACTGTATCTCGGGACGCGACATGACAAAATTAGTGCCCATCCGATTATTCCCTGTCCTGGACACGAGCTTATCCCTCCCGTGAGTGGATCTTTATATGGCACGAGCCGTCAACTGGTGCATCCGGGACGAGTCCATTTCGCTTGAGTAATGGTATTCTCTGAATAGAAGTGACTTGAGGTTCCTTTGACTAAACGCGAAGCAAAACATAAGCAATGTCCAAGATCTTTTTTCCCGCTCGGAATATGCCTTGCGGCCTGGTGGCTTATTTGTTTGGTTGGATCCCAGTCGCCTTTATACGGCAGTTGTTATGAACCAGGAGTCAGGGAGCGGATAAGCCTTGTCTCCAAAGCCTCTAACCAGTCAGAATATCCAACAATAAAATGGGTGCGTAACAGGTAAATATACCATCTCATGCCAAACAATTTGCTCAAGAGAAAGTATAGGTTTGTTTGTGCTACCGTGCCGTGTTTAAGGATCACGTTTCATGGTCGTAAGATGTGGGCTCGAGCGGACGGCCGATTACCCAATTTATTGATACAAAAATAGCATCCAATACTCCACGGATAGCAAGCCATTTTCAAAAGGTCCGCACTCCAAGGGTACTTGACTGATAATACAAAACCTCAGAGCTCCGCAGCACTAGGGCGAGCACCGAAGATAGCGAACAAATATCAAAAAAACCAGGACTCCAATGCAGGTGCTCCTAATTTTTACTAAAAGAAAAAGACGGGGTATCATTAAAAGAAACAAAATGCAAATGTCATGCTGCCGGTTGCTGTTATGCTGAAAAGAGACATGGATATTGTTAAATGGGTTCTTAGAGAAAACTTAATTCGTCATCGCTAGAGTCATCACCATCCGAACAGGGGATGACGTTTTGTTGCCGTTGTCGACTCGCTAATCTAGCAGAAGAACGACGAGGAAAATGGACTTCGGATTGTGATATATACTTGGAAGAATGCAATACCACTTGCGGATATGAATGGCGGGGTCTCTTGTCTCGATTACGCTCATAAAGAGTTGGAGCACTGGTCGTTATAACGTCATCATCATCATCGACCGTCTCTCCGCTGTTACTGTCTCCCGTTGAAACTGACTCCGCGCCGCCTTTGAAGTCATTTGTGTGAATTACGACTTCAAAGTCGCTGCTCTTTCGCGGAACGGCTGAAGGTAGCTCAACGGCGATAGCAATGGAAATTGCCTTCGTTGATCTTTTGTTATTGGGTCTCCTTTCGTCTTGAGGCGCACGTTGATTTCTTGTCGTTGGACCATGGGCCTTTGCGTTGATAACATTATCATAACGACTATTCCCCGTGCTGTGACTTGTATCCCGCCATCGTCTCATTCGATAAGCGGATGTCGTGTCGGAGACTGCACTATCCTCAAATTCGCTTTCGTCTGAGCCAAACTTCCTTTTCCGTGGAAATGGCGGAGGTGAGAAGTTTGACGTGACGCTGGAATCGAATTCATCAATAGAGGATTTATCGTCGCCGGCACTACCCCATCCAGAGTCACTATCACCATCCGCAGTGGATGATGAGCCTGTCTTCTCACTCGTCAATCTTGCCTGTTGGTGGGCCTTTACTGAGCTCCCACGACTCGTGACGTTACGTTTCGCACACGGAGTTTTCGCAACCCACTCCCCAATCCCATCTTCCCACCTAAACCCGGTTGTCTTCAGGCATAATGAAGGAGTGAGAGGCTCCATCCTGTGGTCAAGCGTGCCCAGATCAGATTCGGCCACTTCTTCTTGAAGCTCAGCAGCCCACGCGTGGTGCTCCCGTAAACAAGTGTATTCAGCAAAATTGAGTGCTACCTCTACTGCTACCTTAGCGAGAGCAGCACGAAATGTTGGGTAGCGCCTCAAGTCTGTCGACGTGAAAAGTCTGGTCAGCGACTTGACTACGTCGAAGCTATTTCTTCCTCGTGCTCTCCCAAGACAACGCGCCACCTGAAGAAACAGCCCCGATAACGCTGTCAGGAGCTCTTTTCGGTTGGGGCTGAAACGAATAAAATGTTCAACACTATCCAAAAAGAGTGGGGAAGATCTCGCCCTCGACCTATCCCGTAGAGAATCCGCTGTAGATTCCAAATGCTCAAGCAAGTATTGCGTAACTAGAGCATATCCAATTCGGATTTCATGGCCCTTATAATCATCTTTTGTTTCATGTACATTTTCTTCTAAATATCTCTGCACGACAGAGGTTACATGAGTGACAATATGCCACATAGGAGACTTGGTGAGCGCTCCAGTCCCAAAGCGAGCAACATGCACGCTGCAAAGAACTGTAAATATACTGCAAATAGTATTATTCAAGGCCTCGGGTATAACTTCCTCGTTGATAGGCATCTGCCAGCTTGTGGCTTCCTTTCCCGAACGTAAGCCGCCTCGGATTGATTTAGAGGTTAGGGCGGACTTGTTGAGTGTGTTCGGGCTGAGGCCTAGCGGCGAAGGACCTTTAGGCTTAACCAGTCCTAAAGAAGCCTGCACAACAGCTGTAAGAAATTTAACTGAGGCTGCCAAATGCTCATCGTTGGAGATGACGGATTGCATGGCGTCAATCACGTAGGACTTCATTGAACTTGTTGCCATCCACTCCGCAGGTAGAGCTCCGCGAATTAGCAACGAAGAGATTTCGCGAAAGAAAACTGCCAAACTGCACGACTTCCTCATGTAACCCGCTAACGGCCAGAGTTGTTTTTGTTCGGAAAGCAGCACGCTATCAAGCGATTTTGGAGGCGGCATTGCCGGAGTAATATAATGTATAACTCCAAGAAGCTCTTCAGCAGCATGATTCGCAGGAATTTCAAGAGCTTTCAAAACAAAGTATCGGGCAAGTTGCGCATGTATCCATCTCTTTCGGATAGTTTCGCAAACTAGACGAATACCATGTGCGCGGACAAGCGTCCTCAAGGGTCTCCACCCTTTGTTGGTCGAGGTATAAGTATCTTCTAGGTCTGTGAAGATGACATCTGCCACATCTATATCTTCGTCGTTCTCTTCGTCGTTATCTAAACGATCCTGCTCCTGCAGAATATATTCCGATGTCTTGTTTAGGGCCATAGAAAGCAAGGAGGGGACTTCCTTGGACGTAAGTTTTGCGTCATCTATCGCAGTAATCTTAAGAAATGTGTCAAAAGCATAGAAAACTCCTCCAACAATCGAAAAATACGAAGGTTCCCCATATATGTCTCTATCAGTAGGGGGAATATCAATCGGAAACTCATTGCGAGTAGGCTTAGACTTAACAGAAGCTGAAGAGCCAGCCGGATTTAGTCGCGTTTCCGCCGTGTGTATAGTGGTTTCATCGCGAAAATCTTGCTCAATGTATCTGCTTTTGCTTCCGGAAATCAACGGGGTTGCAATAGTAAAGGCTCCGGGCTGTAATCTCTCCCTCTCAGGGCTCCGAACAACAACCCTCGATCGGGCTCTTGCGATGCTATTCAAACTTTCCCTGCGGCCAGAATATTTATGCTTAACACGCTTGCGCACGGCATTTCTTGGAACCCACGTCGGATCGTCCTTCCCAGTCTCCGAGTCTGAGGTTTCGCCGCAACCACTAGCTCGGCCGCCGTCGTTGCGTGACTTCGACGTGAGCCCCTGGGACTCCTCTGATATACTGTGCGTAATTTCATGCGGTTGAATGGAGGCAGTCTTCCAATACTTCTCGAGGCGTAGGATTGCCGAAGTCAAGGGTCGTAAAACTCGGTTGCACCATTTCGATGTCGCCGGTGGTATCGACCGTGAACGGCAGCGAGGGGGATTCGACGCCATCTTCGGAGCCGGGAAGATAACCCAGTGTCCAAAAATACCTCCTACAAAATCACACCCTCGACATCGGAAATAGAGGCTTCCCTAACCCTAGACCTGCGATCTCCGATGGACCCCAGCAAGGAGGTCAATTAGAAGGATCATAAGCAATATATCGGCATTAAAAGAGGTATTTAAGTCAGTAAATAAAAAATTAACACGGTAATTCTCGAGAGTCTTTATAAAATGCCAATATACATGCTCTGAAGTGTCATTCAGTCTCAGGTTGAAGTTCGTCCCTTGCGCCCCAGCTTCCCCGAAAAGATAAACATAAACATGCAAACAATGCAAATGTCACGTGATCCACTCGTTTACCTACTGTAGTTACATAATACGGTACAAGATTTCGGGAACGGGAAAGGGACGGGCCGAGATGCACCGTAATGGATGCCTTGGGCACCGAGACGAGACCGAGATGAAAAAGGTCGTGAAAAAGATGACAGTGAAATGGATGTTTTATGAGTGCAAAAAATCAAGATATTTACAAACCAGAAGCACACGGGAGGATGGCCGGGCGGTCGAAAAGACGGTATAGTACACCATGCAAACATTTTGTCGCCCCCACCATAGATAGACTGCCATGTGCGACAAGAACAAAGATCCAAGAATTGTAGCAGGAGCCAAAAGGAAACAAAAAAAAAAGCAAAAAGGCCCAAACCCAAATCCATGCCATGCGGACTTTTGACGTATTCATACATAGAAAGAGTACAAGGCTGGATCATGATCGAGTAGAGTAGAGATATATACAGTTCCCAAAATCCGAACGGCTCCAATCCTTTCCCACCAGGACGAGCAATATCCCCCCAATATACTCCGTACTGAGTACAGGTATGCCTCAACGAGATCGTTCCGAAGGGTTTTTCTCTTTTGATAGAGTCTTGAAATTTTTTATTCATAAAAGGATAGTCGCCAACATGAAATGAAACGAATATGTGTTGCAAAGCTCACTTTGTACAAAAAGCAGTGGGCACTCTGACACTAGAGCGTGCTTAGGAAGATGGCTTCACAGTTGATTGCTTCGAACCCCGGAGTTTGGGGTTACGGGCAGCAGCACGCTTCTTCTGCTTAGTGCGCGGTGCACTGGACTCGCCACCCTCGATGAACTTCAACAATTCATCGATACTACGGGGGTCTAAGGACGCGTTGCCCCTAGCCTCCGCCGCATTGGCCATCTCTGAGGTGGTTTGTCCAACTTGCGGCTGGGGCTTGGTACCGAGACGAGTCGGCAGGTTCGCCAGACGGCGTCGACGGGCCTGGATGTCTTTGGCGTGCTTGGCGATATATACAGCATTCTGGGTGAGCTGCTCAAGCCAGCTCTCAGCCTCCTTCGTGTTGCGATCCTCGGGGCCGAGCTCATTCAAGAAAATATTATATGCATCACGCATCCGGTTCACGGCTGCTTTGGAGTCTTGGTCCAAAGCAAGAGCCTGGGCAAGCTGGAACAAGATGGTGGCCGTGTTGACGGACTGTCTTCCGAAGAGCTCCTCGCAAACGGTGAGTGATGCCTCGAACCATTTCCGAGAGTCGGGATAGAGCTTGAGGTGTTGAAGCATGACGGCAGCATTGTTCATCGTGGTGATAGAGTCTGGGTGGTTGGGGCCATAAATGATCTTCCACAGCTCCAATGCATGTCGGATATACACCAACGCAACCTTGGTGTTTCCAGTGGCGTGCTCGAACAGACTGAGGTTGAGGTAACTCAGGATGGCATCGGCAGAATCCACTCCCATGGTGCGCTCTGTGACAATAACAGCTTTTCGTGCAAGTTCCACAGCCGCGTCTTTGTCGTCTGATTGATAGTAGAGCATAGAAAGCTGGTGGTAAAGCTTAGCAACCTCAGGGTGGAGGATGCCGTAGATCTGTTCATGAAGAGACAGAGACTCCAAAATCAACTCTTGTCCCAGTTCCTTCTGGTTCTGCATCAGGGAAATGCGCCCCGCTTCGAGGGCCTCCTCAGAAAGCGCACTTCTGGGTGATGCGTCCTTGACGATAGGAACAATGTTCAAGATATCATCTGGAACAAAGGTAACAGCTGGAGCGGGACTTTGCGCAGGTCGTGGAGAAGCCTGGTCGCTGCCCTTTTTCTTTTTCTTCTTGCCTCCCTCCTCTGGGGTCCGAGTGCCATTCGCAGCAGGGGAGTGATCTTGATTCTTAAGCTGAGACCGATCAAAGGCGTAATTCTTGGCGCCAAGCTGAAGTCCAAGTTTGAGAGAGATATCTCGGAGGAGTTGAAGATGTCTCAAAGAAGAAGTCCAGTCAGCATCAAGAGAGAACCGGTAACGGATCTTGATTTGCTTCTCAATGTCCTCTTTAAGCGCTGTTGGTGTCACCTGTTCGAAAGAAAAGTCACCCTCAGGGTAGATTTCACGGAGAGATTCATCAATCTCTGCGCGAGGCTTGGAATTCACTTCGGTTCCAAGCAAGCAGTTGAGCAGGTGCGCAATGCAAGAAGTGGCAAATGCCGAAGGGAGGTTTCGAAGATAGCGATTAGCAATATGCTTGAATGCACGGGCAACCATATCCTGAGTCATAAGGGCGGTCAAGGCCTGAAGTCTAGCCCCCTTCTCCTTTGCCAAGGCTGCAAGCTTTCCGAGGTATCTAACGTTGATACCACGCTTGTGAAGAAGCTGGCTCAAGGATTGTCCATCCATAGGGAATCCAACATCGCCATCATGGAGGTCTTGGATCAGTTCAGGCAACACCTTGGATCTCAGATAGTTACAAGCATCACGAACCTCTTTCTCATCCTGTGCCCACTCTTCTTTCTCCTCATCAGTTTGTGGTACTTGGCCACTAAAAACATCAGGGTTCAGAGCAAGCTTGAAGTCAGAGATGTCAACTCGCTCTTGGTCTGGAGAAGTGGTTTCCTTCTTCTCGGACTCAGCATTCTCAGATGCGTCGGCAGCCTCTCCATTCGGCTTGCTTTCCTCGGCTTTCTCTTCAGCCTCTTTCTTGGCCTTTCTGCGTTTCTCAACTTCCTCTTTGACATACTGGCCCATTTTAAACCTCCAATAAGATTCGACCAACTCCAATCGAAGAACTGACATCCGATGTGGGTACGGCTCGTGGTTTTCGGAATCCTCATACCACAGGACATCCAATGGCGTAATACGATACAGATCCAAAACGTACTTCCGTCCATCGGTGCCAAGAAGCCCTTTCGTCTCAACGCTACTCTCCAATTCATGTCTAGCGCCATCTTTGTCCCAGACAGGGTGCTTCTTCACTCGCAGTGCCTTGGAGAGCTTCTCAAAGACTGGAACGAAAGCCTCATGTTTCGCAATGACGTCTTTGCCGTCAACACCACCATAGTCGATCTGGTGCTCTCCGGGCTCTCGCTGTTTGAAGATACCGGGAACAATGCTCTGGCCGACCACACGTTTTCCAAGGTAGTCGATCACCATGGTGCCCGGAGTGAAAAGGCCAGCAATGTCAAGCTGGTTGACTGCCTTAACACCCATTACATCCTTGGCCACAGCAACACGAGCAGCTTCGTCGCCGCCCTCAGATGCAAAGGTTCCAACTCCGTCAGCCCCAAAAGAGAAGAATATATTATTGTAGACAAAGATCTGGGCATCTCTACCCTCTGTCGGGTTCAGAGGAGCGACTTCGCCACGGGCGACCAAAACCGCACCCCGAGCCGCAGCGTCATTATAATCCGCGAACAGCTTTGAAGTCAATCTTTCCCTGAATACCTTGTCCTGCACAGTGTCACGAGGAAGCTCTCGCGTCGTCTGGAACTCCTCATTCCAGTCTCTAAGGGTCTCAGAGTTATCGACACCGGCAATCAAATAGTTCTCTTGTGGCCTTGTAATGTCTGACTGATGAGCAGTTGCAGGGCTAGAAGTTGGAGGGACGAGCCACGGGTTGTGTGGTATCGAATTCTGGAAGGGGAATGTGGTCAAAAGATCCTTTTTGTTATTGGCCTCTTGTAGGGCCTTGAAAGAATTCTCGAAGGACGGGGAGATGAGGGAGATTAAGGTAAGTAGCGAATGGGCGCTATAATTCTTGGGAGCTGCTCGGGGGAACGGGTCGAATTTGCTATTAGAGCACTTGTTGACGAAGAACCCAGAGACATGAGAGGTGATCTGGTACTGCTCGCCCTCGTTTGTCGTGACTTGAAGGTAGAGCAAGTGTCCTTTTTGGCGGAGATGGTATGGTGGAGGGTTCCAGGGGGAAAGGGAGATGGATTTGACGGTCTTAGGAAATGGGGCCTGCTTTCGGGGGAGAATGGTTCGAAGGTCTGCAGGGCCAGGAACCTCATAGCCAACGAGAGCATGTTCCGCAGTACCATTGGCGGAGTTCTCCTCCTTTGAGGGAATATCGTCCGACAGTTGCTCGCCAGCAGCAACGGAATCGTGGAGGGACAAACCTGCACAAATTCCATGCAAATTATCGACCCGATCTCCGGAAGCACCGATCAGTTCCCTGATCCGCACAAGGTGCATTCGGGCCTCCTTCTCGGTATATGGGTCCTCCACCAAGACTATTTCGGCATCGGGCTTGAGGTCTTTGACCTCAGAAAGCTCGACATAGTCATTTATTCTCTCGCCATTATGTTCCAAGTGAAAGCTTGTATACTGGAAGGTCCCGGGTAGCTCGACGATGGATTGGCGCACATCCTGAACCTGTTCCTGGTTCGATACCTGCGCAAGAAAAGGTCAGTTAAATTTTCCCAAACCCAAACGGATATCACACTGACCATGACCTGGATCTTATAGGGTTCATGAGGCAGCTTCACAGTGATCTGGAAAAGCCCCGGTGCTTCTATTCAAGAAGAGAGGAAGTCAGATCTCCAGTCATGTAGGAATTGGCTTTTTCTTTTTTTTTTTCTTTTTTTTTTCTTTTTTTTTTTTTCTCCAGGGTGTGCAAACCTCCTGCATTTTGATCACCTTCGCCTTCTGCATGGTTTCCATTTGGAACTCCGGTCACCTCGTTCGAAGGATTGGTTTGGTCCAACACCTCTGTGGAAAACAGGTTAGCATAATGCCAAACAAGTACAGGAACAGTAAAAAAAAAGTGCGGCCAATTGCATGATTAAGGGAAAGACGAGGCCATACCCTTTGGGTGTTCAGTAGTTCCATTGTTCTGCTCCATTGGGACAATTCGATAAAAATTAAGACAAAGCTATTTTTATCCAGAGGCGCTCAAATGAGAATTGATGCAAAAGTAAGCTTCCCTTTCGAGATTCCGAGAATGAATGACGAAAGAGGTCAGGAATGGGACAGAAGCTGAACCATAAAGTACAAACTGCAAATAAAGAATATTAAAAGAAGGGAAAACTGAGAAAAGATATGCAGTCTAACCGACCAATTCGACGAAAATTATTTCATGTAAAAGAGGTTTTTGCTTCGAATCCGCAAAAAAAGACTGAAATTTGGATGATCTCCGGGGGAGAAATTTTTACGGAGCCGGATTTTCCTTCCCACGGGCTTAGTCACCCGCCCGAGGTGCTGGACGAATGGGGTTCGCTCGGCTGAAGGACCAGCGCCGCCGATTGAGCCGAAGCAAACTTTGACCTTGAACGGGCGGAAAAGCCTGCTGCGATCGCAAGGAGTATCAAAAGTTTCCTGTTCTCCGGACAGCTGCGATCTATGATGGGGTGGATGTCGGTTCTACCCTTAATTTGCCTCCCATTCAGCTGGATGGCTTTGCGGGAGTCATGTGGACGTTTCCGCTGAGCAACACATAGAGTAGTATTGGATCGACGGGGCTCTTGATAACAATCGAGCTAGCGATCCCGCATATAAACGGTGGCCAGAGATAATAATTTAAGCCAGTTACTGGGGTTGACCAGAATGGTTGATCCTTCAGAGCTCTGTGTGCGGATTTCTACTCCGAAACCAGCTTGCGTCTGAAACCATCAAGGCGCTGCTGCTGGTTGCTGGCTCTATCGTTTTAAGAGACCTTGGCTTCCCGCCAATATCGAAACAGTAGGCCGCGGCGACTGAAGCAATCTCATTGCGTTTTGGACGCTTTGCAGGCATTTTCCGCTAATCGCGACATGCTCAAAAAAGGACGTTATGTGCGTCTCCCAAGCAACTTTCTCGCATTGCATCACACCTAGGGACCGAAGGATACGAGCCGAATCAACTAGCGCTAGAGAGACGGCCTGCAAAATACACCAGAGATGTGGTTAGTACCCCGTACGGTGTGAAAATTTCTGCTGCTACATTAGTCCGTCCCAAGGTGATAACTCAATGTTCAATGAGCGAATCGCCCCCTGTCGAGTGTTGAGTGAGAATCCCTGCTTGCTAATATTGAAGAATGCCGGGAAGCGAGTCTCCACGCATCAACTAGGCAGGAAGACTCATCGCCATCCCGGGAAAACAAATGTTCCTTTCTCGCCCGTTTGATGATGCGCATGTGCGCCCCCCGGTAGGTGCTCCGTACTGAGCGCACACATACATGCATATACTCAAGCTCCCTGCAACTTGTGGGGAAAAGAAATGCGATGATTGCCGAGCTCTCGTGGCCGCGACGAAATGCCAAGAGGTTAAGATCTCGAGCAGAGTCTCAACCTTCATTCTGCGGATAAACAATATATACAACCAGACGATTTGTTTCCTCTGGATTTGACCGATAGCTGGAGCAGACTTAACTGCGCTGGGAGGCGGGATCGGAGCGAAGGCTGAAGATCCCGGAGTTTGGGCCCGATCTTATCAGCCACGTGAGCGAGCCAGGGGCGAGATGTGGCACAGCTGGAGTGGCTAACTAGCGGCCCCGAGGGAGCTGCTGAGTTATTCGCAAGGCTTCACAAAAAAATCAATCACGTTCGTTTGGGCCATCGCTGTGTTAATCCGGCCTGGCAGTCGCTCTTTTTATTTCCTTTCCTTGTTCTTGTTATTTGCGGTTTGGTTACTTGACTTATGCTGGTGACGTATGTTGGGGTCCATTCTTCTTTTTATCGGTGTAACAGGGAGGCTATTTGATTGTTCTTATCAGATACCATTGGTTACGGATAACGAGTTGTGAGATTGACATTCAGCCCATGTTCAAAGATCCATTATGCCATTGGGTTTGCTGCGCACACGGGCTGTCTTTGGTGCTGGAAGAAGTTTCATTCGCCCTAATTATGCGCCATGGACAGTGACCCGGATCCGCCTCTATGGCTCCCAAGACCTCAGCCCTGGCGGTCCTCCTCAGCCCGGCCAGGAGACTCCAGAGATGCCAGAAAGGGATTCCAGGTCTGATGAACCCACTTTAAGGTCTACGCTTCTGCGGATGTTTGAGTCTGCAGCAACCACGTTCGCTTCAATCGCTGTATTAGGGTAAGGAAATAGTCTTCCGTGCGGACATCGCAATAAGATCTCTGACTTTCCGACCGTCTCCAGTCTTGCCGGCTATTCTTACTACAAGTATTATAAATATTTAGTACTTAAGAAAATGGATAACGCATTCAATCCCGGAGACCCTGTGCTGGAAGTCGCCGGTGTAGCCCCGTCAATGGGAACGGAGGGAAGCGACACAACGCATTGGATTCAGCGTGAAGAGCAAACTAGAGTCGATGAAATAATCAATGGCACTACCAAAGGCCGCTATTTTCTCCTGATCGGAGAGAAAGGGACCGGGAAAAGCTCCATGATCCTTGACGCCATGCGAAAGATCGATGGCGCCGGAGTTGCCATGTTCGAGGCCCATGCAGACCTTGAAATCTTTCGGGTTCGATTAGGAAAGGCCCTGGATTTTGAGTACCATGAAGAGTACGTTTACCTGCCTTGATCTAACTTCGTTTGGATGCTGAGGGTCCCCATCCTCTTTTCAGCTACATAGGCAGCCTTTTCAGTATTCGGGGACCACGTGATACAACTGCGCTGCTCGATATTGAGCGGGCCCTTAATAAATTAGAAAAAGTTGCATTACGGAGAAGGAGAAAGAGCAAAACGCCCTTGATCCTGATAGTCAATAGCACCCATTTGGTCAGTGACGACGAGGATGGGCGCGATCTTCTAGAGATGCTCCAGCAGCGAGCAGAGCAATGGGCTGCAAGCAATCTTATAACAATAGGTATGTTTCTTTTCTTTTTTTGGCTTTTTTAATCCCTGAAATTGGCGATCATTCAATCTAACCGCATTCCAAAAAGTCTTCAATAGCGATGATTACTGGGTTTATGAGCGCCTCAAGCGCTATGCTTCTCGAATGGAAGTTATCCCAGTCCCGGACCTTCCAAAAGACAAAGCAATGAGAGCGCTTTACCAGTTCCGCGCAAAGTACCTCAATGAAACTACTCCGAAGGAAATATTGGAAGAAATATACGACAAAGTTGGTGGAAGGCTAACATTTTTGAACCGAGTTGCCAAGGCCACAGACATGATCGCGGCCTGCGACGCGATTTGCCAAGCCGAGAAGACATGGTTCTTGAACAAATGCTGGATTTTGGGAGAGGAAATGGACGACGACGTAATGGATGAACAAAAATATTCCGTAGGTCACCACGTGTTGAGGTCTACGTTTCCGGCTTTACTGACTAAATTAACCAGTCTGCCGCTATGGTTCTCGCCAAAGCCCTTGTTGATTTGGAAAAGGATATGGAATCCACCTATGACCCCGAAAAAGGTCACATACTTCCCGAACTCCCACTTCACAAAGCACGGCAAGTGATGACTAGAGCCGATTTTATCCAAAGCTACGACCACGACAATATATTTACGATCGACTCCAGGGCAATGGTGCGGGCAGATTCTGTTCCGATGCAGCGCGCATTTCGAGAGATCTGCTCCGAGCCTGGATTCGAAGAGCACCTCGAAGCTACCCTGGATCGCATCTCCGACATCGAGAGCTTGGGCAGAACTCGTGAAGTCACTGTAAAAGATTTCTGGCACGGCGGCAAGTTCAAAGCTATCATGCGTGATCGCAAGGGAAGAGAGACTGGTACATTGGAAATTGGCGTGGTTAAACCTGAGGGGGAGGATGATGATGGTGATGATTGATCGAGCCTGTGACAAACGTTTTTCCTTCGTCCTTTCTTCTGTCATCTGATGGAGGACCTGTATGCTTGTTATTCACTAAGCTAGTATGCAAGTTCACATGCCCAGCAAGTTCTGCAATTGAGCTTATTTCACGAAAGAAGGTGTTTTTGGACAAGCAACAAGAACCCACCAATGCCTCAACAGTTCTCTATTTTGGATCTTAGTTCTCACATGATTCCTAGTTAGGTTGCTGTGATATTTTGGGAACGTTGTGGTTCTTCAGAAGTCCAGACCAATGAAATCTTCACATGGCGGCTTCACCAAACTTCTTATCCTTTTCCCCCTTTTTCTTTTTTTTTTTTTTTTTTTTCCCTAGCATTGCTGTCAATAACCTCTTACTTCTATCGTTGTATACTGTGTACTCCGTATACTCTGTACATTAAGGAAGTACCTTCATGAATAACCATCTAAAGTGCATCTTTAAGCGACAAGGCTGATGGTGCAAGTAATGGCCCTTCCGCCAGTGTTCAAGCATCACAAAATAAGCTCAGCCAATGGAAGGCAGATTGCCCCAAAACATTTGTGACATCACTTCCCTTCCGCTCCGGACCCGCGCGCGCCAAAACAGGACCCGGAGGCTCCCAAACACACAGATCCCAAGGCAAATCCTACGACGATTGCCTATCAATGGACAGATATATTATCATCCAGATACTTCAGTCGATCAGCTAATACTTGCTCAATTGGTATAAACTCTGCTGTCACGTTAATTTCACCTCCACCTCTCTCCCTACCTCGTTGATGAGCGTCAACTAAAATGGGCCGCAAATCAACGACAACATCCACGAGTGGCCCGAGCCCTCGAAGACGCAAAACCACCACCAAGGCCGCATTGCCATCGCCAAAAGAGCAGAAGGCGGATTCTTGCATGCGCTCATTTCTTAAATTTGTAGTTGTGACGCTTAGCAGCCTTGGTCTCAGCACGGTGCTCTTTTCACTGAGTGTGCCAATCACACGGGGGGATCTAGCGTGGACGAGCAAGCATCTGGATTCGTGGGTACATGTTGCGGCGCTGTTGGGATGGAGGGTTCTAGAGATTGGTGCCTTGTGGGCATTGGAATATGATGGTGAGATTTCTTATGGCGTTCTGCATCTTTTGTAGGACATCCCATGTGCATGCGCGAACAAGTTCTCACTGCAGTCATAATACAGCTCGAGATGTCGCCAACTTCATCGGACTCATCAATTTTCCCACTTACATTCTGCTCTATGCCTTCTATGGCCTACGACCAACAACGATCCTCACTGTCGCTGCGATAACCATACTTTCAACCACCGCACCGTTTCTTTACTTCCGGCGCACCAACGTCATCCACACGGACTGCACTGCATACGACCGTCCTATCCTCACCGACCGTCCAACTGCAGTCTACACCACGTTCGTCGCAACAGCTATTTACACTGTCATCCTCTACATTAGCTTTGCGACGTGGCTACCTTCATTCCTGGTCACATTCTTCGAGGGTCTACCTAGCGTACAAGCCGCGCACGAAGGTGCGAAGGGTCTTATTCCGATGTTCCTTAGCCTCTTGCCCGCCGGCTCCGCGGTGCGGGACTTCCTATTCGTGAGCTCTATCGGCCAGCCTCATGCCGAGGATTCGGGCCCGGCGTACGAGGAGCGCGATGGGGAATTGTTCGTAACATCCCTGTACCGAAGGTTCTGGGTGACGCTCTCCGCGAAAAGGAAGACGTTGATTGCGCGAACGGCGCTTTTGGCGACGATTATCTTGGCGAACACTGTGGTGCAGCTTGTGGGTACGATCAGTGGTGTGGAGATGAAGGGAGCGATGGGGTGGGCTATGATCTGGATGGCTGCTACTATCGCGAATGGACTAATGTACGGATGGATCGATGCTGCGGATGGGCTGGATGGTATGGATTCTCAGGTGTCGCGGAGATGATGTCACTTCTTGACAAAGGAATGTCGTCCGTGCGCTGAGATGAGGAGCGATTGCAAGGGGCAATCATGTCCAAATAAAGGATGCACGGTTGGGGGATAGTGTCAACTATGCCACTATGTTGTCTCCCGAAGTTCGGCATTACTTACCTATTTCGACCTGAGAGAAGCACGCTTCAAGATGCCGGAGCTAGGGGGGTGGAGAAGCTTTGGTAGTCGAGCATAATACCCCGGTAAAAAGCGAGGTGGTCACCCCTGGGGAAAGCGAGGCGTTCAGTTTCGGTGTAATCTTTTGCTTATTTCCTGTTGGGTCTTTCGGATTCTAATTACAGAGTTGGTGCATCGGGAGAGGAAAGGTTGCGTGTATGTTGCAACTGGGATGCTTACTGTGACCTCCTGGTTTGCATGCATTGATCAATATTGTTATCTACTTGTTTTCTTAAAGTCTTTCCTGTTTCTTATTTTCTTTTGTTGAGTTTGTTGTTTGGCGAAGGTGGGAGATTTGTGTGGACAAGGAAGTGTGCATCCCATTCAGCATTGATACACTGTTCTTCCCTAATATTGAATGGAAAAAAATAATTATTTATTACTGAATCCCTTGAAAATGGAATGGAGGGCATGATTTGATGACGTAGTTGTTCCCTCTTCTTTTCATAACTGGAAAGTCTTGACCACAAAATATCAGACGAATAGAAGCAGGAAGCGCAATATTATCATGAGCAGAATCACAAGAATTGTTCATGAATGAACATAACGTTCAAGTCATTCGCTCTTCTATCCTGACTAAACAAGACAGGGGCTATAATAAGACAAACTGTAACAATACCCGCCATTATCACAAGAAAAGACGAAGAGGCGCTGCCAGGAAATCCCATTGATATATGCGACGAAAGCAAGGTGACCACACGATGCAAAATAACAAGCAAAGACAGAAGTTATGCCCCATTAACAAGCACAACCTTCCTTTGCCGTAGCTGCCCCGCGATCTCGGAGATTGACGCGTGTATCTTCCCCTGGTCTTCCACCTCCCAAAGCAGTGTGACCGGCACCGGCGCCAGCTCCCGCTCCTCTTGAGCTCTTGAGGCTGGTTTCCGGAATGGCATTGGCGATGGCAGTGAAAACCTCCGCAACGTTTACTCCCGTCTTTGCGCTGGTTTCAAAAAATAGAAGGCCCTCGTCGTCTGCATATGAGCTGGCTTCCTGTGTAGAGATCTTTCTTGCATCGCCAGCCGCGGTTTGATCTTCTCCTTCATTCTCACCTTCATCACCACCATCAGCGTCTGCTGCTGGCGACCCATCGACGCCTGTTGCGTCCGTGGCCGATACCGCACCCTCACCATTACCGTCATTCGTCAGGTCAAGCTTGTTACCGACCAATGCAATGACGATACCGGGGCTTGCTTGTCGCTGGAGCTCGGCAACCCAATGCTTCGCTTTTGTGAGGGAGGAAGGTTTGGTAAGATCGTAGACAACAAGGGCAGCCTGTGCGTTTCGGTAATACATCGGGGCGAGGGAAGCAAACCGCTCCTGGCCCGCGGTATCCCAGATCTCAAACTTGATTGTGCGCGTTGGGAGGGAGCATTTCTGGGTCAAGAACGCAGCTGTACAAGAAATACCCTACGTTAGAAAACTTAGGATTCCCGTTATAGGTGTGTAGCACATACCACCGATAGTGGGCTCCTTATTCTCTTGAAAGTCATTGTTCACGAATCGAAGGACGAGGGAGGACTAAGCCACGTCTCAAGTCAGTAAGGTGCTTTGCAGGCACTATCCTAGATTTCTTGCGCTGAAAATACCTTTCCAACAGCAGCCTCTCCAAGCAGAACCAGCTTAACACTGCTACTTGGCTTCGGACCGGGTGTCGCAGTAGGATCGGACATTGTGTCCTGGAAAAAGGACAATAAGTCGTGTAGAGAAGTTGAAAGGACACAGCAGAATCCAGGCCCTCTCGATCAAGAGCTAGTTATTAGGCAACAGGGCCTTGATATCCGAAGGACGACCACGCTCTGTTCTGGAGCAGGTAGGCAGAATAAAAGAGGAGAGTTGTATAAACAGGAAACTAGGAAACGGGAAACAAAGGATGATATCTAAAAAGCCAAGGACCTTTTCGATAGTAGAGTGACCTCTAGCCCAAGTGTTCCCAAGAATTTCAAAAAAAATTATAAGGATATGAATGCTGAGCACGTTGAACGAAGAGCTTCGGCGATGAACGACTGCCTACTGAGAGGTTGATGCGACGAGCAGGTGTGGAGGCCAGCGGATGCTGGCGCTTAACCTCATCGGGACTAGCATAGCCGTCCCCCAGCGTGATGACGACGGTCACCAACGCCAAGGGAAAAAAATACACGTGACCTACTGTGAGGATAGCGGCCAGGTTCGGCCGGCCAAGGGTTTGAGAGCAAGGCAGAGAAGGACGGCCAGGGAGCGATGAGGGACTGGCTGACTCTGAGCATTTTATGGCTACGGGCACATGGCCGCCGGGATTGCGCCTGCGGAAAACCCGTTCCGCCCCCGAAAGCCGAAATTCTTGTTTCGAGGCTCTGAAACAGTCGTGCCTTGCTGACAGGTTACACGCGAGCGGAGATTAAAATGGGAGAGCGATTTATAAGACCACTGATGACAGATAAAAATAAAACAAGCAGTCACATTGTCATTATTATCAAGTGCGGCCCCTTGAAAGGAAACCAAGATGAAAGAGGGAAATAGGGAATATAGGAAAATTCTACCTAAAGGGACATGAGGAGATCCTGCTCCAATCTTCAGAGAAAGGGGAATCGTTAATGCGTATCTTTCAAAATTCACAGAAAGGCCCGACAAAGGAAAAAGGAACTAGAAAAGCAATGCAGAATACCGAGGCACCAACACCTCACCCGGAACAAAACGAGCGATTCCTGGCGCCTGACCGATGATTTGCCCACACCCACATTGCTAGTAGTGTTGTACAGAGTGTAAAGCACAAAACAGGATTAAAAAGTCGCTGAAATGCGGGCGAAAAAAGGAGATTTTGTATAGAAAACAGGGTGAGGAACGGAAGTGGCTGCGAAGCCAAATGAAAATCTAATAAATCTTGCTGGTATATGCTGCCAACCCACAAAGCAAAAAAGGAAAGCAGACAAAGCAACAGATGACCCCCAGCCGTCTATGTTTTAAAAACGCCGGAAAAAACAGATGTGTCATTCTGGTATCACAATGGGGGAGAAGCGAGATAAAATCGATGTATGGGTCGTTCGGATAAAAAAGACATGCGAAAAGGTTGGAAAACATTCAAGACGAGATACGGAGTAATGGCGATACGGAGGCGATGCGAGGCAAGCTATTAGAGGAACCGTATTCGGCAACGGGGAATATTAGGCGTAAACCAGGCGGTGCGACTCCTGGCTTTTGGAAACGTATGTTGATTTGACACAATCGTAAGCAGCGCTGACGAAGAAAGCACCGGCGGAAAAAAGAGACGTGGCACATGGTTCGACCAATTGCATTCGTCCGGTATGTTGAAAGAGTTGTTTTTCTGCGGGTTGTGCCGCATCAAAAGAATGGCGTTGAAGGACAAAAAAATTTCGATTATTATAAGAGATATATTTTGGGCGCTGCACAATTGAGTTCGGATCGATGAGTTACCGTGGTTTCGGTGGTTGTTGCGGCTTGGGGACACCCGTCGTATCGTATGCACCACGGCCCATATTTGTTGCCGAGAGATCTCTGAGTATCATGACAGAATTCTGCGACGAGTATATGATTAGCTCCTGCTTCAACATATCCGCCAACGGATGAATAATTCGAATTTAAAACCCAACGATCTTCGTAATTGACCACTCACCTATAAGAGCAGCAGTGCAATAACACCAAGCAAGCAGCAGCAACAGCTATTCGCTGCGGACGGACAATGCAGGTGGAGAAAGCGACGGACGACTGAAACAGGGCGTAATATGACGGATAGGAGCAAATACAGATCCGGACGGAGGTTCGATTCCGCAATGGACGAACACACACCAAAGCAGGCTTGGAATCCCTTTCCTTCTGTCGTCAAGATGCCGCAGGGTAGTAGGGCAATGATTTCGTAACGAATGGCGAGGATACGTAAAAATGTATCCAGGATCTGATTGGCAACCGCTGGGCAGGATGCTGGAACCGAGGCACTGACGCTTTGGGTGGCGAGAGTGGTGTGGAGTAGTATTAGATAGCAAGCAGGAGTGGCGGAGATGAGGAACCAGCTTCAAGGGCCCAAAAAGGATGCCGACGGAGGGTGAATCAAAAATATCAAGAAGGGGAAGAAAAGGTCTCAACCGAGCCAGCGGGAGGGCGGAAGGATGTATTAATACTATCAAGACTAGTCCAGAGTCCATACGAAACAGCAATCTTGTTCGACTGGCACCCCTATCCCGGCTCAGACAACTAAAATAATATTTTTTTTTTCTTTGCTTTTTGACTTTTTTTTTACCTGTCATTATTTTAGTTGGGTTAGGGATTAGTGTTCTTTGTGCCTGGATGTATTCTTGGAAAAAGGAACCCTGTGGATACCTGCCGTTGGAGACTAATTACGGTAGAGACTTGTAACGCCAATAATGTCCTCTACACCCCGTAGTAGCTCCGTAGTAAAAAAAAAAAAAAAAAAAAATATTTTGGTAATATTTCCATTTTCAACGGAGTATGTTGATTGCTTTTCTTTTTGTCCTCCTCTCCCGCCGAAGCTGTGCATCTCGCAGGCAGTCGAGCTGTCAAGCCGTTAATTTTAGAATTGTGACAGCTCCTCCAGTCCCCTTTGCGATGCAGCTTGCTGGAGCCCTTTGGCTGTGCCGCCATACTCCAGACATTTGTGACCCTCCCACTCCGCAAAAGAGTCCTTTGATTGGAATCTCTCAGATTGTCCAGATAAGGTTTTAAACAAATAGACGCAACGCATCCTGCCTTGCGAGAGTTATGCAGCCTTGAATAAGCAACTAAGAGCGGGCAGACTCCCGAAACAAATCACAGGGAGCTTTCCTTGGATCTGCCTAGGCTTTGGAATTTCTTTGGCCAACGAGGTTACGGCCAATCGAGTTTTTCACGTTTTCCTTTTTTTTTTTTTTGGTCAATAAATGAGAGTCATCATTTTTGCCCTATCCGGTGCAACCAATACAGACATGCAGTCTAGGAGACAGCCAGTCACCGTCACCCTCTTTCATCTTAATTAGCTCGCGCGAGGGTGATTCTAGCTTGTTTTCTAGGCCTTCCGCTAGGTGGATCCTGATGGGCGCTATCCGGAAAATGGGATGCTAGTCCAGTGTTTCAGGACTACCTAGCCAGGGGTTCTGCCCTTGTCAGAGGTTGTTAGGGCTGCTTGTCTGACGGTATCATCAGCACTAGTAATCAAGGCAGGCGGCAAAGTCCTTACACACATTCTCGACATTGATCCAAGCCAGGCACGGAGATCGCGTTCTCAAAGTGTCTAATTATGTATGTAGATGTGCTATTCCTGACAAGATGGCACCTGCATAACTATCTAACGATGGTGCAGGACAAAGACCCGGGGTAGTGACATAGAGCAAGCGATCTTCTTTGTTAGACGGGCAGCCGTAACATAATTACATCTAGGTTACCAATCCTAGGAGCTGGGAGTTGTGCCACTAGTAAGATTGAATGCTACCCACCCATGTTTTGGACCGTCACTTACGGTATTGTAAGACAAGCTTGCACCCGAGAAGATCAATGCCAAATCGACCTTCCAGAAATGACGGGAGATCTCGACGCCAGCTCCAGACTGACCTCAACATCAAACTGCAAGAGGAACTTATTCTCTCCCAGCCCACAGATGGGTCGCTGATCCAATGCTAATACTGCATCATAAAAGGCGGGTCGGTTTGGTTGGGAATCCACTGATTGACTTGGTTCCCCGCCAACGAAGCAAACAGGATGCGGGAGCAGGAAAGCGTTGAGCAACCAGAGCCGCGGATGCTCCTCGGTTTGCAGAACAGCCCGTTTATGGTGGCTGCTTTTATTCTGTTTGAACAACTATTATGGACTCCTACTTCGTATTTTCTTTTTTAATTTTAAAGAAAAAGAAGCTCTAGCTCCGTCTGCGGCAGCTAGCCACGGAACGCCTCTCACGAGGGAGCCTCCCGCTGGTTCCCTTCCCATGATCGCGAGTCATGGTCAGGATCTGGATCCAGGAGCGTCGATGAACCGAAACGTCATCTGCCCGCCCAAACAGTAGTGCGGATGGCCCAGAATCAGAGTTGCCCGCAGATATCAGTAGCCAGCCAAGCTCAGTGCAACTCTCAAAATAGGAAATGGAGTACTCCGTACGGAGTAGTGCTGCTGGTTTCCTCTTGCAACACTTCAACCGTTGACAGAAATCCTAGATGTGGCATATTCCCATGAGTTATATCCAATTTTATGCACCCATGTTGCAGGGATGTCACAGTTAACACGTGGCATATGCATGATCTCGCCTATACGGGTCCGCATCATTCCTTGAGAGAGAGCTTTTATTCCTCTTGTACTATGTACAGAGTACAGAGGAGGTTTCTAGACGCGACCCTTAGTCTTTTTACCCCTCCTTTTTTGAACGATCGGCAAAGGCAAGCTTGAAATATCGCATCGATTTTCGAATTCGGCACTGTTTCCAGAGGAGGCGACGTTCTCGTCCTTATCCAAATGAGATGGTCTGGTCTCGAAATTACAGCTTGGCTTTCCGGGGTCATACGCATACCAAACACGATGCAACCCACCCCCTGCTTCAATCCACCTATAACATAACGTGAGTCAGAAGATCATGAATTTGTTTCCGTTCATTCAGGCAGCACTATTAGCCTACTCAGCACGCCGATGTCCGGCTCAGAGCGAACCGCTGCAAGTTTCCGCCCCAGAAGCTGGTGACACACTAGGTCGGCGATCCACGCGAAATAATCACGTGGTATTCCAGGTTGGGTTAAGGGACTGCCCGCTGCCGGCCAATCATGCGGCTGCACTACTACCCTGGTTATACAGGCGGCTCCGCCATGCCGTGTGGTTCCTTTTCGGGTCCATGTTGCGTGCCCTATCAGCGGAAAGATCGTAGGCACCGAATCCACTGGTCGCACGTCTAGAAACGCACTAGAAGCTTATGCGGCACGGTCAGGATGGACGCGTGTAGACAACAACCAAGGCCGCCTCTCGCCCGGATTTTGAATTTTTTTTTTTTTCTTCTTCTCTTGTCTAACCTCCCGACGACAGGAGCATCAGCACGGGATGGCGACGCACGCTGAGCTTGGAGTAACTCCTCTAACACGATTTTTTTTTCCTGGGGAGTTCATCATCTGTACCGGGTAACCTGGCATCCAAACATACGTGGCTGAATATGGCTTGGGAGCGAAGGAGTTAGCGTAGACGGAGTCCTCCGTCCTCGGTGCAGTTCTCTTCAGCGCGCCGGTCGGACAGTATTCCCGAACGACAGATTCAGAAGCTTCCTACCTAACTACCGTCTTCACCCAACGCAAGAAAGCCCTGATCAAGAATGTCATCAACGGTGGCTATTTGTTGCAGAAACTAGCGAGCATCCCTTCATTGGTTTTGCTCCTGGCCAACATCATTGACAGATGCACTGGGGCCTTTCAAATCCATCGGTTGCACGCTGTCCCTGTAATAGTTGACCCACGATATCGTAATATTTTGCTAATCCAGGACATATTGAACAGGATAACGCCTGTATATACACGGGTATCTTATTTAGGGGATGATCTATCTCTTATCTTTTTTTGTACGAGATGCCATTCGAGCGAATGTTCTCAGCGTTTCTCATAGTCTCAAGTTCGAGCGTTTCCATCGCTGATATGTATCCAAACTCGGCTTACGGTTATTAATATCAGCCCGTTTGATACCAAGTCGATCCCGGTTTTGGTCGCCAAGCCTTCCTGGCTGTCTGAAAACACAGGTCTAGAATTCTTGCAGTTCGGCCTGATACAAGCCTCTGGCGCTTGCTAGCATGATTTCAGTCTGGGGCAGGCTAGGACTCACAAAATCTGCGCCACCGAAAAAGCATATCAAGTTGAAAATGAATTTTGAATACGGCGAGTCATCGCGTATGGGCAACTTAAATTAATTTACAGCAAATTACACTGAATCGTCGATTTCGTCTGAGGCTCTGTTGCCTGCATGGACGCTCAGGCGAAATTTGAAATCTTGAAAGTGTCGAGTATTTGAGATTGTTCGATAGATGGGAAGTATGGACGGGAAGACGGTCTAGATTCGGGAACTCAAAAGTTACCGTTTGAAGTGGTCGTCATCTCTCTCGCAATGCGAGTCGCAATCTCCTCGGCCAGATTATCCAGGGAATGGACGTGAAACAAAAGGCGTCTGCGATTGGCTTGCCTACGAGAAACACATCTCTTACCCCAGCAACCCAAAACCGCATTATGACATTGACCCTTTTTGCATTTACGATTGTGGTGGGAAAATTGCTTCGACCTAATTCAAGGTTCGAAGTCATCATGGGAGGCGTGCTGATTTTCCCATACCAAATTGTGGGGAGGGAACTCCTGCGGACGTCCGCCTTCGCTCTGATATCTCAGCATGCCTCCCACCCCAAGCCTCAATAAAAACTCCATACATACGGTCATGACAACGTCGAGACACTAGACTGTTGGTACCAAGAAGTACTCAATATGTACCACTCCAAAACAGGATTTGAATCCTATTCTTGCTCAGCCTAACAGCGGGGATCAACGTAAGACAACAGCGCTCTTCCCATGTCTCTGATGTTTGGCTGGGAGGGGCGGGAAGTCCTCCTGGGATTGTGAAGAATTTACCAATCGTTCCGGTTGGTCAAGAAGAAGGAACGCGACGTAGATTCACTAAATCCTGCGTGGGTTTAGCCCCATTCCCGATGGGGTGGTTGTTGGAATGGGCGAGATTGTAACGAACGAGGTTCATCAAGGTTTGTCTGAGCATCCAGGGGAGTAAATTTTAAGAGAATTGCTCAACAAATTTGGAATTTGCAGAACGGAGTGCGCCTTGGCTCGGTATGCGCTAGATTGGATCAGTTCGTTTAGGCCCTCCCCTTGCCTTCCGGTCTGCGGACCAGGAGATCCAGGTGGCGATGACCTATATCAGAGGAGAATTTAGACGAGCGGCCCGTTTTCCGACAAGCCTAAAATCCTTCATAGTCCCCATTTTTTCCTCTTGGTCAAGCTGCGGAAACGCGCCGTTTGCCCTTGATCAGGGTTGAAGTGGTGGTCCAAGGAACCGGGTCACCTCTAATCAGTGGGGATCTGGTGGAGCGCGAGTGACCATTTGGATTTTGAATTTCGATAGATTGACTTGACCTGACGATCGATTTTCCTTTTAAAGAGGGCTTTTTTCCAACGACTGGTCGTTGATACCGAGCACGAAGAATGTGGCCCCTTCCGCTGGCCGCGTGGGAACCTTAAAAAGCCAGGTGAATCAGAGGGCCTGATCCCCGAATCCCCGAGCAGCATATGTAGTGGTCGTGGACCTTTCTTTTCTTTTCCCTTTCCCACCCAAGCCCCAAAAAGAATCGTGGTGGGAACCGCTTTGATAGTTTCCGGTTGGCTGGGATGATCGTAAAACTCGCATTCATCCCGTCTTCTGACTCCTGGTCAGGCTGGAGATGGGTGAATAGCTTATCTGTTTATTGAAGCGGAAGCGGAAACCCCTCCGCGAAGTCACTTGCTCGTTATCTGCCACGACTTGCAAGCTCCGGAGCTCGATCAACTCTAACCAGATTGCTGGGACAAACGCCTGGGACTTTCCCCCGGTTGACATAGTGAAGTACATAGTTGACCAAGGGAAGACAATTGCTCGACCTTCACATCTGCGAACAGAACAAGAGGTCCCAAGAAATTGCCGGTTAGTTTAATTAATTTTTCTGGAGAGATCACGGACGCGAGCATCCCTATATTCTACAGAACTACTCTCCATCATCAAGTTGCTGGGCCCCAAACGGTGGTTGGAGCCTATTTTTAACCGGGAGGTGACCACACTTTCAATCCTTTTGAGTTATTACGTCGGCAAGGCAGAGTGTCTTTAGGAAAACAGATTGTCACTCGTGGGCAAATTTCCCAAATATACGGAGCACTCTCCCTATACTCCGTACTCCGTACAACCAGCCATAGCGCTTGGTAACCCACTTGCCAGAAGGTGTCATTTTTTTCTTTTTTTTTTATCTCCCAAAAAAGATGGAAATGAAGCTCAAAATCCCACGACATGAGAGGTCCAAAGAACTAACATCGAATAACAACTAGTTAGCTGAAGTTACATTTGATAGGTGTCGGTGAATTTCTGTCGGCCGAACCACATTCCAACTATTAAATAGTTACTGCGAACACGTCGAATCTGATCTATGATGCTGCCTTGGTGACCGCATATCTCCGTGAGTTGAAGATCAAGGGCGTGAAGCCAACAAACCGGGTGTGGCAACCCGCCTTGACTCTTTCCGCTGTGACCTGTCAAGTTCGACTGGTCTTTACTAGTCAGTTGCCCCGCCAAAAACTTCTCGATCTATGGAAAGCACCCCGGCGTGGGTTCTGTCGATCGGTTTTTTATTCCGTACCTGATTTTGTAGTTCCGCGCCAGAGCATACTAAAGAATAACAACGACGAGAAGACGGTTTCGGGCTTCGAAGATGCGTCGCAGCAATGCACGATGCGTTTGATCGATTAATATTTTTTTTTCTTTTTCTATTTTGTGAAAGCCAATGCGACGCAAGGCGGAGCACTCCCGTCTGCTAGGCACATACGGAGTTCATAGTACGTGTGTTTGTACGTCGGGAGTCCGTTTGCCCTAGTCGAGCGATATTCGTTCTTTATCTGGAGAAAGAGAACAGGAGGGGGTACCTGCAGCAAAAGACGCTTGCATCGGGACAGTGCAGAACTGGAAACGCTGCTGGCGATCGAAGCTCTATCAGTACTCCATACAGATCATTTGTTGATGGAGTGCACACGCCACATGGCTTAGTGGCGCAGACTGCCTTTGTGAGATGTTTTTCTTCTCGCAAGTTTGAGATGCGACGTTCGTTGATTGCTGTCTGGCCGGTGTACAGCGAAAAGACGCATGGGACAGGAATAGATCCTAACCGTGCCTTTGTGACATAAACCGCAGAAATACCGAGGATACGCTTCTGGGATTCTATATAGGGACTTGTATGGTAATCGTTGGTGCTTTCTTGCTCAAGCCATTGCGTGTCAGGCCCCAAAATCCCTCCGGGCACAGACACCGTTAAGAAAAGCTCCAACTTCAAGGCTAAAAAGCATGAATTTCTTTATTACCAAGGCAGTATTTACAAGCATTACGAGGTACGGAGTACCCGCGATGTGAAATGAGTGGTCTCATCAGCACTCTTTCTGCTTCCGCTAGTACCCTGCCATTTGGCACCAGAGGCAAACAAAACCATTATGCTTAAGTCAATCCTCAGAGCACCCAGCGATCAAAACTTGCCCGATCCTTGGAAGTAAGCCAAATTATTTCCATTTTTGATGGTAATCATCCATTGTGTGAATGGCGTTAGCTGGGCATAATTTATCAACGAGTACGGAGTAGGCTGGCATGAATGATGATCTAGGCCCCTTCCCTCTTTTCAGTGATGGTGTACCTGATACCTGATATCTGAATCCCTTGTATCTACGTACTTACGTACAATGGCTGATTTGTAGGAGTCTTCTCGCCCTAGGTATCGGTGGACGGGTCTAGATGTCGAGATTACCGATTCAGCCTCCGCCACACCGTCATGGAGTGCTTCGAGCCTGAGAACGATGTCCCGTGGAATTACCTCGACTGTTGCAAAGCGAAGGTGGCACCCTTCTGAATGGACCGGCTCGGACATAGAAACCAAGGTAAAGTGAGAATCGATCCCAATTTGCGGAAGAATTTGCGTCGTATAGAGAGACAAGCACGCCATCGCGAACCAATCTACTCTTAGGACTGTCGGTACAATGCGATCCTCGTTGAGGTTACAAAAACAGACATGCGGGTGGTCAACATGGTGCCAGCATGGGCTAATGAGTAACCACACTCCGCTTCGAAAGCATGCCGCTCATCGAGTATTGTGTTCTTTTCCGGGAGTGCCAGAATCGCTAATGTAGGCCCTACGTTTTCCCAAGTATAGACACTTTATTGTTGAGACTGGTGGACATGGCGATCCATCCACCTAAGACAATCAGCAACATTGGTGTTTTCCCAGATAGCAATAGCCAATATGGCCCAATGAAACTATGGGGTCAAGTCCGTTGGTGATGAGCTCCAGAAGTTGCGCTTGAAGTTCTTACTACATATTGTTGAGATGTGATCCATAGTTATTCTTGCCACTGAATATGTGCAAGAAGAATCATTGTCTGGTTTGATCTAGCATGCTGGTGATATATGGCTCAGTAAAGCTACAAGTGTTATAAGTTATCTTCAGCTTGTTGGCTATTACTCGGCTGATATTGAGAAAGGGGGTAAAGGGTGTTGATTAAGAAGCTCAAGCATTCAAACATTATAGTAAAGTAATGGTGCGTTGTCCACATTCAGGGAGGGTTATTAACACATTGATGTGCCATCTCATACTATAAAGTGATATTAGTGAATGGATAGAAGAGATACTTGAGGATAGTGGGTACAATATACCTCTTCATTGGTTTGGCAAACCAAAATTGCAGGGCTTTGGCTAGATTTTTCAGAAATATCGATTACAGTCAATGCATTATCATAGAAACCCTTTGAGTTCTTCCGCTGACAAATGGAGAGACCGAGACACCGGCATTTCTGTACGATGGCTGCTCGAAGCATTGCGCTTCTCTCCCCAATCCCGCCGGCAAACACAACCGCATCAACTTCACTATCCAACTTAACAAAGTAGCTTCCGATAAAACCAACAATGCGGTCGACAAATATATCAAATGCCAGCTTGTGCATGTCGGTTTCTGGACTATCTGTCGCGATTTTGGAGAAATCGGTTGTGCCTGCAATGGCCCCCCACCCGGCTTGTTTGTTGAGGATCTCTTCAGCCTAGATCATTTAATATCAGCGAAATGCCTGACAATATATGAATTTTATTATTGTATACATGTACATACCTGCGTAATGTGCATGTCTTTTGTGCTTGACGAACTTAATTTGCAAGCTTCAGATGTATAGTGGAATACGAGCCTGAGGAAATAAGCACACTAGGACATGGCGATAAAGGTGCAATGGTACATACGTCGGATCTATGTCTCCGCTTCGCGTGGCGCCGGGCAAGCCAGAAAGGGGTGTAAGACCCATTCTGCACGAATGTTGGTCATAAACATTTCTTCTTAGGATGTTCGATTCGGACATCACTCACGAGGTATCAATCGACTTTCCGCCTCTAATTGCGCAAACAGATGCGCCGCTTCCAAGATGAAGTGCAATGATGTTTGTCAACTCCACTGGCTTTTTGAGGAACTCCGCGACGGAGCGTAAAATGAAGCTGTAGCTGATTCCATGAAAGCCATATTTGCGCAGCCAATTGGACCTGGCAACTTCTTGATGAATGGGATACGCCTTAATGTAATCTGGTAACGACTGGTGGAACGTTGTGTCAAAGTAGGCCACGCTTTTGGCTCCCGGAATTTCATTAAGACATGTTCGAGTAATATCCAATGATGCCGTATTGTGTCTATCCAATCGAGTAAGCATAAATGCCCCCCGAAAATCCAGCATCTCATACATACAACGGGGCAAGGTCCTGCAACGCTTCGAGGTAGCTAAATGTATCTGTGTTGATCACCGCTTCACGAGTAAAATCACCGCCGTGCACCACACGATGGCAGATATATGCGAAGTCATCTTTACTGCTAATTATGGTCAACTTGGGGTCATTGAGAAAATGGGTCAAAAGGTATGTAAAGGCCTCCTGCGGAGTGTCAATCTTCTCATCGACCTCCCGCCTCTGTTTGGTGTGGCCGTGCGAGTACTTGAATGTACGTGGCGGTGCAGTGATCCCAGCTACTTTGGCTGTCGCTATTTTCCTTGGCGGCCTGTGGCGGTCGAAGATGGTGAGGCCGACGGACGACGTGCCCGCGTTGATTGCAAGAATCAACTCTCCCATGCTGCTGATGGCTTTTATGATGCGCATCGGAAAATCAGCCTCTTTCCCATCGTTCAAATATACCCTACGCTCCCCCTGTCGTCTCACATCGCTACCCGTCCTAGATTCCAACTTTGTGATGTCAGCAGCCGAACACTGTGACGTATGGGCTGTGGAATGCCTTGATATTACCAATGTTTCTGTAGCAAACATGGCAGCCTCAATTGCCTCTATTGGCGATGGTTGATAGAAGCTAGCTATGTCTATATCTACTCGTATTGCGGGCACTTTTATTTGGACGCTACACACTATATGAACCGAAGCTCTGCAAGATAGCTCCCAAGAAGTACCCCGTACCAGTCATACGGATTCATCAGCGAAGATGCCTGGGGAAGTCATCGATAAACCAGATCCGAAGGCACTACCTTCGCATTTGCCTTCCTCACTTGATGAGTTGATAGTTCGCCTTCAAGTGTCACCCCTGAGCAAGGATGCACTTGATTCGCTGGTCAAATTCCGTCGAACTGCGGACTATATCGCAGCAGGTGAGGGCTGCGGACCTACCAAATTTTGTAACTGAAGCTAAACGACACCAAGCGATGATATTTCTTCGAGATAATGCGTATCTCAAGCGTAAGCTGACGTTTGATGATGTTAAGCCACGGTTATTGGGTACGTCGAAATAAGCTCGGCAAAGTCCCCATTGATAAGATGCTTATACCGTTGAAAGGCCACTGGGGCACCTGCCCTGGTTTAAATTTTATCTATTCCCACCTCAATTATTTGATTTGTGAACATAACCTTGACATTCTGGCTGTTATCGGCCCTGGTCATGGAGCGCCGGCCCTTCTTGCCTGTCTCTGGATGGAGGGCTCCCTGGAGAAATTCTACCCCGATTATTCTCGAGATACGAGTGGTCTCACAAAGTTGATTACTACTTTCAGCACTACGGGTGGATTCCCAAGGTTGGCTCTCTTTATGCCCCGATGTTAGTTCTGAGTGCTGATTCTGACAGTCACATCAACGCGGAAACCCCTGGAGCGATACATGAGGGTGGTGAACTTGGCTACGCTTTGGCTGTCTCATTTGGAGCCGTAATGGATAAGCCAGACATGATTGTCGCCTGCATTGTAGGCGACGGCGAGGCTGAGAGTGGGCCGTGCACCGCGTGAGTAAATCTTTGCATTCCAAATTGAGTGGGAGATCCTGACTGTGATAAAGGAGTTGGCATTCCTATAAGTACATCGACCCAGCGGAGTCTGGTGCTGTCATCCCAATCCTCCATCTCAATGGGTTTAAAATAAGCGAACGCACAATATATGGATGTATGGATGACAGAGAGCTGCTTGCGTTGTTTTCTGGTTTTGGTTACCAAGCCGTAATTGTTGGAAATCTAGATAATATCGATGCGGAATTTAGCACTGCTCTGAACTGGACGCTATCAGAAATCCGGATAATTCAGAATGCTGCCCGATCCGGTAAACCAATTATGAAACCGCGGTGGCCAATGATCATTCTTCGAACACCCAAGGTAGGTCTCTTTTTGGAACAATCCATTGTCTATCCATTTGTTCCAAGCTAACCCTTATTCATAGGGATGGACGGGGCCTAAGAAGATCCACGGCAAGATTGTAGAGGGTTCATTCCATGCACATCAAGTCCCGCTCCCTGCGGCAAAGAAAGATGGCGAAGAACTGAATGCTTTGCAAGAGTGGCTGTTATCTTATAAGCCAAATGAACTGTTTCAAGAGAATGGAGATGTCACTGACGAAATAAACTTCATCCTTCCGAAAGAACATTCACAGAGGATGGGCCAGCGGCCGGAAGCCTACAAAAGTTTGCAAAAGATTGCCATACCAGACTGGAAACAGTTTGCTGTGGATACAGGCTCTCATGAGAGTTCCATGAAAACCATTGGAAGGCTCATTGATCAGTTATTTCTGGACAACCCTCATAGTGCGCGATTATTTTCTCCGGATGAACTTGAAAGCAATAAGTTAGATCAGGCTCTTGCGCATACGATTCGGAATTTCCAGTGGGACCAATTTTCGAATGCGAGAGGCGGACGAGTCATAGAAGTACTCAGCGAACATATGTGTCAGGGGTTCCTTCAGGGATACACGTTGACTGGGCGACTTGGAATATTTCCATCTTACGAGAGCTTTCTTGGAATCATCCACACAATGATGGTGCAATACGCCAAATTCAACAAGATGGTAAGCTTTGGCCTCTCAGCATCGTGCTCGTCATGAGCTTAAGTACCGTCCTAGAAGTAACGCTGCGCTTTCTAGGCTCGAGAAACGACATGGCATCGAGACTTATACAGTCTCAACTATATCGAGACGAGTACTTGGACCCGCCAAGAGCATAACGGATTTTCTCATCAGAATCCATCGTTTATTGGGGCAGTACTGAACCTGAAACCGGATTATGCACGGGTCTACCTCCCGCCTGACGCAAATACGTTTCTTTCTACGTTGGCTCACTGCTTGAAGTCGAAAAATTACGTAAATCTTATGATTGGTTCTAAACAGCCAACTCCCGTGTATCTGAGTGCAGAGGAAGCCGAGAGCCACTGTCGAGCAGGTGGTTCTGTGTGGAAATTTGCTAGTACAGATGATGGCTTGGACCCAGATGTCGTGATTGTTGGGATAGGTACGGAGCTCACATTTGAAGTTATCCAGGCAGCGGCTATGCTGAGGAAGCGCGTTCCCGAGCTGCGGGTTCGCATGGTCAACGTGACAGACCTGATGATCCTCGGAGTAGAGAATAGACATCCTCATTCTCTTTCTGAGGAAGCATTCGAAGCACTTTTCACTCCAAATGTCCCAGTGCATTTCAACTACCATGGCTACGAGACCGAACTGAAAGGGCTTTTATTCGGGAGACCTAAGCTGCACCGCGTGAGCATCGCATCGTACAAGGAAGAAGGAAGCACGACCACCCCATTCAACATGATGTTGGTTAACGGAGTCTCTCGCTTCCACGTTGCTAAAGCTGCCGTCAAAGGTGGCTCGCTGCGAAATGAGAGGGTTAAGCTCAAATATCAGGAGCTCCTCACTGAATTCGACCATGAGATCAATTCGCTGAGCCAGTATATCCTCGAAAACCAGAAAGGTAAGCCAGTCGTTCGGGTTTGCATTGACGTTGGCATTTTGCAGTCTTGGAATGCCAGCTAACGCGCTTTAGACCCGGACGATATGTATGATATGCCAAAGTTCGAATAGGATGTAATTTCAAGCCGTCTCTGCACACTCCGTAGTACATATTAGCTAGCTTGCCTGTAATGGAATATTCGCGATGTTCAGAACTGATTTTCTGTGGCTGGTTTTTAAAGGGATGGGACTGAAGTCACGGGACCCTCACTTTCCAGCATCACGCTAGACGCCTTAGCTAAGACTTCCACCTTACCGGATTCGGTAAGGGCCCGATTCGTCTAAGCGAGGGTCCCACGAAACAAAACTGCCTGGAGCGAAGAAGACGGCCAGCACGGCGCAAACCTCACCTCGACGGAACACCGACCAGCTCTTCCTCACCTCGTTCAGCCAATCTCCGCCGAGTCCGTTAACGACAAAGGGAAAGCAGCAGCAAAGCGGTTGTGCTGTTTTTCCTCATATCGTTCCTGTAACCATGGCTGCCCTCAACAAGATCGCTGCCAACAGCCCGTCCCGGCAAAACCCTTCAGAGCTCGAGACCTCTTTGGCCAATGCTCTCAGCGATTTGGAGACCAATACCCCCGATCTGAAGGCTGCTCTCCGTCCGCTGCAGTTTGTGTCTGCTCGCGAGGTAAGGGAATTGGAGTTTTTATTTTTGAAGCTATGCGGAGAAGAGGAGGGAAATGAAAAAAGAATCGGATATTGCTGAGCAACGGCGAATGGCTGGCCTCCGGGCTTCCGGCTTGATGAAAATATTCCGGATGCAGTAGGATATATGGAAAGAGTGACATCGAGCTTGGTCGACGCATTCTCTCCGGGCAATTTATCGAATTATTTGGACTTGCGCGCTGATGGTTTATCTGATATAATAGATCGAAGTTGGTCACGGAAAGAAGGCTATTGTTATCTTCGTCCCAGTTCCTCTTCTCCAGGGATTCCACAAGATCCAGCAGCGGTATGTGTGCAAATACTGGAATGATTTCGATATTCCAGCATCCTAGCTCTCGCGCTATCCTTAAAAGTCTCCCCCGCAACGCACGCATCTCGTTATGGACTACAGAACTAATTAGAGATGGAAATATAGCCTCACCCGGGAACTTGAGAAGAAGTTCTCTGATCGCCAAGTTATGATCATTGCTTCTCGCCGCATCCTTCCCCGCCCCAAGCGCTCCAGCCGCTCCCGCACCAAGTTGACCCAGAAGCGCCCCCGCTCCCGCACTCTCACCGCTGTCCACGATGCCATCCTTACAGATATCGTGTACCCAGTCGAGATTGTTGGCAAGCGTCTCCGAACAAAGGAGGACGGCAGCAAGATCCTCAAGGTTATCCTCCACGAGAAGGAGCGTGGTGGTGTTGACCACCGCCTCGACGCATATGGTGAAGTCTACCGCAGATTGACGGGCCGTGGTGTGGGTTTTGAGTTCCCCCAGAGCAGCGCTGTGGAATACTAGACAGTTCCATTTTGTGTGATTTTCCGCTTTGCTGTTCTTTAATGGAGAGAGGGTTGGGCCCGGGTTCCTTATCTGTGGGGGGGTGAAGATGATGGATAGGAAGCCACAAAAAGGTTGGAACGGCATGACAATACATGGAGCACGGTTCTAGATATGGAGATCTTCTTACCCTTTCTTCTGCCCTTTTCCCCTTTCTCCTACGACCGTTTGTTCTATGTGTATTGTCTGCATACTACTTTATTGTATTGAAATACATTGACGAGTCCAACGTACAATGTCAAGAAAGGGATTATTGAACCATCCGTCCTTACCCAGCGATATCCGGCTCTGCTCCAGCCCACTAAGTCTCTCCGGATTTCAATAGGGTATCTCAACGACCAAAATTCAGGAGTAAGTTAAGCAAATCTACCTTTCACCCGCACCGCTAGCGACGATTCTCCCGACTCCCAGCACCGTCCAATATGCTAGCTCCCGCTTTACCATCTCCACATCGGTTTTCTTACTACCTGGCTTTGAAGACAGGTTCAAACCTTCATTGACCCCCTCTGCTTCCCATTCAAGTCTCACAAAGATAGGTATCTCAAGAATATCTTCATCCTCAGTTAGTCCACTTTCACCCAGGTCAGCCAGTGATCCCGGGACCACTTCCATAGCCACTGTAGACCAGTTGCGGCCCTTATCCCAGACTTTTCCCGCTTCCGCAACTTTTTCCACACCCGATCTAGATGAGCGTGGATCTGGGGCGCTACTAGATTGGAGCGCTTCGTCCCACACGTCGGTGTTCGCGCCTACTTCGAATTCCGGGCATAGAATAGTGACCCTCGAAGCTACACGGCCGGGGGTCACCGATGGCGTGGCGAGAGTAACACGGATTGGGTCGAACATGTGATTTTTCAGGGTAAGGAGTAACTGAACTGGTTTGAATGGCTCAAGAGCGTCGAGGTTGACGGGTGGTGTTGGCGGCAACGGGACGATGGGTCGTAGGTTAGTTAGGGGTATGTAACTGATTGCGATGAGACGGATGCGGAAACGTGTAGATTGAGGTTTAAACTCAGGTTTAACGAGTATGTGCTTGCAGGCTTTGCAGCGTTTCGACCTCTTTGTGCGGAGAAAGGCGGGGAGAGGGCATAGATCATCCACAAACCGCGTGCCTGGTAGCTGGAATAATCGTTGCTCCATTGAGGCAAGCCCGTCCCAACCTTCCGTGGCCATCTTTTGGACTGTAGCGCTTTCTGCTCCTGCAGGTGGGATATGTAATCCTTCGGATTGCGTCAGGGCTTCACGCATGACGGGTGGCCTAGATTTGGCCTTTTTGGCGCCACTGCCGTGCAATCCACCCAGGCCTGAGGCATATAGTGACATTATACGACTGAGTGCACTCGGTGAAGAGTACGAGCCAAGTTCTGGTCCAATTAATGGGTCAGGTGACGAAGTAGTCTCTGCAAGCTGACTCCGATAGAAGGATTTTAATGCTGCAAAGCGGGCATCGTGGTTGAGAGACGATTGGCTATCCTCAGAGAGAGCGCCCTGCGTTTGATGCTCGTCCTGGGGGCTAGGCCCATCTGCTATATCCTGCAAGGAAGAAAAACTGGACAGCGGTGATCTCATGTGCGACGGTCTAGCAATCGATTCTCGCCGATCAGTTCCCTTGAAGATGGAAGACAGCTGGGAGCGGATATTTGTTGGTTTATCAAACTTAATACCAATATCGAGAGTGGTCCACATGCAATAGCTGCACGTTAATATCCAGGGGCCATTCTGCGAGCTGCCATTCCCGTCGCCGTTCCCGACAGTGGATACAGCCAAAGGGGACGTACATATAGGGCAATTGAAACAGTTGCGTGTGCATCTAACCATGAGTGCGATTAGCTATCCCGTCTTATCACGCGTTGATCTCGAATTCCAACCTGTTCCCCTCACTCTTCACCATGCTACTGGGCGTTTCAAATAAACAATTAGGGCAATACCAGCAAACAATCTCTTCCGTAATGCATCGTGGACACTTTATTTGATGGCAGTCCTCGCAATATAGAAGGTGTTCTGGAGGATAAAGGGAATAATTGGCTCGAGGGGACCTGGGATCAAACGTCTTTTCATCGTCGTCATCGTCGGACCGTGCCAGGGAGAGGCTAGAGAGATCTCTAGATAGCCGGTTTGTAGGCTGTCCGGAGAGCGGAATTTCAGCGCAAGGACACGAGATAAAGGTATACGGGAGCGGACGAGCCATCTCGAGGTTCTAGCGCGGGGAATTCGTGACGGTCAACACCCTCGCATGTTGACCCCTGGGACTCTCTGAGAACGTCCAATTAGTTTACGGAGGGAAGAAACAGGGCCACCCGGGTAATTTTACTTACAATGAACTCCTCTCTGGGACAGGATGGGGTCGTTGGCCTTTCACTCGTGTAAAACTAATAAACGTGCCGTCTCATTCAACACGGTGCCGAATTGCGCTGCCTTGTGTTGCGTTAACGAAGTTAGTTAGTGGTTTGAAGCTCAAAAAAACATCAAAGCTCCCCGGCTTCACCTCCGCAAATTCGTTGACAGTTTGCGTGCTGCCAATACCCAATCCAGCTCCTTGACTGCGGTTCTCTAATAATCCAACTGTCTAGAAATGGTTTCTTAACAGTCCAGGCTTCTCCAACCGACCCTTATGTCTCTCCGTCCGCGCCTCGTGCCCCCGTCGCTCCTCCGCCGTGAAATCTTCTTCACACGGAGCTACGCTGTGCAAGCCCCAGGCAATCCCACACTAGAAATATTCAATCGCAAATCAAAATATCTACAAAAGGAGAGGGCGGCACAGAATGCCGAGGAGAGCCGGAAGGTTGATTATCTCAAAGATGAAGTTGCATCTCGGCTGAGTGAGCGGCTGCTGGTAAGTCTCGAGATAGGCGACGAGATGGAGGTTTGAAGTACTTCGCTAAAAAAAGAAAAAAAAAAAAAAATATCTAATGCAGGATATCAAAAGGAATTTCAACCATGTTCTTGACCTTGGAGCGAATAGCTGCAATATTGCACGCGCCCTCACGCAGCCTTACGTTGACCCAGACATCCCCGATGCACAACCCGCCGAACCCATAGCGAAGCGGATATCCAAGCTCACATGTGTGGAAGAGTCACCGTCTTTACTATACCGCGACGAGTCGCTGCCCTTTAATTCCGAAATACCAATCACCCGAGAGGTTGTACCTAGCTTGGAACACCTCCCTTACGGGCCGAATACCTTCGACGCCGTCCTCTCTTCTCTCTCAATACACTGGATAAATGACCTACCGTCACTATTATCGCAGGTGAACTCGATTTTAAAGCCTGATAGCCCATTTATTGCAGCGATGTTTGGCGGAGACACCCTCTTCGAATTGCGCTCTTCCCTACAGCTTGCGGATCTCGAACGCAGAGGCGGGGTTAGTCCGCATATCTCACCATTGGCGGACGTCCGAGACATTGGTGGCCTGTTGAACAAGGCTGGTTTCCGCCTGCTTACGGTAGATGTTGAAGATATAGTGGTTGGCTACCCTAATACGTTCGCGCTGATGATGGATCTCCAGGCGATGGGAGAAAATAATGCTATCAAACAGCGGGAAATAGGCCCGATGTCAAGAGACGTCTTGTTGGCGAACGAAGCAATATATAGAGCCTTGCATGAGGAGGAAGGAGAGCAGGGTATCCCAGCTACGTTTAGATTTATATACATGATAGGATGGAAAGAGGGAGAAGGACAGTCCCAGCCACTGCAGAGAGGAAGCGGTCAGATAAATCTCAAGGATGTGCTGGGAGGAGGGAGCTTTGAGCAATAATCAGTAGATATTCTGCTTCCTGAATGATCTAGACTCTTTGACGATCGATACTGAACCAGCCGTAACCCCCCGGGATCCTGTATACTGCGAGTGCACCAGCCCCGAAGGGATTGCAAGGGTGCAAAAGGCGCACGCAACCTCATCCCTTTCGTTCTTCCAGTAACTCAAAGTAAGCTGCTCTCAGACAGTCCGTTGATCCGTCATCACTCGTACAATCGAACCTACACCGACAACCTCGACCAATCTTTCATGCCAGTTCAGCAGCACAGCCATCTGCTGGCCACCGCCACCCTCGCCAAAGTTCCGACCTTGTATCTGCGAGAAACCGGTGCTCTGCGGTGACAAAGACGACTTCTTCGATGACGGAGCTGCCCCACCGCCTGAGGATTGCGACGCCATGCCTCTATACCTGTCCACCCCAAACAGGCCAAACGTCAGCACGCACACAAAGAAAATCCCACTGAATCAGAAGCACACACAGAAAAGAGAGAAGAAAACGGAAAACGGAAAACAGAAAAATGCAAGATAAAAGAACGAAATATATTTCCCGTACAAGTACTTCATCAGACAATCTCCCCTTTCCACCCCTCCCTCCCCGCTGCACACGCCTTCTAGCACCCTCGCCATCTCCGCCTGCCGTATGCTCTGCAACACCTCTACAACCGTGGCTAGATGGACCTCCTTCGCGCGATCATCTCCGCCTAGCGGTGCCGTGTCAAGAGCATGGCGCAAAGCTCCCTCCGAGTCGCCGGACCGCAGCAGCTGCCGGATCTGCGAAGCGATGTTTGCGGCGGCACCGGAGGACGAGGACGGCGGGAGGTTGGAAGGGAGAAGGGTCTCGAGGGGGAAATTTACGGGGGCGTCCGGGTCGAGCGAGTCGACGTCGATTGTGCGGTAGTTGATGTTTGCCATGGCTGTGCCGGTACGGAGGATGCGTGGTGCTTGCTTGCCCGCACGGAGGGAGATTGGACTGTGGGGTAGTAGGACTTGTCGGGATGGTTTAGAATGGAGAAATAGGCTATTTCATTAATATGACTATTTGGAGAAAAGGGTGCTCTGACGGGGAGCGACAATTGGCTTTCGAAGATGCTATGGATCTGCCTGTTTGGTTGGTTTGGCTTGGTTGGGTTAATTATGCTCGGGAGGTTGGATGGTGGATGATGGATCCTAACGTTGGCCGACACTTAACCAGTCAGTCAGTTAACTACGGGGGGACGCGTTCAGCGGAGATAGAACTCAACAACAGCCAGTACCGCCAGCACTTTCGGATCGGGGATAGAAACAGCTAATTATTTTCACAATCCATATCACCTGGCTATTTATTATGTATTTATTTTCTCATATTTAGTAGTATACAGGATATGAAAACGCAGCCAATGAAAAACCCCTTCTTCCTGTTGATCCCAGCGCTCCAGAATCATCATAAGGCATAGCTATGTGGTAACAAAAGAAAGAAACAATGTAGAGCCAATCCACCCAGTAACTATGGAATAAAAAAGATAGAAGCCGCCCAATGCAAAAGGTGTTGAACAAGTAGATCCAAACCAAAAAAACGCCGAGCTCCCTAACCCGTAGTATGTAGATAGTACAGCCGAGGACCAAAAAGATTAAAATAAAAAACGAAAAATATTAAGTATCAAGTCATCAATCCATGATCTAACTTGGCCCGGTCAATGTGATCGGGGGTAAGTTAGCATGTGTTGCCTGCGGGATCTCCTCCTCCTTGTCCTTCCCGAGCTTCGGAGCTTCCTCGTCGTGGGTCTCGATCTCCAGCTCTTCAGGAGAGGATCCCTTCTTGGACTTGATGATGCGCGAGCAGAACCGCCGCAGTGCGGCCCAAGTAGCAGAAAACGCCTTTCGCACCGGAGAAAATACAAACTTCATGGCTTTTGCGATCGGTTTCCAGACGAAGGCAACTGCGCCGAGAACGCCATTGAAGACAACCGCAAAGTGTCGATCGGGTATACAGCGAAGCACGATCGCCCATGGAAGACAAAAAATTGCGCAAAGAATGCAGATTGCCCACTGCTCGCCATTGAGACGCTCCACGCCGATGGCGACATCACCCACAAAGATGATCATCACTTGACCACCCACCATAAGTACGTTGATTCCGATAAACCAGTAATTTTTATGTATTCCTTCGAAAATATTGAATTTGTTGTCGAGCCGACGATTGTTGAACTCGTTGAATATCTGCATCCAGACAAACGTGTTGAAAACGATGGTATCCAGTTGCTCTTGTAAATGGTGATCCGCAGCAACGTCGTAGTTCAGAATTTTGGCGCCGGCGAAGTAAAGGGTGAATGTGACAATAAGTTGATAGATGCTTTGCCCGATGATCATTTTCCACATCGTCATCGTGAAGAGCGATGCCGACTTTGGAGTCGGTTTGCGGTCCAGGATCTTCTCCGTCGGTGCATCGGTTGCGAGAGCCAGAGCCGCAAAGGTGTCCATAATGAGATTGACCCATAGCAGCTGAACCGCATTGAGAACGCTCTCATTATCCTCGTTAGCCAGAGCTGAAACAAATGCCAAACACACAGCGGTGATGTTGACGGTAATTTGGAACTGAAGGAATCGTGCAACGGCGTCATTAACGGCGCGTCCCCAGCAGATCGCAGTCACGATGGATTTGAAATTGTCGTCCAAAAGAATGATCGAGCTAGCCTCCTTTGCAACTTCCGTTCCTGCAATACCCATGGAAAAGCCGACGTCTGCTGTCCTCAGAGCCGGGCCATCGTTTGTGCCGTCTCCCGTCACTGCCACAGTTTCGCCAAGATGCTTAAGCCGTGCGACGAGGATGCGCTTATCTTCTGGCGAGGAGCGCGCGAGGACTTGCAAGTTTGGTAAGATACGGTCCATCTCTTCGTCGGACAATTGTCGGAACTTAGGACCCTCCATTGCAATCCCGTCAGGGGTTTTGATACCGCATTCGGTAGCAATGGCGACTGCTGTGGTCATGTTGTCACCTATATGAAAATGTCAGCAGAGGGGAAAACAAATCACATAAATTGATAAACAATTTTGTAAAACGAACCGGTAACCATCTTGACTTGCACCCCGGCTCTGTTGCACTTCTCGATCGCACCAGGGACCTCAGGGCGCAGTGGATCCTGAATTCCAACAACACCCACCCATACCATATTATGGAACACATCATCAAAGTCGGCCATGGACTTGTCGTCTTCTAGGGTCTTCACCCCAGGAGGTGGCCAGAATTCGAAATCTTTGTATACGATGCCAATTGACCGAAGAGACCGCTGAGCGTACGAGTTGATGGTGTCCAGAACCATGCTCTTAGTGTTATCTGGGAGAGCTTCGCATTTGAGAGGGTCTTGAGACAGTTCGCAGATGACCTTGGTCGCCTTGGCCAGCATCATTTCAGCCGCGCCTTTAACGTGGAGTCGATAGGTCCCGTTGTTCTGTCGAACGACAACGCCCATGCACTTCCGGGCTGAATCGAAGGGAATCATTTGAACGATTTCGGCATTTGCCCGCTCCTCTGGCAAATTCAAACCGAGATATTGTTCAGCAAGTTGCAACATAGCGACTTCTGTTTTACTTCCGATAAATGTGCGCTGGCCATTCTCTTCGCCCTCGAATGCCGTCGAATTCAAAGCGACCGCTTTCAGGAGGAGATCTCGGACGGACGATGACATCGCAGCAAACCTTTGCGACATATTCGATGGCGCATCTCTGCCCTCGTCCGTTTGATCGAGGCTGTGCTCGGTGCCGAATGTCCCGGCCACCACTGTCATTTTGTTTTGAGTTAGGGTTCCAGTTTTGTCAGAACAGATGACCGTCGCGTTTCCCATAGTTTCGCATGCGCGCAGGATTCGAACAAGATTGTTCTCCTTGACCATGCGAGCGGTCGCAAAGGCAAGAGCAAGAGTGACGGCCAAAGGGAGACCCTCTGCAGGTGCGCGTTAGATGGAAGGGGACCCTAAGGATCATTCGGGTTGCACGGGGCAGAGCATACCTGGAATGGCCACAACGATCACTGTGACTGCGACAATTAAAATGTCCGTAAACTCCCGACCTTTGACTGCTGGCGTGCCAGGATTTCCTGGCAACTGCACAAGGAACCGAATGAGAAGAGCGAAGAACAGGACAAGCGCAGCGCTGTAACAGTGTTAGTTCTCGTAAACTCGGGCATCAAACTGAGCAAAAGGGGATGTTCCGCTTACGCTAGACCCAAACCACCGATCCAATCCGCAAGTTTGCCGAGCTTGACTTGCAGTGGCGTAGGATCATTGGTCGTTTGTAGTGAAAGCATGATTTTTCCATAGGTAGAATTAGGGCCGACACTGGTGACGAGATAGGTTCCAACGCCTTCCAAGACTTTGCTTCCGGAAAGGATAAAGGGGTCAAGCTTCTTGGTCGCGGTCCCATCCTCCATCCTCTGCCAGACCTCGTGCCCGTTGGTCTTCTTCATTTGATCGGACTCTCCAGTCGCTGATGATTCATCGCACTTGACTCCGTGTCCGCTAAGGAACACTCCGTCTGCCGGGATGGCGTCTCCGGGCTCCAGATGTAAGATGTCACCCACGGTGATGTCAAAGACAGATATCATGATTGATTTTCCCGACCGGATCGCTTTGACATCTCTGTCGCTTTTCTGTTTTCACGAGTTAGACAAAATGCGGGGAAGTCTGTGTCCAGCTGCCACTCACTCTGCGGTTCAATTTTATAAACTGTCTTTCCTTTTGCCAGTCGTTTGCAGCCGTCACCACGGTGACTATAAGGATAGCGACGCATATAGCGACCCCTTCGATCCAATCAACCTTAGACCCGCCGGTGAATGTTTCGTAGAGACCTAGAGATAGCGAGACAACCGCAGCGGCTGTCAACAGGATAATTATTTTGTCGTTGTATGCTCTCCATAGCAAAATCAAGAATCCATCGCCTTTTCTTTCCGGGAGTCTGTTTTGCTGGAAGACACGTATGCGGTCTGCAAACTGACCTTCGGCCGGAACGCTGCCGCTGTGGCTTTGTACGGGAGAGCTACCACAGTTGTCGACCTTCTGGGAATCCCACTTGGTTGCTTCATCAAAAGTGACGGCTCCTTGTAGTTGACTTTCATCGAGTGATAGGCCGGCTGACAGGTCCGTCCTAAGACCTCGTTCTAGACCCCGAAGTCCCCCAAGTGCTCTGAAGGCAGCCAAGGACTTGGGGTTAAGCATCTTGTTGAGCTGGCCAGGGGTAAAAGCGAAAGGATTGTTGTCCACCTGAAAATCTTTCTCATTTCGCTGGTCGGGCTTCAGGGCCTCATATAGCGGTACGTCGTCGTACTGAACATGGTCTGGATCCTTGATTGCTGTGGAATCAGACCGAGATCTGAGAGTCTCTACATTAGAATTAAAGGAGTTTGCCCGGGAACGAAGTGTCTCTCCGTCCATCGAGACGGGGCTGTGAGCGGTGAGAAAACTGCCATTGCTGGAGAAAGGTCTGTCAGGAGAGAGATTGTCACATTCTGATGTTGAAGAGGACGGGCTCGTTTGCTTTTTGAAGAGCAATTAGTATCATATCGTTTAGGGCTTTCGAAAACCTTTTTTTATTTCCCCTTTCTTTCTTTCTCTTCCCCCCCTAACAGAGAAAACTTACCGAAGTATCGATGAATATTGGGGGAGCGAGCAATCTGTTGTTGTTGTTGTTGGCCATAGCTCACGAAAGAGAATCTGGAGCTCGTTGTCGAAGAGTCGCAGAATGCTCTTGAGAGAAATGGCTTTGATAAAGGAAGATCTGACGTATGTTGAGACCCGAAAATGTAGAGCGTGGGTAGCGGAAGTATCATGGAGGAAGAGTAAACATGGCACGTCAAAAGCAAAACCAACAGTGAAGAAGGATGATGGATCACAAGAGACGGTGTAACAATGAAAGAAAATGCCAACCCATCACATGGGAAGAAAAATTCCCGATCTATGATATCTTTCGTGTTTTTGCAGACGAAAAAAAAGGAGAAAAGGAAAAAGAGAGGCTGTTGCGAAAAGACAACAGTTGGAAGAAGGGAAGAAACCCAAGCAGTATACATATCGGCATGGACAGCGCGATTTTGACGTATGTATACTCCGTACAAAATCCACTCTTGCTCCCGTGCCTCCGCCCGCCATTGTTGCCCAGAAATGCGCGGCGGAGGCAATCAAGTTCTCAGGTTCCATGGCATTCTGGTCAGTGAGGCAGTGCAAAGAGGATCCTTCCGGGGTTCAACCCGCCACCCCTGGTCGTAAGTTTTGCCCAGCTTGGGAGGGGAGACGGTGGGATGATGAGCCTCTCCTTGTTTTGGAAGTGAATTTCATGGCTGTATCATGTTGCTGCGCTGGAGAGGCGGTCCTCAACCCGCAGCCGCTGTCTTGTCTCTCTGTGCCCTGTCGGCTGGCGATCGAGAGTTTTTTTAAAGTTGCAGCGCGACGACGACAGTCGATTCTTCAGCGCCGCGATTGGCTGGCAGCGGGAGGCCAATGGAACCGCGCGCCCAGCCCCACCACAGCGCTTGCGGTCGTCGCAGCACGCAGTAGCAGGGGAAAAGCTGCGATCCGATCCATGTAACCATCCTTCGCATCGCGAGTCTGAGTCTAAGTCTGAGCCTGAGTCCGACTCTGAGGTCTGCTGCTTTGATCGATCTACACATAGACACACACACACCCCCCCTCGCCACCCAGTCTCTGCATGTATACACAGGTACTCCGTACAGGTTCTTTGCCGCCAGCCACGGACGGGCCTCAGGACACGAAGACTAAAATGCCGACCAGGATCCCGAATCATCCCCCTCCCCCCCAAGATCCGTAAAGGCGCTTCGAGCACAAGCATCCCCCGACGACGGTCGTGACGAAAATCCCTCACGCATCCTGCTTGGAGGGATGCGCCGGGCAGACATACATACATGCAATCGGCACACATTTTTCTTTCGGTGTGCGAGGATCAATGGAAGCTCCTCCGCGGTAACATCATACGTACATAACTAATTACTCCGTACTCCGTACTCCGTATACATAATACTCCTTGTACCCTAGCTGCTTGGATCTTGGATCGGCTCTTGGCCGAAAGTTACTTACAACTTCGACTCTTTCCAGCGATTTCTCCGTCCAGCGTTTCAGCTTTTTCTCTGGTACAACTTTTTGTCTCTCTTTTTTTCCCTAACTGAAAGAAAGAAAGGGTAAGACACTTGCTCCCTCTCGGGGTTCCGGTCGCCCGCAAACAGTGCGGCCCGGGTCTTCTGGTTTCTGCGACACAAACCGATGCAGGTCATCACCTCTCCAGGTTTCGACTGAGCAAATTTTATTTTATTTTATTTTTTTTTTTCTTGTCGTTTCCTCCGGGGTTGATGGTATGACCAAGGACCTCCGCTGGACCCGTCCAGATTAACTGACTCCGCCCTCCTTGGCATCTTGGGTCGTTCGATTGGGGACATAAACGAAGGGAAAAAAAAAATTGTGTTATGATCCGCAAGGGGGGAACCAGGTGGCTCCCATCGGAGAAATTCGTCGAAGATCTCTAAAAGTAAAGCTAGACGAGGATTCCTGTTCTCTTCATGGAGAAGGGAGCCCTCGTCGTGCAGGCATCTTCAGTCCTCTCATAATCATATAGTGCATAGACTATTGTAAGAAGCAAAGCAAATCGAGACAGAGAGAGAGTGTATGTGTGTGTGTGTGTGTGTGTGTGTGTGTGTGTGTGTGTGCGCGAGAAAGGGAGGGGTGTTGTCTGGCTGAGAACTCCGGGTTCTCCATGGCTTCGGCTTCCTCTCAGGCTGAATCTTCGGGCAGCCAGCCAATCCGTATTTGCGAAGGGATTGACGGATACGGAACCGCGCTGGGCAGGAAGGCTCCGGGTGGATGCGGCTATTCCGAGCCTTCTCCCCTCATCATAGCCAGTTGGCCTGACTCATGTCTCATCACGTCAGAACTCAGTGAAAGCCGACCAAGAACATCAGCCATTTCCCGCCCGTTTTGCACTTCGACGCCGCAGAACGACGCTGATGACGGCAAGCCACGCCAAAACGACGCAAAAAGAACGGTGACTAAGCTCACCAGCCACATAGTTATGCCAGCTTAGCCACATATCAGATTATGTCATTGGCGGGAATATTCGCGTATGATTGGCTGCAGTGGAGGCGCCCAGGGAGCTATGCGCCACACCTTGTCCAGTCAGCCTTTTAAGCGCCGCGTCAAGCGCCCCAGTCGCGGGTTTTCCTCCTGAGAGATCGACGCCCCAAGGAATGGACGGGGTCAGAGAAAACTCTCCTGGGCTGACAAAGGAAACTCGATGTGAACCAAGAAAGCTGCAATCGCCGTTTCTGAGTGGCCTTGCCGCCGAGCGAGGCGGAGCAGCGTGCGGTTGGCTGGTTTTGTGTTGGACACGTTCCATGTTTGAAGGAAAACGACATGCTGATGTGTCAAAAGCCTCGCTGCACGCAGCGATGCCTTTTCCAACTCACTCACTCACCCCCCTTAGTTAGTTACCTAATCCCGCTCAAAAATTCAGGTTGCCTCAACAGAGGTTTAGCCTTCATCCCGGGCAGTGAGCCGTTTTTATTTTATTTTCTTTTAATTATTTTTTTCCCCCCTAAACATATATATTGTAAATTGATTTTAATCATCCATTTTCCAAGAAGTAGTTCCAATATCCCACCCTTGATTACTTGCGCCCAAGCCCTTCTTCATCTAGATCCAGGCATTCTTCTCTCGCTGACTAGCATAGCCATGGCCACTCCGCCCACCTGGGCCAGTGTCCCACCGGATCGACGATGCGCCGATATAACGTTATGCTAGGAGATATAAGCTTAAATCCGCACGCTAGCAACGTCACAAAGCCCATTCGCTGCGGCCGTGTGGTCTCTCACCGGTTTTGAGCATTTTTTGGTGTGACGACCGGTCCCTCTGCCGACCGAACCCGTCACGTCAAAGCCTCAGTGAGGGGGGACTCACTGGGAGTTTATTCTCCTAACGCCGGTTCCCCCGGGGCTGATGGGCAGTAGTTTAATAACCGTATCGGTAGCTCGGCGTAGCTGTAGAGTATCGTAGGTGGCCGAGGCTGGCGGTTCTTTTTCACGAGAGTCTTGGGTGTTCGCGAGGCGCAATGTAACAACTGTCCCGGGCGGCTCCGCCTGCAGATCTCCTTATCCCTCTCCCTCTCTCCATCTCTATCTTCTTCTTCTTCTTCTTCTTCTTCTTCTTCACTTTTGGCTATTTTTTTTAAGCTTCAGGAGAATTGTATATGGAGCGTTATAGTAGTCAATGATGATGAGGAGGCAGCAGCACTTGGCATATGTACGACTAACAGCGGGCCCAAACCTCAGCGCCGATTGCGACATTCGGATGGCTGAGGAGCAGGCCAATCGCTTTGTCGCGCTTTCGACAGATTGTTGGGGTGTTGGGTCAACTACATATGTATGACTCGTTCAAGCATCAGCCGAGAATGCCTGAATGCCCTATCTTTCCCCCGTCGTCGTCTGAGGCTGATTCCACAAGGAATGAAAGCAGTGTGTACTCTGCATAGTTGACGGTTTATAGAAGATATGTTGTGCCATCCTGACGTGAGGGTTAGCTGTGCGTGCCAAGAGGTCTCCTCAATGAAGGTAGTCTTGTGATAGCAGCGGTGTTAAGGCTCAAATACACGACTGATGTCCTTCCTAGAAAATGATATATGTCGTAAAGTTTACACAAATGTACGTATGTTCCTATGGGAATGGGAGTTCTCTTTCTAGACTTGTCGGGGATGTGAATACTCTATACAGGACATCATCACAAAACAGGGTTAGTTTGAAAAGTGAGAAAAGAGGCATTGACTGTGAGAGTACCACAGATGGGGTATAGAATGCTATTTAAGTGCTCCGTCTATAAAAGCTATCTGGCAGAGAAAAGGACTCCCTCACACAGTAGAGTACTCTCATAGCACACAATGAAATAAAGGTGAATAGATGTTTTCAATTTCAGTTCACGTACTCCGTATGCAATGTTGTTTTGGAGATAAAAAGGGACTCCTGCATCCTGGCTCAAAAAAATGGCAACCGAGGAACAGGATTCGGGGATATCGGGCCTGGCAAGGGTGACCCAGGTAGAAAAAAACATCCAACCCGATGCAATTAATGCCAACAGTATCATTCATTGGCAGTTGGTATCAACGGGCGAATCCGCCGTGACTGACCATTCATTTTCACAGGTTCCCCTTTTTCCCCAGGAACATGAAGATTCAGCTCCCGGACTGGATGGCCGCAGCACCCAATCATTTGGTCAGCATATGGAAATAGTCACTTTTCGCCGTCGAGAGGCTTTCCCAGCACTCCGTGCTCCGTCGTCTGTCGAGTCAGCTGCCCGGCGACTCCCCCTCCCCCCTTCTCTCCTGTTAGGCCTCTGGAGTGCTGGCCGGCGACCTTGACTGCTTCTCGCTGCGAAAAAAGTGTTTCTGCGGCTCGACAGGGGCAAAAAGGGCGCCTTACCCGATGAAGACAAGCGCTGAACAAATCTTCACCGGCCTATTCCCGATGTGGCCTAGTGCAATCGAAGCTTCAGCTGTTTGCATTGAAAAAAAACAAAATCCGGCGCGAGTGTTGCTTTTCCTTGTGATACTCCCTCCTGACTCGCCCTGCTGCCCTTTCTTCCTGCCCACCACCTCGTTCACTCTCTTTTTCTTTTTTCCCCTTCTTGTTCTATCTCTACACTCGCTTTCTCTGCTTTCTGCGTCTTCTTTTCAGGCTGGGGTTCTGGTGGCCAAGGAATTGGGTATCGATTGCTGCGAGTCCTTGTTCCACGACATTTCAAATCGGGCCCTATTAAAACATCCACTTTTCAACACCGCCGTTTCAATTTTTATTTTTATTTTTTATTTTTATTTTTTTTCACTCTCTGTTTCCTTTCCTCGAGCTTTTCTCCAGTGTGCGAAGGCCCCGATCAACGCGACCAACTATCGCTACCGTTACCATGTCTCCCAGCGCTTCCAGCCATTCCCACTCCGTTCGCCGGAGACCGTCGTTTCTCTCCAAGGTCCGCCCAAAGACAGCTGGGGCCGACCAGGGTTCAGACCGGCGTTCTGAGCCCTTTCACCCTGCCATCTGGGCCCCTAGCGGTGATGGAAGCTACAAAGAGGCTGTCTCTCATTTTTATCACGAACCAGCCATCCCAAAACGTGCCAACGCCGAATTTCTTGACCTGCCGGCTACCAACGAGCTGGAACCGTCAGAATCGTTTGGCTCCTCGACGACAAGGCGCCACAGCAAGAGTATATCCTCGATCCGATATGGGGTTAGCGAGCTGCGGGCCGCGGTCCGTCGCTTCTCTTTCACAATCCGTCATAGATCATACAAACATTCGTTAGACGTTCCCTTGGAAGAAGGAGCCCCGGAAACCCATCCTGGTGATTGTTCTCGAAAAGAACCGCGACACGGGGGGTTCAGGAACCATCGCATGCACCGGCAGTCTTTCAGCAGTCTTCACGCCCTAAACCGATCCCAGTCGCATACTTCTGGTATCCCTCTACCGATCCCTGCAAACACCCCTGACCTACCCCTATTCCCCGAAGAATTGTCCGGAGGAGAGGCAGCTCGTGCCGCCGCCGCTGCACAAAACGAGATCATTCGTCTCGAACGCGTTACATCGACCACGGAAACCAAAGATTTTGCGATCTCCCAGGGCAATGACACCAAACCGTCCCTCGACTCGGAGAGTGGAATAGAGATCAATATTCAAGATAGCGTCCGTGGTTCAGAAGATGACCTGGATGTTGTACGAAAAGGTGCGTCGCGTACCCGTTCCCCTGCCAGAGCAAGCCTATCTAACGTTGCCATAGACCCTGTGGAGTATCTGCCCACAGAGCTGATGTGCCATATCCTGTCGTATCTGGATGCTGAGTCGGTTAAAAATGCGGAATTGGTTTCACACGCGTGGAATGCACAGGCTTCATCTCGACATGTGTGGAGGGAAGTGTTTCGGCATGAGTACCGTCACGGCTATCGTGCGGCGAGCGCAAAGGAAGGCAAGGCGAAACCGATGGGACTTGGGAGGGTACGGCCAAACCAGGACTGGAAGAAAATGTACGCCGTCCGCCGCGCTCTGGAAAGCCGGTGGAAGGAAGGGAAGGCTGCCGCCATTTACTTGCACGGCCATAAGGACAGCGTCTACTGTGTCCAGTTCGATGAGTATGTGACAACCTAAGCGAAAATGCCTAAATGTCCGTCAAATTAATTCCTCATATAGGAACAAGATCATTACAGGTTCTCGCGATAGGACAATCCGCGTCTGGGACGCTCACTATCCTTGGCCTTGTTTGAAAGTTATCGGCGCCCTTCATGATCGAAGCGACAGTGCGCACATTGGTCCTTTGGCGATTAATCCTCAACCAGACTCTCCCGGAAGCACGCCGTTCATCAGCATTTGCCCGCCAGCAAAATCGGCTAGCGAATTAATGAAAGAGGACCCCGATTACCAGGACTACCATCGCGCCTCGATCCTCTGTCTCCAGTTTGACGAGGAAATAATGGTTACAGGTTCATCTGATTTTACATGCATCGTATGGGACATCAAGGACGATTACAGACCCATCCGTCGTCTAGAGGGGCATCGCGCCGGTGTTCTCGACGTCTGTTTTGACGGCAGATACATCGTCTCCTGCTCTAAAGATACCACCATCTGCGTCTGGGATCGCCACACCGGCGAGCTCGTCAAGAAACTTCTCGGCCACCGTGGACCCGTCAACTCCGTTCAACTACGGGGTGACCTTGTCGTCTCCGCCAGTGGTGACGGTATCGCTAAACTCTGGAACATCACATCCGGTCTCTGCATCAAAGAATTCGCTAGCCGTGATCGAGGGCTTGCATGTGTAGAATTTAGCGAAGACGCGCGCACCATCCTCGCAGGCGGGAATGACCAGGTGATTTACCAATTCGACGCGAACACTGGTGAACTCGTCAACGAGCTGAAAGGCCATAGCGGTCTAGTCCGGTCCTTGCACATGGATAACGAGAATGGCCGTGTGATCAGCGGTAGCTATGATATGAGTGTGAAAGTGTTTGACGCGAAATCTGGAGAGCTCTCTATCAATCTTCCTGGCTGGACCACGAGTTGGATGTTGAGTGCAAAATCGGATTATCGACGGATTGTGGCCACCAGTCAGGATTCGAGAGCCGTTATTATGGATTTCGGCTATGGTTTGGATGGTATTGACCTATTGGAGGAATAAAGAGTACCAGAACTGCCCCGTGGTATTCCCAGGTTCTTTACTTCTTCATTTCGGTTTATTTTACTTTTCTTTTCTTTTCCAACCCCTTTCCGTGATGGATTTCTCTTGAATCTTTTTATAGACTGTTTTCTCCTTTTTTTTCTTTTTCTTTTTCTTTTTTTCTTTTTATTCATTTATTCATTTCTATTTTCATGTCTACTTTATTTAATACTGTCTTGGGTTGTTTCTCGGTTAGATGTGTTGCATTGCGCAGGGTTTGCAGGGGTTGTTGCCAGGAGCGTGTCACACGGAGTGTTCGCCTTGCATATTTTCTGATATTTCTCTTAGTTGCTTCGCCCCCCGTTTGTCCTTTTTTTTGCTCTTTGCTTTAGCCTATTTTGTTCTTCCTTTCCCCTACGCTTTTGATAGACTCGGAGCAGTATTTTGCTATATTTTGGCCCAAGCGGAGTATCCTTGATTTGCTTTCGTGATCTTTCCAGCGATATTTATGAATTCAGCCGCTGGCACTGCTGGATCTAGCATTTCAAGTTTGCGCGTGATGAGGCCTCCCTTTTGAATGATAGTAGGATTTTTTTTTTTTTTTTTTTTTTTTTTTGGGTTCTGCCACTCCCTCTAGATCAACTATGCAGGGATGGGACTAACGGCATATTACTTCTTTTGGGGTGAAAACGGGGTTCTTCATACATGCATGTGCTGGCAATTGCGTTGCATTTTGATTCCTTGCTTATTTTGGTTTCTCTTTTCTTCCTTTTTTTTTTTTTCTCTCTCTCTCCTAAATTGGCAAAAATCTACTGAAATCTGATATATTCGGTATTTATCTCGAGTATCTTTTCCTGGAAGGACTGTAGCCTACAGAATACGTATGCCTAAACTTCGCCTCCCGTGAGCTTCAGACTCTTTTAACGCCCGCTACCATTGTATAGCAGGAGCCGCGTGGTGTTTGAAGGCGAATTGCGGATCACGGGAATAGCGAGCTCCTTGATACGGGTGCAGACCCTATCACCTGTGATCTTCTCGAGGGCGAGGAGATAGGCACCCACTCCAGATGCGTGGCCTGCAGCGAAAGATGTACCGGAGAGGGTTACCGAGCCCATTCTTCCAGCCGCCATAATATTCTGTCCTGGTGCGTAGACGGCCACTTTTTAACAAAGAAAATTAGCTATTATCTTTCTTCGAGGTGGTTTTCACCGTTTGCCCTTTTTCTTTTTTTTCGGGGGGTTGAGGGAAATGCTTTAGTTACCGATTGAACCGTAGTTAGAGAATAGAGCGGCCTTATCGTCCATCGTACTCGCGGCGATGGCACAAACGCCTCTGGCTGAGGCGGGAGAGTCGTTGCGCGCGTCACGCTGGATATAGTCAGCGGGAGAGAATAGGATCAAATTTACGTACGTAGACAGTGACCCCCGGGGCCGCTTACATTTGAACCACCCACGGCAGCGGAAACAAACATTCCCGCAAGCACTGCGTTCTCAGCAGCCTGGTTAACAGCTTGTGAATAGCCCCCGCCAAGGGAGAGATTGACAACCATGCGCTCCGAGATCCCATGCTCCTTGGCGTATTTGACACACCAGTCAATTCCAGAAATAACATTGCTGTATGATCCGGAGCCGTTGGCATCGAGAACCTTGACAGCGATGATCTTCGCCTTCTTCGCAACCCCGTGTTTCTGGCCTGCGATGAGGGATGCTAGGAAAGTGCCGTGCCCGTTTCCATCGGAGTCGTCGTTGTCGACGAAGTTTGCGCCCCAAGTAGCGCGGCCTCCCAAGTCCGGATTGTCCACGTCGACGCCAGTATCTACCAGGCATACGGATATACCGGCTCCGGCGGATTCGTCATAGACATACGTCCTGGCTCCAGGCTTTTTGTGTGAGATGCGAGCAAGATTCCACCCTGCGTCCTGCTGTTCAACTAAGCCACGGGCGTTTGCGATCCTGTCATGTTCAATGTATTTTACCTAGCTATTTGTTAATGAACGCCTCTGCTGTGATTCCTGTAGGTGCAAGAGGGCGTACAGCTGGATCATTCGCGATCTGGCGGATTGTAGCTTCGTCGAAAGTTCCACTGTATCCCTTCAGGCCATTAAGATCAAAGGTCTTCTTCAATGAAGCCTTGACGTTACGGTCCCCGTTACGAAAACCGGAGATCTGTGTCGTGTGGGAGTTGAAGGCATCAGTGGAGAGCCCATCCCTCATCACAACAATGTAGGAATCCGGAATAACATCATCTGTGTCTCCTGCTGAGAGGATCTCAGCCGCGTTGACGGCAGAAAGCAATGAAAGAGAGAGAAACAGAGCGACGCTAATGATAGCTCTCATGATGGCTTAACTTCACGGAAAGTATGCACAGGCCCCTTTTGTCATCGTCATTACGGGATGCCAGTCCAGAGGAAAGAGGAGGGACTTTTTAAATGCAGAGATAGGCGAGCATTCAAACCAGCTGATTGCCGAGCGTCATAAGTATGCATTGCAACGTTGCAACACCATGCTTCGTATATCTCCTTGCAATCGCCCATTGCCAGGGTTCGCTTTCAATCCAGAAAAAGGCAAAAAAAAAAGGTGCTGGGATGCCTGACAATATGCTTGTCGGTAGGAATCCAGACAAGTAGAAGCCATCTTCCGCGCGAATAGACATGGTTAGCATATGGTGATAAACGTCGAAATTGACGTTGAGGACGGGGTAAATCACGTCTGATGTATTTAGCACAGGCCAAAATAGCAAAGATAAGAGCGCAATGTACGCAGTGGCGCAAAGATCCTGGGGTTATGCAGCGCCTCCGCGGGAGTTTGAGCCGAAACTGCGTGCACGGGCGAAGTGTGCTCCGGCAGATAACGGCATCTCCTCGAGACAGTCGAGGCCGTTACGGGCCGGATAGGGAGGGAGGGTCAATGGCCCATATCCTGATTTCGACGCTTGACGCATTCCGTAACGTGGATCAAAGCCATCAAAATAACTTGACGCGTGGAAATCCAGGCCCTGAGAGACCGAATGGCAGTACAGGCCCAATGGGTTATATCGAGGTTGGTCCGTTTGGGGGATTGACAGCAATGATGGGATCTGTACGGAGTATTTAGGAGTTTGACCTCAACAATGGCGCTGGGCTTGCTTTTGGGGGGGAATTTCTGTTTGGTTCGATTGGGCGGTTGGGCATCCCGAACCTTCAAAAACTTTCCAGAACAAAAAGAAAACAAAACAACAACATTTTCCATACCTAGCTTTTTTTGGCCATTGTTTTTTGTTTTTTGCATGACAAATTCTTCATTAATCCGTGCAACTTCACTCTTTCATACCAATCAAGAGAGACAGCCGGCCCTCGCGCATCCCTCACCCTCCCCACCGTCCAGCCCTAAGCCTTGAAGCCGCATCCCCAAGCCCCGCCATCCCAACGAGGGTCTGTATGCATATTTTACCAAGCCAGGCATTTGCACGTTGGATCTAGCACTCACACTATCCTGTAGTCCCTGAAGTCAAGGCCCATCCATCATGAGTGAATCGAGGTATGCCATCTCTTGAGTTCCCTTCTCCGGTCTCTGCCTGCACCTGGTGTCTACTGCCGCCTTCTCCACATCCTCCCCTTTTTTCTTCTAGGAGCCTGTTCGGCGAGAAATGCCATTTGCCAGAATAGCATTCCATGGTGGCTAATCTTTCATTCTACGCGTAGACAGGAGTTGCTGGCATGGTTAAACAACCTGCTCCAGCTGAATATCACCAAGGTCGAACAATGCGGAACAGGGTACGAGCTTCGCCCTCCTTTTACTTTCCTCCGTTCTTGAGTTCCCACCGTCCTACGCCACACATACCCCAGCGAGTTATATACACGTTGAAGTCGAGATGGATCGAGCGTGTCCCTTTTAGCACCTTAATGTCCACTAAAAAAAAAGAAAGAAAGAAAAAAAGAAAAAGAAAAGGAAAAGGGTTTGTCGTTTTGCGTGCCGGGAATGATTACTGACACTGGTGGTCTGGGACTTTCTCTATAGGGCTGCTTATTGTCAAGTTTATGACTCGATATTCAGTGCGTGACTTCGATGATTTTGGGAAATATAAGCCGTATTTGAAAGTGAATGGCTGACGATTGGGGCAGTGGACGTGCCAATGTCAAGAGTCAAGTTCAACGTCAACACCGAATATGCCTATATCCAGAACTTCAAGGTCCTGCAGAGTACGTTTGTCCATCCATCAGAGTGTGAGGCTTGCTTTTGTTTTATCCCCGCCGCTGACTGTTATTTCCCCCAGACACCTTCACGCGCCACCAGATAGACCGCCCGGTCCCCGTCGAAGCGCTTGTGAAATGCCGGATGCAAGACAACCTCGAGTTCCTCCAGTTCACCAAGAGATTCTGGGACCAGAACTATCCGGGTGGCGACTATGATGCCGTGGGTCGACGGAAGGCATCCGGAGCGCCTCTCGCTTCCTCCACTTCCCGACCGGGGACGACCTCTGCGACCGGCGCTCGTCGAGGGGCGACTCCCACGACCGCAGCTCGACCGAGAGTCGGCGGCGGAGTGTCGGCCAACACCGCGGCCCTGACGCAGGAGATCAATTCGCAGAAAGAGGCGATCGCCGGGTTGGAGAAGGAGCGAGATTTCTACTTTGCCAAGCTCCGCGACATCGAGCTCTTGCTGCAGCAAGCTGTGGAGGCGGACCCGGAGTTGGAGAAGGACGAGGACTCCCTGATCAAGCACATTCAAGCCATTCTGTATTCGACAGAGGTATGTGCAAACGGTGATGTTCGGACAGCGATTTCTCCTGTGCAAATGTGACTAGCTCTGGTTGGACATGCTAACGGATCCGCGTTTGATTCTTCAATTTTTAGGAGGGCTTCGAGATTCCCGCTGACGCCGAGGCTGTTGGAGAAGAGTTGGAGACGTTTTGAGTGAAGGAAAAAAAAGAAAAAAAAAATTAATAATAATAATAATAACTACAAAGCGGTTGTTGATACCTTTTGAGAAGAACTTGGTTGGCTTTCGATTTCCCTCCCCCTCTTTCCCCTTTGCCCGTTACCGCGAGAATAGCACAGCACGGCTGCATGCGTCTCGTCGCAATCCTCTTTTCCCTTTTCCCCCCAGAACTTCGCCTCTAGACGGTGATCCTCCTCTGCCTTTTGCGTATTGTTGTCGCAGGCATATTTGAGCTTGATCCCTTTCTTGCTACGTCTCAGCTGAATAATAGCATACAATATCTTGTACAAGCGTTTTCTTTGTTGGTGCCAGAAGTATTACTGCAAAGGCCAGAGAGAGAGAGAGAGAGAGAGAGAGAGAGAATAAGAACATTGTTGCTCCGACAGAGCCGAACAAAAAATATATGGATTAAACATGTAGCAGCCCGTGTTGGCTCGTCATATGTCTTTTGGGTGTCTGATGTCATCCAGCTCGTAACTAAGCCAGGTACGGAGTACTCCGTAGTATCACAGCGAATAGAGCAGGTTAGATCTCCGTATGTGCTCCGTTGTAGTATGCGTCTAGTGTACATACCTACCATGCCTATCCGCTCCTCTCTTCTATATATATATCTTTCTCTCTCTTTTCAAAACATACTTAATTTTACGGTCATCCGGCGAGCTGCCGGCCAAAGCGGGTCGGTTCTGGAGCCGCTTTCGGGCCCAACTCGCCAACACTTCTCTCCGCACACACTCTCAACGTACCGCCCACGCACCACACGACGCAACGTGACCCTGACGACTCCGACCTTCTTTAACCCAGATCCTGGTTTACGTGAAGAAGACGCTTGGCGCTCGTTGGTATCGCAGGCATGTTCCAAATCATGGGATAAATGACATGTGGTGGCGCATGTGGAATACTAGCCTTTCCATCAAGGCCTCATATGGTTTGCCATGGCACTTGTACAGTTCAGTTGTACTTAAATTGTCAAAGCCTGGGACACAAAGAAGAAAGTTGTGCAGATGAAGATCTCTCTGGATTCAGCAATTTGAATAATCAATCAACAAACAAGACTGTATTTTATATACCTCCATGGCATACATCATTTGCATACAAATAGTTCAAGCCCATGATGAGCTGGGCAGCAATAGATCCAGCAGCATCTTGTGGAAACATAAAGTTTGTACTGTTCCTCTTGGAATTCTCTCCAACCAAGCACTGAACCGCTATTGGTCGGTCGGAAGTTTACCGGAATATAGATATTCCATTCTTTTTTCGGTTTAGCCTTCTTTTTTCTCCGTACTCCGTATATCTTAATGTTAAATGTTACTGTATTACTATTATTAACTTTACTTCGTGTGATTCAGCTGTCCGGCTAGCCGCATCGGGCGTAGCGGCGTGTTCCTGTACGGTACCATGCAAGAGTTTCCCGCAGCTGCAGGTACCGCCACGCCCGTTCGGGAAAGGCACGGCCCCGCCCAGCCAATCGACGGCCGGATCGTGGTTTAATTACACGGTCTTGGCGTGCGTTGAGCTCAGCAGGTCGGCGGCCTTCAGGTCTGCGCGACGCCCTCTTCCTCCTCCAGGATCCTCCCCCCTGCCCTCGTGCAACGTCAAAGACCGTCCGCCGCTTTGTTCACGACCGTCCCTCCCGATGGGCTCTTTTGTTGCTCGCCACGAACTTGTCGCCAGAAGGTCGCCTGACGCTTCGGTCCCGGAGAGAGAGAGTCGATAATGACACTGCGCAGAACTGTCATCGGATAACCCTACATTGGAAGTAGCAGCAGAGAGAGGGTGTGTGAGAGAGAGTTTGAAAGCCGGGGGGGGGAGGAAAAAAAAAGAAACGGAATAGTGAACAGCGGAGGGGGGTTGTTGCGGTCGAACAGCGCACTTCGTTGCATGATCCGGTGCGCAGAACTGTTGACCAAACTGTGACGTCCTTTCTACACCTTTCCCTTCGCATGGGTGTTCTTCTCGCGGAAACGCATCTTCCTTCGCCCGCTTCGTTTCGTTCCGTTTCGATTCATCCCGCTCTTATCAGAAAAGTTTCCCGTCGCTCGCATTGAGTAGACGGCTGCCGTCATGACCTGAGAGTCGACCCCCCGCCATCACTGGTATTATACCACCCTTTCTGCCCGAGCTTGCGGCCAGGCAATGCGCTAACAGCTGCTGGTGTTGCGACAGCAACCCTTCTTCGTCGTCCCATATCTTCTTGAGGATTGACGTCCATTCGTTCAGCCCTTTCGTCGTCGCGTAGCTCGACAACAACAATAACACAATCCCTCCTTTCCTCTCACTCTTTTCTTCTTCCTTCTTTTTTTTTTTTCTGCCTCTGCTTTATATTTCAACAAACGTTCGCGCGTCAGACGTTTCCCACTCATTATCAAAACCAACACAGCCACAGCAAGCTTTACATGTTGCATGTGCTTGAAGCATTCTTCTGTCTTTTTCTGCATCTCATATTCCCTCCAAACAAAAGGTTCGACTTCCTCTTCTCTCTCTTTTTTTTCGCGATTCCATCCAAGGTGACCTTGTTTGATTTTCCTCTTCTCGATTTCAACCGATAAATCCACCCCAAAACAAAGGCGAGTCGTATTCCACACTGCTGCCTCTTGTCATTCAATTTGGCCCAAGAGGCTGGCTTTGGTTCCCTGAGTTGGTTTATTCTGCCCTTTATTTATCACTGTTAATTCGCATAATCCATATGCAGCAAAGGCCTGCACGGATAGTCACTCTCCTTTGATCAACCTAAGCCATATTTGTCAGGGATCTTCTCTCAAACAACTGTGGTATTTTTTTTTTTTAAAGGACAAAAGAAAAGAAAAGAAAAAGTTATACTACCTTCACAATGGGCCACCATTGGGGAAGGAGACATAAAAGCAAGCATGGAGCTTTATTTGCAGCAAACTCTAAGAAGCAGGACGCGGATGAAGCTGCTGTAAGAGGTGGAGCTCTTGTGCTTCCGGAACCTGGGGAGGATGACACACCGCCGAGAAGCGTCCATGCTGATGGAGACTCACACCACAGCACAGACCCAGCCCATGTGGCCGAGCAGTTACACGGACGACTGACGAAACACGTCTATGCGCGTCAGGTTCAGTCAGCGTCAGACTCTGTGCTTGTCAAGACTGTCATCCATCTTGTTCGCCAGAATGGCGCAACTATTGGAACATATACACTTGCAACATTGCCAGCAACTGTATCGAACTCAGAGCTTGGTGTCATCACAATTCCCTCAGAAACAAACTCTCCAATTATTGTGCCCTCCCTCTCGGAAGAGACTCCAGCATCCCAGACGGCTCCCGCCACTGTTTCAGCAACTGGAATACCATCCTTGTCTGAGGTTCCAACCCTCTCCAGCGTCGTCGACTCGGCGTCCATCCCTCCAGCTTCACAACCACAGCCACCCACATCTGATCCTGCATCATCCGCGATTATTACCCAGCCCACAAATATCCATCTAGCCCCTTCTTCGCCTCCCTCAGCCGTCCCTATCCTGTCGTCGCCGCCACCCGTCTCTTCGGACGTTTACCCTGATACATTTTCATCCGCCAGCTCAACCCTCATCGTCCCGTCTCTGTCAGACAGCGAGACCGTCACTATTTCCCCAAGTATCCAGACCACTATTCCATCGATCTCTGCGGATTCAACTTCTTTTGTCTTCACGAACTCCACTTCTACCCCTACTACAATAACATCGACCTCGTCATTCTCAATTGCTACTTCTTCATCCACGTATTCGAAAACATCGACTGTCCTCCACGTTGGTGGGGGTGGGATTTTCCCAACCGACAACGGTGGATCGGGGCCGACCGATTCCTTTACTGAGAATCAGGATTCAGACAGCGAAAATCTCTCTCCACCACGCATTATCGGAGCTGTTGTTGGCTCGGTTTCTGGTTTCGTTCTGATCTTACTGATAATCCTGTTTGCAATCCGTTCTCGGAAACGCAAATCTTCGCAAATCCGTGCCCTGTCTGATACCTCAGACCGGGATTTGATGGTCGGAAGAGGGCCTACCGCGCGTAGTGACTTTCATATCAGTCCTCGTTCGAGCGTTATCATCGCAAACTTCTTTGCCCCAGCGCGAGCTCTCAGCCGATGGAGAAACTCGGGCCAATTGATCCGATCGGAAGAATTCACACCAGCTCAACGCGGCTTCGAAAAACTCGGAGGCAGAAAGCTCAAGTCCGTCTTGGAGACAGGCGGCGATGGCTATGATAACGAGTTCGGGGTCAGCGAGAAAGTTTACGAGTCTGGGGCTTTGGCGAAAGAGTTAGGAAGAGTCGGTGTCGCATCTCCATCATACAACCCCCAAACCGACAAAGAAGCCGGTCAATCTCGAAGTATTCCCTCTCCACCGCTTGGTCGTCCTGCGTCGCGGGACAGCGACACATCCGAACAAGTCTTGTTCCGCCCATCTCCTGCGAGAGCAGTCACCACTGAAAGCTCTATCTCCAGAGTGAGCCTGCCCACCAGTGCTAGAACCGGCATCACCACTCAGACGTCGCAGCCCCACCCACCACCACGCTCGCCGCTGAGAACTTTCTCAAGCGATGCTGTGGGTAGAAGCCATCATAGCGCGGACGGCAGTCGTGCCAGTCGATTCACTGAGGGAATTTAAATTGTCTTTTTTTTGTTTATGTTGTGTCCATGTGAAAAATACCGGATTGCGGGGCATTTTTTCTGGTGATGGTTTATGCATTTTACCCCTTTTCTTCACCTTCTGTCGGAGTTTATATTTTGCTGTCGTGTGCATCTTTTGAGTCTTATGGTCATATGAGGTCGCGTTGGTGGTGCATTTTTATCAACGTAGTGTGCTTTGTTTAACCCCCTTATGATCATGGTTGTTTCCGTCACTGACTCCTGTCTTCTATTGTTCCTTTTAATGAAAAATGGGACAAGAAATAGGATCTGCTGTCTGCAATGCTTGTATGTTTGTGTGAATAGCGTAGCACTGTTAATATGAGAGAACAGAAAGGGCGGCTTGTGCCATCACCCTCCCTTTTTTGAGAAAAAGTTATCAGTGAATTCATGAAGGGCTGGAGTCAAATACCTTGGCCCCCCTGAGTATAAATACCATGATATCCCTGGAAGTCCATGTTGTTTTCAATTCCTCCACAACCATATCGCCTGCTCTAATCCTCTTGTTCTCAAACCCCCCTTTTCTTCTTTCGGTTTTGAGGAAACTTAATTGGCGAAATATCTCTCGGCATTTTGAGACTTGGTTGCTTCGGATGGTGGGGAGAGGGGGGGGTGGTGAAGCGAGAGAAGAACTACCGCCGTCAACGCCAACAGGGAAACAGATCATCCCCTTTTCCGCAATCCCTGCTGAATCGTCTTGATGGCAGTACAGACCGCCTCGATCTCCGCACGCAGGTGTCTCTCCAGTGCCTCCGTGACCGGGGGTGGGCTTCACACCTGCTTGGTCGACACTGCTTGGGCGTAGGGCCCTGATTTTGGGCCTTATTTTGGACTTGGCCACTCTGGTTGACTTGCGCTTGGGCGCTTTGACTCTGGGCGGCTTGATCCTGGCCACCGTGGTTCTGGTCTGCATAGTCCTGACCATTATTGGTAGCTGTGCCTGAAACCCAGGGATGGTGATGGATAGGTCAGTCAGTTAACCCTGACCATAAGTTCAACACACAGCACCGTATGGTTCCCCGCCTGCCAGCGGTCGTCAGCGATGTCTTTTACAACAAGCAGCTGCAGACCGCCAGCCCCCTGAACCAGGACACGGTTACTGTGTCCTAGAGGATCGAACAGGTCAATTTACGGATGTTTGGGGTCCATTCACTCTCGCTCTTCATCAACATTCAGAATGGAGAGGCCGAGGTTGATATGACAAGCAACTATTCCAAGTTTAACCTTGTCACCAAGCTTCTGAGGCCCTGCTGTCGTCGCGCAGACCAGCCTATTGCTATTCCATAGCTAATGGGTAGCTGAATAGCTCAAACGTTCAAAACCACATCGGTTTACCCTTGCTTCTTGCTCGCTCGGACAGATCCTCTCCCCGGGCGAAGGTAAGACCACAGCCTAGCAATACTGAAGCAGACAGGTAGCTAATGAGTATTCGATTAGTAAGGGGTTACACTGCTCAGGAGGTGGATGAAATTGTGAAGACGATTACTGACATGGATGATGATGATGATGATGTCATAATTCATGTAGGTCAATTTTCAGACTTGTTGCCAGCCCATAGCTGATATCTAGCAGGAAATACTTGGTGCAGCAGCTGCTGCTGCCCACTGACCACAGGATACCTGTGAAGAGGCGGCTTGATCTGAGAATGTTTATGCTGAGATCACGCATGAAGAAATCATGCAAAAAGGAGTTGTTGAGGGTTCCCCAACAGACCCGATTGTCTCCCATTCCTTTTGTAGATTGGTGGTGACAAATCTCGTGATGCCAGCAATGTGAGCAGATCGGTTAAAGTCGAAGCTTTTCATGGTGGAGTGATAAACTCCAAGGAGCCACTGCTACAGTACTGCAACTTTCAAAAAGAACGGTAAACTACTGGATCTGTGGTCATTCCTCAGCTTATGTGCTGGTGGAATGATAAGCTCCAAGGCGCTTCCGCTATGGTACTTACTCGCGTCAATGGTGAATATGATATGTACTATCATCACCAACGAATGATGGGAGGCAGGGACAACTATGGTTGGCTGAGAACCATGTACCATAGCATTGGTCAACAGCTAATGCGCCAGGATCCAGCATACTACTTGTGGTACATACTAACTAGGCCAGATCACGCCTAGACGCTAGTCTCCTACCCCTATTATGTCAAATACGCGAAGCCAGGAGATAAGACAGGATTCTGCCACATTGATGTTAATGTTCCTGACACCATTACCACTGGAAGGGGAGTCAATATGATCCAAGGATCATTAACCTTGACTGCTGAGGAACCAGGAGATTGCACAGAGATACTGCAGTCTGCCAGGAATGCACCACTTCTTAGAGGATTGGTGGGGCTTAGTTGAAACAATGAGGCCTATCCACTGATGGCTACATCCATTGCATCAAAGACACCATGTATACCAAAGATGATGAGAAGAAGTTTAGTATCAAATGGACTGATGACATTTGCAAACCTAGTGATGTCTGAATTTCAAGCCCCTTACTTCCCCATGGAGCCCATGGTCTGTGCAAAAAGGTTCGCTGTACTAAGCTTACCCGGTATGTGGCTATTCAAGAGGATCACGAGCGCTTGGAGGTCAATGAAGCCGGTACCTGGTCTCAACTATTCGCTGCGCATAGAGACCTAGTGCCAGGGCCGTCATCACCATCTGGCCATTCAAACTGTTACGCTTCAGTTCCATATCGATTTCCCACGGCCATTCAATTACAAGGTCTAGAAGCCATTTCGGACGCCTTAGTTGGCCGTGTTAGGTGGGACAATCCTACAGTTATTGAGGAACTGGACATTCTTTTTGGCCCTCACGAGAAGAAGGCCCAACAGTTCATTAGCGACTGGCGCCTAAAGGCTACACAAATTGCCTTGGATACTATTGTCAAGTCTTACCAAATTGAGAAAAGAGCCTTTGGTAAGACGCGTATAGCGAGTACGATATGTACTATAGTAAAAATCTTGAAAAGTTCTGCGATAATCTCCAGGGCTCCGGCAATGCTTGCTTGAACTGCTCATGCGATAAGAAGCATTGCTGTGACTTTCCCAAAACAATGGTTGATCAGGTCCTCAAGTTGCAATGTGCATATATCAAATGGACAACTACAACTAACACTATCATCAAGAACACTCACAAAGTGAGTGCTGTTGCTTTTGCTCAAGCCATTAATAAAGAGTTGAAAACTATTCTTGCAAATATGTCAAAAGAGACTCCTTCTGTTAATGACAAGTCAGACTTAACTGCATTAAACAGTAAAGTTGTTAAAGCCCTCCAACAGACTTCTGGGATCTTGAAAGAAATTCAGGAAATTCAAGAGATCAACTTCATTGCAGTCTTCAATATAAAGAATACTCTTACTGTAAGTTCACTTCACTTCTCATCTTTGAGATGAAGATTCTAACTTTCAAAAGAATATGCTGCAACTTATTAATTTAAATTTTTGTGCAGCATCATAAACTGTTCCTGAAACCTTGACTCTGATCAGAAGTCTTTAATTTTCTCTATTTTCAATTATACAGTCAGCCTGCAAACCTACCTCTGGTATGTGTGCAAATAACATTTCTCAAAATATACTGACTGTTTATTCCAACAGAGCAACAAACTATAGCACTAAAGACTGGTGCATATTCTTCTTATAATATGTGGTTCCCTTACGCCTATATCGTACAGTATAGTACGTTTCTTTGTTTGGGGGTCGACCCAGGCTGCTACCGCTATCGGTAGCTTGGGCATCCGCCGTCCGATAGAATGGCGAAGCAATCCTGTCGACGATAGGTTCTTGGACGTAAAGCCTATCGGAAAGGGGTCTCAAATGAATGCGGTGATAGTCTATACCCGAGGCCATGCCAGGCACCGTCCTTGCGCTGCCTGCGCGAAAGGTAATGGTCCCTTTTTGCAATGCGTCGTCGCCGAAAGTACGTCTGGTCTCGTGGTGGGGAAGGGCGCCTGTGCGTCCTGTATCTGGTCCAACTCCCCTCACGCTTGCTCGCTACGTTCCGGGGTTACCGGAAGTCAGTCTTCTCCCCTCCAGGAAGTTCTTGGTACTCCTTCGCGTGTTCCCCCTGGCCGAAAGGCTAAACTTGTCGCTGCTCCCGGTCCCGATAGGGAAGCGTCGCAATCTTCTTCCGCCCCCGAGCGGGTTTCTCTAAAGCCATATCCCCACCTACAGGGGTTCGTTTCTTCCTTGCGCGACGCCAAAGACGATATCGAGGCGTTGGGGAACCACAAATATGACTCTGATACAAACTGTTTGGTAGGCGACGGTATATCCATAGAAAGATGATCTCCGAGCAGGGTCTTACGCATCTGCAGCGGCTCTACCTTTGAGCATATCTCGGGATGTATTGACGTAACCACCCAGTAGGTATATCTTCGCCTATCAGCCAAACGGCCTTACCATGAAATCTGCGATAGAAGAGCCATGCATTTGGGATGATGAGAAGAAGTCCTGTGTGGATTGTTTGGAACGCCAGACTCGCACATGCCGCGATGTAAGTGTGTTCTTATCCACTTTTCTTGTTATTCTGACATGGGTATAGGTTCCTGAGTCTGCTGTTGATGTCATTCACAAGCTTCTCTATCTCCGCGAAGAATATCACTCCTTTGACGCCGCCGACCCTTGTCGTCCTTATCATGTCAAAAACATGAGTATCCTTGTACGTGAATTCCGTGGTCTTGATTCTGGGGCCGCGAAATGTTGAAAGGGTTCATTGAAAACATATATGCCTCCTTTCGTCGTCAGGCTTCCTCTGCCATCGATGGATCTCCATCAAAACATCGTCGTTTTTCTTCTCCTCGTCCCACCAAGTCTGTTGACCTTGTGTCCGACTCCGAATCCCTTAAAGATGGTCCGTCTAATTTTCTTCGTCCGCCGACCCCGGTTCGTGCCGTTTTGTCGTCTATATAGACAAGCAGTAGGAATGCAGAGACCTGCACATCCAAGAACCTACGATGCTCCACCACTGACAGGGAAGCTACGATGACGTACGAAAAACCACTTCGGTGGCCCTATGCCTCGGAGTCCGAGGCCTCTGGGGGGGGATAGTGTTACGAACGTAGGCCAACCAAGCATCAGACGACATTGGATGTTCAGGGGAACTCACGTGACCCATAACTCTGAACGTACAAGGATCGCATGATTCGCACGGATCGTGAGAACCTCAGCGTTCAGTCTCCTAGTTAGAGGACCCCTACGTTCTATGCACGACTCCCTCCCACCAGTTGTGGGCATCGGACCTACTTAGCTCTTTCGTACCCCAAATCTTGGGAACACCCACGAAACCTATGTTGAGTTCCCTAACAACAATAAAGGAAAAAAACAGCCACCAGCACCCAAATCATGTTGTAAAGGCAAGGCCCGCACTAAGCTGTTGAGCATGGAGTGCATAATGGCCTCCAACAACACTTCTGCTGGAAACCGAAGAGCTCACCACTGATACTGAATCCAAAAGGATCAGTTGGATAAAGCAACACTATGAAGCCAAATGGTGTGACCTCAAGAATAGTGAATTGGACATGATCCTTCAATGGCCTGAAGATAGATTCCAAGACCATATCACAAGAAGATCCACAATCTTAGCAAAAGAAATGAACTTATACATGCTGAATGTCAACAACAGAGTCTGGATGAGTGAAACCCAGAGCATTAAAGTCTTGCAAAAAGAAGAAGTCATGAGTGCACATAAAATCAAACACTATGCCAATAAGAGCTTTCTTATGGATCAGATGAAACAAAAGATCTTTCTCAGCACTGCCAGCCTGAGACTAGAATACTGCAGCCCAGAGATAGAGAACTTCAAACTTCTTCACATCAATCAGCTGCTAGCAGTCTTCAATTGATTTCAACACAGCACTGCTAGACACATAAATGTGCAAGAACCTGTCTGGATGTCAGCATGGTCACTCACACAAGTATACCACTGGCTCTTCCAATACAGTCAAGGCCTCAACAAAGATAACCAGATATATTGAAAAGAACAAAACACAATACAGAATCTTACTTTTGACAAAAGAGAGAAATACAGACTTTGTCACTGGTGCATAATATCATAGCAGAGAGCTTACTTTTTGACAATGCACTCAGAACACCCAGAACTTGTCTAATATCCAGAGAATATTACTGACTGAGAAAAGTACATACTAGAAGAGCACTGGTTACAGCCATGGACCATCTGCGCTTATTTGGCCCTACAACGTTACATGGACTTCAATAAGAGATGCAAATGGCTTTTCCCCGCGACATGGCTTTCGCTGGGCTTGGCGGAGATGGAACTGAAGATTTGATGTGATCTTGATGCGAGGGCGCATCTTTAGCAAAAACGACGGGGCAACTGATATGGTCCTTCCCAGGATCCATATCACTGTTGTTTCTGTAGAGTCAAGCAGCCACAAGTCCTCAGCAGCCAAAAATCTCAATGAAAACAAGAATACCAATCACAAGAATGCTGAAAAGAATAATGCTGACAAGAACAATATCAACAACAAGAATATTAACAACAATAATGCTAATAAAAAGAATGCTGATGAGAAGAGGTGCTGAAAATAAGAATGCTGAAAAAGCTGATGCCAATATTACTTCTGATATTAGTAGTGAAGGATTTCAAAACTGTTTTTTTGGTTGGAGTGATCTGTAAGATTGAGATTGAATAAGATTACTTGGTTAAAACAGCAAAGAGTGGTGGGAATTGTGTAACTACAGTAGTTGTCAAGTTTTCAGAATCAAGAAAAGATTCTTTCAATTTGAAATAAAACCCCCAATCTCATGGTTCAAATTTCAGTTATATTCTAGAACTGAGCTCATTTCCCAAAAGGAAGCATTTTTGGAAGGATAATAGGAATCCTACAATGCTCCAACAGTTCTCTATTTGGATTACAGTTCTCGCATGATTCCTAATTAGGTTACTGTGAGATCTCAGAAACATAAGGGTTTTTCAGACCAACAAAATCCCGATCTGGTGCGGTATCATATTAGGATAATAGTTATTCTGATCTGGGGCTCAACCCTCCCCCTATATAACCCAAGCCAGTCAGTCCATACATCCTACAACAACAATGTTCATTCGACGTTAATCATTCAGTTAGTTAGGAAGCAGCCTAATTGATCATTATGGAGTACATTACAGTTCCCTCTTAGAGCTGCCTGGGGATAAAACTGGATTTTGACACATTGATGTTAATGTTCCCTTGTCGCCCTGTTGGTTCTGTATTACAGCAATGGCGCTGGTTCTCCACCGGCTGAGTCCTTGTTCCCTGCTGCTAAAGTTCCGCAAGCTGTCTGACCCCTTGGACCCGTTTCTAATCCTGGTACCGTACCTGGCGCAGCTGGAAACCCCCACGTGGACGACCCAGGGGGGGTTGGAGTTATATCAGGATGTGGGACGGAGAGATCAATGCAACAGTTCACTTTACTCACCTGTCCCCTGATGTGTTCCCGAAAAGGTGGAGAGTGTTCATTCGGGGGCAATAGTAAGATATGGAGAAAGAACCGCAAGCACAGGCAAATAACATGCTTGATGGAAAGGATAGTCTTGTTACAACTCCCTTTTCTCCAACATTACTCGTGGAATGTAACAGTCCACTCGCCTGATGGTGATAGCAAGGGAGAAGTATAAATTCCAGTGACATTTACTTCCAGGTATACTTGCTACAAATCATAATTATTAATCACTGTGCTTGATGGATAATCTAAGTTGTCCTTTCAGACAAGAGGCCACTAAGGCTACAGTGAGGCAGATTCCTCACTTTCGTATCAGTTAACTGCTTATTGGAAAACAGGGTATAACCCGAGAAGTCAGCAATTGCTGGGCCTGATAGATAGGCAAATCTTTCTTGTAGCTGACTTGTTCAAGCAAGAACCCAGAGCAAGATGTACTCTAGAGTTAAATTATTGGCATTGTTTGAAAGAAGATCTGAGAACAGGTTAAAAAGTTTTCAGACAAAAGGATGTCAATAAGAGGGTGTCTCTTGGGATTTTGTGCATACAACAGATACAAATATTTAAATGACTCAGTTCCCCTGTGATAAGCTTAACAAGGTCATCAATAGAGGAAAATTAACTCATTAGCCTGTCTCTAGAAGTGAAGCAGTTGCTCTCAGTTTGAAGAGTAGTATCTTATTGTGTGAATTCTACTCTTCACTATGAGGGCAACCCGTCCAGGCCGCAGTGAAAGGCTTCACTTTGCCTATTGAGATAGGAGATCTTGCACTGCGGGTCCACTGTGCCCTCAGTTCCAACAAAAGATCAGAGATACTGGTGTCCTGGAGAAACAAACAAAAGCACCAGATGAAAACTTAGGGCCGAGTTGAAAGAAAGGGGAGGACTTTTGAGTTTTCTGGGGGCGAAGATCACCAAGACGCAAAGAAGCTTGAACCCTGCAACCTTAACTAGTTAACCCCATGCATCTCGGTCCAACAGGCACCGCAAATAAACGGGGATGCTGACTCAGAACTGATGGGGGACGCAAGAGAATACATAGCCCTGGCGGGCGCGCCCAACACTGGAGCCCCAGAGCAATCATGGGCATTTCTGCAGAAGCAAAATATCATGGGTGAGCACTCCAACCTTGTCTTGGATAATGACTAACGACAGCAGAGATGCATAAATTCCGGATAAACAAACCGACAAAATAGTGCAATCAAGGTTTGTATCCATCAAAAAGGAGCAAAACCCCAATAGTTGACCGCTTCTAGGATGTGTGAATATCTTGTGTCCACCAAACATTATCGTGGCTGTCCAAAATCATGCGACACGACGACCAGAACTTTCAATCAATGCCTCAAAGCAAGACAAACTGGCATCAACTGCCCTGATCCTAAGGATATCCCACTTGGTCAATCAACATACCCTGAGCAATGTCCAAACCATCAAGATGAGAGATACAGTCGGCATTGAGCTTGCTGCGAATTATATCTCAGATGAAAGCCTGCACATGTTCAGCTGAAGCAACTTGGGACAACCAACACTGCTTGATGATCTTGCTGCATGGAATAGCAGAAACATTAGGAAACTCCTTTCTTTTGAAAAGTACTTCCACTTGATTGCTAGGGATGTCTTCATAGGGGCTGGTTTCTTGAAAAACCTCATAAAGAGTTGACCCGAGTGCAAACAGATCCATAGCCACTGTAGGTGGGTCTCTCCAATGTTGTGGGAGATAGAATCAAGTTCCCTCACCAGAGGCTGGTTTAGATCTGTTTAGCAAAGAGCCAGAAAAGTCAATAATTTTGATATTGAGAGTCACATCCAAGAGGAAATTTTGTGGTTTGATGTTGCAGTGGATTATGCCATTACTATGCAGGAGAGAGACAGCTTGTGCAATTTGGTATGCCCACTTCAACTTCAGGCTCATCAGAATCAAGCTTCAAGCTTGAATATATGTTTTGAGATCACTGTTTTTCATGTACTCAAGAATAAGGCCATCCCTGGAGTGACCCAATATCTGTACCAGCCTTTCATGTGGGCCAACGCAATGATAGATACTGGCTTCTTTGGCAATGTCCAGGATGTGGTTTTCCATTTCAGCATCAGGAAATGGTGATTTGAGGACAGTACCATCATCAAGGAGTTCCACAATTCCAGTTAGCCCACCAGAGATAAATTGTCCTTGAGCATCCCTGCTAATGGTTTCAACCTTTCCGTGTCCAGTTTCATTTGCTTTGTAATTGTATTGAGGTCCCTATTGTAAGTTGGTCAGGAAGGTCTTGCAATAGAAAGGGATGCTCAACTTAGACCACTTCAATATCATGACAAGTGGGCCAGTGGATCAGGCGTGACAAAGAAGAAATCAACGCAATCTCTATCCAGTTCTTGAGACTAAAACATACTGACAGGCATTGCCACAGTGTCTGCAACAAGAGCATAAAAGCCATTTGAAACGTGGCGGTTGTCGGTGATACTGCATTGGCGAAGACCATCACAATTCTCGCGCAAAAAGAGTGACCCATCATGTGATTTTCTGATTGATTGATTGATTGATTGATTATGTCATCCACCGTCCCAGCCGCTTTGTCAGCAGCTATGCGGGCGTGACCTCACATGATCATCAGCTCAGTCACGTGCTCTAAATACAAACTAAACAAACACACTAACACAAGTACGGATTTTTCTTCCCAACCCCATAACATCAAAAGCAGTAGACGTCAAAAAGCAAGAAAGGAAATATATATAGAAAATATAGATAGATCTCCAATGCGATTTTAGCTGGTGCATCCTGGATACTGTGCATCTCTGCTGCTGCATCTATTTGTCTTGTATCACTCTTCAGGGGGACTCATCACTCCACTGGCTCCATGTTGGTATGCTGGAATTGCCCAAGTAATCCAGTCTCCATCATGAATCTGGCTGCCTTGATGCTGTGGCTTTGCTGTGAGAGCATGGGTCTGGACCACCACAGCTTGGCACGGACCTTGAGGAGAGGATGAGCAATCAAGGAGCAAACTGGGCCTGATGGTCTGAGGCAGAGAACAAGCTTCTTCTGTTGATGAGGCGCCAGAACAAACCCTGGGAGGTGATCCAGCAGAGGTTCCCAAACAGGACGCTGGTGTCATTGCGACAAAGGTACTCGATTCTCAGCAACCGATCAACACCAAGTAGACCAAGTAGCCGTGGGCGGACAAGGGGTAGGCGATTGAAGTAGAAAGATCTATGTGGTTCTCTGTCAAGCCTTTCTGTGTTTACACAATGCAATATTTAGGATCTCGTCGGCGGCGTGCTGTAGTTTGGTCAGTGATATTGAAATAGCATTGGACGCGATCGAGAGAGAACTGCCCCACATGAGTTCCACATCTGGGCACGGGCCGCGCCGCGGAGAAGCGAACTCTTCCCAACCCGTGCTGCCTAGCGGCCATGGAAAACCACGAACCTATCAATTTCCTAAACTTTCTGTCTTGAATGTCTATGGCGACACCTCTCGAAAGTCGATCCTGGATCATATGCCAACCCAATCGCCGCGTGCCCTCTCTGCCGATCTATGGAATGTGCCTTTGAGTTGATGAAAAGATGGAGCAGTACATGGTGGAGCATATCGCATGAACGTACCCAGCTTGAGCGTCAGACGTTGCATCTCCGACTGCTCTATATCTGCCTCGATAGCGTCAATGATGCGTACCTCATTGATGATCTGGATTATGACATGAACAAAGTTATGATATAAACGACATGAGTCCTTCCAATGCTAGACTCGCATCAAGTGAACGCAGGCCAGATATGCCCGCCGAGCTCCAGAGTGAGCTATATTTACTCATGGCAGCCCCACAGTCAAGGGATCCCGCTGAAAGTCCTGCAAGCCAGAGGATCTTTGCTATGCTGATTCTACGCGAGCATATCCCTGTGTGCAAGCTACGAGGAGTTTTTAGAGGAGTGCGATGTAAATAGTAGCATGTAGGAGACATTGGAGTGGAGTTTCCGAGCCTATCAGTGTTGGTAGACCGGCAAGGAAATGTCTGTCCCCTACCAGTCAATGTATTCCCAATCGGAGTAAATGACATTGATTGGTGTGACAATCCCCTGCAATTTCTTGCGTAACCGTCCGCGGTCCCTCCCTGTCAGCGCTACTATTAGAGAGATCAACATAATGTTGAAGTGGAAAGCACAGCAGACTTGGCAAGCTGGCTGCTTCTTAAGTAGAAGCTCTTTACCTGCTTTCTTCAAAACGGGAAGAAAGCAGAGAACTTGACCTGGGAATTTCACACCCCTCAAGAGGCTTCTCGGTGGGCATTAACTATCTGCAACTCGCGGCCTTTGTGGTGTATCCGAACACTCCAAGTCTACGCCGAGTGATTGATGGGGGCCCATTGGGGGCCATTTAGAGCCTTGCTTGGGCGTTTCCAGGGCTCTCTGGTCGTCTAGAACAAAGTGGGGACCCGCGAGGCCTTGACTCTTTGCCTGAAGCAATTGGAACACTGTTCCACGGAGGCCGGATAATGGAAAGACCCTACCCTAGTCATGGACAGGCATTTTTCTGCCCTCGGCAAATCACCTCGTTGAATAGCCCTCGTCAAATCTGTTATGCCGGCTTGATGCCAGGACGGAACTCATGCGTAAGCCCGCATTTTTGATACAGGCTAATGATTGGATCAATCAACAAGACGACTCAAACCCCTTAGAATGGAGAGTGGGGTTTGGATTTGACTCCTTTATTCTTGACTTCTTGCTCGACTTCTTTTCTTTCTTGTTACTCAAATGACTGAAAGGAGAATCTTGACAGTCACAGATTTTCACGGCAAGATTTTCCCGGATCTCCTAGCGATGGCATCAACGAAGAAGACTTTTACCAGGGAAGACTTCCAACAAGGTACAAGGAAGTTAACGAGACTAAACAAGGAGAGCCAGCTAACCCTTTCTAATAGCTCTAACCTACCTAGATGAAGAAATTGGAAAGTCAAAGAACTTGCGGAAGGCAGTTCCCATAAAACTTGTTGCCGTTGGGGGTTTTTGTTGCCGTTAGCTATTTCCAAAATAGAGCGTCCACGGAGGATCTGGACTACATGATCGATCCAGCGCTCGAGAATCTGACCAAAATCGAGGATAAACTCGGTCGAGCAATCAAAAATGTGGCTGATAAGAAAGGCTATGATGAAGGTTGGGTCAATGATAAGGTCCGATTATTTGCTGTTGGTGATTCCGCTCAGCCACTGTTCCGGGATTCGGTGGCCCAAAATGTCGTGTTATGGGAAGGGAAAAATCTCATTGTCTACGCAGTCAAGTGGGAATGGTCACTAGCACGAAAAGTAAAACGCATTGGCTCTACAAGACGAGAAGCCGATGTCAGTGATGCAGTTGCACTGCTGAGAAAGATTGTGGAAGAGAACGGGAGACCAATATCAAGGGAAAGGGCCAAGAGCTGGGACCAGATTGTTTTCACTCCCATTGAAGACAGTGCCCTCGACAAAGTTGCTGAAGAGTATGAAAAGAAATATGAAAGCTCTGGCTTTATGTGATATATGTTCAGTGGGAAATGTTCTGGGGGGAATATTGAAGCTCATTTCGGGATGAGAATTCTAGTCGCAAGAATGCCTACTGTTGATATACTTGCGGTGGCGGCCAAAGGCCTCATAATTTAGGAGAACCTTTAAGTGTTCATTTCATGTCCTCCAAATAGTGATTGAATGTTGCCTTGAAGGTACTTTATCTGTAATATACCACGCCTAAAAAAAAAAAAAGGTTCCACGAGGCCAAATCCTTTTGCAGTCAACTCTATAATCGCGTGGAGACTCTCCGGTATATTTATTTATCCGACTCCGGAACGGGAATCAGTGGAGCTTACCAGTAATGGAGTAGTTATGATCTTGTAACTCTTCACTATGAAGCTACTGGACTTTTGTTTCACCCTCAAAGTGGCCACTATCAGTTTCAACCAAACTACACAACGAAATGCGCAATCCAGTGGGAGCCATAATTCATGGCTATTCCTCTTTGAAGATTCGGCCAACACTACGGCGAATTCGTGCCTGTCCCCATCCGTGGTCAACCCTCTTTTTTCTTATTTGGCCCTTTCCGTGGCGCTATTCTTTACCATATCCACTTCTATCAGTGGAAGAGATTGAAAAGTACCCTAATATTCACGAGGAACGCCAACCTGGAATTCGAGAACTCTACAACATCCCAATCTACCGCATCCGTGATACGCCGCTCCGCTCGTTGTATCGACTTGTTGAAGATCTCTGTGCCTCCGACTTCATTATGATGGGCTACGAGTGCACATACTTTTTTTTCCATCGCGAGCCTCGCTGGTCATTGGCTTGCATTCCAGACCCTCGGGACAAAGATCCCATCCGGTATGCTATCCTTGCAAGCATGGTGGAAGCACTGGTGGATGCGTTCAATTGGAGACTAGAACACGGAATTCGCCGGGATAACACAACGGATAAATCCGAACAACGGAGTTCCAATTTCATGAGAGAAGAGGCCCCGTCATGGACTTCAAAGATTGGCCCTGTCGCAAAGCCCCTAGCTTTTCGTGAGGCTGGCTCCAGTGACATGACGATGGAGCGACATTTCCTGAAGAGAAACATCAGAGTGCCGAATGGATATTTGTACACAGCATAGTACTAAAGATTCATGCCGCGACAGTGGATGATTCGGGTATCCGCTTAATTTATTGGCGAGAGCTATGACTCCAAAGTAACAAGCCGGGAGATTGGGCATGAGAACCGTGTCGCACGTCGATGGTACCGGGGGCTGTTCGTATTAGGTTGGAAGGTTGGATCAATTTAGAAACAGGGTTGACCGAGGTTTGGTGTTAGGCCATGGCCAATAAGAGAGCATGTCCTCATAAGAATTCTCTCAAATTGGATTCTATGTGCGGTCGGGTTTCCTCTACCTCTTCAGATTTTGATGCTTGTTCTCTTATCAGCAAACTGTTGTCAGGTGCAACCCAATGTATCTTCGCAGGTTGCGAAATTACCACAGCCTAACAGCTATACTTCAGGCTCTGAAAGCAACCAAGCAAAAAGATCAACTTTCTTTATACGGGCTCCTGGATCCATGGCAGCGTTTCCAACAATGCCGAACAGCCATCACTAAGGAACCGCGTATCCCGTTTATGACTGCATATTTGAACTACCTAGCCTACCTAGAAGAAAACCAACGGCAATTCGAAGCATCTTTAGAGCAAGAAAAAGCGGTGCTCTATTCATACAGTCGGCTTAGGACTAAAATCTCCTGCCACTCGCAGCTTAGCAGTTCTGACTCTGAGCGAAAGACGACAAATGAGAACAGGCAGGTGTGGTTTGATGAAGAGCCTTTTGTAAAGCGCATTGTCACTTTGCTCTGCTCCTGTTTCCCTTCGTAATTTCGCGATTTCCTCGCTATACGTTTTCCATAAGTAATTGCAAATTTCCAACCAGGTCATTTAGTATGTTAGGGTATAACACATGGCATGTTCAGCATTTCAGATTTAAGCTTTAACTCCTTGGCGGTGTCCGTGGCTTTTATCAACCTAAGCGCGACCGTTGACCAGATACTTAGAAAGCGGCGAAAAGGCTCGGATCATCTTATGATCCGGCCACGGGTGCCACAGGCTTCATAACTAGACGCACTAGACGCATTCATCTTCTTGGATCTAAGTCGGCTTCAGAGGATGGTCAGGGAAATAATGCACGCCTCTGTTTCGCTGAGAAAGAGGCAGCACTTATCAATCATGAGAGTAATCTTTTCTAGGCTGCAAAGGGTAGTTTCACGCCATTAGTATCGCCCGCTGCTACAGTGATGAAGACCACCCCGAAGTCTACAGTAGGCCATCAGGAAGAGTAATTTAGGATGTTATACGCTAGAATCCATTGGCAGAACAGTATATGACTAGGAGATACCCAAACGAATACAAATCGATGCCGCAATACTCAACACTGGAATGAGACTATGCAATGCTGGCACGAAGATGGCTCGGCAAATCCGCCTCTCAACAGGCGCTTTTCCTTTCCCGTCCACGCAATCTTTTCATCTTGCGGAAATGGCGTGATTTCGCTTCCTCCACTTCAGCCGGATCAAAAAAGTTCGCGGGCTCCTAGCATCTACAGCGAATTCAAGGATTGGTGGGGTTTGATATCTACTCCCGAATCACTCTCAAAAGTAACCAGCGACATTTGCAAAAATCTGGCATACAATTCAGAAGAAAATGAGATTCACCCGACGATCCATTCTGAACTATCCGAATCGCGAGCCTCAGTTCGCCCGCAGAGAAACAACTATTTTGAACAAACAAAAAAGAACACAGGCAGCGTTGATTCATCATGTACGAATCAATACCGAATACTTGTTCAGGTATCATACTAATTGTCGCTCTCAGCGCATACTTATGGCCCAGATATCTTATACTATAGTCAGGGCCAAAATTCAAGCCAAACAAGTGTATATGAACGGGCGCTCATACGTGAAGGACATGGCCACATTGTTGAGGGACCCGATGAGCCGTTTCCGAAGCGTCCACGATTGGAATCGCAAGTTTTGGGTGGGTATGCTGCGCTCCAAGGCTTCTGTTCCTTAGCTTATGCTTCCAGGAAATCTGACACTGTTTGGTGACGGCCCTTATCTATCCTTCTAATTTATGCGGCGTCACATGGTTGATAAATTGCCTGAACAATTTCGGGTAGGAATTGAAAAGAGCAAATTGTGGAAAGACGAGCAGGAGACGGGGGGAGTATCGATCACAAATTGTTTGAGCCTATATTTGCCGAGAACAGTTAACGAGCTCTCTTAATTATTCGGATGGGGTATTCGGAAGGCTTCAACGTCTCCGATCTATTGGGACTGGGTGACCCTGAAACACCGGACGGAAGTTTTCAAAATCAAGGGTAAATATAACGAAGAGTTCTCATATACTCACCAGACATTAATGGCTCTTCTCCTTAAACTTGACCGTTGCTCGCATGATGTAGCAACGGTAACCAGGCTTTACCTCCCTTTCTGTTTCTTCAACGCTAGGGCCTAGGCATCCGTCCGGAATAAGGTTGCCCTCCTCGTCGACAATGTTGCACGAGTCGCCCTTGAAAAAGATGATCATATCTTTCTGTATTTCGAAACATTTAATTGATATCCTCTCCCACTCCCCACTCAGCGCCCTGTCACCGACAGCATCAGTCATTCCTATCGATGGTTTCAAGGCAGACGAATGTTTGTGCGTATCAGTAGAGGCCGTACGTATATCGGATAGTCGTATGGGAGAATGAACTCGCGTCCAAGATCATGAGCTATAATCTTCAAATCGTTAGCAATTGCGATTCCGCCAGCGAGGTCGGGAAAAAAACAGCTTTATAAGATAGACAAAGAGATAGCACGGTAAGATACCTGTTAGAAATGATTTGAAGTTCGTGAGGTGGAGATGTTGATGCCCAATCGTCGCGGGGTAGTTTGTTCAGACTACCACCCCTCACCTGCTGCCGACCGACTGAAACTTGAACGCCGTCTGACTCATTTCGCGGCACAATGTTATCCAAATCATATCCTACAGGCCAGACCACGACTGTGCATCCTGCAGTATGCTAGTACCCTCCCCTGCTGGCCGAAAAGGAATGGTAAGAGGGAGAGCGGAGTGAGGAGAGGGGTAAACTATCTCACCCTGCTGCGAGCATAAAAGGGCTCATGTTTCCTCGAACTCGTCTTTTCTCATTGTCTCGAAGGGCCTACAAGGCTACTAACCATATGCGGAAGCTATAGGTACCACGAGAACGTGAACTCCATACATCCGTGCTCCCCTCCCCCCTCTCCTAAGGAATGAGATGAAAAGCGGGATGAAAGTTCTACATCGGATCAAAGAAGATCCGAGCCGCTAAGCTAGAGGCTAACTACATAGAGACTAGTGTCTCGACACCAGACAATATGTTTTGCTCGCATCAACGTCAAAACGAATCTCCTCTTGCCAGAATGGCGGAGCTTTCACCAGCTGAAAAGTCTATCATCAAGGAGCACCCTTTAGCCGGCTCACTTAATTATTTATGCGGCTTGCTGCAAGAAGCAGAGACAATCTACAAGTCACATCTAATTTCATCCGACGGTGTCATTGATAGTCTTGACCAACTCTATCAAAATGCGCTTTCAAAACTTTTTTTAGCTCTTATGGATGAAGTGGCAGCGCTTAATCTTCCCTCACGAATTGCCGATCAAAACGTGGATTCAGATTTGGCAGACTTATTTAAGCGCATCCGGCGAGGCCACCTCCGCTACGATCATTGTCGACCGCTAGTCCAGCTTGTCATCCATAAGGCTCCCGACGTTGACCTATGGAAGGCCGTCTTCGACCTGCTACCATCTCTCGAGAAACTCCCCCCTCGAGCGTTCCTCCCTCGTTCGATGCTACTCCGGTGAGATTCACGTCATCGTCACAGAAAGGACCTGAGCAGACGCGTCAGCTGGTGGAAGGGAGGATATTTGAAGAGATACGTGGGTGCACCTTTCGAGACATGGAGGGCTTCTTCACCAAATACTTTGAAGGAAAGGATTGGAGCGCGAGGGCGGATGCCATCTGTCGACGCGATCCTAGAACCCGGCAGCGACAGTGAATGGGCCAGGTTCCCCGATCCCCCTGTGCAGCTGTCCTTGACTGGTGGCTTCGGTTCCAGGATAACTTCCTCTCGGACGCGCGCGGTGTCTACTTCTCAACAGCAAGTAAGAAGGATCTCGTCGGCTCGGAGGCAGAGCGACAGGTTGATCTTTTGCTAAAGGCCCGAGTTCAGGGTGATTCGGGGGAGAAACATGACTGGAAGGATATCCATGTGGTAGGCGAACTGAAGAAGTCATTGGACGAGATCCGGACAAGCTGCTTCAGCTTGCACGCTATGTGCGGGAAGTGTTTATCGCCCAGCCAGCTCGCCGGTTCGTGCATGCGTTCGTGGTCTGCGGGACCAACATGGAAGCCTGGATGTTCGACTGCTCTGGGCCCTACAGCTCTGGAGTGTTTGATGTTTATAAGGACGCAGCACGGTTTTTTTTGATAGTCCTAGGGTATGTGATGATGAGCAACAAGGAGCTGGGTCTTGACACCTTCACCACCCCGGGCGGGAATGGCAGCCAAACAATAGCCGTCGATGGCGCTGGAACTGCAGAGGGAACGTTGCTGCGACTCGACCCTGTTCCACCCTGCTCCCAGTACACCAGTGTATGTCGCGGGACAGGCTGTTTCCTCGCAAAGGACAGCAATAAAGTGGAGGGTGTGGCGAAATTCTCATGGACATCTGACAAGCAACAGCCAGAGGTGGACCTCCTCCAGCTCGCAAACTGGAGAGGTGTCCAGGGGATTGCAAGGGTCATCAGGCATTGCACCATCACCAGCATTGCGGACCTACACCGCAGCCTGATGTTCAGCAACCCTCACACCTTCCAAAGCAGGAACACCAGCACAGCCTCATTGTTTGCGCAATTGCAATCCCAATTGTGATGTAAGCTATCCCAATCACTCACTGAACTTTGCTGACTCAGTGTCAGCAGGAAGCCATCCAGGAAACGCAGATTGCCCGACACCAGACCACATGCAGCCAAGCAATCATGTTCCAGCAGCCAGCAGCCGAAGACAAAAACAGCCAGAGAGTGAGCTAACTTTCACTGTTGAGTCAGTCCATATGCCTAGTCTCTTTGACAAGGATGATGAAGTGTATGACAACCGCATCCTCCGCTGCCTGGTGATCTCACCTGCTGGCCGGCCCATTTATGAATATGAATCGCCCTTGGAGCTGCTCATGGCACTTCGAGATGCAATAAAGGCGCATTGGTCTTTGTACCTTGACAGGAACATTCTACATAGGGATATCTCAGAGAACAACATCATCATCACTGACTCTACCAACATTGGCGGCACATCAGGCGTGCTCATCGATCTCGACCTCGCCAAAGAGGTTGGTAGCGGACAGAGCAGCGCACAACACCAGACAGGCACGATGGAGTTCATGGCAATCGAGGTGCTCCTCAATGTCGACCACACCTATCATCACAATCTTGAATCTTTCTTCTACGTGCTGATCTGGCAGTGCGCCCGTTGTGGCTGGATGAATTTAAAAAAATTACAGCTGGAATCACATGAAGGGCAAAAACCGCCCAAGGATAGTATGCTAAAAGAGTGGTATACTGGAACCTATAAGAAAATCACGAGGATCAAGAGAAGTGATATGGGTGTTGACGGGTTTGATGATATTTTGTCCGAATTTCCTCCATGGTTTGAATGCATCAAACCACTCTGCAATGCTGTTCGGGATACACTATTTCCTTACGGGAAGACAGGGCTTATTGTTGGCACCCCGCAGGATCCAAAGAGGCTATACGATCCTATTATCAAGGCGTATGAGGACGCGATAGCTCTACTCGAAGCTGGAAAAATTTAATGTTGGGTGATGTCGGCTCGGACAATATCTTTAGCCTATGAATATTATATCTCTTTGAACATTATGATGTTTGAATAATTACGATTTGGGAATACCAGTCTTTCTTGAATAATCAGTATTCTGTCACATTGCTATAAGCCCACTGAGATTCGCGGCGACATATACAGAGCGACTTTCTAGTCTCAAATGTAGACCAACATCTTGCTTGCAAGCGAGAATCGCGCCCTTAGGCAACTTGAAGTAATATCTTAGAAAGCTGTTGGTGACCCTGGGAATCAAAACAGCCTGCCGCGCCAGATTTGCACCGGGTTGTCCTTGCAGTGATTCAAGTTGTACAGAAGGGCTCCAGATGCTAAAGGCTAGTATTCATCCATATACAATTAATATGACTAGAGATAGATGCCTACCCACTGCGAATCAGTCTGCAAACGGCGCCGTAGTACACTCCAGCTCAAAGACGACTTGGTTTTCGATTCTGCCCCTCAACTTGTCCCTGTCCTTGGTTTATCACTTTGTCCACCTCCACATCTGGACACGCCCCAGCAGGCTCCCAGGTATGCTCCCATGCGATGAGAACCCACTGCTTTCCGTTTTCCACTTTATGGTCCAGGAGTTTTTTGTATTGCCAAACCGGGGCGGCCTGGTTCCCGTGCTGGGGGTCTGCTGAAGGAGATCGACAACTGTCGCGAGGGGGATGCCGTTTGTTCCCGTTCCTCTTGGGCCGCTTCGGCTTTTGCGTCTGGAAGCGCCTTCGGTTATGCCACTCATAATGAGTGTCCTTATATACATGATGCTCCCTGGTAATAGTCCTGCTCGGTTGTCCTATCCGTCATAACACAGTAGGCTCACCTGGTCACGTGCTTAAAGTTCTTCCGTGGCGACCTGAGACTCCGCCTTGTCAGGCTCCATCCAATCATTCTGGTCCTTGCTTTGCACTGCTCCATTACAGAACTTATTCAGCACCTCTTTAACATGAAAAGGAACAGGTTGCACAGCAGATGCATTTTCCACATAGCTTTTTTGTGATCCGCGGAGCCAGTCAAGTTCGATTTTCTCCTATATCAGGGGTGCACACAATAGGGACGGAGCACTGCTGTTATTTTACTGCTGTTTCCACGCAAGTTATCATATTTGCGGGCCCTTGAATGCACTTCTGTGTGCGTGCAATTATCATCATTGCCGGCCTCAGTCTCATTAACGAGCATAGGGGGCCTACTCACTTGGCCATTGCTCTCTTGAAACTCACCCCGGGGGCCACCCCATTGACCACCCTCCCGATCACTGTCTTGACCAGTCTCTTGATAACTCTCAGAGTTGCACTCTTGGTTGCACTCTTGATTGCTCTTTCCTTCATTGTATTCTTTGTCACCATTCTGGCTGCTCTTCTGATTCTCATATTTGGAGGCCACTGCACAATCCCTGTGAACTACTAAACCAAACTTGTCAAAGTCATAGCCATCAGGTAGCTTGTCAATAATGAGCTCTTCATATGGAAGTTCCTTCTCCTCTAGATCCTTGTCTTTTGATATATGAGCTTTGGTGTCTCCAGCATTTCAGATTGTCCAGATCAACCTGAGAAATAGGGTTTGGTGACTTGTCAATGGGGTGTCTTCTACAAAGTTGCACTCTTCAGATCATCAGTCAGTTGCTGCTATTGGTCATACCAGTTTTTGTGATACCAATGAACTGATCCCATTGCTCAGTGTCATCATCCTCAGTCCTCTTTGCCCTGGACTGCTGGCACAATGTTTTCTGGTGTTCATAGTGCTCACACCCTGAATACATAACATGGGGATAAGCTGCAAATAGGATTTCAAGGGCCTCAAGACTCCCCAGGATTCTGTCCCACTTCTCAACACATCATTGAAATCTCTCAATGTCACTAGGCTGACTGAGAAGGGTAGCTTGAAATTTGCAGACCTCACTAGGAACATACAGGTCATCTTTATTCTTATCACAGGCTTCACCCAGTTGGGAAGGGGGAAAGCATATTTGGGCAGATTTAGATGCAGCCATGAGGAAGTTTTCTGCAGCTAGGGCAAAGATGCTGCCGCAGGTACTGAGAATTGGAAGTGATGAAGGAGAAAAAGTTGGTTATGCTTAAGCAGACAGAGCCAGTTGTGAGTAAGAGTCACCCAAACTGGTTAGTTCTCTTACTCTCACAAGTTCCCAGCAGCCATTAGCTAGCTTAGGTATTGCTCAAATACAGTGTTTGGCTTCTCTGAATTGCTTATCCCAGCAATGGCCCATCTCTTGTGTGGCCATCTGGTGATGATACACCAGAGTGTACATAGCCTAGTCCAAACTTGTGATCAAAAGAACCAACTTGGCTGGGTCTTTCATGCCTGTGCGGAACAGGCTTCCCGGGTCAATGTATGGCAAATATTTGGTGTTGAAGTGTCTTGTTAATGATCATGATTTGCATATTCACATTTGTCCCTCTCATTTTCAAAGGCATTGATGAGGGAATCAGGCCCAGCTGCAAGTGCCCACCATTCAAGACAATAAAGAGCTGAGATTTGTAGGCCAACCAAGACAAACCCAGCAAAATGGGATTTCGCGTCGCGCTGGAAGCACTGGTTGGGTATCTGGCCCAAAAATGTATTTGAGATATGTATCATCATTAGGTCTTGAATCCAAGTGGTCTTGAGCCACCATGAAGGTATGGTAGGTTTTGACCCTTTCCACTGTAATAGAATTCCTTGTCAGTAAAAAGGTTTCGTGGAAATACAGCAACATGCAAAGGTAAGGGGTGATATCACTGTTGGGTCATTCTCATGATGTTTTCAGATATAGGTGACATGCTCCATCAACTGCTGCGCCAAAACAGGGATATTACCCCCAACATTCTTGCACGCAGCACATTTTGCTTCAAATATTGTGGCTTCACATGGCATCCCAACTAAAGATAGACTGAATGGGATGCTCCCATCAATATGAGCTTGGAACTGAACATCACCTTGTTACTGAGATGTATTACTGTCAAAGTAAAAGATCTGGTTGCAAGAGAGAAGAATAGCTTCTGCAGTCAGCTCAGACTAATGTATGTAAAGCCAGGCACTGGCACACTTTGTGATAAGAGCAACTCTGTATAGTGGAGTGAGCTTCTCCCACAGTGATTGCTTTAAATTCTTGCACATCTCTTCTTCTCAGCTGTGTGTATCCTCTGATTTTCTCTATTCCACTAACATCCCTGAACTAATGTCACCCTGCTGCTAAAAGTGAAATGCAGATGACACCATTCCTAGGCAAACCAGGATGGTGGGGCATTACCCCTCCTGTTCAAAATCTCCCAAACAACAATGAGAAAATCACAGCAGCCACACAACTCATCTCTTCATGATCAAGAACTATAATTATAGCTTAATGGAGATTCCAAACCCTCAAGAGCTGGACAGGGACTGTGAAGTTGAGCTGAAACAGCTGATCAATGAATGCACTGATTTGAGCCAGGTGAAAAATGTTGCATCACTCACAAGAAAGATTGACATCAAAAAAATTGAAAATATAAGAAGGGTGTTGCAGGCAGAGGTAAGAGGTACATATTCTTACTTATCTTGATATCCTCTGACTTGGATGATAGCACTTGCCAAACAACCATGTCATTAGATATAGTGACAATCACACCAAGCTCAGCATTATTTCTCCAACATACCTCATATGACTTTGGCTTACAGATGACAAAGCAGACATATCTTATAGTCCAGAACTGCGGTCACCACAAAGGGTGCTTGAGTTTGACAAGGCTTACTACATAGAACAAGAGGCTTGGGTTAGAGGGCAGACATATTTCCTCATGATTTTTTAATGTTGATGTGATGTTGTTGGAGAGCTACTTAAATGGAATAATCTCAATTTCTTCAAATAGCTATGCCTTCTGCCCGTTCACAGTGGCCTTGCAGTCAAAATTATCAAATGTTGCATTAAACCAAGGATCTTCTGCTTCCAAGTTAAAGGAGTCCAATCTTGCACCAAACCAGAATTCTGGTCTACAACTTAATTCTTTGCCAGCTTCTGCCTTCATGTTCTTGCTGGGCAGTGTATCTTTTATGGGTCCGCCACCTGCCTGTGGCTGCCCACCATGAGTAAGAGAGAGATTGTTTGATCCGGCCTCACCTGAGGGAGCATGATCTAATATCTCATGGGGTTTTGACAGCAATTGTGGGTTCATAGATGATAAGGAATGGTGAACTCTGTTTGCCTTGGCGGGAGGAAATTTCAGTGTCTTGAGGTACTCCACTCCAAAAAGTTCAAAACCTCATGGTAATTTCTTAACAGCAGGAAAGTCAACATCAAGGACTTCAGCAGCAAATCCAGGTAGAAGTTCAGGATGCTGATCTGAGAGGTGATGTAGTATCAATCTCTTCACCCGTGCATTGCAATGAGGACAGTTGCTGGAATTCAGCTTGTCATACATCGCACGGTGCTTCTTTTTCAAATGGTCATTGAGGTTGGACAATCAAGCAAATGTACTAGAACACTCGGGAAGAGGACATTGATATCTCTTAGTACACTTTTCAGAAGTTTGATCCCGTTTTGAGGTGCTAATGCCAATTCACCACTGCACTGGACCTGTCAGTTGCTGGATTGCAGTTGCTGTCAACTCAGTAATGGTAGATAGCTGCCGGGAGTTAATCATTGTCAACTCATTGATGGTGGATTGCTGCTTGAAAGCAATCTCTGTCAACTCTGTGATGGTGGATTGCTGCTGGACAATTTTGGCTTTAAGAAAAGCTAAAGCATCACGCTTCAAGGGAGCATCTCTGAGTGCATCAATTTTGCATCGTTTGGACGAGTACATGAGCAGCGGCATCGTGTATAATTAATAGTATGGAACCTATTTCAATGATTATCGCAACACTGAAGGGATGCCCAAGGCATTTAACACAGCTGGAGTGATGGGGGAAAGAGAGCCGTTAGGCCAAAGGTAGGGACCAAGGTTAAAGGACAGAGAGGAATGTATGAATCACAGGAAAATCAAATCAATCCCGCCACAACAGTTGAATTCCCAAATGTGCAGGAGTGGTCCACACAGAGTGAAGCCAAGGATGAATTATTGGTCATCCTGTGCAGATAACACTTCTTGAGCATATCTTGCCCAGATCAAGCCACACCCCAGAAGGGATGTCATACTTTCAGTCATTCTTCAGTTCTCCCAGCACCAGGATCTGTAACCACTTGTATCTCTTGTCCAGCATGGCATGAGGTTCTTCCACAAAGCCTATGTCAAGCTTTTGCTTCACAGTAGATCCAGCTACTGGTTGAGTGGGCTGAGCTAAGGATCAGCAGACAACTGTTCAAGATAGGTTGTGAATCTCTGCAAACCATACAAGCTGATTGATGACTTCAGTAAGCCATTTCAGTACAAGTTTCTCATTGTTATGAATCTTGCGGCACGGCAGCCGAAGGCACAGAACGATTGGATGAAACATGACAAGGCGGAATCACGGACCGTCGCGGGAAGAACCTTAGGGCGAGGATCACGTGATCAGTGATAGGACTGATAAGCTGACCGATCGCACCGAGCGCGATAGGGCTGATTGGAGGACATAGCAAGCGTACTGCGGTAGGACGGATAGGACAGCTTAGCAGGACTATCACCAGGAGAGCATCATGTATATAAGAACGCTCATTACCAGAGATCTGATGGACTTGTTCATCGTGATCAATCTTCTTACCTATCTTATAGATACCTTTGAATCAGATACCTTCATACCTTGGTTACTTTCCATACCATTGAAGTCTTGTGATACTGTACGATTGTACCTGATCCCGCTACTCTTGAGGAGGCACGATAGCCTTGCCCTGACTCTGATATACCTGTACGGAGACCCTTTGTCATCAGAGCAAGACTGCCGGCTCAACCGGAGCACCATTGGATTATTGATCACTACCCAACTTGTTACATTCCCTCTGAAGACCTTTGATACCCTTTACACCCCAAAGGTCCAAGGAAGAATTGCGGGTTGCACAACACCGCAAACCCCTCAGTAACACTCATCCACATGGTCAGGCCAATCCTTTCATCTGTTTTCACAGTAGAGAGGGCTATCCCCAGTCTTGCAGTTCTCAAACACAGCCTGTGCAATCAAGCTGAGTCCCTCAACATTGTTGAAATACACAGCAAAAAGCCCTGGAATGTCTTCATGGAGTTCTTCTAGCAGTTCCTCTCTCAGAACAGGATTAATATCTCTTCAAAGCTCTGATGAGTTGGCAAGGTTGCTGGTGTTTCACAAGCACAGAGTTTGTAGAATAGATAATAATGGCCTGGGTGTAGACATGGATCTCTTAACCTGTGTGGTGGTGGTGATGAGGTTATAGACAGCTTTCCAGATGTCAATGTCAGCAGTCTTTTGGATGACAAGCCAGACTAGCAGTTGATAGTACTCATACTGGAGGTGGCCTTGTCAGAGGTCCTTAAATAAATCTGCCAAATCTGAATCCACATTTTGTTTAGCAATCTGTAAGGGAAGGTTAAAGACTGCATCTCCTCCCAGAAGAGTAGAAAGAAGTCTTGAAAGTGCATTTTAATAGAGTTGGCCAAGACTATCAAAGACAGTGTTGGATGAGATTTGATGTGGCTTGTAGATTGTCTCTGCCTCTTGCAGCAAGTTGAATAAATCATCAAGTGAGCCTGCTAAGGGGTAGTCCTTGATGATGTTTTTTTCTTCGGGTGAAAGCTCCTTCATGCTGGCAAGAGGAGATTCGTGTTGACGCTGATGCGAGGAAAACAAGTGGAGGAGACCTGACTCCACTTCAAAGTGCTCAAGTGCTCTGGCAAACCAACACGTGACTTTGATCACGTTGTGACTTATGCCATAATGAAGCATGCCGCTTATATGATCTTGCGTATCCTTTTAGATTATCGATGCATCAAATCATTTGTTTCTTCCCTTGTCGAATTATCCACTCTTCACACATTGCTACCTAACTCCTTCCTCGGTCCTTTCTAAGCGAGCGCAGCGCCCAAGGCCTGCATCACAACGCTCTCGTCCCCGTGTTTCTCCGCTCGCTCGAGCACTTCGAAGGGATCATGTTTCTTACACTAACTCACACACCACGCTGGAGCCGGCAATGTAAAACCGCGTACATGTTGGCATTAAATACCAACCACTAGGCAATGAAGCAAAATCCCGATTGTGGGAAAAGCAATTGAGCAATGCAAGTGCAAAAGTTTCGAAAACGGAGCTAGAGCAGCTTCTCAATAGAATCTCAAACGGCGACAGGTAAGCAATCAATAATCCATATGTGTTAGGCCACTGACACGGCAATCCAGATCTGGAGTGTTGTTAGAGCCGCATTTGCATTAGCCAAGGGAAGCACGGTCACCATCAAGCACATTAAAATTACTCTAAACTGCGGGGCAGAATTTGATCAAAACTTCCATGCCGCGGGAGCATTTGATGACATGAGAGCGTATACATGAACAGTGGATCTGATGGAGGACTCTATATGCTTGTCATTCACTAAGCTACCTAAAGGGGAATCTCGGCTAATCTATATGGGTCACGTGAGCGAGGTGCTTGCAACGGATCAATTTCTCGAATGTTCTATAGCATTCTTGGCGAAACACCACACTGATTTCTGTGCCCCAATTCAAGTCCGCAGGGCGCACCAAAATTCTTACATCTTTCCATGGCTTGCCCAGGGCATTTAGTTGCAGGGCAGGATTCTCATGCCCTTCCATGGCATGCTCTGGAATTTAGCTGTCCCTAGGGCACTCCATGATTGTCTATGTTTCTGCAGCTTGCACCAGGGCACTCCATTCCCCAGGTCACTTCATGATTGTTCATGTTTCTGTGGCTTGCCGCAGGGAATCCCTTTCTCCCCAAGGCACCCCACGATTGCTCTGTGTTTCTGCAGCTTGCACCAGGGCATTTATCGCCGCAGAATCAAAGTGAGTCAGACTCTGGTTATAACGTGTCCTGCAACAATTTCCCTCAGTGCACTCCCTGATTTTGATGCCCTTCACGGCCTGCCCTAGGGCGCTCTAGCCTGTCGAGGACGACGGGATGGTTGCTTCTGGGCAGGTACACGGTGATGGCACTGGCTGGTTGCCTGGACTATTCGTCCCAGGGCACTTCACGGTTATCATGTCTTTCCATCCCCGCCTCGAGCGTTCATTCTCCCCAGGGCACTCCGTGGTTGTATTGTCTTTCTGTGACCTATTTTTCCTGCAACATAGATCTGATGATGAGATCGTTTAAATACTATTGAGTACTCACATATTTATCTCGCGACGTCACTTATGATGTCATGTGCAATATAATATACCGATCTGAAAGGCCACCAGTCAGGAGTCCCCTCTGTAGCAGTGGCAGATGTTGAGGGTTTAAAAGCACACGAGAATAGACTTTTGAAGTCCATTCTCTCTTGAGTATCGGCATCTTCAAACCCAATGAAACTATCCTATAAATTACCACTTTCCTGCCTGACTTGGATGGCCAGCTGAATAGTAAGCTGTTCTAGAGTTTTCACTTCTCCCACCAAGATACTCTCGCCGACATTCATTGAGCACGAGGTTTCCGGTTACTTCGTTGATGTCAAGAGATAAATGTGTCCACCGGTCATCAATGGGGCCTTCTTCATCCTGTCTTCGCCACAGCATTCTCCACATTGTTTTCTTCGAATCTGCCGCTGATATTCGGATGCAGTGATAGAAAGAGGTCCAGTTGATTTCTCCTTGAGTATCCTTGAGTGGTGTATTAAATACCGCGTAAAGGTGTGAGTTCCTCATCTCGAAACAGACCTCGTTACCGATCACGGAGCCATCACAGTTTGATAGCTTGATGGATGGTTCGAACATTGCCTTCCCTGTTTCCAAATCAACCGCCTGGATTTCCCACTCCCAGTCCTCGTTCCACCTCCGATAAGAGAGGGATCCGTATATAATGAACCTATCTGATTGCTCCTCGCCAGCTGATTGCCCCCTTTTCTGCCAGAGCGGCCTCGTTTTGGTATACGCATGGTATCTCTGCAGTCCATCCGCGGTGTTATGAGTTAGCTCCTATAAAAGCTGAGTGTGTGGAGCGCTTACCTGGACAACTTTACGAGCCACCTCCTTTACCTCCAAAAGAGCGTAAAGTCTCCTGTCTACCAAGCTGAGGCACGTGTATGCCTGGTAGTCAAGATATTGAGTGGCAATTCAATATCAGATATCGTTTGAGAGGGTATTCGACATGGCCGTTGGAATGATCCCTTACCGAAAAGTAAGGCGTTGGATAGGGTCTGCAGGAGCGTGATCGGGCTCTTTTCTTCTGCAAGCACTCTCCGAAAGCTGGGGCGGCTGCCGGCGATGCACTCTGGAATATATCCAAGGTTCGGGATACAGCTTGGGAGGTTCTTGTGGCTTGGGGACACCGGTCGTATCATACCCTCCTCTTCCCATTTAAACTGATCAAGAGTATACGTGGAACCGGGAGGAAAGTAGGTATATAATCAATTGGTCTGCAGATCATCCAAACAAGGCACTTGTAAATCAGTGAACTGGTGAGTGACTCAGCCCGCATCCCTTTTTATCTACTTTCCACTTTCAAAGCAGCTGCCGCTGCGTCGCGGACTCTATTTCCACTGCCGATCAGGAACAAGCAAGATGTCTTCTCGGTGACAAGTTCTCCCAACGGAAAGGAAGGCTTGGCATTACATGGGTACTTGTTCCACCCTGTAACCCCTGCTCTTTCACAAAAAGGAGAAAATCTGATAATCTTCGCAACATGATTTGCTCATCAGGGCAATTCTTGGCATTACATGGGTAGGATCAACTGCAATGTTTCTCCGGATTGGACCTGCGCTGCGGCAATAATTGTCGACCCAGGAGGTTCCAGATCTCTCTCCCAAGGAGTAGGCACAAGTGGTCCGGAAAGGGATGATTTGGCTCAAGGGTAGTTAATGGAGGCTTCCTGCTTATCTCTCTTCCATTATATATTTTACCTTCGAGTCCCACTTCATATCCCATAATGCTGGCTTCAGCGTTCTGCCAGCATTTGCCCGAACGACGGATATCACAGGTAAAATTATCAGAGACGTGCTGAAGCCGCCCCCTACAGAGGAAGAGCTCAACTTCGAATTGGATTTCTGGGAGGATGCGGATGGTGAGGATGTACGTAGCCTTCTCTGGGCGGCTGATGCTGCATCCAGGTCCGCATTTTGCCAGGTCCCCTTTGCAGCATGGGCATTAACCGCCCTTGACGAGGAAGTTCCCGCCGTGGAGTCGCTTCATTGGTATCTTGACTTCATCGCCGTTAAACTCTCCAACCGTCTGCGAAGGTGTCCCGGAATTGAGGAACATTTGCCCGAGGTACGTGGGTTGCCCTTCGGTTTTTATTATGCTGATGTGATGGTTAGGTTCTTCGTGAGGCCAGTCCTCCTGGGTGCCTGGTGATTTCCAGTGCTGTTAAGAGAAGCCGGGGTGGCAAGGCTAGTAGAACAAATAGAGATTTTGTTAAACAGCCTCTTCAGCACCTGTTTCATCAACCCTTTGCCGGACCTGTTGCGGATGCTTTGAGGATCCTAGATCTGCGATTCCAGCGTACCTATCACTCCCGAGTTTACGGCGAGCCTGCGGAATTCAGGACCGAATTATCTCTACTCCTAGGGGTTACGGCAAGCTCTCCTCAGTCGCTAGCACAGTCAATCACGGAAGCAGATTTAGAGTTGTTCCGAGATGCATTCGTACTGGAATTCATGGACCCAGATCGGGAGCATAAGCGCTTGAAGGAATTAGGCAATGCATGGAATCAACGATGTAAAGATATCGATGAGTGCGTCACGGTAAAACCAGAGTTGGGGGGCGCCTTTCTTGAAGTTGCTCGGGTAAGCGTCCTTAATATATAATTCCAAGCAGAATTAACGAAAAATTGCGTAGTGTTTGCATCAACGGCGAAATTTTCACGCTTCAACCGCGGTAGCGACAGGTCTGAGAAGTGCCAGGTATGACGGAGGCCCGATACTGCAAGACTTGCTCCGGATACTGGATGATGTTCAAGCCAACCACGATGAACTTCGCAAAGGACCAGCAGTACCCGCTTTGTTTCCTCTTTTGAAAGAACTAGAAATTCTCAGCCAAGGGATGCGGTTGCAGAAGTTGTCATGTAGCCAATTTTTCCGGTTAGCAGCCTCTTGCGTTGCTGAATTGCATTCCTTTCATACATTTCAATCCACCGATGAACTGGAGTCGAGTGGGATTTGCAGGTGGATTGGGAGCATACTGTGTATCAACTCCTGGCATTGGTAACTAGATTAAATACGTATGAGATTAGTCAATTCTTGAATGCCACGTTTTTCTATGAATTGGCTGTTGTTATGATTGGCTATATGATCTGTGTGCAAGGCGGCGGTGTGGGAAGGCGACGAGGCTCAAAAGGCGGACGGGCGCCGGCCCGCCTGCATTGTTGTTGCAGAGTATCGATCTGTAGGTTTATTTAATACGGTCATCTCCCCGTTGGTATGCCCAGAGATTCTACCCATTTTGCTCAAAGACTTCACATCCAGAATGTTAGGACCTCAGAACATCAACATGCTGGCACTCCGAGAGCATGCTCTTGCCAAGCTTGCCACTCATGTGCCGTTCTGGCTTTCTTCTGTCCAGCTACCCCGCCAGTATTCCCTGCAGCCCGACATTCTGTGCGGCCATCAATCTAACATGTTGCTTGAGGTTGAGTTGTATCAACACAATGGTAAGGTCAAGGTGGACCTTTCCAAGCCATCAGGAAAGCAGGCAGCGTTGCGCGCTATCCAGGATGACAGATATATCATATTGCGAGGTGCCGCGGACACTGGATCAATTGAAGAGGTTAAAGACAACAAGGTGAGAAACCTACTGCTATTTTTGATCCCTTCTAATCACCCATAACAGCATACTATTGCTCTCCTCTCCAGGACATCAGGCAAATTTGAAGCTAGCCTTCCTGTGTACATACCTGCCTTTAAACTTAAGAACAAGGACATCCAGTGCTTCCTGGATTGGGAAAAGCAAGCAGAACATAAAGCACCAAATGACCTGGCGTGCATTGTCTGTTATCATCTTTGGCGCGATGCGAAGGATGAATGGGAATGGGAATATGACAAAGGTCTATGGAAGGAAGAGACTGGTGAAAAAGAACTTGTGGAAGCTTTTGGCGGCGACTTGTAGGTCCGCCTATGTCAAACAGCATTGTGGTAACTGACGACTTTTAGAATAATATGTGCAGGCTGGCTAGCACAGCGACTACCTAACCTGAAAGGAAAGAGAGATGTATTTGTTGTCAATTATTGATGGAAAAAATAGAATGGCTGAGGCAATGTTGGGGTCTATCACTGCTGGCCTCATTGTGATTGTTATTATTTAGCAGCATTCAGGGAACAGGTGCATACAGGTGCATTAAATGGGAATTTGTTAGTTAAGGAAAGGAGCCACACTAGTAGAAGGCCCAGGCCTGTGAAAAAAGAGATTGAAATTGGGATCATTGAAGGTAGTCAACTTGCTGAGGCTAAAGTCAATATATCCTTTGTTTGCATAGTCCGGCATTGATAAAGGGTACTGTTGATGACTGTGAAAGGATGATAGGTCAGATACATGATTGATATCACTATGGCTGGCAGAAACATCCGCGCATATCTGAGCCTGTGCTCGCTGATGTAGTTATGTGACCACTTGTGCCAAGTAAATTTCTATCTTTGTTGTTATGTGGTGAAGATGGGCTCTGGTGCCTAGTTGAATGTGAGAAGATTGCTGGTTTAAAATCAGGAATGACATACTCTTTATGACTCTTCTCATCGCCATTGCCACTATGTTTCTGTCTTTTCCTTGGTTGAGTGCTAGACAACTGCATACTGGGAAAATGAGCTGTAACAAGAGACACATTTGCCGTGGTTGAACTGCTGTCTGGGGGGAGGGATGTTTCACCCTGCTCAATCCTTCTAGTTTGAGTGACTACTTCAGTTAGCAGCTATAGTGGACCTATGACTGTCAGACTTACATGGAACCCCTTTGCCAAGTTTACTAAATGCATCTATTCTCGAAGTGAGAGGTTCACCGTGAAGCCTATATTCATGCAAGGCAAGCTCCTTGGCGGATGGGAACTGTTGTTGGCACTGTACGCAATACATTGATTCCGTGATGTGCCGGTGGAATCTATGCTCGTGATCCCAGGAACTGTTGATATGGCGTACAAGACCGACCATGTTCTGAAATTGTTTTAGACAGTGTGGTGCAGGGCATGCAAGTGTGGGTGAAGGTACCAGATGTTGCTGGGAAAAGGGGGCTATATCCTCCAGACTGCAAACAGGGCCACCAAGTGCCTTCTCTAGATGTTCTTTGCCATCCAGGCTGCGAATTATTTCCTCCAAAACAGCAACGCGAGCATGAAGGCATTCGGCTGCTTTCACCCAGTACCGGAGCTTATCACGCGAAGTGTCTCGTGGCAACAGGTTGGCAGGATTGTTTGGCCGCAGCCTCCGTGTCTCTGCTGTCGTTAGTCATTATTCAAGACAAGGTTGGAGTGCTCACCCATGACTGCTGCTTTTGCAGAATTGCCTTTGGAGTACCAGTGTAGAGGCACCCCTGCCAGGAAGATATATTCCCTCACGACGCTCCATTATCATTTCTGAGTCAGCATCTCCAACTAATCTGAGTTCCATCCAGTGTAATGATTAGTTCAATTTTGATCGAAACCTTCTTTGCGCCAAGACCCCTGCTCAACCCGGGACGGCCCGAGCTAGATGTGGGTTCAGTGACCCAGCCAAGCCTCTGTGGAGAGTCTAACCACCAGCGTTCCTCACTAGGGGATATTTCAGCCCGCGGCGAACTTCTTCGGTTTCACGCCGTCGATGAAAGCTGATACTCGATGTTGACCGACCGACACGCCATAAGCGGTTGTTTTCGATGTCCATATGAGCTCATTTCGCATCTTCCATCGCAGGCTTATAAATGCTGATCCGTTTTGATGCCATGCCCCTTCAGCGAAACCTACCCAACAATGAAGCCTCTTACGGTGAATACAGACTCGGTCTCAAGTGTCAGGTCTTGTATCGAAGATCTTGTTATATGGAGGATGATACACTTTTTGGCAATGATGACCTCGTTGCACATATCGTGGCCAAGCCGAACCAAGCCCAGACGACTGTTGGGAATCTACCATCAATTCCAAGCATCTTTTTGGAGGGATCAGTATGTCAAACTACTTTATGCATCAGAGCTTGCATTAATTTGAATTCCTAAGGCGTTTCGCCACCTGTTAAGGCAATATTTCCAGTGCGACTTTGAAATCCTCTCTGGCTTGCAGATTCACAAGCTCAACTAGGCATGTCCTCTTGAGTGGAATCCCGAAGGAAGAAACGGGCTTGTGGCACGGGTGACCATACATGATATTGGATTGATAATTTTAAAGAGCACTGCAGTCTTGGTAAAGCGCAGATCAATGTCTGTTCCCTTAAGAGCCCATCATTCCAGCAACTAACAGTAATTAGCATAATCTGTTCCCGCACACCGCTCAACCATATGATATGTAAGATAGCCTCCGTGAGGAACTAGGCGTGTATTTGCTGTACGCTCATGGCCGCCCCCAACGGTTATTTGGAACAACCCTCTACATGGGCATCGGATTGCGCTCCAAAAATATCAAAACCAGAACTTTGACACATCCACCAGCCACCGGGCAAACATGAGGGGTCGGAATCGACTCCAAGATATATCAGTAGTTGTCTCCATCATCCGCCGAACTTGCCTTACTTCTTTTTGCTTTATCCTCTTACTCCCTTTCTTCACCTTCTGCACATTCTGCACATCCTTCTCCTTTTCCTTTTCCTCCTTCTGCTTCTTCTTCTTTTTCTTCTTCTTCTTTCTTTTCATTCTCTTTCTCTCCTTTCTCTCTATCTTCTTTTTTCTTTCCATCCTCTTTCTTTCCTTACTCTTCTCTTTGTTCTGCTTTGTCTGCATTTCCGTGTCCGGTGCCACTTCGACCTTCGATATGTCATCCAGCGTTGGAGGCCGTGGTTGGATTAGAATCGATATCTGTCTTATTGCTAAATCTTGCCTTGTCGAAGACGCCATTCTCCAGTGTGGTTTTTTTTGAAGGCAGATTTCCGAATTTCGCAACCCACTACGGATATCGCAACCTATAAACGAGGGAACATGGGAGCTAAAGCGTTTGAGTATCTCTTATGGGAATTTCCCCCAGGGCTGGAGGGTCTCAAACCGCTATGCAGAACACTGCGGCCGATCCTGATCTAATGCTAGCCATGCTACATTATCTCCCCAAGAGCAAGGATTCTTTCATCATTTTACTCGGGGCGAAGATCGTTCAATATGCTGTGTGTGTGCCAAATCAGGATGTTCGTAAGGGCTTTGAAGAGGATTTTGAGTGTGCTGTGGTCACGGGTGGTTGCATTTACCCTGCTAGTACTGGCCATGCCACCGCCATTTCAGGAGTGGCACGAGGCGGTGACGGAGCTTGAATGCCATCGTACTTGGTGGAATGTACACTATGCCCCGCTCTCGACATATCACACAACGTTTTCTGCCAGAATCATACGCATTCAGCTCATTGCGGTGAATAGTGGGAGCAAGAACATGGTTCCAAAAAGTGTTATTGTCAGGCCATTTCCGCGTCCTCTGCGCCAACGGTAACGAAGGGTTAGCAATGCAGAACGGACACTCGAAATTCTTGAGTATTTCTGGCACAAGGAATGGCGTCTCGGAGTTCGAAGGTCGTTGAGAGGGTTCCTGTTCAGCTGGGTACCGCCGTTTATGGGGGCCGTACGTGCTATGTTCCTTCCGGCTCTGCAAGCGATATCCTGGCAGGTATGGATAAAATGAGGGGAACAACAATGCTTCCCGCAAGGGTTCCTCGTGAGAGAAGCGCTTGTTGATGCAACGTGGATGCGCCAAGGATATTTGTGCCAGCCAGCGTCTGCCAAGACTCTTTCCCAGTCTGGCCTGTTATGGGATTAAAAACATTCCATTTTCTGGAAACTAAACTCTTGGCCAAATTTTCAAATTTGGCAACCTCCTGAAGGTCCAGCTCGGTACAACTTCTGGAAAATAAACTTTCGACCCTGTTGTCAGCATCTGGGTCTTTTGAATAATGCGGCTGATCTTCCGAGTGATATTCGTGGCAGATGCTGTTTAGGTGAAGCTGGGGTCAAGCATGCCCACACATCAGTTGCGGCCTACCTGCCACGGCCCGCGCACAAAAGCCTTCACAATGGGAATACTCCCGATGAGTGGCAAAGAAAATTAGAGAATATAGAATGGAGCCTGGTCTTTACTCTCGACATTGCACAAATGGAGAGCGAGCCCCACTCCTATGCTTTACTTGGAACCCGGCAGCGAGGGAACAGTACAATATACAGGTAGAAGAAGATACTGTCCAACATTCGATCCATTCTGTAGAGATAAGAATGAACTGCTTCCGACAGATAGATACAAATGACAGACTTCTCGAGCTAAGTCTCAGAGCCATAATGAACGAAAAGAAGCCATTTTCAAGTACAATGTGATTCCTACCAGGTCAATCTCCCAAGTGAGCATTCCTCCACCCTCGAAGATGCCATCTCGTTCGAAGAGACTTTTACGACGGTACCTTGTTGGTTGACGTATTAAGTTGAGGATGTTGGACTTCTATGGCTTGCCCAACTTCGGAAGAGTTGGGGGGCGTCCTTTCGCACGCTCTGCCGGAAACACTTGTCATCACTGGACGAAGGATTTACTTCTGTAAACACAGAATGGTTAGCCTTTCCTTTAGTCTGCAAAGAGGCACCCTCCAAAGGACCGGGGGAAGAAGAACATACGCCACAGGTAGTGCAGTGGCAGGTGTCGCTAGGACAACTGCAGTTCTGAGGGCCGTTGCAGCTACAAGAGCCTGTTCCACATCCGCAACCCATTTTGTGTTGAAGGTATTTGGAGACTTTGTTTTGCAAAGAAGATAATGTGTCACAATAGCTGGTATTATGAGATTTGAGGATTTACTTATGAAGAGTTTAGAAAGTGCTTCGGGGGGGGGGGGGGCGCGGAGGCGATGGCTTTATACGGCTCTATCTGCGGTCTTTTTTCGCGACGTGGCACTCGAAGCTACGTCATTATTCATCATCCATGAAAGCCAAAGGAGCCGAGATAGAACGTCATTCCTCTCCGCGCAAACTCTCCCGTTTCTTTGGAACCGTGAATAATAGACTCGCCTACCAGACACCCGCGGACACCCGCAAACCAGCCTTCCCAGCGACGTTCTAGAAAGCGCGTTCAGACGTGGAGAAAACCAAGCGCCGAGACTCCACCTTCATCCCTGACAAGTTGCATGCCCATGATGCAAATGCAACGGAAAAGACGCATACAAAACATGCGGAAAAAGGAGCAAAAAGAGGCTATCTGAAAAAAGAAAAAGGAGATTCGAAGTGAAAGTATGCCCATTCCCTGCTAAAACGCATCGGAAACATTAAAAAAAGAAAAAAAAGCAAAGCTGGGTGCCTGATTCCGTCCCGTGACGCGCGTATGAATTCCCAGCCAGTTCCGCGCCGACACCCATGATGCAGCATGATTTCATCAAAAGAACGTGAAAACATATCAACGCCTGCCACCTGATCGAACAATCCCATCGGCAGCTGCTTTGCCGAGTTTCTTCCTGCAGTCTGGGCAGTACCACTTTGCAGTACGACTTGGCACCTCTGTCAGCCCGACACATTCCAGATGGAACCATTCTCTGTCACACTGGATCGCCGTGTTAGCACTAGTGTCTACACAATCAATGTTCGTCAACAGGCAGAGAGCATCAAACCAGAAAACTCACATCATTATCCTCACAGCAAATCATGGTCCCAAAACTAACGTCTCCGCAGATGCAGTATCTCGGTTCGTTCGGATCGATCTCTTCAACCACTCCGTCTTCGTCGATTCGATAACCATCCGGTAGTTGTGCGTCTTTGGGGTTTTGATCTTTCTTCTTCTTGGCCGGCTTCACCTTGCGTCGACCAACGCTAACCGCTGATCCTCCGTCTTGGCCAGCCGTGACGGGCCCGGGAGCAGGACGTTTACTTCGTCGACTTGCTGCGGTGGTGCCCAGTGCTACAGTTGGTGCGATGGCCCCCGCATCGGTAGCTGCCGCTTTTCCCGGTGTCATGCTCTTGCGGTGGAGCGCCTCACGGCCCCCAGCTTCGGTTGATCCCGCCGTCGCAGACCGGTGACGGGTGGATTTTAGGCCAGTTGGTGGGGTGGAGACTGGCTGGGCTTTGGATGAGGCTGATGGTCGACGCCCGCTTCGGGTGACTGGGCGTTCAGGCTCAGCAGAGGACGGGCCCGGGGTTCCCTTCGCTGAACCTGACGGTCCTAGAGAAAGTGAGAGCTTTGCCGGTGTAGTTTCAGCAATAGAGCTTTCATTAGAAATAAGGGCAGGTTTGGTGAGCCTAAGCTTTTTAACATTAGTTGTTCCGGAGACAGCCTCGGAAGTCAAGGGCTCCACGTCCTCCTCCTGAGCATCAAGAGCTGCTGTCTCCTCGAATTTCCTCTTCTTGGAGGTAGTTTTTGGTTTTGTCCTAGGTTTAGCTACGATACCGTTAGCAATGGACGAATCTCCTGAAAATCCAGTGTGAACGTTATCCACGAGAGTGTGATCGGCAGAGCTAGAGAATAGGGTTTTAATCGTTGACCCGATATCACCGAGTCGCTTCGCTGCCAATTCCGCTTCCGCTGCCGCCTGTGCTGCTTGCTCTCGTGCTTGGGTCTCCCGCTTCAGCTTCTTCGCCTCGTTCATTTTCATACCTCGATTGATCAGCTTGGTTTCTTCCACCCCGGTGGTTCCCATGTTGCCGTGCACTTCGCTTTTGCGGGTAAGTTTCCCTTGAACGTAGTTGTTCATGATATCGTCACAGTCGATGAGCTCGGTGCCTGTTGATTCAGCCTTCTCCCTTGCTGCTCGATAATTATCCCATCCGCGGCCCAGTTCTGAGAGCTCACGATGGATCATGACCTCACTCGGCTGCCAGAAGTTGTTTTTCTTCATCTTTTTGCGAAGACAGGCCATTTCCCAATCTGTTAAGCGTAACCATGGAAGAAACTCGCTGCCTATTTTTGCATCTGGAGGAGGAGCTGATAGTGCTGCAAGGGCTCTACTCGTAGAGCGTTCCGCTGTGATATGTTCACCCTCTGCACCTTGCAACGTTCTGGGGTTCCTTCTGGCCTTCTTTTGCTTGGCCCCCTTTTTCTGCCCCTCCTCCACGCCTAGCCCAATAGCAGCGTCAGCATCAGATCCTTCCACGCTGGGTGCCACTTGACTGGGATCAAACGCCGTAGCACGACCGCCCCTCGCTCCTCTCTGAGCAGCGCGTGACTTTTGCCTAGCACTGTCAAGGCGGAGTGTGATACGCGTAGGTGGCTCTGTTTTCTCGACTTTAGCCCCAGCTGCGCCATCTTTTGTTTCGGGAAGGTCAATGGCGAGCTCGCGTGCGGTGGTAATTGAGAGTGCAACGAGTTTTGATTTGATGCTCGCTAAACGGTTGAAATGGCGGTCCACGACATCGTAAAGGCGAGATGCCTCTGCGAAGGAGGCCTCGCGCGCATTGATCGCTCGTTTCAGCTGTTCTGAAATCTGGACGCGCAACGCATGCGGCTCCGGGCGCGTTTCTTGAGGTAAGTGAGGTAGTTGTCCATAGGTCTTGGTAAGCTTGTGAACGGCGTTGGCCGCGTCCAGGTACTTTTTGTCCAGGTCGCGAACTAGGGTCAAGGAGCGGACTAGGTCAGAGGGAAGGTACTCGGTGTAGTCGATGAAATCGGTGACGGTGGCTTGTGCGTCGGGGTCCGAGGGGCCCTCTAGGAACAGCTCGCCCGGTCCATGTGGTGGTCCCAACCCGCCCGACATTCTAGCTCAAGCTACAGACGAGTAGGGAGAGAACGGGAGGGAGTAGCTAGCTCAAGGCCGGAGATCAGGCACAGCAGTGTGTCGCTTGTCGACCATTATCCAGTGCGATAGAGGCCAATCTCTGGCCCCTCACAAAACAAGAAGATATGTAACCAGCAATGAGCGATCCAGGACCGCAGAAAGAGGAGCTGGAGCAACCTGAGATCATGTCGTTCCCCGTGGAGAGGCGTTGTCGTCGGCTGGGCAGAAGGAGAGTTGAAAAGGTTGCCACTAAGAGAAGAAACTCCGGGTGCTGATTGGTTGGTCGGATAATCAATCATCCGTTGTCGGATGAGGTAATCTGGTAGGTGACTAATCAGTCCCCCCCTTTTTTTTGCACAGTTTGCTTTTCCTTGGCATTAGCGGGATGAACAAAAAAGCCCACTTGGAACGGTTCGACTCCGGCATCAGGTGCCTTTGGTTGCTGGGTACGTCTGTCTGGACTGGCCAGCCGGTGGAAGGCCGTGTCTGGCGGAAGACCACACCCTCTCTCTGTGCTCTTTGATCTAGCCAGCCTTGTCAGCTAGGGAACTGTCCTGTGCTTTCTTAGTTCTGTAGTGACAATGCCATATATATATACTACCTCTGCTCCGTAGAACAATCCGGACGCTCACTTTTACGAACAAGAGACAATGCTCACAGTATCTCATCGCCATGGCGATCATTCAAAACAATTCTCAATGTTATAAAAGATTGCATTCTTAGACAATCTCTGACCTAAATTTGTTACTATCTTTTCTTCCTGTCACCTTTAATCACCAGCTTTGGAACCCTTTCTCTACATCACATATACCGTCCGGTGCCCTGTGATCTCAGCCCCTACCCATGGGCCTCTCAGAGCGGCTTCGAATGCTCTTTATGGGAGCAGATGCACACCTCCTCAATGCTGATGTTGGCTTAAATACCGACGAAGAACCCCCTGAACTTGCTTGTGAGGCCGCTTCAAATACAACACCCGCCCCTGCTCTGCCTATCAGGCCCGAGCCAGCCATGCGCGGTGTCACCAATCAAGAAAGCGACTCAGATTCAGAGTTCGAAGATGAATACCTGGCAGCTTTGGCGGCTTCAGCCAAAAATAAAAATAAAGGAAAAGAACGTGCTGCAAAGCGTGTCGAGGCGACTTTCGAGAATGGTCGAACTGAGAACCCAGAGGCAGCGTCGCGGCAAGATATCGCAGAACCGCGCTATTATTGCCCGGCTGTGGTCATCAGCCGCTTTCCATATAAGTATCTCAAGGGCGATATCGCAGACAAGGTCGCTAAGGCCGTTTTCGATGATGGCAAGTTCTGGGACCGGGAATGGGATTTGTATGTATTCCCTCCATCACTCTGCTTACCCTCTATTTTCCATTTTCCGGCTTGCCAGTGGTTTTAGGATACGCCTATTTCGCGAGCAGCGACACCACAGAGTCTGCGTGGATGTAGTCCACTAACACAGACCTCTTCATAGGTTTTATGTTTTTCCTCCACGCTCGATCTCTCCAAATCCCCTTCTCCTTATTCCTCAGATCCAGGCTCAGCAGCTCATCGACGAGATCAACGAGAAGTTCCATTGCGGAGCATCTATTCCTGCACAAGTCGACATGGGTGTCTCGCTTCCCTTTGAGAATGACGGCACTCCGCTTCCGCAATTTCTTGGAAGATCTACCAGCCTGGAGCTCAAGGAGAAATTGGAAAGAGATATCCCTCCTCGACGCAGCCGTCGTGAGGACCCAAAGGCGTCGCTAGACGCAGGCGATCGTTCTTCTGCTGCTTTCCAAATTAAAATGGAAGCTGCCTTCAGAGCTCTGCGCCGCAAGCCCAAGGCGAGTAAACCCAAGAAACAGCGTGACCAGGCTCTCAAGCTCCAGATTGGGTACCGTGCACTCAAACGTTTGCAGTGCTACCTGGGCTTGCGGGGGCGTATTCCTCGTTTGAGCGAACAGGATAGCAACGATCCGGTATCTCTGGAAGAAGAGGGCAGGGCCATCAATGCCGCCTCCTTCGCAGCCATGAAAATGATGGCACTGTTGAACGTCAACGAAGAAGCGCCCTTCCCATTTGCGGACGAACCGATCTTCATTAGCGTTGACATCGAGTCGAATGAAGTCGCACACAGTCAGATCATTGAAATCGGCGTCTCAAGTTTGGATACTTTGGATCTGATCAGGCTTCCACCCGGCAAGGGAGGCTGCAACTGGATGAAGAAGATCAAAACTCGTCATTTCCGCATATCCGAATACCGCCATGTTAGGAACCAAAACTTCGTCATTGGGTGTCCTGATCAATTCGAGTTTGGAGACAGTGAATGGATCTCGATCAAGAACGCAGCCGCAGTTCTGGAATCGTGCTTCCGGCCTCCATACCTCAAGAATGTCCCCTTTCATGGAGCACAAGCTGGGGGTTTTGATCCTCAAAAATTTATCACGAGCGTCGAAATGAGCGACGTATGCTGGAGTCCTTGCCCCCCCTTCTCTCTCTTCTCTATCAACCCACTAACGACCTCTCTAGGACGATGAAGACGGCGGAGTGCCACTGCCTACCAATTACGCAGATACACCTGCTGGCCCCTCCGATAGTCGTTTCACTTTAGTCTCCGCTGCAGTCCGGCGCAACGTCATTTTCGTCGGGCACGACATTGCCTCCGACATAGGCTACATGCGCAAGCTCGGATGCACCATCTTCAAGCCAAGCAGCAGCGCCAACGCCGAAGGATCAACCCCTGTCGACCGGTCTCCCGCCAACGACAAGCCACTCTTCCTCGACAGCCTCGACACGGGCCTCCTCTTCCGCATTCTCAAGCACGACATGCAGCCGAGGGCCCTGGGCAAAGTCCTCCAGGACCTCGACATCACGGCCTGGAACCTGCACAACGCGGGCAACGATGCGCATTATACCATGCAGGCGCTGATCGGCATCGCGGTCAAGTCTCGCCTCGAGCAGGATGAATTCTACTCCGAGGACGAGGAGGATTCAGGCGAGTGGGATTCAGATGCCGCCGCCGCCGCCATCGCTGCTGGAGGTCAGGCGGTGCGCGAGTGCGATAAGCGGGGCTCGTGTGAGCATGGAGATACCTGGAGAGCGGTGTTCGAGCGGCGCGTCGAGGCCGGTATGGAGAAGGCTCGAGATAGGGTCCGTGAGGAGTTTGAGGGTTGGAATGAGAAGCTGGGGTTTAAGGGCGGGTGGGTCTTTGGCGAAGAGGATATCGATGGCGGCCTTCCTAAGGGGCTATGTGTGTGAGAAATGGAAACTGACTTCAAGTGTGGGTTTGTTTGCTGGAGTGTTTTGGTGAGATTGAGAGCATGAAATCCTACACATTGGTTAATACTTGGGGTTGGGGGGGGGGGCGGAAGTTGGCCATAAAACAGATTCCCCTTTGATAGACACTTGATAGGTAGATTGTGCAATGCGATGCAAGATATCCCTCTCGCCTCTTACCAGTCGCAGATACCCGTTAACTTTTCAGTAATTTATACTTTCTATCTAACTGTTAATTGACGACATATCAATCAAATGTACCGTTCTCCCATTCCTTTGCCTTGAATAGAAAAAAAAAAGAAGAAGAAAACGCCGAAGTCATAGATAGATATCTCCCCTTTTCTTCACATAGAACAGAACAGACAAGCAATAGAAAAAAAGAATGTTAAAAAAAAAAAAAAAAAAAAAAAGGAAAAACTCCTAGCCTCCCCCCTTCTGCTCCCAATGGGAAGAGAAAAAAACGCCTTTCGTCCCTCATCGCAGTGATACATACATACATACATACATGGCATGGCATACATAACAGACATCGAAAGAGAGAAAAAAAAAAAGTAAAAAATAAAAATTGCGAAGCAGCAAAACATAGAGGGAGTAGCCGATTCGTTAGTATCTTCCTTGGAATCGTAAAATTTCCCCCTTCTCTTTCTCTTTTCTTTACTCTTTCACTCGCTCTTCTTCTACCTTTTTTTCATTTGTTTTTCCTTTTCCCTTTTTTTTTCATTTTTATTTTTATTTTTATTTTTTTGGGCAGCGTCCCCCAGTAAGGAAAACCGGCGCATACATGGAGATTCAAGGCATGACAGACATATGATACAAGCCGACGGGGGACCTCGCGAGGCTTTTCGGGAGGAAAAAAGAAAAGAGTCGGGGGGAAAGAAAGAATCGAAGAAAGTAAGAAAGCTAAATAAGGCATTAAAAAGAGTAGTAATGTAAAAATAAGATGAAATAACAGCAAGAAGGGAAGAAAAAGAAAGAAAAAGAAAATGGCGCAAATACAGAAGAGTAAAGTAAATTTCTCTCCCGTTTTCCCAGAGGTTTCGCCAGGAAGAAAACGGAAAAGAAAAATGGAAAGAAAAAAGCAATCTAGATTCTGGTCGAAGGGGGGGAAGTGGTCAGAGCAATATGCGTGCCATCGTCGAATCAAGCAAAGGTGTTAAGGAATTTGGCGAAATATTGGGTGGAATAATCGTATCATATCGGCGAAAGCAAGAGTAATCCTCCAAACAGGGAAAAAAAAAAAAAAAAATTCGAAAAACGGCGGAGGGACGGTGGTGACGGGCGATTCGTAGCTTAACTTTAGGCCTGGATTTTGTCCAAAGCCCAAAAGCAAAAGCGAAAAACCCGCCCCCTTCTTTTAAGAAGTCGATGCACTGGCACTCGCTCTGGCCGCATTGTTTAACTGGCGATGATAAGACCCGATGGGTTGGAAGCCCCTAAGCATCCCGTTAGAACATAAACCATGAACAAAGTAGAGCGCGTCCAGGCAAAAAAAAAAAAAAAAAAAAAAAAAAAAAAAAGGAGAAAAAAAAAGAAAAGGAAAGAAAAGAAACCGCAAATTTCTAATCATCCAACATACCTCGCAAGATCAAACCCTTCCGCTTCATTCCCGTCCTCATCATCGTCATCCTCCCACCTCCGCTTCTCCTTCCCACTCGTTCCAGGAGTGATAATCCTCCCACGAGTCCTCGAAGGTCCACCACCAACCTTACTCGGGCTGCCAAGATTAGGTGGCGGTGGACTACTGCTCGGAATCGCATTCCCACCGTCCCAACGACCCACATCGCCTCCGCCTCCGCCTCCAGCGGCTTTCAACGGGCTGATATCGTTCGGTTTCGCCGGGGTGCTGCCGATATCCGCGAACTTCCAGAACTGCGCGGGGGAGCTCATGGGCATGAACTTGGACGGGATCTGGGCGGTGCTTGGCGGTGCGAGGCGAGGCTGTTGGCGGAGTGGTGCTGGGGTTATCATGGACGAGGCTGCGTCGTCGTAGTACGATGACGACAGGGCTGGAGGGGATCCGGCGACGTTGTCGGAGAGCCCGTATGCGCGGGATCCCTCGCCGTTGCGCGGACGGGACGGCATGGGGGTCTCGGCGGGGTTGTGGGCGTCAAGGCTGCGGCCGGCCCTGGAGCCGCGATCGGGAGTGTACGCCTCAACTGGGGCGACGGAGAAGGTGTGATACGCGGGGGAGCCTGTCTGTCGAGGCTTCGTGGTGGATTGAGGGTTTTCCATACGCTTTTCAAAGCTACCTTGGCCATTGGCTTTCTGGAAACTCGGACTATCCTTTCCAATCGGGGAAGATGGGGCTGACGACTGCATTCCCTTGTGAGCCTTCTTCCAGTACTCTTCGCGATATTCCGGAACAATCTGCCACTTCATCCCCTTTCCCGGTTCATCCGTGCGACGGGGAACTTTCTGGAATGCCTTATTCAAAGACAGATTATGACGAATCGAATTCTACACGATCTGTCAATATGGAGGTTCAAGCAATCGTATAATACCAAAGGAAATATATATATATATATTGTACAACATACCTGCCATCCCGAATTTGTATGCCTATAAAAAGCATACTTTTCCATAATGTACTTATAAATATTACTCAGCGACATCTTCTCCTCCTCGGTAGAGAAGATCGCCTGGCCGATGAGGTTAGCATAGCTGTACGGCGGCTTCAGATCCTTAGCCGAATCACTGCTGTAATCGATCTCCTCGGTGCTCTCCATCATCATGCCGCGATTGTACAACGGTGAAGGCTTAACCGTAGCATCGACGTCTCTAGATCTCGGTCTCGTGGTCGCCGGGGTGGCCTGACGCTTGGACGGCGTCACAGCCGCGACGGGCTGCGCCTTGGAGACTCCGTTTCTGCCGTTTGCCTTCTGCTGGCCGTGGGCTGTGAAGGGGACGGGTCGGGCGGAGGCCGCGGGTTCCGGATGGGCGTGCGAGACGGGTTCCCAGGCGCCGGGCTCCTCGACGGGCTGCAGACCGTGCAGCTTGCTCATGTAGATCGGGTGGATGACGGCCTTGTCGCCGGGGGTGACGAACATCATCTGCGTGTTCGCGATCTCGATGACATCGCCGCACTTGAGCGGCGCGCTGGTGCCTCGCTTCAAAACACCGTTGTTCAAGCGCGCTCCGTTCCGGCCGTTGACGCGGATACGCCAGCACGGGGGTTCCTCGGTGCCGTCGTAGTATATCTCTGCGTGTAGCCTCGAGACAACCTTGTTGGGACCCAGGTCGATATGGACCTCCGGCAGCGACTGGGCGGCGACGGCGACGGGGCTGGACTGCGCGTCGAGCTTCTGCTCGCGGTCCGGCGGGCGTCCGATGGTGACGTGTAGGCTCTTGACGTAGTAGGTCCAGTCGCGTCCGGCGATCTTGGCGTAGGCCTTGACGCTCTCCTGGTTCTCCTGTCGGGTTCTGGCGTTGGAGTGCGCGTCCATGACGGCGACGGGCTCTCTCGCGACGCCGAGGATGGAGATCACAGAGTCCACCAGATCCTGGTTTCTTGAGATTTCGTTCTCATGGGAGGAGTCTTCATTCTCGTCGCCGGAGATGGGGTCTGGTGTCTGTTCGTGATGTGGTTCAGGCTTTGGTTCAACCTAGAGAGAACAGAAAACAAAAAAAAGCAGGCACAGTGTCAGCACAAGATCTGCTCGAGAAAAACAAAAACAAAACAATGGGTTGACTGTTCGCGTGTCCAGAGGAGCATTACCTTTCTCTTCTTCACGGAGCGTCGGGTGGGCGAAGAGTCCAATGCATCAGTGTCCGGCAGCTCAGGCAAGACATCTTTGCGCCGATTGCGCCGTTTGGTGGAAGGGGGCATTTTCCAGTTTTCCCTTTTGCGTGTCTATGTGTGTGTAGGCGTGTGTGTGTGCGTGTGTTTGTGTGCGTTTGTATGTGTTTTGTGTTTTGTGTTGTCTGCTGTGAATCAACTTGGCGACCGCTTCGCGGTGATTGTTCTCGGCGCAGCTCTCCAAGGGTGAGATGGACTGATGAGAGAGACGGAACGGGCGGACGGATGGATGAATGGACGGAGTGGGACGGGATGTGAGAAAGACTGGCGAGGAAGGTTTTCGTTGCAAGGTCCTATGTTTCTGCCACTGAGACCAAGACCGGGGGGTGGAGGAGGTCGAACTAAGATAGATGGAGCAGACAGACAATATGGGATCAAGGCGGACTTCCGGACCGGCGCGCGTGGGATCGGGGCGAACAGTTTCGACGCAGCAGAGGGGCCGTTGAAAGGTGTGGGAGATGGAGGAAGAGGAAGAATCAAAGAAGAATAAAAGAATAGATGGGAAAAAAAAAAAAAAAAAATAGTAAATTGTAGTCGATGTTTTGGTGTCGTCGGCTTGCCACCAGGTTTGAATTTGGGTCAGGAAAGATAAAAAAACTCTTTTTTTCTGGAATTTCCTTTCGATTGGGAAAAAACTTTACAGTGGTGCCAAGTTTATTATTGTTTTAATTTTTTTTTTATTTCTTTATTTCTTTTTTTTTTTTTAAAAAAAAAATCCCCTCTTCTCCTGTTGGACGGTGAACAGAAGAGACAAAAGAGAGAGAGAGAGAGAGAGATAGGATAAAAAGGCAGCGTGTTTATTTTTGGGGTGTGAGAGACCCGCCCAGCAGTCGGGGCAGTATTGGTGGTGGTTGGATGGGCACGGACGGGGATGATGATGATGATGTTGGATGCTGCGGTGGAGTTGGAGCAGCTCTGGTCTCGTCGAAGTGGACTGCGACACGCGCGCGCGCACACACGAGAGAGCGAGACGAAGAGCGAGACGAAGAGTGAGAGACGCGGAGAGACACCGTATAGTTGGCAATCCGAATTCGTCGACAAGTCTGAGTATTTCTTTTTTTTTAAGTAGATGAATTAGATCAGAGAAATTAAAAAAAAAAAAAAAAAAAGAAAAAAAATTAAACTAAACCATAGAATTGATAGACGACAACAGATGCCAGAGCGGAAGAGACAGCAAAACGGTTGTCTGTTGTTTTGGGGTGATCTCACGATGCGCTCAGGTTCGCGTCGACTCTAGTCGTCGTCCACACAATTATTATTACTGTACTCCGTAGAGACACACACACACACACACAGAGAGAGAGAAAGTCTCCCTTGAGAGTTCGTCCAGGCTTCCCGTACGCCGCGACTCCTCCGTGACTCGTCCGGGGCTCCTCCGTGACTTACGCCAGAAATATCCCAGGCAATTCGAATCCTCCCTGTTCGAACCACACTGTTTCTGCACGAGCCATGGAACTGGCGCCGAACTGCCCGAGCAAACTCTCGATAGCGTGGGGAGGAAAATAAAAATAAAAATAAAAGAATAAATAAAAAAATAAAAGAATAAAAGAATAAAAAAAAAATTAAAAAAAATTAAAAAAAATAAAATAAAAAAAGCCGCTGCAGCGACCAAATTCCAGGCGAAAAACTTGGAGAAAAAGAGTGACGGCACGGACGCCACGCGCTAGGCCTATACCGGCAAAGAGTGGGGCTGTGCGTGGCCGGGGCCAATCAGCGGGCGTTAATTTGGGTAATGTTTCAATACGCCATACTCCCGTAGAGCAGCAGCAGCTTGCTGAGAGACTCTTTGATATCATCGCGAGGATTGTATACAGATCGAGATGGCAGGCCGAGGTGGATAGCTATCTTAAAGGGTATGTATGTATGTATGTATGTATGTATGTATGTATGTATCTCTACAAGGTCCTGTGGGCTGCGAGGAACGGTGGTCATTCTGATCGAAGATTGGTACAAGGGGCGCACGGTCAACTCGTACATCATTTGTATTGCTAGAGCAGTATGAAAAGCAGTTGATCACACGAGGAGGCAGTTCGTAGAAGAAGAAAAAGTTCAAGCCAGAAATCCGGCAGTAGGCACACGCATCAATATGAACAATAGAACAACCCAACGCAGAGAAGAGGGAATCCATAAACAGGGCATAAACAAGGGAAATGGAAGAATTTGGGGGAGAAAAAAAAAAAAAGGGGGTAAACAACCAGCTTGGCAGTCATCAGAACAACACGATAGAACGTGACAAAAAAAAACACACACATATCCTCTCCTTTCCCTTCCCTTTCCTTTCTAGACTCCCACACAAAGAGAGAGGAAGAAAAAACAAATGTCAAGCACATGCAATCCCAGAAATCAAAAAAACAAGCCATCAAAAAAAGAAGAAGAAGAAGAAGAAGAAGAAGAAGAGGTACATGCAAGACATTCGCTCATGATTCGTCCATCTTCATCTTGTCCTCCTCACCGTCCATCTTTAGCACCGGATACAGACTGTCCGCCTTGACCTCGTCGCCTCCTTCGTCCTTTATCTCCTCGTCGCGGTCCGCAACCGCCGCCGCCGCGATCGCCTCCATGCCCTGCATCTCACTGTGCGACAACCCTTGGTGCCCGTAGCTCGCCGACTGATGGCCGCTCCCTCCCCCTCCTCCCTCTACTGCCACTCCTTCTTCATAGTCTCCATGGTACAGTCGCTCGTGGATGTAGTCGCGGAGTCTCTGGAGGAGACGGACGTTCTCGACCCACATCTCCTCCGCGGTGCGGCTGCTGCTGGACGCTTTGGGCGTCGCGCCTCGGGTGTCGGGACTTCCGGTGGCACTGCGACGTTTGGCCGTGTCGTTATGTGCCGTCGACGCCTGCCGGTCCGTCGACCCACGTCGAAGGAACGGATCGATCATGTTGTCCGAAATCTTATCTTGTTCGCCAGTGGTTGTAGCTGTTGTTGTTGCGGCGTTGGTGGTGGTGGTGGTGCAAGACGCATTCTTTGGGTTTGGGTCACTGCTCCCGTCCATCGACACGTCCATCGGCTCGGGATAGTCCATGCGGGCTCTCTGCAGCATACCACCCGTGTATCGGCGGCGGTCGTCATTCTCGAAGATGCTGCTCAGCGTGGACGGCGGGGCTACGCTAGAAACACTAGGGTATCCTGCTGGTGCAGATTCTTGTGCAGAGGTGGTGGGTAGCGTCGGGTACATACTTGAGCTAGTCTGGGGGTGCGCCTGGTGCGACGACGGCGGGATGTGGTGGCTGGACGACAGGGAGACCGGTGACCGACCAGACGTGTACGACTGAGCGCTGGAAGGGGGGGTCAACGCGGGGGTTGCGCTATGAGGGGATCTGGCTGATGCTGAAGACGTGGCTGGCGGAGCAGACGTAGCTGTTGCTGTTGCCGTGGCGTGGCTGGATGGCAGTTGCGGAGCCGTGGGAGGAGAGTTTGTGGTGCGATAACTCAGAGCCCCGTGGATGTAATGCGCACCCGGCTGAGCGACACCAGCGGCTGCGACGTTCTCATCGCTCTCATAGACGGTTGTTTGCATTTGCTCCAGGAACTGATCAATATTCATCAAGTCAGTCTTGGTGCGAAGATTACCCATCGGAGGCAGGTGATAGGACTGTGCAGGGATTGGCCCGGAGTGGTAACCTCCATGCCCACCAACAGTGACCATCGCAGGCATGGGCTGGTAATCAGGCACAGCAGCAGCGTGGACCAAGGGGAGAGGCAATCCGTGCAGATTTAACAGGCGTTGTCCAACCGCCGCATAAGAAGTGGGGTCGAACTGACGTCGTTTCAAATCACCGAAAAACTCATTCAGCGCATCGTATCCCCGCTTCTTTGATTCGTACGACGCCTGGTGAGTGGCATCGCTCCCAACGGCATAATAAACGTTACCATACGACGGGTTCGACGGATGTTGAGGATGCTGAGGGTGTTGTGGGTGCTGTGGGTGATAGTACTGCGGGGGTCCGTGCCCGTACGGTGCGCCAGGAACAGCACCCAGTGAGCCATCAAAATAGTGCCCGGCTGGAATATACAGGTTCCGGTTAGCTGCGAAAAAAAGGGAAAAGGTTATTTCACTTCAATGATATATTTAAAAGAAAGAAAGGAAAAAGAAAGGAAAAAGAAAACCAAAACCAAAAGAGGACAAGAGAAAGAGGAGAGGGTTTGGCGGGGGAGCGCGTTTTAGACTTACTTTTACCGTCTGGACCGACACCAACACTGAACATTCCGTTTGGAGGTCTTGCGCCTGGACCGGGCTCGGGGGACCTGACGAGAACCGAGTCGTCTGCATGCGTCTTGACATGCTTCTTCAGATCCTGCGGACGCTTAAATGCCTTGCCACAGAAATCACATTTGTGAGGCTTCAACGGCACATGGACACGGATGTGAGAGGTGATATGATCACGCTTGACCGTTGTGGTACGGCAATTGCCCCATGAGCAAGTCAAGTTAAGGTTATTAGTACTCTTGCGCCCAACATGGCGTTCGCAGACGTGTTCCTGGTGCAGACCGATGTTAGGGTGTCGAATGATCTCCCAGTAACGAAAGGGGCTTTCAAACAGGCGGGTGCCATTTACGGAGAGGGAGCCGCCAAGACAACCCAAAAACAAAAAATAAGAGAAACGAATTTAATCGAGGGTCACATCAAACCAACATCCTACACCAAAGGTAATATGAAAGGAGAGAAGAGAAGCGAAGAAAGAAGAAACGAACAAAGGAAAGGCTTGGGAGCAAGATGAGAGATGGAAAACATACATAGAGAGCCTCGGGAGTGGGACAGATCTCGCGACAACCGGTCCACTGGCAGGTCAGATCGGGCTGCTGCTGGTTTGGGTTATTGTTGTTTGCATCCTGCGCGGTCGCGACGGGGACAGCAGAGGCAGCAGCGGCTACAGCGACGGCCTGCTGTGCGGTTGCGGGAGCAGAGGCGATGGACTGCTGGACAGGCTGCTGGGGGGACTGGATCTGAGCGACGGGCTGCTGTTGCTGAGGCGGAGCCTGCTGCTGCTGAGGAGGTTGTGGCGGCGGCGGCTGTTGCTGCTGAGGTTGCTGCTGAGGCTGCTGCTGCACCGGCGGCTGCTGCTGCTGTTGTTGTTGTGGTGCTTGGATCTGTTGAGGTTGAACGGGAGGCTGGGCTTGTTGCTGAGTCGCAGGAGCCGGCTGAGCGGACTGCTGTTGCTGCTGCTGTTGAGCCATGGCGGCGGAGGAGTCTTGGTTTTCCGTGGAAGCCATGCTTGCCAAGGAAAATTTCTTGTCACCTCCGTCTCCAAGAACTTCTGAACAACTGCAACAAGATCTGGAAGATTGAACAAGACCAGTGAAACAAGGAAGAGATGCCGAACGTTTAAACAAGAATGGGAGAGAGGTAAGAAGCAGGAATGTGAAAGAGGAGTGAGGCGAGGAAGAAGAGGAGAAAGAAGGGGAAAAGAAAAAAAAAACAAAAGGAAGAAAAGAGGAAAATGAAAATGAAGTGGGAGAGAGAGAAAAAGGGTGATTCCTCAAACGTTACGCGGAGTGCGATCTGGGAAAACCACCGTGATTGGCCGAGACGCCAGATTGGGAGGGGAGGGGCTTGATCTTGAATTTTTTTACAGCGCCCAAAAGTCCCGGTCTGATCGTCTTCCCCCGGTCGACGTTGAGAAGGCCGTTCCTGCTTTGCGACGACAAGAAATATTTTTAGAATGCGGGGGCTACAGTAGAAAAGAAGAGCGACTCGACAGGACGAGAAGATTGAGTTTCTGTTCTGGGGGGGTTATGGGGGAGGGAAAAGAAGCGCAGCCAAGGCCCGCGGGGGATGGTTGACGATGAGCTGATTCACAGCGACAGGAAGGGATACCGTGGCCTGTGACCGAATACCACCTCCGTAATGGGTGACCAAGCCCGGGGAGTTTGGGGGAAAAAAAAGGGGTCCGGAGAGGAACTCTGGTTGGCACTCTCGGCAATGTCTGGGCACAGGGAGCGTGGGAGGAAAGTCTTGGGACTTCTTGGGCAAGGGAGGAAGTTCTGGGCACGAAGGAAAATTCTGGGGAGAGGGGAGGGAATTATAGCAAAGAAAGAGGGCTTTGGAAAAAAACCAAAAAAAAAAAAAGAACGGGTTACAGAAAACACACACGCGAAAGCTGAAAAAGGTGTCCCACCGTGACACGAAAGGGTAAGTTAGAAACGAGGCTTCCCGTGGGAATAATCTGTGGGGGGGAATAACAGCGGCACTCCGTACGTGTATGTTAAGTACCAAGACAGGACAGGACAGAACAGGACGGCGGGCGGACAGGGACAAGACCGGAACTCCAGGCCAAGACACGGCGAAGAGGGGGGAAAGTCTCTCGCTCTCCCAGTCGACTCGCGCTGGACGTTTACCACCACCGGCCAGGAAGGGAAGGTGGACGCCACAGCTCCCTGGGTTCTTGGTCCGGTTGACTGCGGGGAACGCTGGCGTGCTCTGGAGTTGCCATTGGCTAGGACCCGGGGGGGCGGCTGTGGTGAGAGATTTCCCACTCCTGCAATACCCTGTGGCATGTTATGGGCTGGTACGGTAAGATTCGCACCACTCCTCCGTATGTATACTCTCTCCATACGGTAGTAGAAGAAGTGGGCAGTCGCCGCTACCTTGGACCGCCGTCATGGGGGCGTTTGTCTTTCACGGCCGGAAAATCACCCACAAGGCCCTCCCCCCTGAGAGAGGACCCCATGTACGGAGTACGCAACATCCATACGGAGTACGCTATATGTTGCACCTCAAACACGAGTTTGCAAGGCGAAACTCAAAATTAAATAACCAACATCTTCATCCGATCCGACCTTGTACTGAAGAAAAACACACACACACACGAAAAATTACCCTCGTCCTCCCCTCCCCCTTCTCCCAAGACCTCGCCGCTCGTGCCAAGGTTTACGGGTCGCCAAGATCAAGGCCAAGCAAGCCAAGCCTGTCCCGACAGCCAAGTCGAGCCAAGCAGATGCCGAGAACCCTTGTGACACAGCCACTCCAAGTTCCTCAAACCGCACTAAAAAAAAAAAAAAGGTTTCTCATCACAATAAATAACCACATCAAAACAAAAATTACAGGTTAATCGCGTCATGATTACCCCCTTTCAAAACTTTCTTTGCCATCAAAAAAAAAAAAAAAAAAAAAAAAAAAAAGGAAGAACAGAAAAAGAAGGGAATGACTGTAAATGTTTGCTGTTTGCTTGTCTTTATGTCGGAAGATCTGATTTTGACAATTTTTTATTCCTTTTTTTTTTCGACAATAGTGTATCAGTGTCAGGATTCTTTTTGTGTTTTTTTTCGCGTGGGGGAAAAGTTGAGACACGCGAGGACGCAAGTCTGTATTTATGCAATGGAACATTCCCCGTATGTAAACGTATGATACAACCACACCAGATGAATTACATCCTCGAGGGTACCAGCCCTTTTGTATCTCAGACGGCGGAATAGTTTCACCGAGTCCGTGTCAGGCGTACCTAGAATCTTACTTTTGGAGTCTCGAAAAGAACCACAACCGCAAATAAAATATATAACAGTAAACGGAGTTTATATATAAATTATATATATGTGTCAAAGAGTTATCTCCAGCGAATGACGGTGTAATGGCCTAATGCCCCATAGAGCAACATACCGAACATTGCCCCGTTCTCTCCTATCTACGGCCCGCGAAGCAAATGGAAAAACTATACGTCAATCCGTCAACCTGAAACAGACGCCCGGAGCCCAGATTGATTTGCTGTGACGCCAACCATAACACGCCAGGGCAAAAACAGGTAAATGATATGGGAATAAATACTCCGTAGTGCATAGATGAATAAAATCAAAGAGAAAGAAAGACCTTGTTTCTTTTTTTTTTTTTTTTTCGTTTTCTTTTTTTTTTATATGGGTTAGGAAAAAAAGAGAACCCCACTTTAGTAGACACCTCACCACCAAATAAAAAAAAATAAAATCTACTACTGTGAATGTCCGGGATTGTAGGCTGTTACAACCATGTCGGAATGAGGAAGAGAGTTAACGACTAACCCGGTCAACAGGTTGGGCCTGTTATGGAACCCAGACGCGGACACTCCCAAACCATGGCGTCTCTCAGCCCTCTCCTTCCGTGCCCATATGCCAGCTGCTCCACTGGGCCCAGTCCGGATTCAGGCCAGAGACGCTGTCCATTCCCGCATTGTCAAATTGATTATCGTAGCCCATCGTCGAGCCGAGTCCCATTCCCATACCCAGGGTATTGAACCCAACCATGCCGATATCCATCGGCATACTAAAGTCGCCAGTGCCGTTGGTGAACGTGTCCTCAGACGCCGAATGGGGGAAGAAATTGCTGCCTGGTCCCTGAGTCCCGAGGTTCTGCCACAGGAAGGCTTGTCCGGGCATCGTGACGAGATCGGGGTTCTCCACGTATCCTGGGGCGGAAGCGTCCGGTGCCGACTCTGAGAGCCGTCGCTCATGCCGCGCGGGGAACCCGCTCAGTCCCTTGGGTCGAGAAGTCATGCCAGTCAGGTTGCTGAGATCCTGATTGGAAAATCCAGAGAAATTAGGAGGGTTGATGAAGCCTCCCGGAGAGGAGGCGGTCGTTCGAGTTGGAGTGCTGGCCTCGAGACCCGTGGACATTGTATGACCGGGTCGGAAGGGGAATTGCCTCGAAATATCTATAGAATCCTGCTTGAACTGCGCATCCTCCAGGAGGGACATTGGTTGGTTCGGATACGCAAATGGGTCATCCGATGGGAACATCATCGGCATCAAGTCCGGAAGACGACTCGGGTTATCGAACGGCGGAGAAAACGATATCGGCTGCTTCAGGGGAGTTGATTGGGCTTGTTGGCCGGCGGACAGTGGAGAGGATGGGGTAGATATTTGGGATGTTTCCTTGTCTGACGTAGAAGGTAATATCGACGTGGGTTGTGGCACTGTAGTGGGAGATTGGGACAAAGTTTGCGAAGCCGTAGCTTTACTTTCCTCGATATGGGATTGAACCATGGCTTGTTGCGGTTGTTTTTGAGCATTTGCAGTAGCTTGAATTGGGAATGTATTCGACCTCTTTACCGAGTTGAATGGCAGACCTTCCGTCTCTTTTTGTACGCTCGGCGGCGTAAGAGTGCCGGCCAATTTTGGCGTAGAGGTAGTTTGCAAAGCTGCTGGTTGGGGTCGTTTTCGATTTATTGGTACTGGCACGTTGGCGCGCCGATTTCTTAGCCTCTCCGGTAAATGCTTGAAAATAGCCTGGGATATTGAAATTAGCCAAAGAGCTTCAAATGAGCAAGGCTGGTGGAAAACACTAACATTGAGACTTTGTGTGCACCTATCTGCCGCCATACTTCTCTTTGCGAGTCCTGCTAATGTATTCTTGCCTTCAAGTGCATCCTTCAGAATGCCATCCTTAGCGCTGGCAGACTCTGGGTTCTCTAGTATGAAAAAAAGCAAAGATAAGATGGCGAAATACGTCGTGTACATCGTAAACCAATATGAACCATTCAAAAGCTGCTTCTTTTTCATCTCTGCCGTGATATGAACGACGTTCCTGGCCACACTTACGCATGCGGCCGCACAGGCATATGAGCGTTTATCGATTCCGCGGCCGTGCGAGCCCCCGCTGACATAATGCAAAAAAGGCCGGTACATTGCCATCTGCACATGCGCGTAGCTGATGCGTAACAGCTGCCTCAGCCTAGAATTGAAGGGTTCAGCGTGAAATCCAATCTTGCGAGGAAAACACGGAATCACTCACCTATCGACTTTAGGGGACGCCTCACTGCCAGGCTTAAGAGACTCAGGAAGGTCATCTTTCCAGTCTTGAAGATCACGCTCGATTTCACGTATTTTAGAATGGCTGACCATGTAGGTATGGCTCGAGCCGAGATTTGCCGCTTTCACTGGGTATATGTATTTTGTAACCTTGAGTAAAATCTGAGCTAGCCGTATGTGCGCATTTACCCCAGCCATGAGGGAGGCGGAGCCCGGGGGTACCGGCAAAATTCCTTCTGGGGTTATATATTCATCCTCAATTCCAAGCGGCGGGTCTTGGTCGATGTCATCTTCACTCAGCATCCATGGGAGCCCTAGAATCGTGCTAACGTGGATATCCATACTTCGCACAACCCAGAATACACGCTTGCGCGATTCTAACTCCACAGGGTTGAAATTCGCCGAAACAGAACGATGGAGGCCTAGGCGGAGTGACGCTCGGAGGGCGATTCCGATATATGAATAGCAAGTACTGATGTTGGCTGATGCTTGAAGGAAGAGAATCATGAAGCAGATCGCTTGAAGGGATGTGAGGTCGCGACATTCCGTTATGTCAAGAAGAAGACGGCCCGCTTTAAAGTATTGAAAGCTGAGGATTCAATGTTAGCGTGAGCGATTATTGATATTAGGTGAACGACAGGATTTCCTACCCTTGGTCTACAGCAGGCTCATACCCGGACTTATCAAGGGTGCTATCACCCACGCCTCGGAATAAACAACCAACGGCAAGCGCAAGATATAACAGCGGCAAAAAAGTGTTTTCCTTGTTCGTATATTGTTCCGCAGGGGTATCGTAAATTCGATCAAACATTGCGTAAAATGTGGGTTTGTGCATAAAACGTAGGACAATACATGCATCTTCAAGGGCATTATCGCAGAGTTTGCGGGCAATATCCCGAGGAGGTAAATCGTGCGCCAAAGACATATACGTGTCGATGGGTGATTCTGAAGAGGATTTGGCGCTTTCTAGTATTTGGGATATTTGTTGGAATTTAGAAGGAGTACGCTCGGGGACAAGGTTCCCGAATTGCTTTCTCAAGTGGCGGACAAACATGAGACCTGACGATTGGCCGTGATAGTCCCAATGGCCTTGGTCGTCGAGATCGAGAGCACCGGTGTTGTCCACCATTGACTCTAAAAGCGATTCGTCACAATGCTCGGAAGAAGACGACTCTTTCCGCTCACGTTCGGGGTTGGGTTCAGACTTGGGCTTCGTAAGAGTTGAGACAAGTTCCCCCACGTTGCTAGCATCAAAAGATGGGTCATCCAAGTCGACGTCCGGGAGAACCGCACGCAAAAGGGCCTCTGCTTTTTGCAATCGAGCTTCCAAGGCCTCTATGTACTGTGGCGCAGGGTTTCTCCTCCTATTTGAGGGCTGGTCGTATGTGCAGGCTAAAGTTGACAAGCCACACAGTCAGCAGCGAGAACGAAGCAACCAAAACAGCGAAGCCAGGGACGTACCATAACTATAAACGGTGCAGTGCGTGCAGGGCTGTTTGCCATCACATTTTATCTTTTTCCGTCGGCATTCATCGCAAGCTCTAGTTACTCGCCTCCGTTTTTGCACCGGTATGGCCAATTTGGCCTGATCTACATCCGCAGCCTGGTTGTCATCAGCAGACGCAGGAGTCTGGCTAGGCGGTGCAGTGCGGCTGGCCTCGCGAGAAACTTGGTCGTTCAATTCGGCGGCGGCAGCGGATAGACCACTCTTTTCCTCAGGGGCGCACACGGGTGGCGCGGTTATATTATCTTGCGGAACCATGATCGGAGCGCTGGCACTAAGCCAGCCAAGTGCATCGGAGCGATCGAGACAAGAGAAGAGAAATCAAAGGTCGCAGATGTTGTCCTCGTCGTCAGTGCCGCCAGAATCAAGACGGGACATGTCCAAGCCAAAACGAAGCTACGGGCGGGTCCTTCGTCGCACAATTCCGGCGAGTATGATCTTTTCCAGGAAGAATTGAAATAATTACCTGTGCCGGAGGGAAAAGGATACAGGTCAGCAGGCGGTTGGTGATGAAATCTCTTTGGATTTGGGTTTGCCTTAGGGGGTGCTCCCGGCGGGGCTATATAGGCAAAGGGCAAAAAAGCAACGGAGTGGGTGGGACACTAGAAGCTTACCAGGATACGTCAAAAAGGGTCAATCCCCCACAGGCTTACAGCAGCTTATTCACCGCCCTATCTGTCGTTGTCGGGACTTGGGTCTGCCATACAGAGTCGAGGAAGTTCTGCGACAATTGTCCAGTGACAGGACCCGGCCAGGCGATTGGACTACCGATCGGAATATTCGTGGGCTCAGATTGGCAGGAATTCCGAATTGGCTACACCCGATCCATACATTTACGGGTGCATCACTGTTTGCTTCGGGGGAGAAAGCAGATTAACGACCATGGCAGTTCGGAGCAAAACTGCGTTCGACGGAGAGATGAGTAACAGGGTAGGGATACGGAGCATGGCGGACAATGCGATAAGACACCAGGCTGGTGGTGCCTCTAGTCAACGCTATTATCGCTTGGTTTGCTAGTCCGAATTCTATCCACAGCCCTGTCCCTGCCAACCAAATTGCACATGACATTGATTTTTTTCCGGAATTTCTTAGGGAGAATGTCTTTTCACGAGCTGCTCCTGTGTTCCCTCGACAAGATTACCCCCGGGCTGCTGCGTTCTTTTAGCCACTCCGACGCCTCAGACCCGCGATGCTCTGCCACAAAACATCGCCCTTTTCGCTTTCCACCCCACTAAACTACACTCCGAATCAGCGTTAATAATCGACTAAAGTGGCAATTAATCAGCAATGACGCCAGAGTGGGTCGCCACCAGCCCCATCTGCCAGCTGCCTCGAATTCTCATTGGCCAGTGGACTCCCTGCCCGTGGCTCGTGCTTGAAAATTTTCTATTGGTCGGTGTCAAGACAAGCTTTGGCTTAGATAATCCCGCTCTTGTACCACGTGACACGGCTTCCGTCATCAGGAAAAAGGTTACTCCGCGCTATATTGAGCCTCGCACCACATACGGGAGGACGCAGGGCATCGTTTTAACCGCAGACTCAGGCAATGGATGTAGAGAAGGGATCAGTTCGAAGGCATCAAAAGGGTCTGTCAGTTGGATATAAGCCCAGCTATTCCCTTTTGGCCAATCAGAAGCCGTGAAAGACCCGCCGGAAGCAATGAAGGTTAGGAGATGAAGATGACTTGGAAACAAAAATGTAGAGAGAAAAGAGGGTGAGGGAGGGCCTAAAGGAGAGCAGAAATAACGCGTGTCCAAAGAGATGTCCTCTTTTGCGTCGTCTGCAATGGTCGCCTTGTTCTCATCAGGAAAAAGCAAATTAGTTATATCCCTGCGAGAAGGGCGTACCACTCCACTCGGTGGTAACAGTTGTCCAACGTCACTTGCAGATGTCCCACAAGAGTAACATCCCCCTTCCCAAGGGGCCATGGGCTGCTCTGCGAACTATTCTGGTGGGCGGGGGTGAATTTGGCTTGATCTGCAGCAGGAACTTGAGCCCCATATTTCTCAGGCTTCCCGTCCATCCCCATCATCACGCAGACGAGTATTCCAATCAGATGCGAATGCTAATCTTAGCTTCCCAGATTATTCGCTGCTGCGGCGCTTGACTTCTGCCTGCAATACAGTTGATGTGCGACTGTCCGCTGAATCAATGCTGTCATAAATACTTCCTATTCCCACAAGACAAAACCGCAGTGGATAGAGTGATGTGTTTGTGGATCTAGGATGAAGACATCGAAATGGCATTTATGTTGGCAATTCTGTGCTGCACCTTTTCTGCGTTGGGCTCATTTCTCTTCGGTTATGATTCCGGTATCATATCTTCTAGTGTAGCTCAAGAAGACTTTCGCCGTCGCTTTGAAAATTCTTTGAGTGACCCAGCTGTTGGCGGGATTATTGCTTCGTTCACAGGTTGGGACGCTTTTATTTAAGCCACATGAGCATCTAGATTTTTGTCGCCAAAACATACCCCTAGGTTCGGGCTCTGCTTACATTTGAGGACGTTCATAGGAGGTGCCATGATTGGATCCGCGGCTGTATCATTAATATCCGACACCTTTGGGAGGAGAAATGCGCTGCTTGCTGGGGGCATATTAGCCGCGTGTGGAGCTGCTCTTCAAGGGGGAGCAATTTCCATTGCCATGCTCATAGCCGGCCGATTTATTGCAGGTTTGGCAATCGGACTCCTCTCCGCCACAGTTCCTGTTTACTGCGTGAGAACCTCCCTTTTCGATAGCTTGAAAGTCGAGAATTGATACGTCTGGGTTATTTAGTCCGAGGTCGCGCCATTCCGGATACGAGGCCTTTTGGCCGGAATGCAACAGTGGATGATAGGATGGGGATTCGTGGTCGCCGTAAGCCTTTTGTTATCATCGGAGAGCCTCGAAGTGCTGCTGAAAACATTGGATCCCTAATTAGCAATGGGTTGGCTACGGCTGCTCTCTAATAACTGGTTCTTTCTCGTGGCGATTCCCACTCTCGTTCCAGGCGGTGCCAGCTGTTTTTCTAGTGGCTGCGACTGCCTTCCTCCCCGAAAGCCCACGCTGGCTTATCGAACAAGAAAAGCTGGCCGAAGGCCATGGGGTCCTTCGTCGTCTCCGGGCGAGCCATGATGATCCCCGCTCTCTCGAAGCCGAATTCCTGCAGATCCAAAGAGGTATTGCCCGAGACCGGCGCTCAGTGGTGAAATCCTGGCCTGAGCTCCTTCGATGCCCTGGCTGGCGTCGCCGTCTCCTCCTGGGTGCCACAATTCAAGCATCCACCCAATGCTCCGGCATCAATGTAATCAACTACTATGGGCCACACATCTACGCTGCCCTCGGCTTCGAGACATCCCGCTCCCTTATGATAATCGGAGTCTCTGGTGCCTTAGCACAAGCATGGAACACCCTTTGTCTCCTCGTCCTTGATCGTATTGGGCGGCGGACACTTCTGATTCCATCCCTCATCGGAATGGGCGCAACTCTCTGCGTCGAAGCAACCCTTTTTGAATTTTTCAACCCAGAGACTTCACGAAATGCTAACGCACTGCGCGCACAAGTAGCTATGTACTTTGTATTCTCGTTATTCTTCACGTCCCTGGGGGTGATATCGTGGATTTATCCCTCTGAAATCTTCCCGACAGCGATCAGGGCGCGCGGAACGTCTGTGTCCACGTTTGTCAACTGGAGCCTGAATCTAGTTTTTGCGCAGTGTTCGCCGATTGCGCTGTCGCGATTGAAATACCGGTATTTCTACTGTTTTATGGCGTTCAACTGGGTTGGTGCAGTGATAGTGTGGATATTCTTCCCAGAGACACTAGGAAAGACGTTGGAAGGGGTTGAAGAAGTTTTTGAGGGACAACAAAATAATGATGATACTGCTTTGGAAGCCCACTCATGTACTGAAAAGGGTAACAGGATAATGTCGGAGAGGAAACGTATCGATTCATTGTGAAGTGAGTTCGAATATAAATGTTCCATTGCGAATAGCAAGAACGTTCTACTAGTTATTCGGCCTGCCTGCAAGGCGTAGGCTATTGCTTAGGGTGTTTAAAAATCACGTCATACAGTGATATAAGTATATATCCCAATACCCTCTAACGCGAGCGCGAAATATCTACCATCTTGCTCAGATTTTTGTCTCAATGATCCAGAAAAGAGATCCCATGCATCAGTCACAAAAAGGAATTTCAAACGCCCTAGGTCCGCAGTATTGGCATGATATACATCGTCATCGGTGCCGACAAAATCTCTCTTTTCAGCGAAGGCTCCCAAGGCGCCACTTTGGGCCCGCTAACCTCCAGAGTCAAAAAGGAAAGAAGCATCAAATTCAGCGTCGACCGCTCGCATGTGCCACCAGCTTGGCTCCTTACGCTCTGCTCTTGGGTCGAAATCGTCCACTGCGGCTGCACTCAGGGTTGCAGAGATGACAGGGTCTGAGAAATCATCCGGGCGGTTGATGCGGTGTCTTAGCAAGGCTTTAATGCCTTTATCACGGTGGGCGATCGATTCAGCCGTCTCGTCCAGTCCACTGACCCAAGCTTGTGTATTTGCAGCATGGACAAGGATCGTGTTTTGGAAACATATCGCTTCTTTCATAGCCTCTGGTACAAAGACATCATTATACCAGTTATGCGCATGGCGAGGAAGGACATTGAATCCGTAGGAGCAAGCAGGCATGACGTTGACATAAAAATGGAATAATTGCTCTTCCCTTTCCGACAGTTTCATGGGCAGGCTATTAAACGGGTCTCTCCATGTAGCTCCAAGCAAACACTGCTGGGAGGGCGAAGGCGAAGACGATGACCGTGGGAAGGGCGACGTTTTTAAAGAAAAGTCAGAGTTTCTGGAGTAGTTTATACTTCCCTGAGAAGAGTGAACGATCAAGTTCCACTGACTCTCGTCCCCGGTATCTTGGTGACTTTGAGGAGCTGGATTTATCAAAATATAGCCGCGCGGACTTGTTCGGCTCTTCTGGTGAATGGTTTCCGTACTATCTAATTCTTCAAAGCGCGTCACGCCGTCAGTATCGTGAACACTCGGCTCATCTTTGTCAATACTTTCCAGTCGGCGCGCCGCCCCTGGTTTGGTCGTATCTTGGGGGTTCTGCTTTTGGGAATCGGAGGATGTGGATTTACGAGTCCGTTTGGGTAATGTCGGCTTTTGCGTTCGTTTTTGTGATCCTATCCGTCGTTTTCGGCGTTTAGGAGCCTTGTGGTTAGATTCATGGCCACCCTGGGATTTTAGTTCGCCAGCGCGCTTCCGATGGATATGATTGTTCATGGCATGGCGTTTGACGGCTGTGGAATCGGGGTTTATTCCATCCATGAAGCAGTACAGTGTGTTTTGTTGGGACTCGTGGCTAGCAGCTGCATGGTCTTCATTTGTCATATTGTCAGACGTGAATATGAACGTTAACGGGTATTCGAAGGAGAATGCGTGAGACGTGGATTTCAGGCTGACAGTCTATTCAGCGAGTGTTCTCCGTCAACAAGAGGACTAGCCATATGACAGTAGGCCATAGATGTACCCTTTTGCGAGTTGACGGTATGTGTAAGCTCTCCTTTAGGCCCAAGGCACATAGAAGATCCGGGGCCTAAGTAAATATGCGTTGCGTCTTGGCTTCTCTGCAGGATGACAACATATTACGCATAGTGCAGGGAGATCGATAGCCGTGCAGCATCTCTAAGCGGGTTTGGAGGAATCCCTCGTCGTACTTCATGCAACCTCCGTGGTGGCACGAAAATGGAGCCATTCTCCACAGGCCAGGCCATTGCCGGTGGTGCATACGAAGTAGCCACTATCATAAATAAGTCAAACGAGAAATTTAGCTCTGAAGTTTGGGCAAAGCCTTTCGAGGATCGTGTGGGGTGTGGCCCGTTTGGGGGCGGGATGGATGCACGTCGCGCCTATGAGATTTTGGAACGGTCGTTGGAAAGAAGCTTTGTGGATGTCAGTTTCTCGTCAACGGATATCCTCGCGGCTGTCAAGATCAGTCATTCGGCGCATCAGGCTGATTCGCTTATGGGACGAGAATGGCCAGGTGCTTGTAAGACTCCACGCATCACCATGAGTTAAAAGCCCTGAATGGTCGCCTCATTAGCCTCGATGAGCAACGATCTAGGGTAAGCCTTAGTTATGTGAGGCGAGCATAGGTAGTCTGAGTCTGACGATGTCGAGCTCGTTGATGGCGCGAGAGCTTGTCTTGCAACAGGTTCATCGTCACAGTTATATTTATATTTAGTCATTGAGCCAGGAGTTGCGTTGAGCGCGAGTGTCACCGCCCGTCATTTGGCTGCACCCCAAACTGATCATAGACACTCATCCACGGACACCACCGCGAGGAGGCAAAAGCAAAACACCGCAGAGTAACAACAACAAGCCTCTGGGAGTCTGGGTGTGATGCAGGTGTTTAAATCTGCTGTCACGTTATTCTTGGGCGTGCATCGCCCAAGATTAGCGGTTCCTGCGCATTCCTAAGGGAACGCGGAGAACGTTTCTGATTCCCAAGACATCCGGCGGCCCAGCCGGACTGGCTGCATGGCTGCCTGCGACGATATAGATGCAGGCGCTGCTCCTCCAATTCTCGCATCTACTCTGCTCCAGTCTTATCTGGACGATGACGAAAATGGAGCCCAAGTGACCCAGGTTGATAGTGACTGGAATTTGCAGCCAGACATAGACAAGGGAATTCCATTCACCAAGGCAGGGAGCTCGGTGTTTGCTCCTGGTCGAGTGATTGGGATATCTGGCCTACAGCCTACAGTTCCCCCGCAGCGAGACTGGAGAGATGGAGACGCCGCAGCCGTGCGAAACTGGATGTTCGAGGTAGGTGTCCCGGACCTTACAATATGTTGCTACATGGAGGCTTAAGACGTCAATTCCAAGTTCGCATTTGCTTCCTTCCTGGACCAGTTGGACTGATAAGTGCTTACAGCTTTCTGCGCACATTCTCATAACCCTATTGACGCGGCCACATCTAGCCCCTTCATCTCTCGATCCTCGAGCACAATCGGGGACATTTCCGCAGGCTGTCGTTATCCAATTCTACAGCTCACGCGCATTCACATCAGAATATCTACTGCGATCTATCCAGCAAAAGCTTCCGGAGCTCACGACGAACTCGACCCGAAATATACTCAACACCGTCAAGGTAATCCGCGCATTCAATTTTGACGAAATCCTCGAAGCCGTGTCTCAGGTCTCAGACATCTTATACGAAGCAAAGCACCAACAAACCACGCTTCTCCTCTTAGAAGGCTTGGATCAATCGCTCGCAGAGATCCAGCGCAACTCCAGCATCCTCGCCGCACAGGCGAAACTCATCCCACTCCTCCGCACGTTAACCATTCTTTCTCGAAACCACACATCTTTTCTTACCGTGATTGTGGTGAACCCAGTCCTTCTCCCAACAGCGCCATTTCCACCTTCAGCTCCAGATATCCAAGCGAAGCAATACCCTGGAGAACATTCCACCCAACAAGAATGTGTATCGCCCCACTCCAGGCACCATCATCATTCGAATCACCATCAAGCAGTTCACTCGATTTTCTCACCGACGTCGCAACCGCAATTACAAACACAAGGTCAAAGCCAAACGTACTCCTCTCCATCCACCCAACAAGTTTCCCAGCAGACAGTATCATACTCCTCCTTAGCTCGTTCCTTCGATCAAGGCTTCGATACGCATCTACTAGTCTCGAAAATGGAATCTAAAATGATAATCGAAGTTGCAAAAGACCGGATGGGCGAACATCTAGGTAGATGGTGTGCTTTATGATTTCAAAGAACCAGTGAGGGGGGCTAATCCGCTTATATTTTACTCTGCCCCCTAAAAATTAGGGTATTATGCATACTCTTCATGAATACTGTACCAGAGTCCATCATCAGTTGGTATGATTTTCACACCTTGATTTCAGATCTTCCGTCCGATAATCCCGTCTTCCCCACAAGAAAATATTTTTGAGTATCTGCCAAAGAATGCCAGAAACAGATGAAGGGTATTATTTTCCAGACGCATGCATACTCCGTAAAAGCCCGTTATTCTGACGCCCATGGCCTCCGCTTAGAAACCAATATGATGTTGCATCGAACATCAGAAACCCGGCATTTAGGCAGGGAGAGAAAGGATGCTGTATATTAAATAAACAATGCAAAAGGTAACAGGAGTAAGAAAAGCACAGGGTAGAAATACCGTGCCATGCACCGAATCTTTTACCGTTGTCCATAAGTGATCAGATGCAGAAATCAATAACACCCATGATGCTAGTTGTTGAATGCTAAGTTGCACCGCCCACAGTCCTATTTTGATCCCCATATGCCCTCAATACAACGCCCTCGATAACTTCAGTAGCGGTCTTTCCGCACTTGGACAAATGGTCTTTGACTATCGATAATTCAAAAAGAATATCCTGCTGCTGAACCTTGGCCCATTGTCTGTGCTGTTCACAGCGTTTCTTGATACACACCCCCTGAGCGATGGTGTCCACTTCGTTCTTGTCTGCATCGGCCATTTCTGTGTCGCCTGCATTATCAACCGAAGGCTCAGGCTCAAGGACGCCATCGCCCAGTGCTTTCTTCCCCACCTCAGATTGCCTCCACTCATCAAATTCCTCATCTGACCAAGATAAACGAGAATCAAAGCCGCATATATCTTTCCAGCCTTTAGGATCGTTTTGCCGTAATCGTTCTAGAATGTTTTTGGCACGTTGGCGTACCAAAGTTAGAAACCTATCGCGATCACGGAGTAATTGGGAGCGATTAAGAAGATCAGCTCTTTTCTCTTTGAGGCTATCCATGTGTTTTCGCTCTTCTGGTGTCCATTCGATATTATCGGCTAGCAGGTCAAAATCAATGCTTTTACCGGGCATCTCGCTTTTTGGGTCGAATGATTCGGCAACTTCACGGAGTGATTGGAGTCCTTGGGTTTCGGTTGACAAGAGGCTTTCGCCTAATTTTCGAAATTCTTCCGCGGATTTGACACCATCTGCCATGGCCTTCACCTCCCGTGGAGTTAGCACCCCTCCGATGTTCATTAAATCCTCGGTTCCTTCACGTTCGGCCCCGGCATCATCTGCATCCCGAACGATTTCGTTCGTCACTTGATCCCCGTTTGAATTCAACGACCCGCTCTCTACATATCCGTTTTCTTGGTGCCTCTGGCGCGAATTGGTTTGACATAAGGATCCACGGCTTGCCGCGCTCGGTATATGGGAAGAAGTAGAACGACTTTCGGCAATTCGAAGTTTTCTCTTCATGAATTCCACACCATGGTCATCGGAGCAATACTTGCTTGGAGTCTTTGCGGTAACACGAGCGGGCTGGCGGCAGCCGGGAAGTCGACACATGCGTTTCCAAGTGGTGCGAATGCCCTGCTTCTCTTCACAATTGGGACCTATTGTGTCAGATGTCAGTTACTTTTGCTCTACAAAAAAAAATCCATTACACCCAAAGCCCACTCACAAATATATTTATCAATAAGATCAGCATCAATCTGTTTGATGTTGACACATTTCCCATGGAACCAATCCTCGCAGCCACCATCACAAGCAATCATCCATGTATGATTATCAGGCTTGCGACAGATACAAAATAACTCTGATGCATCGGCTTCGTCCTCTTCCATGTCTTCATCCGAATCGTTAGATTTTCCTCGCCTCTTGCCATCTGGCGCAGGCGAGCTTGCTATTGATGCAGAAGTTTGTTTACGATTCCGCTGTTTTGAGGGTTTCGAGCGAGAAGCAGGTGTCGCCGAACTTCGTTGAGATCCCACAGTTCCATCAATGCTCTCCGCGTCATTTAACTTGCGCTTTTTTGCAGCTGACTTCCGGACAGCTTGTCCTTTTTTGGTCGCGGCTGGAGCAGCACGCTTCTTCGTGGATTTCACTGAGGTTGCCGGAGAGGATCTCTCCGAAGAAGAAGCTCGTGAAACAGATTCTTGCTTGAGATCGATAATCTTTTTAGGCGTTCGAAAATCAAAATTCTCGCTTGTTGCCGTATACGGAACAGCACTGAGGTTTGGAAGCAGTTCTTCCGATTTGACACTGGGCCTATCATTTTTCGATTCGACTTCTGCTGTGTCCGAGAACGTCTTTTCTTCGTCTCTAGCAATATCGTAGAGATCGTGCCAAGGTGAACTCTCCTCCCACAATTCCTGAATCATGTTTCCGTTGTCATCCTTACACCTGATTCTGCGGTGGACGTTCCCGCTCTTCTCATAGCCGAAATAGCCAGCATTGGACCAGCCAACAATCCCAACGATTTTGCCGTTCTCCACAATAATATTCGACGGAAGTAGGTCGTTATGCGATAGACCGTAGTTACCATCTTCAGCAGTAGAGTCACCAAATAGGATATTGCGCTCGTCCTGACGGAGTCTCGTGCTTTCGTCTGGGCTGCTTGAGTCCACAACATACGAAGCCCTTAACTCGTTAGGCTTGATGCGATGTATTCTTCGCACAATGTCTCGTGTCTCTTCCTTGAAGCTAGCCTTTTGGTCTGTATTGAGACTAGGCCACGCAACTTCGAGAGAAACGCCGGGAATACGCGACCGAACCAGGATATCCCGACCCCGTAATTTCGTCCTTAGATAGTATTCTGGCAATTTGACATCCGGGAGAACTCCCGCAACCAAGTTCACAGCAGCCTCTTCATTCTCATCCCAAAAGCTGTAGTCCCCTGTCGGTTCAGCGCTTTGGTGATCGCTTTTGATGATCACGTTTCCTAACGCGAATGTATCCCTCCTACCCGGAGCAGGGGCGTTGAGCCGAGTCTCGGGAACGCATTTCGCAAGAACCTTTTCCCAGTATTCCAGCGACAGTGGATCAGTAGACCGAATATAAGACGCGTCCGGCACGAACTTAGACTGGTCAGCGTCCGAGGGTGTTTCTGGCTTGACTTTTTGTCGATTTGTTTGCATCTCGGCGGTCGACTGGTCCCCGTCTAATTGGGCTTCTGATGGGATATTCGCATCCACAGAGCCAAGTTCGATGCTCGACTTTGTATCAATATCCACCATATCCGCCATGTTCTGGGAAGAAGGGGTGCTGGGTTAGGATATTGGGTGAATGCGTGCGGAGCGTGCTCAAATAACAGTGCGGCGCGTCGGCATGGATTGGTAGTCGCAGTGAGGAGAGAGGAGGATACAGGAGCAAATATAGATATAAAAGAACTGAAGTTATGGGTCAATGTCAGTTCACTTCGAATCCGCGCTGGAGGGCCATGGCGATAATGATAAGCGACCGCGAGTAGGACCTGTCCAGTGAACTGTGGCGGGGCGGGGCGAGGCGAGGCAATTCTAGAGGCAACGGAGAAGTGAACGTTCCTCCAAAGCGGCATTCGTAGCTAAAAGTACTTGGTGATGGGGTGAGCGAGAAATCAAAGAGCTGGCGAAAGAGAGAGAGGTTTAGGGTACAAGGCTGGTGACGGGAGCTTCGATGACGCTGAAAATTGGTTCAAGCAGAACGTCACCACGCGTCTCAGAGGAGAAAGGGGCGAGAGACGCTGATTCCTGATAGCGGGCTTGTCTGCAAAGCTCTGCAGTGGATTTTGTAGACGCGTTGAGGCCCAGAGCGCAAAGGCAGCTGAAATTGCCGAGTCGACAAGGTTGGAGATGGCCCGAGACACCCTGCTCTTCTCGCGCTTCTCCAACACACACCCAAAGCAAAGCACCAACAGCCATTGCTAGGATGGAATTCATATGTTTAATTGTCTACACTTCATATAGGTGCAAGCTAATATTCTACGCGACACCAAATCTATGACAAAGGTAACAGTCTCGTCTACAATAAGCCATGTCTCATATGTCTAGCATCCCAAAACTCTGAGCTCATGCATGATTATCCTCAGCAGGGCGTAGATCTAGTTAACACAATGACAGTTCGCCGTATCCCTTCTCTTCTACTATGCCCAAGCAGAACCAATCTCATTGCCAAAGTATAGTGACCATGCAGGCGGTGGCTGGAAGTGCCCTCAAGGCCTCTGGTGATCGTGGAGAAGACTCTGCCAGACAAAATGTCAGATGGAGGAAACAACACGACAGGAGAGGGGGAGCTTTAAAATATGTGCTGTCTGCATTTGAATACGCACAGAACCGCACCGTCTGCTGCACCACAGCAATGCCAGCTCCAACGCTTTTTTACCCAATGCGACCTCAATGGCCTACCCTTCACATGTCAAAGTATAATCATTCTTCCATCTTAGTATGGGTAGAAATTGTGTTGGAATTGCCGGGATGATTCATGTCTATCAGACCCATGTCGTGACCCTCTGACTTTGAATTTATCAGGAAAACAGGACATCACAAGCTGTCTAATATCTTTATGATGTCGAGTGCAGTAATGCTGATAGATTGGCTAGATACTATATAAATCCCCATGACTAGCAAAGAAATATAGTGATAACAAAGGAAATATTCCCTGTTGGGTCCTGTGTACATCGCAACATAATCCAGCAATGCATGCAGTTGAATGATAAAAGGAAAAAAGAAAAGAAAAGAAAAGAAGGAGAAGATGATGAGGCAGCTAGGAATATAATGGGGTAATATGCATCAAACACTTGCCGAAATGGCAAAATAGAAAACACTCAAACCCTGGGGATGATATTAGGTGCAAATTACAAGATATGAAAATTTTTTCTTTTTCACTCACAGCTCTCACAGATGTGAATGCGAATGAATAGGTACTAGGAAAACACATGTGGGAATGGATGCGGCGCAGAGGGGATAGTTCAGTAAGGAGGTGGACCGATTCCCCCTCGATCACTTGAAAGCCGATTCCAAGGAGCTGCGCCGGGGGAGAGCAAGCTAGTTTTTCGCGAATACGACGCTTTTTTCTCATCGTTCATCGATTGGAAGGATGGTTTCTTTCCCATTCGCGTTAAGCTGGAACTTCCCTCCACGCCACTTGAAGCAATCTTGATCCCCGAGACTTCGCCGGTGCCATTCGGCTGCTGATCGTCATTGGGAGCGGAAAGCCCTTCTAACAATTTGTCCATGTCCACTCGTCGACCGAAGCTCAAGGTTCTTGAAGCTTCACGTCTTGACCACTGGCTACTCGTATCAGCGCGGTCCTGGGTATGAGGAGCGATCTCAGTCGTGTCGGCCGTGATCGCAATCCCAATATCGCCCAGATCCTCGCTATAGCCATGAGAGTGTCCGCTGGGAATTCCATTTAAGTCTGTAGCCCTTCGTTCGGAGCGCTCGTGTAGACTTGTATCCAAGGATTTCTTCCTGCTTAGAGACCTGCTCTGGCGTAGTGTAGACGCGTTACTTCCTTTACTTTTTGAGTGCGTTCGTGCCGGACGCCCCGGTGCTGTAGAAGGCCTATCAGATCGGGGCGGAGAATGTGATGGCGAAGTAACAGAAGACCCGCTGCGCGAATCAGCTGGGAAACCACCTGGTATAGCCAATGAAGAAGGTAGGGGAGGGACAGGGGGGATGTACTCGGGTTCAAAGTCACCATGAAGCTGGTTAGGCCCACCATGGTATCTGTTCAATCCTCGAGGTGCAGTCAAATTTTCTCGGGAAGACAATGGCCTGTCAGCAGCAGCTGTCCCGGCATCGGAGAAAGATAGATTATCGCTAACCATACTTTCAGTACTAGAGACCGTGCTATCCACCCTGTGGCGACCGCGTAAAGGACTCGGATGACGCACATTGCTACTATTAATCACAGACAGAACTCGCCGAAGCTCGTTAACTCGAACTGTGGAATCGCGACTTGAAGCCGCGGGAGACACGCGGCGCTCGGGGATACTTTGACGGCGAGTCTTTTGAAAGCCAGCCAAATTACCAGTCGGTGCATATGCCGCAGACACTGGGCGATCTTGACGATTACTTGCGGAGGGTGCAGTGCCCGTAGGGGATCCTGGACCAGAATTGTATGCGCTCATATTGAGAGCATTAAGGCCAGCAGCAAAGGCGCCGGTTGCCGTTCGCGAACCGCTCAGAGAGGATGTCTTGGCCTTCTCCTTTTCAATAGCGTCTAGACATGCTTCCTTGGACCATGGGGCTAGCATGTGCTCCTTAACGTGCAATGGTAGCTGAGACCCTGCAGGAACATGTGGGTTGGTCGAATTGTTGAGGCCTAAGGAGGGAATCGAAAATGATCGCCCGGGAGAGTTAGAAGGGCTTATTGGTGGAGACACATACGACGAATTGTAGGTGGATTCAATTTGCCTGACCAGCTCTTCTAGTGAAGTAAATCGTGAATATATGTTTTTATCCGGTTGAGGAAGCGATGCTTGTTCGATCACCGTGTCAAGAGAAGGTTGAATGTGATGCAACGGTCGTGGTGGTAGCTGGATTTTATCAAGCCAGACACCGCGCTTTTTTCGCTTTGAAATTTCGTTGATGATTTCGGCTGCGGGTCTTGTTCCTTCAAGATCAAACTTTTCCACCAACGCTAGAAGATAGCCGTGGACCAAGCTGCCGATGTGAAGGGCTTTGCTGGCTGACACTGAAGACGGGAGGGTATCCTGAAGCTTCATTAGGACTGGGAGAGTGTACCTTGCCGCGTTAACTCCGAGGTGTTCGACTAAATTCACTAGTAATAGATAAAGCCTCAAGATATCCGATTCAGTGGTGGATGACTCCGAAACAACATCGAAGATCGTCAGATGAAGCAATTGAAGAAAGCTCGAAGCATGACACGCTGCCACGTTTTCTTCCTGAGGGGCGGTGGACACGATCCTCCTCGCAAGCCTCTCTGGGATGTCAGATGTATCCCTTCGATTCCCCATTTTTGACACTCTGGTATGTTCGGTAGGCACTCTTAGATCGCTCTTTTTCGTTTCCAGCTGAAGCCAAGAAAGGAACGCATCGACATACGCATTGCGGACCTCCCACTGGGGGTCCTGCAGTAGCCAGTGAGTACCTTCCCACACATGCAGTGGAACGCGATTCCTCGCATCTGGATCAGTCCCGGAGGTAGACTTTCGCAGATTTGCAACTACCAAGATATCTTTAACCGACCTTAACGCCGTGATTCGTGCAGCTGAAGACGAGAAGTAGCTTTCAGCGGTATAATCAGACCGTGAAGGACTTGACTTTTGAATTGCATTATCTGATTCTGATTCATGGTGGGCATTTTCCCCTTCTAAGGCGGGGGATGGTTTGATGCGTATGACGATGGTTCGAATCATATCGGAGACTTGATCACCATAGTAAACATGTGTCGCCAAATTTCCGATGCAATTTTCAAGTAGTTCTAACAATTCATGCCGCAGAGAATCTGCCGTAGGAGCTTTCTCATTCTCGCCGTTGGTTTGAGAGTTCGTAGCAGCAGTTTCGTCCATTTGTGGTAATGGCTTTATAAGTGTAGATAGCCCATGGTGCGGCACCAATGTCTGAGTTCCATTCCCCAGTTGTAAAAGCTGACGGACGAATTGGAGCAAACCGATCAACACATCCATTACACTAAGCCCGATTAGATTGACCGACGAACCAAGTAACCAGTCCATCATGGAGGCTAGCGTAAGCTGTGGCTCGAGCTGTCCGTCGACAAGGGGACGTTCCACCAACGTCTCCAACAAAGTCACGAGAATGATGAAACGATCTTGCACTGGTGACCAGTTGGCAATAACTTCCAGCAAATTAGTAGCCCAATTTCCATCGGTTTTGCCGTTAGCACTTCGTTGCTTCTCCTGCGTTCGAGGCGGACGCCTGCTGACTATGAAACTTAAGACAAGCGACGTAGCAAACCGAATCTGTACCCTATTAGTTCCGGAGAACACTTTCTCTAAGCATCGCAACGCGAGGACGCGGGCTTCCATTTCGGCCATCATATCGGCGTCGGCCGCGGAACCAGAGGCGGATTCCGGATCGCCGTTTCCGTCGATAGTATCCACAGTTTGTACAGTAGAGATACTCATGCGACGGCGGCGAAATTGCTCCCTTTCGAGCCTCTCCGAACTTTTTGCTTTTTCCTGTAAAGGTGACAACCTATGATCGCCGCTAGCGTATAGGTTTTGAAGAATCACGGGAATAACAACATTAAGTTGTTTGGCACCATCCGTCGATAAAATCTCGGATGTAACGATGCTCTTGATAGCTTTTAAGCCAACAGTCCTCCATCTTAAGGCCATGGGGGCGCTCATTGGAGTTTTCGTAGTAACAGGCGTCTCTGTTGACGCAAAACTGGCATACGTTCCCACAAGTTCCCTATATTGTATAATATACTCATGGTCCGCCGTAAGTGTGGCGCTGTCCTGATGACGACAGAACAACTCAAAGGTTGGAATTGTCTCTTCCACCATGCTTATTTCACGAGAGCGGAGGACAATATCAAGTACGGTAAGGATAGATCTTGCGTACAGAGGCAAGTCGCGTGGCACTTTTTCGATGAGCGCGGCGAGGATCTGGAGGGTAACCTGAACATTGCTATTCCATCAATCAGCACCCAGGAAAAGGCTCAAAACCAAATACGGAATTTCTTTTTTGGTGTCAGCATACCCAAGCTTCCCCCTCCAGACGTCCCTAGCGGCTCTCTTTTCTAGGAACGCACCGACCTTTTGGAGCTTGCTACGGCGGGTGCTCGCGTAGTAGAGTAAATAACTGAGCTCCGACGAATTGGGCTTGACGGACTGTACGCCCTTCTGAAACCGGGGGTAGCATTTTAATATCAGGACTTGATGTTTCGGTCGGCATGACTGGCGAACGGAATTCATCTGTGCGAAATTCGACCGTCGAAGCTGGTTTAAGGGGGAGGAGGATCGGACAGGGATAAGGGGCACGCCCCAAAGGGATTAACGGTGCCCCCGGAGAAGCCGAAGTCCAGCTATCACCACAGTTCCAGCTTTCAGCTTTTATAAGGCTGAGTCGCAAAGTGATATCCGAGGCTTTGTTTGTTGAAGTTGATGTTGCGTGGTACGAAGCATCGAAGGTGTCATGGAAGGAAAATCAAGACGAAGTGCCAAACCCCAAGGTTCCCACAGGTGAAGCTGGAACAGGCCCGAGATGATCTTATCATCGGTCTAAAAGCAACTTGAAGTGTTTGTTTGTTTGATTGAATTGCGTAGCTAGTCCCGACAAGAGCCTATGCCTGGACCGATCAATCTTGCTTGCCTGGTAAGGCGGAGTTGCGAAGTCACTCCAGGCCAGCTCAACGGAGAGCGACAGCGACAAGCTCCGTCAGCCAGTTACGTAACGAGCCAAGACCGCACTCTCCCGTCAGAGTCGGTCTCAACCATTCCTAACCGGGAAATTAAATTACCAGGTTTCGAAACGTGTACTCCGCGTGCTTCGGCAACGGAAAACTACGAGCCTGGTTGATCTGATTTACTGGAAAAGGAACAAGGCTGGACTGTACGGAGTACGCAGCCAAATTTGACTTTGTGGTGTCGAATTGGTTGGTCTGGGAATGCGACAAGCAACCACTTCGATTGGGTGTGCAGATGCTTTGTTCTGGCCATTCAGGGGCTACAAGATCCGGACCTGCAAGAATCAAACGTGTCTTCATTCTGATAGCCCTAATCATAGCGCAGACTTCAACGAACCGATACCAATGACCAAGGTCAGTGTTATGCTGTTTAAGCTGTTATGCCTGAGGCAGTAAAGCATTTTCAATTTTCACTGTAAACACAATGCGCCTTTTCCCTATCCAAGTTTGGTCATGCATAACGTGTGGAATATTTGGGGCAGCACCGTGACTGTACTGCATTTGTTGCCTAAAAACATCCTTGCATTCTGAAATCCTGTCCAGTGCAAGAGAAGTGACTCCACCCGGGCCTTAAAGCAGCTCGTCCTCACCCCGACTCCAGGCGGCCAGGCCTAGTTCTAAAAGGGTATTTTTGTTGGATCCATATCTTCCTATGGCCTTCGTATGTAGCTATGTACAAAGTATGTTAGGTACATATAAATGTAGGGTACTAGTTTTGAAGATGTCTAAAGCAAACACAATGCCCTCCATCTCATTTTGACACTCCCGCCCAAACACGTGCGCAGAGAGCTGGCAGAAGAGTTCGCTGGCACTTCCACTCCATCCTCTATGTTATTATCGTGCTGAGAGAATCCGCCCATTTCGGAGATTGGTGATTAGGCAGGTTGAAAACGCCGACGGCACAAAATCGAAGCCCGGACCGACTAAACATTGTCATCAACTGGCCAAGCTGGTCCAGCTTCCGCTTTCAGCCAAAGACCGCCAGCCATCAGATTTGCACAAGCTGCAGAACTAGTATCTGAAGAAATGCGTTCACACTGCTTCCTAGTATTATCAACAGTCGAAAATTGTCCGGAAGCAGAAGTTTCGGAAGTGTGTAAGGATATTTGTGGAGACTTTCGATGTCCGTATGAACTGTTGTTGGCATATCGCAAGCTGTTCGACATACAGCAAGTGAGCCGGGTCATTCATGGTCGCTTCGTACCCTAAGCCTTTCGACAACGGAATGGGCAACGGGCAACCGTTCTCCAGAGGCGCGCCGCGAACTCCGAAAAGGCAAAATGGGTTGAATTCCAGAATCCACGGCTATAGCACGACAAGAGAATCGCCAACGTGGCGAATATCCGTAATATCAAATAATGGTTTATATGCCTTCATCGCTGCCGCCACCAAGAGCAATAAACACCTGACTTTCAGGAAGTAGCGCCATTGGACCCCTTCTCAGCTTGCTCCTCGTTATTCTTCTCCCGGTCTTCCTCCGACTCAACGTGCAGATCGACCTCCGTCGTTGTGCCCAGCAACGCCTCAATAACCTGTGGCCTGATCACTGCTTTGCGGAATGATTCCTCTTGTAAGAGCCGCAACGCTCTTAGGGTAGCTCCGGGGTGTGTCAAGAACTGGACGTATTCGGGACGCTTCCAGTAATCATAGAGATAGGCAAGGTACGCAGCAAACGCTTTAGCGTCGGACGATGCTGAAGGATCATCGTTGTCTGTGGATTGGGAGGAGATGCCAAGAAGATGCGGATAGGTGACAGCAAGGTGAGAAATATAATAAGGATTCGCGAGGGAAAGGACGAATTCAAGCTCAAGGGTAAATCGTGGGTTTGATAGGTGAGGTGGAGGAGGAATGAGGCCAGCTTCTTGCGCCATTTAGAGAGAGCTTTTGAAACACCTTGATTGTATTGTCCTCTGGTGATAACAAACACGGTCAACGTTCCCTCCTCCATAACTAGAAGACTGGAGGTGCTACTAGCCGAGAGCCAGATACCATTTTTGTTTTCCTACGGCGGCAAAGTCAAATTCACGTGATCAAAAGAATCTCGCCGCTTTTAGTTAACCGAGTACATCGGCGTTTCGAAGCTGCCTCTGTCTGGAGTAGCATAGTATAAATGAGAGGGCCGCTGTGGGAATTCTCCGGGAACAACATATGCATTTTCGAAAACCACAATTGAGTCGCCAGCCATGCAGACTGCTCAGCGGGCTTGTATTGGAGTGACCTCTTGGGTGATGGCTAGGGTTGAAGATAACCCAGCTATGGCATCACTGACTACATGGTTCAAGAACCTGGCATGCCTACTATTCCATCAGCTCCAGGATTATGTTAAGGTCATTCTGTGTTAAAAAGGGGTGCATGATATCCACATTGGTACTAGATAATGATATCTTCTTCAATCAACTACAAATGTAGATCAACATATTCAGGAAGTTTTGAACGTGTTTTGCCTTTAAATATATGATATTAATTCAACACACTACTCTGTACTAATGACAAAGCAACAGTGTGGCAATTAGTAGTGCTAATCCATAGTAATGATACATTTGACCAAACAAAGAGAAATCGAAAACGCCAGCTACGAGTCCCAAGTAGAGTCACATCAAGCACCAGGGCCGGGTCAGAAGGTGGCCATCACACAATCACATTAAAAAAGATGAAAACAGATGTCGTCATTTGCATCGGCAAGGTGAAGAAGAAACGATGTCGCTCATTCGATTTGGATTTTCTTCAACGTGGGAGCAGTCGCCTTTGGGACAACGACGTGCAAGATTCCGTCTTTCAAGCTAGCCCGTACCGCATCTTGGTTCACGCGGGCCGGGAAGGAAAAGGAACGTTGAAACTCTCCGACCGAGCGCTCGGTGACCCAGTATTTGTAGGCAGGTTTCTTATCAACAGCCTTCGAATTCGAGTTTTGCTTGATAACAGCTGTAGATTCAGCCGGCGTCTCGGCTAGTGTGGAAGGAGTGGATGCATCTTCGTCTTCGACGGTAGGCTGGTGAGAGCTCTTGGTAGATTCGGTCTCGTCTGCCACCTCATTTTCATTTGTCTCAGTGTAGTCACGGTGAGAGCGGCCCTTGATCACCAAGGTATGTTCATCGGCGAATTCAATCTCAATGTCTTTCTGTTTTACACCGGGAAGCTCGCCATCAAGGAGGTATAAGTTGTCAACTTCACGGACGTCAAAGCTTGGGGAAAAAGATCGAAATGAAGAGGCGTTGGCTTTGCGTGCGGTGGAAGATCGGTGGTGGTCGTAATCGTCCAAGAGGTGGAAAAGTGGGGTGAAATCACCTGCAGAGAGACGAGGGAAGAGTGCCATGTTATGGAAGTGTCTTGGAGTAGATAGAGTTGCTGGCCTTTTGAGGACTCTGACGTTTGTCTTGCGAAGTCTCTTCAAGTGATGGAGAATGGTCTTGCTCGATTGCATAAGAATATAGCTCTGATAAGCCTAGTGATTGTATGTCTGCTTGATGAGAAGGGAGGTTGATCTATGGCGCGCGAGTTGCGGTATTTTATAGACACGATGCTGTATGCTAGAAGTTACCTGAAGAATCGTTAAAGCCTGATTTCAAAACGATGTTTCCAAAGGAATTATGGACCTCGACGCGGCTAGATGTTTCTCTCGGTTTCGCGTTGGCTCTCGTGGTTTCTAGAAATTCTGGCGATTAAGCTTAAATTTAAGGTTTAGCTAGCTGCACGATCTAGAGGATTTTTGGAAGCCGCCACCGGTCGGATATCGGAGAAATAATAAACCGACTTCCTATGCTCAGGTGGCCTCGGTCGCGTGCTCTGGTTGCTTGCACGATTTGCGTCTCTCTTCGACTTGAGCCTCTCTCAAATTGCTTTTTAACGTCACATCCTGACCATTGTTACCATTTGTTTCTTGTGTAATGGATGGCCTAGCAATTGATATCAAATCTCTTTTGATCCGACTCCGAACACCACCCCCCTCAATAAAATTTAAATGGTCTCTCGCACGTTGTCTTCAAATGGATTAGAAAGGAAATTGCTCTGTTGCATCCTCAAAGATACTAAAAGGCTCTGAGTTAACTTGTACTGCTGTGAACATCGGGCTTGGAGGTTTGTCAGAAGCATTGTGGAAATCTGAAGTGGAGTTCTTTCTCTTTCTTTTCTTTTCTTTTTCTACATAACATTTATGTGCAAAAGCAATAGCTGCATATAAATATCCTTTAGTTATTCATAATTTAGGACATCCTAGAGCCGATCTCATGGCCATGACCAAAATATCTCTCTGCAATATCTCCTGGATATGATATCGAATCACCGATACTCTCTTGGATTCGCTAAATAAATCCCCATAGTTCGCTAATTTCTTTGCAGTTAATCATGTTTTTCAGGAGGGCTATACTCTCCTATCTGAGCATGCATTGGGTCTTTGTCGACAGCAAGAATCGACTCGCTACCCGGGGTGAGTGAAGTCGATGTCTGCGTCGAGGGAATATCGACGGTGTCGTCGCGCCAGAAATCCTTTTTGCTATTCAAAAGAGTTAGCTAAGATGCTGGTAAAAAGACAACTTCCCAACTAGGGAATGGCCCACTCACCCTCTTATCAATCTTACTAGCCACCCTGGCAAAATTCCTCCAGGAATCTTATACGTCCAAGGCTCCTTGAACGTCTTATTCTCCGGCACCAATCGACCCCCAGAAGACTTTTCCAGTACCCACGTAATTGTATTCAACAGAGCATATGTCAAGATTCCAGCGATCAATCCGTATGCGATAGAGTATGTAAACGGCATCATGGCGAGACATACAAAAGCCGGTATCGCATCGCCCATATACTTCCAGTTAATATCCGCCGCGACTTTCGTCATCATGGAGCCGACAAGGATGAGCGTACAGCCCGTTGCCCACGGTGGGATAGACGCAAATATGGGAGCGAAGAAAATGGAGACAAAGAAGCAGAGACCGGTGACCATGGCCGTGATACCTGTCGCACCACCCTCAGATATACCTGCACCAGATTCGACAAAGGCAGTCACGGGCGAGCAACCAAAGAGTGAGCCGACGGAGATACTGAGAGCGTCGACGAGGTATGCCGTTGCCGAACCTTCAAAGTCTTGAGTCCGTTCATCGATAGCGCCACAGTAGCGGGCCATCGAATACAGAGTGCCGGTCATGTCGAGAATGTCGACGTAGAGGAATGTAATCAAAGCAAGGCCGAACTGGCCACCTGCTTTGCTGAGATCCCACTCTTGCACGGCGAGTGTTTTCTCTATCTTGTGGAACGTTACGACTTTTTTGAAGAAGTTAAAAGAGTCGTCGCCTTCTGGGGTGTGGGGGAAGAAAGTGACATCCGTAGGCCGGGGCCAGGAAATGATCGATACGAGAAGGATTCCGGCTATGATCGCGCCTTTAACGCGGTACATCAACAGCACGGCTGTCAGAACACCGCCGCAGAAAATCCCTATCCACATTGTTGGGCTTCGCATTTTAGCCCAGGATGGACACGTGCCATTCTTGTCCATCGCACCTGGAATACATCCTGCCAAAGTCACAGGAGTGCTTGTGTCACCGGTGACGGCACCAATGCCGGCGCTGTACGTTAACCCGATGAGAGCTTGGTTATAAAGTCAACAAAACCCCCACAAGCGCAAAGGGGATAATTTACTTAGATATAGGCCAATTCCAACGCCAGACGCCAACTTGATTGATCTGGGAATCGCTCTCGCTAGCCATTGGCGCAAGCCGAGAATTGACAAGCCAACGAAAACAAAACCCTCAACGAAAACTGCTGTCAGAGCCAGCTGATAGCTCACCGTCCCCGTGCCATGGAATCCGACGACATTATATGCGAAATAAGCGTTCAAGCCCACTATTAAAATAAGAGTCAGTCCACGCGCAATCACTATAGTTCTCCACAACCATCCCAGATCGCACGTACTTCCCGGTGCCAAAGCAACCGGCATATTCGAAAACAACCCCATACAAAACGACGACAAGGCCGCAATCGCCGCCGTCGCGGTGATTATATCTCGTCTAATCACATTCAAACACAAATTATACTCCACATTGTTCATGCACTTCGGATCCTCAGGATCATTGCACACGCACGTGCCGCCGGAATCTGTGAGGATGTTCGCATTTACGGAGATGATATACGCCATTGCGAAAAAGGTGGTGAGGCCGGCACGGATCTCGGTCAGGAACTTTGCGCCCTTGCGCTCGCGTCGCTGTCGGCAAACACACTGTAAGCTTTGCTGCTATTTCGAAAACAAGATAAAACGGGAATGACCAGGGTAAGTTCCTCACATGGCCCGAACCCTCAAGGCGAAACCAGTATCCAAAACGCGTCTTTGCGACCGCATTATTGATGCGGTCTCCCCAGTCCTTCATGATGGGCTGCTGTTTTAGAGAAGCCCTGACCGTGCGTCGGTAGGTAGAAAGCACAAAGTTATGAAGAGGAACTGGAGAAATGGGGATGACAGAAGAGAAAAGTAGCAAATAAAAATGTATTTATCACAATATCAGAGAGGTGCTATCATAATGGTTCAATCAGCACCATGGTGCAAATTCCCTTATCAGCAGTCACTTTGTGCATTCCCACAAACTTGTATCTGTGTATGCATACACTCTGAGAAAAATATTCGTTTAAAAATTTGGTGGACCCGGTTCGCCACATTTCTGTGCTCGTGGGTTGCCCACAAGCCGAGGGGGGGGGAACAAAAGAAGTGTCCATTGAGCCCAACCATTTGATACCAAAGGCTTTTTCGCTTATCGTTATCTTTTTCTAGCGCCAGAACCGGCTGTGGGAAAGAGAGTTCGTATCGGTCAGCATATGGACGGCGAATGCTCGCGCGAGCCGTGCCGTTACAGCTCACAGGTGAATTCTGTTGCTCGCGTTTGCCAGTAGTTTCGCCGAAGTCATTAAGCTACCCCATATTCAGGTTAGTGAGCGCATTTTAAGGTACCCGGGTGCGCGGGATAGGAAACGGTCTCGAGCTCCCTCCAATGGTTCCAACGTAGAACAAATGACGCCTCGTAGCTATACCCGCACATACGGGACTGTAGGCGTGCGCTTGCTGCTTGTCTCAACCAAGTTCCGCTTGTTGTGCTGATAGACGTCTTTCCGCGAGGAGATGGCCCAAAAAAAAAAAAAAAAGGGTCATGCCCACGCATTGGGCTGCATGGGTTTGCCGTGCCGTGCCGTGGGGGTTGCATGTGGATGTGGCTTGCTTGGTCGGCTCTCTAAATCCCTGCTAGGGACATTCACTCACTAACAGCCGCACGTAAATGACCTGCTGCACAGATTCGTTGGTCTTGCACTCCGGACTGAGTCTGCTGCAGCATGCTTTGACTTGCAGATTTGCTGCAGGGACCTGATGCCATCCACGGCTCGAAAGGGTTTAGTGATTTGCAACCCCTGGAGCTTTACCGCAGAAATGATCAGAATTGATGCGATCACTGGGCTTGGTGTTGGATTAAATTCTAGAGAGTTCCGAAACAATAAAATGCCATTGATCCTATCTACGCCAGGAGCTGGACATTGGAAAGTAGAAAAAAACTAAATCATGACAATCGAAGTGGGGAAAAGAAGAACCCACGGGCATCAAGCACAAAAGTACGGAGCCGATGGGTGGGAAAGCAGAGAAAGAACCCCAGAAAGGCACAGAGGAGAAGTAACGGGTTAAAGAATTAATCAGTTTAATTGGGAGAAGAGAAAATGTGGGAATCATTGGCAAATGCAAAAGAAGCAATTCAACTCAAACAAAATGCCCAGACTATGTACCACAGAGCTGGCTTTCAGGCTCAAGAGACATTGATCAGTCCGGACATATAGCATGAAAGGAAAGGAAAATAAAAGTTCGTGAAACAAAGGCGTACGGTTAAGAGACGAAACGACATGCTTGAACAAATTATTGACCATCTCCAACAGTTGTTCTCCTCTCGGGGCGTGCTCTTCTCAAACTCTTCATCCGATTCATGAGCCCCCCGCCAATACCTCCTCCACCCGACTGACCGCTAGGCTTCGTTTCTCCAATCGCGGTGGAATCTGTCTCCAAGACGGATAGGGATTTCGGGCTGCTAACAGATCGGGGTCTCACATTGTCTTTCATTCCTCCGTCGGAAACCTCCCGGATCCTGGCTCCCTTGAGGTCATACGCTTCATCGTAATCCTGGAAGAATGGGTTCTTGTCGTTCCTTCTCGAAGGCCCGCTAACTGGAGACATCCGAAGGAGTGGCTCTGGAGATGTCACACGACCAGCACCGGCCCGAGTGTTGATTCCTCGAATTTTCTGCGCCAAGCTCTTCTTACGCTGCAGTCCAGCATTCTGCAAAGCTTGAGCTTCAGTTTCACTCTGTCGCCGTTCGATAGCAGAACGGCTTGCAGGGGCGCCCTCCAAGAAGGTAGATGTGCCAAGGCCCATACTCTCAGCGCCGTGTATCGGTTCCACTCTGGCGGTGGGATCGAATCTTTCCGGCGCACGACTGGTCTTTGAGAAATCAGCGTATCCTTCCTCGCCACGGCCATGGAATAGGTTGAGATCAATGTTAGTATTGTTAGGTCCGGCCCCGCCTAAAGCCATATTTCTTGAATCCTTGGGAAATGCCTGCATGGGGGCATTGCGAAGATTCTTGCGGTTGCGATGAGGATTGCATGCATCAAAAGGACCATCGTGATGGAACACTGGTCAAGAGTTAGTACATGCATGGCAAAAATGAGTGAGTATTGAGTGATTACAACTTCCGCCATAGACACTGGTGACATCGAGTTTGTCAATTATGTCCAGCTTGTAGCTATTATTCTTCCGCGAATGATGCCGTTCTCTATGCTTCCCATCTCGGTCTTTGTGCCTCCTTTCTCGCCGTCGTCGCTCCTCCTCCGGGTCGAGTGCCCTGGGGCGCTCCATGATAGAAGATTCTGAGTTTCTGCGGCGTCGCTCCCGTCGATGAGGTTGCTGTCGCCGGGGCTCTTGCGGGTCGGCAAAAATATCAATCAAAGGCTTCGCAGACCTTTCCGTTTGACGGAGACTTGTGTCCTCTTTGGAGGGACGCCGGGGCGGGCGCATAGGCTCTCTGCCTTTTAAGTTTCTTCCAGACGGAATATTCTCAGAATTCGGTGGAGGAGGGGGCCGTCGCTCCCTTGGTCTCGCCGGGCCGTCTAGGGAAAGATTGTCCTGCTGGCGGTTAGTTTCTGGGAAAGAGTCCCTAAAAGTGAAACTTGAAAGGTAGGGGAAACTCATGAGTGATATCTTACAAATAGCCTGGAGGCATGCTCGGCCACGTCAGAGTCTTGTTTCGAACTTTTGGTTGGCGACATGTTTCCTGCTCCCAGAGCCTGCAGAGCAAGTGCCTCTGAATCGTCGAGGAATGGATTCGTTGAAACCGGTCGAGGCCTGCTAGCTGGGGCAGCGAGTAGACCGTCAGGCGGCGACGAGGTCCTATTGCGGAAGGGATTATTGGATCCCAGGGGAACAGCTAGTCGAGGGGAGGATTGCCGACCTAAAGGGTCGCGAAGCAGGATGTGTTAATCACGTAGGTCACCTGTCTGTTGCTTACAGCATTGGGATAGTGACACAGCCAGCCCAGTTTTTATGGTTTTAAGGAATGCTGTTTCAGAAGAGGGGGAAGAGAGGAGGCCAAAGCAGCAGCCAATTTGCTTTCACATCAAATCAAAGAAAAAAGACGATACAATGCGATAGCGATGCCAAGCAGTGGAGCATTGAAGGAAGTCGATGAAGAATTAAAATTGGATTAGTTTTACAATACGTACCTGGCACAGAACGTGATGCTATATTGGACATTGTGAATGGACAGATGGGCTAGTAAAGTCGCGCGGGCGCTTGGAACCTGGAAGAGTGGGCAGTGGGAAGTTCCGGAAGGAGGTTATTTCAGGGAAATCTCCGGGATGATTCGTAATGCAACCAGTGAACTCCTGATTACCTCAGTGTCAGAAAATATCAAGTAGGGGGATGGCGACAGCCCAAATCCTGTTCTGAGACAAAAGAAGTGGATTAATTCGTCAGATGCGGGCGAAGATCCTGGCGGAAAGGAGACGAGGGGAGGCAAATCAGCAGTTGGTGCTGTTGTCGAGCAAACAAAAGTTGAAACAAAAGGGGAACACACCAACACACTTACGGGGTGTGTGAGTGCTCAGGTTGCGATGGGCATGGTGTGCTTGAACTGACGTAGGGATAGTAAAGATTTAACTGGTTGGAGCCCCTTGCCGCTGCTGAAGACAGAGAGGGTGGGCTGAAGTGAACGACGCTGGGAGTGAAGAACGAGAGTGACAGTGCTGCAGATGGCGGAAATGGCTGGCGGCAAAGAGGAGGAAGATGAAGATGAATTGAAGTCTTAACCTCGACTTCACCCTTGAAAGATGTGAAGTTAATTAAGCCGTTGATGGAAAACTGTGGGGATTCACTTTTGCTTTTGGCTTAGTCGCTTCTCGCTGCTCCGGACTTTAGCCACAGCCGCCCCCCCCGTGCATTGGCAGCGGACACAGGGGCTTCTTGTGAGCTGGAGGAAAGGAAAAGCGGACTCCGCCAGCAGCAACGTCTCCGCTGATCGACTGAAAGCACATCTAATGGAAGAACTGAACAGGAATTGGTCTGAAGAACCAAGTGGTTTTCCAATTCCACAGAGAGGCCGGGCTGCTGCTGCTGGTACTTCTGCCGATCTGGCCGCAGAGACGGGGGCCGAGTCTTGAAGTACCCGACTTTCTTCACAGTCACGCAGAAGACGCATGTACCCTGTACAGTACCAATATACCTGCCAACATAGTGCGTACATCATACGTGGCCTTCAGAACATGACAAAAAGGTCCAGAACCCTAGCGGAAAACGGCCAGATTTATACGCCACCCAGAACCTTACTGCCATGGATATACATAAACGAAGTCACAAAGGTCTTTCAGAAAAATCATATCCAGTGCACCCGCCTGCGATCGAAAACCCATTGTATCCCCCGCTTTGAAAACGCCTATTCATTCCCCTTCCCGTTCAGCTTGCACCTTCATAACACCCACGAGGACACAAACCCGGATAAGCTAGAGGCCACGGCCAAGAACCCTAGGGGTAACATTCCCAATCGAATGAGTTACTGTTCATGCCTCCCCTTCCCCGTTGTAGATCTGCTGCTGTAATACTATGCTGTACACACTTGCCTTTAGCAGTGTATACACCGTCGCGGTCTTTCGCTCCAGTAATCGCAGTGCATCGAGGGTCTCTGCTGCGGGTCGAGAAGCTAGGTGGGCAAGAGAATCGGAGAGCTGCTCGAGCAACGGTCAAAACGGTCAATAGCCCGAGTATTGGCAGAGAATCGCATTTTGGAGGACCGCCACGGGGATAAAGGTAAGTAGGCCCACTAACCTTGTTCATGTTCTCGAGCAGTTTCGTGTATTCATCGAGCACTTCCTGCTCGAGAGGTGTGAGAAGAGGATTATCCCGGAGGAGGGGGCTGATCCCAGCTGCATCCGGGGCATCATGGTGAAAACCCGAATCGTCGAGCGTGTCGGCCATGGGGGCAGCAGGTAGTTGAAATCAATCGGCAGCGGGTTGCAGGTACTCCGTACAAACGCTCCTTTGCGCTCTCCACGCTTTTGCTCAAGCCACTTTCTACACCGGCAAGCGCCACAGCTGTGGCTCACCCTGCTTCAGCTTGGCAGCCAAGCCCGATGCTTGGGAAAACAGAGAAGGTCTACGGAGTACGGAGTACTCCGTAAGTTCTTAATTTACAAGGTGTATGCGTGAAACTGTATAGCCAGTCAACCATGTCTGGTCTCCGAGGGAGCGGGAAAAAGGCCATTGACACGATTCTTAGCCCGCAGAAGATTGACGTTGCCTATCAAAAGTTCGTGAGGCCTTCGGCTGCGGCTGGCCAGACCACATATCCTTCATCGCAGCGCGATTTAAAAAACTTGGGTTTTCATTTTGATCTTAGTGATCACACTCGCCAGGTGAAACACGAACTGCCAATGTGAGCATATATCACTTCTTTCACAATTCATGCAGCTAGCACCTTTTCTGGTTCCGTCTCAATCTAATCTAATTGCTCCAACACTTCGACAGCTTGACCTGAGCTTAGCCAACATTTTGCTTGTTCCTGGATCCACGAAGATTGCCAGTGTTATTGACTGGCAAGATGCGTCTATCTTTCCATTGTTCATGCAGGCAGGCTGCTATCCAGTCTGCGAGCATGACTCATCACGTCCGCAAAGTCTGCAGATCCCTGGACTTCCAAAAGGACTCGACAAGATGAAGCCCCAAGACCAGATACAAATCAAAACCAAGTTTCGCTTGGAAGAAATGAATATGTACTACACCGCAGCCACCGGTATACATAACGAGGAGCATATGGAAGCTTTGAGGATCCCGCATCTTTCTATGCAGCAGTACCTAATTCAACAAACTGGATACCCTTGGGATGGGGATGTTATTAATCTGCGAGCAGCACTTGTTGGTATTACTACTTCTCAAGTTTGGAGCACCATATCAGCTCTACCCTGCCCTGTGTCATTTTCGGACAAAGACAGAGAGAAAGCACTTAAAGAATCATCCGAGTGGAATGAGTCTGAAGCTTTACTCACTGCGGTCAGGAATGACTTGGGAATTGACCTAGAAGGAGGTACAGAGGTTGAAAATTACGATTGGGCATCATCCCGGAACCTGCAATTTAGAAGAGAGATGTTAAGGCAGGCGGAAGTGCATGAACGTGAGGTTAGTTGGCGAAACTGGCCTTATAAGGATGATGATGACTCCTCATCCCCGCCACCTATCTTTGATTAGTCATTATTTTACGTTTCCAGGGTTAAAGGTCTCTCCAACGCAATATGGGAGAAAATAGAACGTAATACTTTGTTTTCTTTTTCTTTTCCCCCTTTCTGCTGTCATCTTCCAATTGTCATCGGAATGGAGACATTGAAGCTTGCATGGAACCAGTCTCCAAGGCGACATGGATCTAGTGACGTTAGACCTAGTCCTGAGCTTTCAATTACTTGGATAGCTCATCGACCAGCTTGATGGGACTGGTAGCGTTTCAGGTCATGGAGATAAGGGGTTATGCAGATGTTTGGTTTGCTCGTATGGGTCCATCGGAAAGCACCAGAACATTGCATTTATACATTGGAACTGGGGTGCTGGACGAGCATCGCCGGTGAGCTGAATGGTAGGCGAAACCACTTGCGAAGCGCCCCGACTCCCGAGTCCATGGCCTGCATACATATGGCTTTGACCTCAATAACTAAGATGCTTTCCACGTAAAACATGCGATCGGCATTTGGCCAAGGATCGGATCTGATAAGATCCCCAACCAACAAATTAAATTGCTTGGCGCGCAGTGGCGGGCGGAGGGTCGCGTTTGCAGCGCGTGATGCCATTGATAATGAAGATCGGTGTATACTCCGTAGCCAAAAAAGCAACTAAACACAAAACGAAATTACCACGTAGCTTACGGAGTACTTGCTAAAGCCAATCCTTCATAGTTAACCTTTCTACGAGCTGAACTGCCCGCAATGCCTCTCCCTCGAAAGCGCCGCGCGGTACAAGCCCTAGTCTCATTCTCTTCTCCATATCCATCAAACTACTAACTATAACCCTAGGACGATAGCGAATCTGACGACGAATACCAGTCCCCAGAACCTTCCAACGCCCAAAGCCGACGCCGCACCGCCGTGGACTCCTTCATTGCAAATGACTCTGACGAGGAAGACGACTCTCAACTGGGAGCAACACAGGTCCTGGGAGTCAACCCAATGGTCAAGAAGATGGTTAGATTAGCGTTGGCCAGCGAATACTCCCGGCAGGTCATCCGGCGAAATGATATCAGCCAAAAGGTCCTCGGCGAAGGGTCAAGACAGTTCAAGCCCGCTTTTGCTGGAGCACAAGACGTGCTCAAGAATGTATTCGGGATGCAGATGATAGAGCAGCCAATGAAGGATAGACTGACGGTCAGTCAGCGAAGAGGTAATGGCTCTCTCCTCCTTTCTCTTGCCCTGCTACCCTCTTAATAATTCCTCCTTGAAATTCTTAAGCCCAGACTTAAAAGGACCAAGAATTCTAATCAAGACCAAACACAGCTGCCCAACGCGTTGACAAACCCTCCTCATCCTCAAAATCCTGGACCCTTGTCTCCACCCTCCCACCCGAATACCGTATCCCCGAAATCCTCCCGCCCACCAAAGCCCCTTCATCTGCCACTGAAAGCAGCTACGTCGCTCTCTACACCTTCATAATATCACTCATCACCCTGTCCGGCGGCTCCCTCGCAGAGCAAAAGCTCGACCGATACCTCCGCCGCGTCAACGCAGACACCTACACCCCACTCGATCGCACAGAGAAGCTCCTCGCCCGCCTCTGTAAGGACGGGTATCTAGTGCGAAACCGCGACGTCGACGGGGGTGAAGAGGTTGTCGAGTACCTTGTGGGTCCCAGGGGGAAGATCGAGGTGGGCACCGAGGGAGTGGCGGGCCTGACGAGGGAGGTCTATGGATATGGGAGGGTTAATCGGGCACGCGGACAGGATGATGATGGTGATGATGACGAAGCGATGGAGGAGTTTGAACAACGGCTTCGTCGGAGTCTAGGGTTCTCGGATATGGGAACATCCCGTGGTGCACAGGAGCGAGGGGAGGCAGCGAGTCAAAGTGGTCAGCCTGCTCGGCGATCGAGGAGAATTACGAATATAGAAGATGGTGACGATGGTGACGACTAACGCTACTAGATAATTACATGCAGCCCACATATATAATGATACCTTTATGAAGATAAAGCGCGCACTGCTAAATGTGGGCGATGCGGGTTTGACCCCTTGGAATCCGGTCCACATTACACTTTTGATCGAATATCTGATATGTTAGGCGTGCCTAAGGCCTTGGGTTAAGATTCGCTTCGGAGGGGAAGAAGACTAAAGGCGAATATTAAGGCCGTATGAGTGACAGATGTAAGTGGAGTCCCTTCGGGTTCTCCCTGGGGGGTTGGTATTCGGCGCGATCTATCCTAATACAAAACTGACACTTTATTTATACCTCTGATTTAATAAGTAGTTTATGCGGAGCTAGGATAAAAATATGCCCGTAATTGTCAAACTTGCAAAGGATATTTAAGAAAAAGTAAAAGAGATGCAACACTGGGTTCTTGGAGATAAAAAGGCCATAACATTCCTGGGAGATTTTGGCTACTACCCGTAGCAAATCGATCTGGTCCAGTACTCGTTTTTCTTTCCTTGTCTTTTTTTATTGTCTTGCTTTTCGAATCTTCCAGGCCTCATGTGTTCGCCGAACACCATGCCATGCTCATGTTGAAAGTAAAAGACGTCGTATCATCATATAAAATCAAAGTCAAATTTGAATATTCACTGCTTCCTGACTGTGGGGAAGAAGAAGGAATTGTTTTCTGTAAAGCGCGGGGGGATCAGATGGAGCCTGACATATGAAACCCGTGCATTTCACCCAAAAATTGCTTTTTCACCCACCGTCGCTGCCACTCGTCCCATCATCCGAATCCTCGTCTTGGCCCTCGTGCTCCACTCCCTCCTGGAGGGCATACTCTGCCTTTTGCAATGCAAGCTTGACCTCCTTGTATTGAGGGATTGTGAAGTCAACGGGCTTCTTCCCGGCCTTGTTTCGGACTCTGGGGTCACAGCCAGCTTCAAGCATCATTTTGACCATTGCCAGACCAAGCTTGATATCCTCTTCGTTGGCATAGCGAACGGCCAGATGCAGAGGAGTGTCTTTCTCAATTCGATTCTGGGGATCACACTCGAAACCCTCTACATCGAAAAGCCAATCCATCGCGTCATCTACGTCAAGAAGAACAAGTAATTAGTCTATAACCCTGGTTGAAGAAGTTGGGGCACAACACAGTGTGAGAGAAACTGTGGTTACAATGACTTACAGCTGCCGTACATAGCACAGATATGAAGAGCATAATTGCCCATGGAGTCTGTGATATCGTTGAAGAATGCTGCAATTTCTTCCTTGGACTTGCTTGCGAAATTGTCGTTCACCACCTCTTCCAGCAAATGAGGCTGATCACGTCGGCAAGCCTCGACGACAAGCTCCTTTGGAAAGGCGCCCTTGCCGAAGGATTCAAGTCAGCATTGTCAGGGCGGTAGGGAGAGAAGCGCACTCACATCTTCGTCAGCCATTTTGCTCGCTTTACGCTCAGGGTTCAATATGTAGAAGGCTGATTGATGCGCAGTTGAGAATGAAAGGAAAAAACAAAAGCCGCGAGGTGATCAAACGGTGAACCCAAGCGCTAATCCAGCGGACAAACGTCGATCGAATGAGGAAACAGAGGGAAGAAGCGCTCTGGAGAAAGGATCGCGCAGAACTGGTGGGAAATGACCCGATTACAACGACAGATGACCGGAAAGGCGGGGTTCCGGTTATTCGAGCTCAAAATGAGGGGGCTAATCAAACATTTGATGGACGGTAACGATATGCGAAAAACAACAGTATCCAAAAGAAAATCGGGCGCCTAGAGCTGTCAGGTGTCCGGAGAGCAGCACCCAAGAGGTATTTGTTGACAGTCTCGATACGGCGATGATGATGCACACAGGATAGCGGGACAGGAACGGGCGCTTATCATAGGCGGGATTAATGATATTCCGATAATGTCCCACATGCACGTGAAATATCCGCGTTTAATTAGGTTATACATAATTAGGCGCGCGGCACATGGAAACCCCACCACGGACACCCTGGTACGCGTATTTGAACAGGCTGAAGAGAAAACAACTGTTAACAAAGAGTGAACAGGGTAGGAAAGTCATGATGCTGGCTCTTTGATTTTTGGCCTCTTGAAAATGAAATTGATCATTCCTTTGGTGGAACTGGGACTTGGTCGTGAATAGCACAGTGCCTAGGAACCCTTGCCGAAATGCCGCTCACCTGTGAGCCGTCTGCTCCCTTCCACCAAGAAACAAAAAATTCCGCTTCGGACGAGGATGGCTCTGCTAACGGGTTTCCAGTTTGTCCAAACTGCAGCAATGCGTTGACCATATCCAAAGGGCCCCCAACGTCGCAGTATCCTCTCGGGGTTAATCGCTTCGAATGCCGTACCTGTCCTTACCAGTACGTCCTGGACCGGACATATTTCGAACGAACGGAAATGAAACGGAAGGAGGTAGCAGACGTGATGGGAGGAAAGGATGAATGGAAGAACGCTGATAGCATGGCGAGTGAGTGGCTCATGTGTCCTATGTGACGAGATGACTCGACGCCGACTGATTACTCCACGCTGTGAAGCTCAATGCCCGGCGGAAGGCTGCGACGGCGACCGTGCTTTCTTTTATCAGCTACAGATCCGCAGTGCGGACGAACCTATGACAACTTTCCTTAAAGTACGGATTCTTCCCTCTGAATTACGCATTCGCTGCACCCCTGCTGACATGAAGACTCCAGTGCACTACCTGCGGAGCTCGCTGGAGGGAAAACTGAACAAAACTCCTCTCTTCCGATGCCGTCTTTACACGGGGGGTTTACCTTGCGACCGATTTTGAGACGATCACCTGCTCAAGGTTTGCGCATTACTCATACTTCGTGTCATCGCGGTAGAGGCAACCATTGGATCGCAGCAACTGTGTTAGGACTCAACCTATAAGAGTCATCAGGTGTGATGATAGATGCCTAGTACGGAGTAACTACAGAAGTTTGGGCGTGGAATTAGGTGACCTTCACATGAACCAACCAAGAATTCTAGTCCCGCCACATCCTTATTTTCGAGAGCTGTCTTGCGATTGGAAGAACGTCAGGCGAGAATGTAAGCTTTATGGCAGGGTGAAAGACGTGGCAGATCGTGTGGCAAGCAATTCGAGTGTAAAAAAAAAAAAATTCTATCGCTTTTTTTGATAGGGTCGAGATTTAAGGTAGCCATACATACGGAGTACATTTTGGGTAGTGGGTAAACGTTTCAAAGACGAGCGGAGTCTGCATTTTGGTCGCGGATCTCCGGGAAAACCTTGAGGGGTAGATTTTGAAGAGGAAGCGCCACCAAATGTCAGGCCCTGCGGCCATGGGATCAGCATTTGATCTTGGCCCAGGCCGTCCGGGAGAGAGGGAAGAGAGGGCGAGACAGACCCCTTGCGTTGCCCCTCAATTCCGGTCACCGCCCGTCAAGAGAGAGAGCCAATGTGTGCGAGTCGGTGTAGGGAGGGAGGCCGTTGCTGGGCACGAATTTGAACCTCGTTGCAGGCCGCAAGGTGCGGCGCTGTTAAGGGAGAAGCCCACAGTTGAATCAGAATTTTCATCGTGATGGTGGGGCGGATTTGCCCCTCCTTGCTCTGATAAGCCCAAAGGGGGATAGCGGTGTCGCCTCGGGCCCACTATGCCTATTCGAGTAAGGTTTCGCCTCCTGTTGTGCTTCGGTTGACCCCTCCATACAAAAACCCCTCTCTCTCTTCCTTTTCCACACAAATTTTTTTTTCCTTTTTTTTTCTTCCTCTCCCCGTCTGCTTCAGTGAGTATCATCCCCCTCCCTATATATTTCCATCCTCCCATCGTCCTTCCATCTCACTAACATCTATCTCAGCACCTCTACGCACTGTGGCCGTAGTATCTGAGCATTCGTTCTGATTTCTTCTAGCATCTTCCAAAGAGCTACAAGACTTCAAATCTTTTTTTTTCTTTTCAAAAAAAATCACACACATCCTTCACAATGGGGTAAGTGGGATTGCATCCCGTCAGTCCATGATCTCGAAGGACGGTTTAACTGATGAGTTTGTTTCTACAGTAAGGAAGAGAAGACACACATCAACTTGGTCGTCATCGGCCACGTCGACTCCGGCAAGTCGACCACCACCGGTAAGTCGACACCACGCGTCTCAGCGACGACAACCGCAACAACAACAACAACAACAACAACAAAGGGCTTTTTGCTTACAAACAATTGCTACAGGTCACTTGATCTACAAGTGCGGTGGTATTGACAACCGTACCATTGAAAAGTTCGAGAAGGTAAGCGCCTCATTCTCGCTGTTATGAAGACCCCTTGTGTGTTGCGTCGCCGTGTTTTTTGGTGGGGTAATTCGGCCGAAGCGAGGGCTACGTCGAAAATTACCCCACCACAATGGCGAACACCCCGGAAAAACACCAGTTTTTCATCGTTGGGCACAACTGCAATTTCGACCAATCATGTTGCAGGCCTCCTGATCTTCCACCTTGAAACTTCTAGACGTTGTCGGTTACTGATGTTGTTCTCCCGTAGGAAGCCGAAGAGTTGGGCAAGAAGTCCTTCAAATATGCCTGGGTTCTTGACAAACTAAAGGCCGAGCGTGAGCGTGGTATCACCATCGATATCGCCCTCTGGAAGTTCGAGACCCCCAAGTACCACGTCACTGTCATCGGTATGTCCAGGCACCGTCTTAAAGTTGTTGCGTTGTCGTACGAGCTAATAAGTGTCTAGATGCCCCTGGCCATCGTGACTTCATCAAGAACATGATTACTGGTACCTCCCAGGCTGATTGCGCTATCCTTATCATTGCTGCCGGTACTGGTGAGTTCGAAGCTGGTATCTCCAAGGATGGCCAGACCCGTGAGCACGCTCTGCTTGCCTTCACTCTCGGTGTGAAGCAGCTCATCGTCGCTATCAACAAGATGGACAGCACCAACTGGTCCGAGCCTCGTTTCAACGAAATCGTCAAGGAAGTCTCCAACTTCATCAAGAAGGTCGGATACAACCCCAAGGCTGTTCCATTCGTCCCCATCTCTGGTTTCGAAGGTGACAACATGATTCAACCCTCCACCAACGCTCCTTGGTACAAGGGCTGGAACAAGGAGACCGCCTCTGGCAAGCACTCTGGCAAGACCCTCCTCGACGCCATTGATGCCATCGACCCCCCAACCCGCCCCACCGAGAAGCCCCTCCGTCTCCCACTTCAGGATGTGTACAAGATCTCTGGTATCGGAACAGTCCCAGTCGGCCGTGTCGAAACCGGTGTTATCAAGCCTGGTATGGTTGTGACCTTCGCTCCTTCCAACGTCACCACTGAAGTCAAGTCCGTCGAAATGCACCACCAGCAGCTCACCCAGGGTAACCCTGGTGACAACGTTGGCTTCAACGTCAAGAACGTCTCTGTCAAGGAAGTCCGCCGCGGTAACGTCGCTGGTGACTCCAAGAACGACCCACCAAAGGGCTGCGACTCCTTCAACGCCCAGGTCATCGTCCTCAACCACCCTGGTCAAGTCGGTGCTGGTTATGCCCCAGTCCTTGACTGCCACACTGCCCACATTGCTTGCAAGTTCTCCGAGCTCCTCGAGAAGATCGACCGCCGTACCGGTAAATCCGTTGAGAACAACCCCAAGTTCATCAAGTCTGGTGATGCCGCTATCGTCAAGATGGTTCCATCCAAGCCCATGTGCGTTGAGGCTTTCACTGACTACCCACCTCTCGGTCGTTTCGCCGTCCGTGACATGAGACAGACTGTAAGTTCACCGTTACTTAACTCTATCTACTGTCCTTTGCTAATCTATTTCTTCACAGGTCGCTGTCGGTGTCATCAAGTCCGTTGAGAAGTCTGAGAAGACTGGTGGCAAGGTCACCAAGGCTGCTCAGAAGGCTGCTAAGAAATAATTTGGTGCGATCCACTGATATGCTTCCTCGGGGTGAGATTTGGAGTTGTGGTGAATCAATGGAGGTCTTATCATCCATAATAAGGATATTGTAGCCGGCCTCCTCGAATCAAAACGCTCGAATTTTAGATCCCTGGTAATAAAAATTAACGACTTTAACGGTTCATGATGATTTTCTCTCTTTTCTCGTGATTGTAAATGCATTTCCACTATTATATAAAACTTCGAACTGGGTTCGTGATTTCGCGTTGGAAGGACACGGAGCTTGAGATTCAAAGCCGAACCCACTAGCATCACTAGTCCCCGCCTCCTAGGCTAACTAACTAGTTAACTAGCTTGGTTGAAGTAAGCTCAGCCCTGTTTTCCTGCCAAGGTCGAGAGACACGCTGCGTAGCGACGGAGGACGCGATGCAGTTGAGTCTCGTTGCAGGGAAGATTAATGTGGTTTGCAACACTTTCACAGAATCACCACCGGCCTCCCGCGAGCGAAGGCGGGGAGGAGGATAAAGCTTGCAACATCATTCCAGGTAACTACCAGAAGGCCTGTCTCCGCTGACGCCTACATCTCCACGCTTGTAAACTAGCTCTGCTTTTGGCTCCAACGGTCATCATAGTTATTTCCGCGCCACCGATTCGTACTAAGTGAACCCCTTTATCCCGGGTGACTCGAACGACCAGTCAACCAACCCAACCCTGTCACGGCTCGGCCACCAACTGGCGGCTTCTGATACCCAGGACCTGTGTTTTCGGATCCTTTTTGCATTGAGCAATGGCTTTCTGGCTCCAAGCAAATATAATCCTCTGTGATCACAACAAATAACTGTGACCGTTGGCGGGTTCACATTGTCTGCAACATACTCTGTATACTGGCTTTCTATTTCCTCAAAGTTTCCATATGACTCTTATCAGTTGAGTCACTGAGCTACTATGGAAGAAAGACCCCATTACTGCATGTCTGCAACCCACCTGCCTGGACATCCAGGATATTAGCCCTTCTTAGTTGCATGTCAGTGTTATTAACTAGTGGGAGTGGCTCGCTGCTGCCTTGGGGTTGTCCCCCAGGAATATCCCAGCCAGTCGATCAGCCGCTTAAAATGTGCCGATATATATACTGCGCAGTTCCTCTGCCAGGCCTCTGTGAGGGGAATGTGATCCTCCTTCCTTTCTGCTTGTTCTTCTTCTTTCTTTACATCCAGATTATTATATTCTTCACATTGCTGTGGTCACTGGCTTCAGGCAATGCTATGAGTTTCATTGGATTCTTTTACCGTGTATATATTCCCTTTGCTCTCTTTCTCTTTAACCTTCTTTCTCCTCTAAGGAGTTTTGCTCCCCTACCCCTTAGAGCAAGATGACTTTTATAGCCTCTGCCGACAGTGAAACCAGCACGCAGCAAGCCGTACAGGATCCAGACGAGTTCTTTTCATCGCCTGTGGATATTGAGGGGGGCACCGACCCGGATTGCTTGGTACAATGCCGGATATGTCTTGATGATGTGTTGACAACTAAGACGGTGCAACCTTGTAGGCAGTGTTCGACGTCATATTGCGATTCTTGCCTTCGCAAATGGTTCCTCGAGGCATGCGACGAAGAGTCTAAAATGCCTCCAAAATGCTGTTGTGCACTCAATGCCGGCTTGGCCAGGAAATACCTATGTCATGAAGAGTTACAGTTGTTTGTGGAGAAATACGATGAAGTTAGAACGACGAACAGGGTATATTGCCCTGTTTCGAGGTGCTCTGCATTTATCTCGTACAATCTCTTCCCAATAGATGCTCGGCCTCTGGAGTACAACTATCCCGACTTGATAAAAAAGGGGAAAGCATCGAACGGAACTGCGTCATCTATTCAACCAGCAACTGCCAAGGAAGCCTCACATCCTTCGGAGGATCGCAAGAATTTATCAGATCCTAACGCCGAAAAGATATCACTGGTTCCAGAAGCGGTGGCCTCTCCAACCGTCGCATGTCCTAAATGCGCAGTGCCGATTTGTTGCGTATGCAAACAACTCGCACATCCAGGTAGCCCATGTCCAACTTCCAAAGAGGACACGGAGCTCGAGGAAGTGCTGCAAAAATTCAAGATAAAGCGCTGTCCAAAATGCGGGAGAGGCATCCGCAAGATGTACGGCTGCCCCAAGATGGCCTGCATATGCGGCTACAACTGGTGCTGGCTCTGCGGGCGACCAACTCAGATTTGCGGAAATAGGGAGAGTCAGTGTTCTCGTCCTGACACAAGTGACGAAGACGAGAAGACCGAAACTGATCTTGATTCCGGTGGAGACCAAGAATGGGAGGAGTCTGGGTACGATTTCGGTTCAGAACCCGAACAGGGCGCGCCCGAGCCGTGGGGATGCCGCCATTGTTATATAATAGGGGAAAAGTGTTGGGCAGGGATTGAAGTAGCTTGTGAGCTGTGCTGGAAGGGAGTGTTAATACTTGATGATCCGAAAGGGGACCGATGCGGTGGCGAGCCTTCGAACTCAAGAGGGCGTGGAACTGATGAATCTACAGATGAGGAGACGCCGCGGCACAAGACGATTATTTTGCAATGTTCTTTTTGCGAGCAAATGGTCTGTGAAGACTGCTACGAAGCCACTGTGGTCTTTGGGCCGTGATGGCACCATCCAAAGCTCAGAATATCCAGATAGAAGTATTTTGAAGCGTTTTGATACCTAGTTGTATCCGAGATCGTCCGGCGTTAGGACTAGGCGGTGCATTAACAAACATTTATCCAGCGATTCTTGCTATATTATTTCATGCATTTAGCTATCTCCTGAGTTTGACCGAATATAGTTATAGCTCTCGTTCGTTCGTACTCTGTACACCGAAGTGCTTGCTGCTGTCAGCTTGATGCAAACAGTGCAAACCGGCGCAGTCTCATGTCATCACTTCCCGCGTCTCTCGAGTTCCAGGCCAGCAAGGGCTCGTCAGTTGAGCTGATCAAACCCCCCTCCGCTGATAATCGTTGAGAAACGAGAGTCAGATCCTACCGGGCCATTCCACCATGTCCTCGCATCTCCCCATCCGCCGCACTCTGTGCCAGTGCGTCCGATCAAACCCGGGGTCCGCCTTACGACACTTCCCACAGCGTCAGCAAACTCGGCTCCTATCCTCGTCACGATCACTCCGGGCCGCCGCAAATCCGTTACGAAATGCCTCACGCTCCGGGCGCAAGAGCCACACGGAGTATAAGCGGTCAATTGTCCTATCCGCTGCCGGGATGGCTTCGTGCGCAGTGGCCATGTTCGGGGTGATCAACATCTATTTCCCGCAAGGAGTGCAAAAGGATGATAGCAAAGATGGCATAGATAACGGGGCCATAAAGCTTGACGGCCCACCGGGATTGGCTCCAAAGGACGATTCAACGGTGATAATCGACGGCGTCGAGCAGGTCTCCACGGGGAATTCGACGATCCCACATTTCCCGAAATCGATCCGACTACCTGCGTCTTTAGACTCGCCCGACTCACGTCGCCAATCCGCCCGGACCCCCGGTGAGGAAATCAAAAAGAGTGGCGAGAAGGAAGAAGATTACTACCTTCTTGGCTTGGGTATTCGCACCGTGTCATTTCTCAATATCCAGGTCTATGTTGTAGGTTTCTACATCGCAGCTTCAGACATGGCGACGCTGCAGCAACGTCTGGTTCGAGAAGCAGCCTCGCCATCTATAAGCGGAGTCCCCAACGAAACTGCCGTGACAGCAACCTCGTTGGTGCCAAAGGAACGAGAGGATTTGAAAAAGGCACTTCTTGACCCCGAACAGGGAGAGGAAGTGTGGAATCAAATTCTCAAGGAAGGCGGGATACGAACGGCCATAAGGATCGTTCCCACGCGGAATACGGATTTCTTACATCTACGCGACGGATGGGTGCGGGCGATTACCGGTCGTGCGCAGAGGGCTAATGTCAGAGCGAAAGCACTTGCTACGAAGGAACATGATGCACATCCACAATCTGAGTTTGCGGATGATTCGTTTGGCGAGGCGATGGGTGATTTCAAGGCGCTGTTGGGTGGTGGCGGCGGCGGACGCAAGAGTGTGCCAAAGGGCCAGACATTGCTTCTCCTCCGGGACAAAGTAGGCGCGCTGGAGATCTTGTATCAACCGGGGGATGCGAAACCGAGTGTTTGGCTGGGCGAAGTTCTAGATGAGCGGATCAGCAGGCTCTTGTGGCTGCAGTATCTGGCTGGCAAGGTGGTGGCCAGTGACGGAGCGAGGAGGGCCATCATCGATGGAGTTATGGGGATTGTTGAGCGACCAGTGGGAACGGTCGAGCAAATGGTTGCGTGATTGTCGGGGTTCAAGACAAGAGAGGACTTAATGTGGACCTCTCCTTTTCATAAGTGCTGCATGCTTCTTGAGGTCCCTATCGGCTTCTTTTGTTTTTTTTTTCCATTTTTGGATGCAGCTTACTGTGTATTATACTATTACGTTTATAAGATCTGACGATACTCGCCTCAGCATTGGTTTCCGCAAGTTAGTTGCATCTGGTATGCTTTGATATATCTGATCAATCAACGGACATCTGTGGAAAATGAAGTCAAGCGGCAGCGTGTGGCGAGAAACGAATGTCACGCAGAACCCATTGGCCATTTCAAATCAGAAGAGCTTCGTAATTATGGAAAGCAAAGACATAACAAATAACCATATGATGCTTCTTTATTATCACATCAGCAGCAATCTAACAGCTACTGCTATCTGTACAAGGGAGTATCACACGATTTACTTTCCGGGGATTTCGGGATTTCCTCATGCCTGCAACGCACCAGCAGCCTTGAGCAAAGCCGGCAATTCAGACTTGCGGGCTTGCAAGTCAGAGTTTCCACCGATGTGCTTGTGGTCGATGAAGATGTTGGGAACGGTGCGCTGGTTGGTGATCTCCTCGAGAGCGGCTTGGATAGCGGCGCCATCATCTGGATGAATTAAAGAGTGTGAAATTAGCACCAAAGTACTCCGTATGCCATAGAACAATCACACCGTAAAGACGAAATGGAATTCCGGGGGAAGGGAGAGGAAAAGAAAAGAAAAGGATAAGAAAAAAAAAGGAAAAGAAAACTCACCGACTTGGTCTAATTCCATGGTGAAGTACTTGGCCCCTTCGGACGACAGCAGGGACTTGGTGGCCTTGCAGTATGGGCAGTAGGATTTGGAGAAGACAACTAATGTTCGTCGCGGAAGAGTTAGTTCGATGCATATACAAAGAGGAGGGTAGGAAGACGCACCGACGGCGTTGTCCGCGATGATGGTTTGGGCCTTTTGCTTTGCGGCGCTCATGGCTGCGGGATTTGGTCCGGCGAACGAGCCGAACAATCGACGGAGTATGGAAGCAATGGTGGGCGAGCGGTGCTGAAGCGTTAAGGGAGATTGGAGTGCAAGGTATATATATATATATATATATATGTAGCGGATCAGATGGATGTGGTGTGGAGCGGGGATGAAGATGACGAGGGGGGTGTTCGAGGTGGTTGATTTCAAATGAAGCGGGCTGGATTTAATGGAAGTCGGGGATCGGCGATCGTGTTCCAACTGCGAAAACCAACAGCCAAATACCCGCTCACGCACCGTAGACGTGTTTGACCGGGAGATACGGGAAATTATCAGTGAATTCAGCTGCGCAGGACGTCTCTCTATTACTCTGCGAAAATCGATTACTTGGATTACTTCTTGATGCTCTACAACCCTGTCCCCCAACTCCAATGATCCTCGCGGTCGTCGCTGGATATTCGATTCCGGAATCGCCGAATTGCGTCATAAGTTCTACAGATGAGAACGGCCGACTCAGCTGGGCCTAACAGATGGAAGAACGCAAGAAGAATCGCCAGCTGACTCTGACCGCCCGTTTACCTTGACGCTCTCCGATCGACGGGCTGATTGTACGCCCAGAAAAAGCTCGGAAAGCGACGGCGAACATACTTAACAACATGGTCATGGAAGAAGAGGGCAGCAGGGGACTTTTGTACCAACTGCCAAGTCAGCAGACATGGTTATCTTTTTTAATCTTTCTCAATTGAATTTAGGATAGCCTCTAGAGTACACGGTGCTTCCGCACCCCTCAATCTCCAACGAATAACGGTTGGGCCAAAATACAGCGAATCCAACGCGGATCCATCCAAGATAAGGGGAGTCTCACAAAATATTCTCTCTTTCCCCTCTCTCTATTGGAAGTTCGAGAGAAACAAAGCTAGTGGCACCGACGAGACGAACTGATATCGACAACTCGAAGAAGGGGCGGGTTGGGAAAAGGCAAAGAAACTGCACAAGTAACGAAACCACGCGGCCGAAAGAGAGGGACTGTACAAACACTTGGAAGATCGAGAAGCAATTCAATAAACTGGAGAGTCTGAAGCCTTTTTCTTTCTGAGGCTGGGGAATCAATCTTTGAGGCAAGGAGAAATAAAAAGGGTGGCGGGGAAATTCGTAAGTTTCGTCAAGAGAACACTGGGGCGAGGAAAATTGAGCATCTAGGTTTGGAAAGCCAGCATATTTGAAATATACATGCCTGTTATGGCGAGGAGAAAAAAAAAAGTTCTGTCTCGTACTGGTGGCAGAGCAGAGCTCGGGGGAATCGATAAAGGTCAAGAAGAGATTTCAAAAGAAAGCCGACACACATGCGCGCGCACACCTGCACTCACTTTCTCTCTCACATATGAAATATGCCGCTTCGCAAACAATGCCCAAGTAAGATAACCACTAAAAACAGATGCAGCTGGATGGAGAGACAGAGAACGCCGACGGGCCACAGAACAAGGGGTAAAAAAAAAAAAAAAAAAAAAAAAAAGGGAAAAGAAAAAGAAAAACCAAACACATAGGAAAGCTCCAAACCTGCTAATCAAAGGACGACGCAAATGGGGGATTCGATAATAGATAACACACTCTTATGGAAGTGAAGAAATACGGCAAGGATAGCCCGGGAAGGGGGAAAAACTGCGATTAGCTGCCTAGATTAGAACGAGATATCCCGCCTTTGACCGATATAAGCAACATTTTGATCACATAACAACGCAGCAAGAGCAGCTCTTCTTTTTGGGAGGGGGTTGTTCTTGCATGGGACTGGGCCCCGGTTTCGCACTGATGGACGTCGTGAACGTCGGTTCTGTAGCGCTAGGGATCAGAGAAGGTATTGATTTGTAACCTGAGCGGTCAGTATCACCTTTCCCGGGATGGTCTCTCATCTCCGGGCTCTTTGGCGGTGATGGTAGTGACGGCAGTGATGGAGGCGCGAAAACAATGGGACAGGGGTCTTCTTCCTTTGGCAGTTCGGGCTCTGCGACGGGAGATGGAGGCTTCTCATCACGTCGAATGGCCAATGGAGCAAAATCCTTGTCGTAGGTAGACGGTATCCTGCCCTCCTTTTCCCAGAGCTCTTGCTGGAGCCTTTTCGCGTGGGTGGGAAGCATCTGCTGGTCTGGTGGCAGGCGTGGATCTGGCTTGTACATAGTCGCCAGCCACGGAGGATCCCCTTCTGGGCGATTGAGTCCGGTTGGGGGCCGACGCTCTCCGGATCTTGTGCCCGGACGCTGATTCTGGATGCTACCGTTGCCGTTGCTGGCGGCCGCTTTCTTGTGGGTTCCCGAACTTTTCCGCGTATCTTGGGTGCCGGAAGCTTTACGGCTCGTGGCGGGGGTCGATTTGGCAGAGTGCTTCGCCTTGGAAGGTGAATTCTGCAATTGACGACTCGCAGTGGAGGGTTGGGAGCTTTGCGGGGGGGTTGTCTCGATCTGCGGCTCTGGGGTCTGCAACACGCGGGGCGCCGATTCGCTGAGGCGTCGGGTTTTTGAAAACGACAAGGTATCTTCATCTCCGCTGGTCACCGTATTGTTCCTAGTTCTGGGGAGAGGAGAGTCGCGGCCCAGGTACTCGTGAGGAATGGGGTGAGGGCTCGAAGCGAGAACCGGAATCCGAGACGAGCTCTTCCTCAAACCAGGCATGCGGTACACTCTTGACGACGACGCGCTACCACCATCTTCATAGGGATCAGCCGCGATTTCTTCTGGTAGACGTGGGTCCTCGAACACGGCCGGCCCAACGTCTTCGTCCTGCGGACCGTCGTCGATGGGAATAGGTGAAGCAAGCCGTTGTCTCTTATCCTCGTGGATGGTGGGAAACGATTCGTTTGGCTCCACGCTTCCATTTGTTCCAATACTCTGGGACTCGTAGCTACGGCCTCTTTTGCTGTCTGATCTATGTCTCATCAGCACAGGATCTTGAGCTTGGATACCGAATTGCTGTAGCTCTTCGCTCTCGATCTTCGCCAGCTTGTCCCGATGAATCCAGTGCGAGTCGTCGGGCTCTTGGGGCCGGTAGTAGCCTCCCTTGTCCGGCTTTGGGTCCGTTGAATCCATGATACTGGATGAGCTGCGATCTGCCGGCTCCTGTTCATAAAGGTCCAATAGACTGTCTGAGTCGCTGCCGCCGGGGCCTAGACCAGTGTCCATCCGGCTTGATGTATCGCCCCGATGAGTTGCTAAATAACCCTGATCCTGGAGATGGCCCTGTCTTGACCCCGATCGCGACAGGGTGCCGGAAACGGGGGTTCCATTCACGGCGTCGGAAATACTGTTCTTTGAGTTGTATTTTGGGTGGGGAGCTGTAGAATCGTGGGACGTTCGAGGCTTGGAAGGGGCGGGATTCGTGGACTACGGGGAGTAAATAGTTAGCAATTAAAAAAAAAAAAAAAAAAAAAAAAAAAAGAAGAAGAAGAAGAAGAAGAGAAGAAGAGAGAGTGAGAGTCTTCGGGGGGTGAAAAAAATGTAAAAAATAAAAAAAAAAAAAAAATAAAAAAAAAAGAGAAAAATTGCGCCAAGTAGAGCAACTTTCGACGTACATCTTGTCCATTTGAAGGGGATTGATCCCATGGTCGCTGGCTTTCCTTCACACTGCCGGGCGATGACAGAGCATCTGCTGAGTTGTTTGCAGCAGTCTCTGCCATGCCAGCAATAGTTTTCTGAATTGACGCAGTTTTAATGTGTCAAGACCCAAGCACACTTCCTCTCGGTGCGGTTGCGTCTGTCCTGATCCGGATCCCAACCCCAACGTTTCTCCCTCAATGGGCCAGTCGTTATGATCCCCGAAGCTGTGCCTGTTCGGGGGAGGGAAGGGATGGCTTTGCTTGCCGGTCAGGAGGGAGAAGCTAAGCGTCCCAAGCGGGGAGGAGGAGGAGGAGGAGGAAGAGGTCCGGTGGGAAAGGAAATATAATTGCAGGGATAAACTATGTATGGATGGTATGTATATGTATGGCGATAAGGTAGGGGAAACCCTCGATTGCGCAAAGGATGAAAGCCCAGCGGCCCGGGACAGCCCGAAATTCTGAAACTGATATTTAAAGGAACCACACTAGGCCAAGGTTCGTCCGAGCTTGAAGACGCGATCTGGGTGTGATCGTGGGCGCAAAACAATATTCTTTTTTTTATTTTTTTTTGGGTTCCTTTGGCTCAGCAGGCCTCGACCCAGCGGTATCGGGAAATGTAGCTCGGGACGAAGACGGCCGTTGGTCGTACGGAAAACGGGTTTGGAGGGGTGCGGCGGACAGGACTAGGGCAGGCGAATGCTCATTGCATGGCAGTTGTGGAACCGGGTTTTTGTTTTGTTCAAGGACTGGACTGACGTTTGGAAGCCGTCGAATAGATTGCTGGAGAAGAGAAAAAATACACCCCGGGGGACGAGAACTCTCCCGCAGAGCGCGTACGGTGATCGAAGAGAAGAGGAAGAAGGGGAGGCCTCCTTTTTTTTTTTTACTTTTCGCCAGGGGAGGCTGAGGCAGTCGACACTGATGGCGACGGTGATGAAGATAGGGACAGTTTGGGGTGCAGAAACAGAGGGAAAAAAAGCAGCCAACCAGCAACGAGAGATGAAGAATCGAAGAACCAGGGGAGCCAGCCAAGGAGTGGTAAAAGGAAGGACGATAAATGAAAGGGAAGGGAAAAAAAAAAAAAAGAATGGTGTGCCAGACTTCTTCCTCTTTTTTGGTTGGAGAGATGGGCTGGTGTGCAGGAGGAGCTTCAGGACGGACTCTTTCGACACGGCAGCTTCTGGCTTATGGATCGCTTGCTGGGCTGTGAGACATGGACAGGGAGGGCGGTGGTCGTCGACGAGGTCGCTGATCGTCGCCAAGAGCGCGAACGGGCTGGTTAAATAGTGGTTGTTGAGAGCTTTGTCCACTCTTGCAAATTAATCTATTAGATCAATGGCTCTAAATTACTCGGCTCCAGTAGTTAGACTAAAAGATGAGAAGCCGCCTGCTTCGAGTTGCAAAAATAAATAAAAATAAATACAATCAATAGTGGTTAATTAACGGCAGCCCCGTTAATCTCCAAAAAAAAAAAAATAAAGAAATAAAAAAATAAAAAAAGAAATAGGGGTTGGCCCGTCTTTGCTGTCTACATCGAAGCTCTCACGCGGTACTCGCGTTCGGAGCATATCATATCACTCTACTCCGTACAGGCATCTTGCGTCTCTTTTGGAAGTGCGATGCCGCTCTTTTCGATCTGATTTGAGGGACGTCTGTCTTCTTCCCCCCGTATGGCAACACGCGCCTCTGATTGGCGTGGTTTATCTCACTCCGCAGCCCGCTCTGCAGGCTCAATTGCCCAGTAAAAGCAGTTCCGCTTCACTTGTGCTCATGTGAGCCAGGCTGGCCGTATTAATGAAAATGCACAGCTCAGATTTTTGCCACGCAGAGCTGGAAAATGTATTACATTCTGTCCTGGTGGTATATAAAGGAGGCCAAATGACAGATGGTTTGGTGGGTGAGATGAAGCTTGTAAATGCACCGAATGTCGAGATCAATATCATAGCGATATATGTCTTTATGGTCCCAAAAAAAAAAAAAAAAAAGAAAGGAAAGGAGAGAGAGAGAGAGAGAGAGAAGAAATGAAATATAACAGCCGTCTCATGCAACAAGGATGCACATCTGTTCTGCTTTTTAATGCTTCGTCATCTACTTTGTATGCTGAGCCACATGGGCAATTGAACAATTGTCAGGATGCAATCATACCGCGTAGCAGTTTTTGAAGGAAAAAAAAAAAGAAGAAAAAGATGTAAAAGTATGCCCACAAAGGAGAGAGCGAGAGCGATAATGATTAAAAGTAAATTGAGCAGAGAAGCTGGTCATGACATAGTATCAAAAAAGGATTAAAAAAAGGAAAAATTAACAAGCCAAGATACCCTTCTATGCAATTATGTATTTCTGACAAAAAAAGTTCGCAGCTCCTCAACTCCATCAAACCAAACCCGTTTCGATGGTGCCGATGCAACTGGGAATGCTTTTCTTTTTCTTTCTCTCTCTCTCCCCCAACCCCCCCCCTCTCTCTTCTACTGTCTCAATGTTTGGCGGCAGCATCAAGGCTCTTGAGTAGACTTTGGACCTTCAAAATGAGCGCCTTCCTCTGCTTGCGAGCAACTCCATCACCCTCCAACTCAACCCCATCGGCCTTGAGCAGGACCTGGGTCATTGCAGTCTCGCTTAGCCTCTTGTGCTCCATCTCCAAAGCTTTCTGGTCGTGCGGCGGCTGCTCGATGTACTGCCTGATTAGAGGCTTCAGAACCTTGTCCACGTAATCATCTAGAATCCTGAGCTTCTCCCGTGGTGTCTGCGAGGAATTGAGCATGGGGGACGGCGTTGGCATGCGAGACGAGGGCGTAAGAGCGGGTGACATGGGGGCAGACAGCGGGGACGAGGGTTTGCTCTCCGTAGGGTGTGGAATATGCGGAGAGATCCGGGGTCGAGGCGGCTGAGAATGAGATATTCGTGGCTCGCTGCGTGGGCCAGCCTCGCCTTCATCCTCGCGGTGCCTATCGACCCGGGCGTCTTTTCGTTTCGACTGGGCTCTCCTTCTCCTCCCTGGCGGGCTGGACAGCCGGCGTCGAGGCTCGCGCTCGTAATTGGTACGGTACCGGGCGAACTCGCCCACTTCAGACTCACTGGTCGAGTCGTCATCAGATCCAAAATCCTCCGAGACCACACACATTATCAGGGAGTTCTGCTTCAACCCCACGCTTTTAGCAGACGCATTGTCGTCCTTCAGCAACCGGCCCTTGTACAGCAGCTTGATCCGCCTCAGTCGACTGACGTTCAACACGTTGCCGGCCGCCCTCCGCACGTCTCCAACCGTCAGGATGCCATCACCAATTGCAAACGCGGGGAATTGGAGCAGGTAAGACTTCGTATGGTGTCTCAATCTGAGCACATCGGGCTCCCGCTCATCGTCGTCGTCGTCGTCGTCGCCGTCGTCATCGTTGTCGTTCTCGACATCATCATCTTCGTCGTACACGTGCTCGCCGCCGGCAGCACGCTGTGGACCTAGATCTCTCATCGAGTCCAACCGGCCGAACGACGGTCGACGCCAGCCAGCGCCGAGCTCCTCGGGCCCCACGTAGTCAAAGTCCTCGTCCCGCACCTGGGGAGCTCGGAAGAACGCACCAAACGGCGAGGGGACATCTCTCCACACGTTCGAACGTCTCCAGCTGGTCATTGTGATGAGCAGGGTGGCCAGGAGGACAGCTAGAGCGGTGGCTGCGAGGGCGAAGGGAACGCCAAGGGAGGATGAAAACGGGAGGAAAGGGAGGAAGAAAGCAATGCGAGACGAAACGGCGGCGATGGACTGCGAGGTTGCGGTCTCCAGATGCAGAACGGAAGCGTGGAGGGCGGGGGGGAGGTTAGACACCAGGGTGGTCCAGTACGAAGCGACACTCGCGCGTACGGAGGGGAGCAGGGCCAGGGTCATAGATCTTTTGGTGCTGGGGGGGAATAAGAGAGGGGGGGAGGAGGAGGAGTGGTGGTGGTGGTGGTGGTGGTGATAGGTGTCTGGGAGCTCGGCAGCACGGGGCGTCAGGTCATCTCAGCTTGGATTCCTGGAGAGGAGTTCCAGGTGGAAAGGCTGCAGTCATCGTTTTTTCGTAGGTTTGAATTCGGTGACAAAGATGGTTTTTTTCCTCTCTCTTCTCCGACCGCCATCCCAGCGCTTGTTTCTGGAAGACGGTTATTTAACACCAAACACCCCGTGTAATCCCAATACCGCATAATTACGCCGTTATTATTAATCGAACAGCGTCGTGATGGCCGCCGCTAAGCATTGATATAAACAGCTCCCAGTGCTGAGCCAAGGGCGGGGAGCAGGTCGCGCATTGGCCGGCGCCGTGCGATCCCCGTCGAGTCGCCTTGTGACAACAAAGAGCTGCGTGCATCGAGCGTCATTGTGGGAAGGCTGTTGGCTGTTGGCGCTCTACACTCGGCTGTTCGGCCAGGACCTACATACAGTCTCTCTCTCTCTCTCTCTCTCTCTCTCTCTCCACGCAACACAGGCCACAAAGGCAGCGATTCCGCTATACGGAGTAATTACTACTAAATACATATTAAATAATGTCTATGTGCACTAGAACCGGTAAAGAGATGTCTCCGAACAGAGCCCATATAACCTCCCCAATGCTCTTTCAATTAAAAAAAAAAAAAAAAAAGAAAAGAAAAAAAAAGAAAAGAAAGGAAAAAAAAGAACAAAAGACGAAAAAGAAAAAGGAGGCTAAATTGCTGTACTCCTCCAAAACTCCGTCACCACATTAAGCTGTGTTAATTGTACACCGAATCTGCAGAACGCCGCGCGCACCCTAATCGGGCTAGGGACCAAATAACCGGTTCAGCCCGCTTGAATTCCCCAAGCCTCGACCTTGCTCCTCCACATCGTCGTCGTCGTCGTCGTTGTCGTTGTCATGGTCACCGCGCATCCACCTCGGCCGTCTGAGCTCGGAATCCACACGCTGGAGCCACTTTGGCTTGCCAGCCGTCTCAAACGTATTCTTAACCCTATGGACGAACGACTGGAAGGGACTCTCATCATCTTCGCCGTCGTCCGAAACCGGCTGGGGAACGTTTATGCCCCTGCTCGTAGCAGAGTATTCGTACTGCGGCAGACTACTGGATGATCTGTGTGAGGGGGGAACTCGTAATGTAGGACCTCGACGCGGGACGGTATGACCGTTATCACCAGAATCGGTGTACCGATTGCCGGGGACGGCTGAACGAGAAGAGAGCCCAAGAAACCCCGGACCGCTCAGCTCTTGGTTGATCAACTCGCGGCCTTCACGCCACGTACCGATCCCAACACCGGTAGGGTCATCCGCAGCGCTGTCCTCGCCCTCGAGTAATCCGAATCCCAAGGCGTTTCTGACCTTGCCGTACATGTTGAACAGTGTGGCGGCGACAGGAACCAGTATGAAGATCGGAAAGAAATAGTCGAATCCCTTCCCAAGCGGAGTTAGATCGATAAAGCGGCCGAGGAAGGCGTAAAAAGTGGTCTGATGTTGAACGTTCCGGGAGAGGAGAGTAAGGAAGTTGTACGCCAAGGGAACGGTGAGCCTGGCTATCAGGCCGGCATACCAGCAGGCACTCTCGCCGTAGGTGTTTCGCCGCACAAGAGCGCGGTTGCCCCAGACTTTTGTGTCAGTTACGCCGGCGAAAGCGGCCGAGCACATATAGAGCAGCCAGCCCGAGGCCACCATCTGGCCGAGAAAACTAACTGTCGCCGTACCATGATAGGCGTGGGTGACACTCAAACTGACAATCGAGATGCTGGGTGCAAATGATTTGACAAATTCTGACCAAACAATGCAGGCGGATGCGATTGAAAAGAGACCAGCGCATACGATTCGGACCGCCGGAAGGACATGGAAATGGAGCACGTGGCGAAGGTATGGGGTCAGGAGTGGACGGCGGTGGGAAAGAGTAGAATGCGACGTGTACCGGCTGAATTCGAGGTGTTTTGAAGTTGAAGAATCGATGATCGCCTGGCAATCGGCTGCTTCCTGCACAAGTCGACTCCAAGCGTCTGTGAAGCGGGCATTCTTATGGCGCGCGCGGTTCAGATTTCTCGTAAGCTCCGCCAGGTATCTCTCCGTGATAACGACGGGGCCGGTGGGCCTTGATGCATCGGCCAGAGCCAACTGAGGGGGTCGGGCCCCTGGGAAATCTGCGCCTTCCACCAGATCGTCTATCCAGTCCTGCAGGTCTAATGGCACGCTCGTTTTGCGCCTCTCCAGCTGGCTCACTTGGGCTCTAATATCTTCAAGGCTGGATTTAGCATCGATCAAGCGATCGTATATCAGGGGAGCCCGGGACTGAAGACGCCGTAGCCTATTGCCTGGGTTTACGTTTCTCCAGAGACCCCTAGGTATAGCCACGAGACCGTGGCCCATGAGATAGATAGCCAGAACCAAGCCCCAAACGTAAGCCAAGGCCATGACAAGACTCTTCAGGGAGCTAAACCTAAAGCCATTCTGGATCAAAACGTATACAAGGCCGACTATGCCACAGGACAACATAAGGAGTTGGTAGCGGGCGTTCGATCGGAGGGAGTAGGCGATTCTGGCTCTCGGTGTCCGATGTCCCGAATCAACGTATTCGCCAAGTAGAGGGAGAATCAGCCTGCATTTGTTTGAAGTCAAACAACTGTCAGTTCGCAGTCGGAAACAAAATTTTGGGTGGGCGTGCTCGAATAGAAAGAGAAAAAAAAAAAAAAAAAAAAAAAAAAAGGAAAAAGGACCATACCATGTGAGAACGAATGTAAGCCAGTAGGTTATCCGCCAGGAGACAAGCATCACGCGGGACGGAAGCCATATTCCTGACGGGGAGCTGCCGGACGTGCTCGAAGTGAGATCGATGGGGACCAAGAGAATGACGCTTGCAGGAAGCGCAAGGGCCAGGAACACGGGCAGGGCGAGGTACGCTGGCGTGCTCCGCAAGGGCAGGTAGTGTCGGAGGAGGAGGAGAACGAGGAAGAAGATGGAAACGACGGCAAAGGCCGCAAATATGCCCGAGCCCACCGGAGGAGGCCGGGCAGTCTGGGGCGAGAAGAAAGCCATGATGCGTGTAACCCGACCGAACCTAAGACGACAATGATGTTTGAATGGATCCTCCACCCTAGATCTGACGGAAGCAGCTCCCCGAGTTCCTCCCTCGTACCTGACGCCGTGAAATGTCGCTCAGCAACTTGGTATCATCGAAATAACCGCTAATAGAAAAGCTAGCCGCCGGAGCGCTCATCTCCGGCGCTCGAAGAACCAAGGCGAAAGAGGGAGCAAAGCATAAAAGGCCACTTTCTGAAGCAAATGATTACTCGGTAACTAGTAGTTTAGTTGGGGGGGGGGGGGGGGAGGTTGGGGGTTTTGGATGCAAGGGGGAGAAGTTGAACGAACTGCTGTTTGCTTCTGCTGCGGGCTTCGGATCGGTCCTTTAAGGTTGGAGGAGTGAATTTTGGGGCCGGACGGCGGTGACGTAATCAGCTGTAGAAGAAAGTCAGGGTCATGTGACTGCGTATTATGCATTGGACGTCTTCCGTATTTTACAACGGTTCTTGGCGTAATTACGACTGACTACAGTTGCCAGTCACGCACTATTTTGCTGCTGTATTTTGTTTTTTTATTTTATTATTTTTCTTTATTTTCATTTGCATTTTATTATTTATATTATTTATTATTTATTATTATTTTATTTTTTCTTTGTTTTTAAAATAGCTTTTTCAGAGTACGGAGTTCCGTAGTATGGGAAAGAGGAAATACATTACCTGGGAATTGGAGCGAACGACAAGTCTTTTTTAGCCAGTGAGAGGGCAAGCCAGCCGCGGCTGGAGCAGATCACTCAGCGCGCTAGTCCAGATCGGGAAGTGCCAGCAAAGCGAAGGCTAAGCCTAATCTGTGGCGCGACGCTGGACGGGCTGTGATTGGCCAGGGCGGGCTTGGCGGTACTGTTATTTTTTTGGTTATTTTTGTTTTTTTTATTTTGGCTTTTTCTTTTTTTATTTTGGGAGGGAAAAAAGAGGAGGATGGAAAGGGAGGAAAGGCGGGGGTAATGTGCTATGTGGTAACGTTACGGCCGCCTGCCTGGGCCTGGGGCGGGCTTTCCTGTACTGTACTGCGGGCGACGGCGGGCGACATCAGCGTATTGCACGTGTCAGGCCGTGTAACTTACCCGCTGCCCGCTAGTCCAAGTTACAAAATAGTTAAGTTATAACTTAACTAGTTAACGAACTCACTAACAGCGCGGGCTAAGACACTTGAAGGCCAGCGAGAAACCAAAAAAGCAGCGCCTCGTCCAGACCACCAACCCTCCAGACCGAACAACCTGGACGGCTTCAAAAGAGGCGGATCTGTTTTTGTTCGTTCATCTCCCCTCTTCTGCCTCGTCTGCCCATCGTCGACATTCCTACTCTCGCCAGGCTTTTCTTTTATTTTTTTTATTTTTTATTTTTTTTTTTTATTATTTTTTTTCTTTTTGTTCGTCGGCTCCAGCTCTTTGGTGACGGCCTGACGACTCCCCGCCTGGGCTCCGCATTCCCTCCCTTGATTGCTCCGTGGTCTGGGGTGCCTTGTAACTTTCCAACCACGGTGTGTGCGCCTGTGACCTAGCCGCCCCAGACACAGAATGCTTGTCCAAACAGCTATGCTTGTCTTCCTTCGCCTCCTCCTCTAGTTAACTCTTGTCTCTCGCTCTCTCTCTCTCTCTCTCTCTCTATCTCTTTCTCCCTCTCTCACAACCATCTCGTTTCGCCCTCCTTCAAACTCGTCCGCCTTGCGTCTTCGATACACACGTTTCGCCCGTCTCTTGTTCCGAGCGGTTACAGCCTCACCCCACCGCCCTCCAACGGGCTGGTGGAAATCCGCTCTGCCTTCTTCCTCCCTCCCTACCTCCCTAAACCCTTCCACGTCGAGGTTGGGAATCCCCCACCCCAGGTTGTTGGCGAACAGACATCGCGTCGTACGGGCCGATCCTCTCTCTTCTCTTCCAAGACAATTCGCTCCTCTCTCGAATTCTCCTGGCTCCTCTTCTCCCCCCGACTGTCTCCGATCTGACGCGTGAAATTCTTACAAACCCGTTTCGAGAAGTATCTCCGGTGAATGAAGAGGTTCAAAGCGCATTTTCGCGGATCTTGCCCTTCCGCTGAATTGGTATTCACTGTTTCGAAATGAATCCCGCAAATCTGCCAAATAGCGGCGCTGCGGGGGGGCCGATGCCACCGACCGATAAGCCTAAACCCGACAATAGTCAGATGCTGCTGAAACATGTTGGACAAGTCATACAGGCCCAAGGCCCATTCACCGGTTGGCGAGAGTCGGTGCCCATACAAGAACGTATCGTGAAGGTTTGCCAAATGTAAGTTTCCCTCTCCATCTCTCTCTCCTTTCTTTTCTTTTCTTTTTTCTTTTTTTTTCCCCTTCCTTTCTTTTAAAGTAGTCACAAGTGTTGGATCGATCACCTACTTTTTACCGACCCTCCCCTGGACCCAGGCGTCACAAACCCCACAAGTGAAACTTCCTACTGCTTTATTGGAAATAGATTAACTTCTTTTTCTCAAGGATATCTTCTTTACGCTTGATCCCAACAGTGGAAGGTCGTGTTGCTATCAGCGCGGCCCTGAAATTCGAAGAAAAAGCCCTTCGAGAAGCTAACTCAAAGGTTTTACTCCCTCGAACAGCTCTTTGGGATCAAGTGCTAACTCGTTCTTGGAAAAAAAAAGCCGGATTACGAAAGAGAATGCAACGAGAAACTCTTGCAACTTCGTGATAAGAGGCAACAGGCTATCATGTCCCAGTCCAACCCTCAAGTCGGCTTGCCCATCAATACTCAAGCGACCCAAAATCAGATGCAACACATGTTTCCAAACGCAATGCCGCGTCCCACCCAGGGTACCCCCATGCCAATGCAACAACAGCAGGCACTTAGTGCACCGCCGAACCAGCAACCGTTGCCCCAACAAGCCTTCCTTCAGAATCCACAAGCCCGCCCTGTCTCCATGCAATTACGCGACGATATCTCCTCGCTAAGCCAAAAGGAATCCCAATATGTTTGCCATTTTGCCGACCAGCTGGCCCAGAAGACATCACCCGCCGACATGGAGAAGATCAAAATGAACCTGCAAAACATGACTGCAGACCAGCGACAGTTCTTGAACCGCAAAGGTCTCACGCCCATGCAGTACTTTTTTCGCTGCCAGGCTCTGAAAACCTTGAGAAAACATAGGCAGGCCATGGGTATGGCTAGCCCTCAAACCATGAACCTCGATGCCGCAAACACTGCAGGTGGTGAGCGTATGATGACTACGCATCAAAGGCAGCTGAGCCAGCCTAGCATGTCGTTCCAAGGTAGCCCCGCTATGCCGATGGCCGGCCTAGATCCGTCGTTCTCTGGAAACGTGGACCATGTTCAGCCCCAACAAGTGGACGCCCTTCGCTCGCAAGAGACTGGACAGCCCGCCATGTCTGCGCATAATCCACAGATGATGAGCCATCCGCCATTCGGCTCCCAACAGGGAGCATTTCAGGGCCCTCACCCGAATATTAACAGAGCCAACATGAATGCGGCCATGATGGCTCAGCAGCACCGCCAGAATTTACAAAACGCTCAACAAGACAAGCTCCAACATGCTGCTCATTTCCAAGCTCAGTCCGACGCTCAAGCGCGTGCGCAGGCTGCAGCGAAGGCACAGAGAGCAATATCATCCCAGGCAAATCCTCAGATTCCACAGTCGATGCCGCAGCAAAACCCAGCCGTCTCGATGATGAACCGACCAGGAGCGCCCGTTCAAGTTCCTCAGGGAGGAATGGGCCCACAAGGTCGACCGTACGCACGACCGGGAGGTATGGGCCAGAACAACCAGAATCCCATGCAAACTCCGCGCCCACCGATTCCTCCTGGGCTTCCGCAGAACGTGCAAAACCACTTGGCTCAACTACCGCCCGAACAAGTGAACGGAGTGCTTCAAAACTATCGTCGCGCGATGGCAAACAATCCGGCGATGCTTCGACAGAATCACGGTGTTCCTGTTCAACCCCCGATTCCGGATTCCGCGCAGATGGCCCAAGTACCGTCATCGAACATGGTAAATGACCCCAATATGCGAGCATCCATGGGAATGCATTATCCCCTCATGAACATGGGCGGGATGCAGCCGCAGCCCGGATTGCAAGGCCAGCAGTTCCCCATGCAAAAGCCGAATCAGCCGTTTCTAGGTTACCCGCAACCACCGGATCCTCGTCTTGAGTACCTTCAGCAACGCAGTAGTACCTTCACCATGAACGAGGACCAGCTTCGAGAAATGGATAAAGTTCCTTTTCCTTTTGCCATATTTAACTCTAATCCAGCCGTAGCACAAGCGTTGCCAAAAAATCTCAAAACTTGGGGCCAGCTGAAAATGTGGGCGAGTAAAAATCCTCAAGCGCTCGGCGAGATCAGCGTGGATAGGCTCGCAATGCTTCAAAAGCTCCATTTCGGCCAGATGCTTAGCGCCCGGAGAGAGGCTGCCAACCGTGCCATGGGACAACCAACCGCTGCTCCACCAGTCGGAATGGACCAAAGCGGTTTGAGGCAGCCTCACTTCGGCCCTCAGCATATGCATCAACAGCTTCCCGGCCAACCCCAAGTGCCTCATGGCATGCCGGTTATGCGACCCATCACCGCCAACGATATTCACATGGCGCGCCAAAAGCTTGGGGCCCATGTTGAAAAACTCAGCGATGATGCACTCCGGGTGCTTCTAGAGAAAAGCAGGCACAAGCAATACATGACACAAGCTGCACGGAATCGGGAAGCTGCACAGGCTTTGGCAGCTCAGTCCATGAACCAAGTTCCTGCTCCTGGGCAGATTCCAGTTCCGACTCAGCCTCCACAGCATATTCCAACAACTCAAGCCCAGCCGCAGGTGTCACAGCCGACTTCGGCACCCGGGATGCCCTCGATGGACAGTAAATCAGGACCTCAAAATGTAGCCAACACGGCGCGTGCAGCTGCTGTGAAACCATCTCCCAAATCCCTGAAAAGGCCGAGTGTTCCTGACACAGAAAATAAGGCACCCGTTCCACATCAGCCTCAGGTTCCTACGGTCCCACTGGGTGGTGGTGGTGGCCAGCCACCACAGGCCAGCCCGGCCCAGTCTACACGTGAGTCGATGGCCGCTATGAGCCAACAGCAGCGACCGCAGTGGGAAGCGCACCTCCGACGGCAGCAAGCCCAACCTCGTATTTCTAAAGATGCAGCGGATGAAGCATGGGCCCGCCTTCCCGAGCCGCTAAAGCAGATGTATGCAGAACTCGTCCGAAATGATAACGCTGTCGTGCCGGTTGCGATGACGTCTGCCCAAAAAGCTGCAGTTACACAGCAGCTCCGAGAAAACACGTACATGCTCAGCCGTATGGACACTTTGGTCCAGTGGATATCGAAATTCCCAGGCCAAGAGAAAAACGTTCGGACATTGCTGCAAATGGTAGGTCGAAAACCCCACCACTCCACTCCCCGTAGTACCTGTTTCGCCCCGGTGATACTAACTCGAAACGCAGAGGATGTTGCTCATGAAGCAATTCAAGGGCCCCGATTGGACTCTGGCCGATCATTTTACGATCGCGTCGGATTATCTGGCCAACGCCATCGCTCATATTAAGAAATGGTTCGCTGAGATGATTAGTCGTGTTCAGAGTTCCCGACTAAGCCAGACATCTTCAAGGACCGCTGCTGTACAGCCTGGGATTACACAACAGGCTTCTCCAAAGGGACCCACACCTCTTAATGCGAGCAACCTGCAGCAGCTGGAGCAGCAAGAAGCTGCGCTTCAACGTGCCAGGAAAGCTGCCCAAACGATTCCCCCTGCCCCAACCACGGTGCAGCCACCGTTTCCTCTCGGAGCGACATCTCCCCAGGGTGTCCCGCGTGTCTACGGGCCGACAAGTGTCACTCAGGAAAGCCTAACCCTTCCTCCACCCAAGAGACGGAAACCAAACCAGGCTGCGGCAAAGGCGCCGGCAAAATCTGCCGAACAACGATCGCCGGCTGTGAAGGCAGAGACACCGGCTGCTCCAGAGGCGAAGAGACCCGTGCCAGTTCCCAAGGACACGTTCAAATGTTCGATCGTGGAATGCAAATACCATATCAAGGGATTCCCGTCTCAGGCTGCGCTGGACAATCATGTCAACGAGGAGCACAAGCCAGAGGAGCCAATTACTAATGCTCTTGATTTCGCGATCGAGAGTTACAGGAAGGGTCTCGGTCTCGATAAAGCCGATAAGAAGCCGTTGGATGCAAACGAGCAAAGACCTAGGGACTCTGCAACTCTAGGGGGCAAAGCACAACAACCCTCAAAGCCGGGCATGAGCATCACCCCTTCGTCCTCGCAACCTATGGCTCAAACCTCCAGCCTCGCTGGCGCCAAATCAATCTCCCCTTCATCCCTACAACGCAAACCATCCCAGATGAGCAGTGCAAAGGAGCACCAGGCAACCTCAGCAGAACTTAAACGCGTCCCCAGCAAAGACTCCAAGAAACCTCCCGGCAACACCGCAGAGACAGGGCTCTCTCCGCCCGCCGCCAAGGACCCCTGGGAGGATTCCCCCACGTCCCTCGAGGCCATCCGCTCCACCTTCGGCGAGCTGGCGGAACAATCCTTCTTCGACGTCGGCTGGGACCGCGTCGACGAACTGCTCCTCTCCGATGCGTTCACCGCCATGCGCTCGAAGGACACCCCGCAGTCCACGGACGCCAGCGCCGTCACGCAGACCCCCCAGGACAGCGATGTCTCCAAGGACGAGGATCTTGATATGGTGATGGACATGGACGATAGCTGGGCGCTGCCGGAGTGGGTGAATCTGCCGGACGATCTGGAGGGGAGCTTGTATATGAATGAGCCGTGGGAGCCGATCGATTGGGATGCTGTGGTGGCGGGTGAGTTGGAACCGGGCCGGGCACCGGGTGAGGACTTGGTGTATTCGGTGTAATCTATGTTCCTTTTTCCTTTTTTTTAATTCATTTTTCCTGATTGCTTTAAAAAGGGGGACTCCTTTTTTTCTTTTTTTTTTTTTTTTTTCTCTGATTTTTTGTTGGCAGGAGGGAAGCATAAAAACATCTAATAGATACCATGGGAAATGGATATGGGAAGCCCTTTTTTTTTTTTTGTTTTTTATATATATATTTTCTCTTTTTTTGTACTGCTTTGCACTGTTGGAAGAGCAAGGTGTCGGGGAGTTCTCCTTTCTTTTTGTCCTGCGAAGTTATTACTCTTTGTGTGTGTGTGTATAAAAGAAGCTATCATGTCTGCATATATTCAAAATTCAAAGTGCTTCACTCTTTTTTTTGTTTTTTGGGTCTCCCTCTCTCTCTCAGCCCACTCAGATTCATTTCCAGGAGGAGAATATTGAAACAAAATCAAAATTATTGGATTATTTTAGATCCCAAGTACATACAATCAATAATACAGGAAGAAGTGAATGCTATCGCATAGCAATCACTGAGAATTTTAAGGAATAAATAATATTTTCACAAAAAGGAAAAAAGAAAAGAAAAAGGCAAGCAAAGTCCCGTTATCCAGCAGAGAGCCCTCCCCAATAAAGTAGAAAGGAAAAAGGGGAGAAAAAAATAAAAAGAGAGAAAAAAGAGAAAACGCGTCATAACAATTTTTCACATAACCCCAGTAACTACCGCGATAAAAAAAAAAAAAAAAAGACACAACCATCAAAGGTGAAGGAGGAAATGCAAAAGAAGAAGCCCGTAAAGACCAGACACCGGTCCCGCAAAAATGAAAAGTAACCCCAGGCTCCCATACCTATAACGCCCATCCTCCAGAATTAGCAAGTCCGTTCATCATGATACTGGCATTGAGTCCTTGGGCTTGCGTAACAGGGCAATCTTTATGAGCCAAGAGCAGGGATTTGAGGGTGACAATCTCTTCGCGTAACCTAGTGACAGTTGTGGAAAGAGTGTCGTTCTCTTGGCTATACATTTCAACTTTTGCTTGCAAATTCGCAAGCCATTGCTTCTTTCTTTGACGGCATTTTAGCGCGGCAACTCTGCGAGACAGAAAAAAGAAACACCCTGTTAGTATTAAAAATGAATCTAGCCAGAGGATATACGTAAGGTTGGGTAGGACTATGGAAAGTAAAAACACACCGGTTACGCTCTAGGAAATTCTTGCGCTTCTCATCATCTGTCATCTTCTTAGGGTTGGAAGTGCTGCCTTCACCCTGGGAGGGTTTGACGTCTTCCTCCTGAGTTTTATCGACGGCTCCGTTGGCGCCCTTGGCCTTCTTATTCGGTCCTTGCTTCGTGTCTTCGGCCTTGCGGCGTCCGTTGGCAGCAGTCGACGCCTTGGCGGCAGGCTTCTTTCCTTTGTTACGGCCATTTGCCTTTGATTGCTCCATTGCTCCGTCTGAAGCATCTCCGTTGAGTTGGGGGTCGGTGACATCACCGTTTCGTGCAATTCCAATGCCACCGTTGAGGGGCGTATTATTTCTGGAGTATGCGCCTCGAGCTTCGGAGCCTGGCTGAGAGCCGGGATGAGGATATGGCACATTGTCAGCCTGCCCTCCCTTGGCGAGCATATAGAGACCATTGGCAGCATCCGTGGCGTCAGGGTGGGTGAACGGATCTATCGGTGGGCCAGTCTTGGGGATCTCCATATTCGCTGCCTGCTGAAGAAGCTCAGGGTCCTGAGGGTTTGAAGTGGGCGCACCGGCACCGTTCTTCCTCGCAGCGTTGAGGGCGGTGCGGTGGAACTCCAGCGTCGAAGGTGTAGCACCACCACTCTGGAGCTGCAGCATGGACGTGCCACCGGGACTAGGGGCCGGGAACATGGTGCCTCCACCACCGGGGGTGAGTCCAGTGCGGAGAGAGGACTCATTTGGGGTGGGAAAACCTCTGCCGATGCTATCAAGGAAATCATTGGAGCCCGAAGGCCCAGTGAGCATGGCCGGGCTTAGAGGTCCGGCTCTGAGGGAGTTGGCCCAGCCAAAACCTCCAGCAGTGGTGGTTCCAGGTAAGGAAGGGGAGGTGAGGGCGGCAACAGGCGGTAGAAGGGATTTTCCTGGAGTTTCGGCGGAGGTGTTTCCAAATGACTGGTCGAATGGATTCGGTTCCAAGGAGAAGTGACTGGTGTTGTGCAGGGTGGAGAAGTAATCAGTCTCCGATTCAGATTGACCTGGACGGCGAGGGCCAGGCATGGGTTGTTGTGACTCAGCAGCATCGGCGGCGGGTTTGGGATCCTTTCTGTCGATGTCCTGGACATCTGGGGAGGCATTGGCATCAATGAGACGAAAACAACGTTATGATTGGACGAAGCAAGAGAAAACAAAACTACGATAAGAGTAATTTAAGAACAAAAGGGTGAATAAGCAAAAATAAGAAATGATAATAATAAAAAAAACAAAAAATAAAAAATAGAAAAAGAAAAAAGCCAATTGCCAGTGAAGGATGGGAAGATGCAGGTGAGGAGGAGGAGAGCTTACTACTATTCTTCAACAGCGGATTGTTTGCGTCGAGGGAGGAATCCGGGCGGGAAGCCGGGCGGCCTATTCGAGGCGAGCCTCTCTTGGCGAGGGCGGCGGACATGATATGGGGAGAGGGTAATTAAGATTCAAACAAAGGAAAAAATAAAAAAAAATTAAAAAGTGGGAATTAAAAAAAAAAAAAAAAAAAAAGCAGCCAAGGGGGGGTGGGAAGAGGACGGGCGGAAGATGACGACAGGGCGCGCAAACGACCCAGCGAGTTTAGACGGGGGATGCTAAGAGGCGGGCGTTTCGCGATAGCGTTTAGGCTGTCTGAGCGGCGAAAAAGCAATAAGGGGCAATGAGGTCAGCGGAGAGAGTTGGCTGGAGGAGAGATATGGTTTGTGGGCGAGGGGACAGCACGATGGTTGATGGAAAAGCAGATGGACGGGCGATGGTGGATGGATGGGCGAAGGACGATGATGTAGGATGACGGAAGGAGAAAATCTCGAGGGAAAAAAAAAAAAAGAAGATCTGACGACATAGTGATGTCGTTGTGTGCATTAAGTAAGCACTAGCGCCTTGGCGGCCATACAAAAAGGTGGTCGGGAAAATGTTGGGAAAACAAAAGGATACATATCAGTGTTCAAGAGGAAATTACCAGAGAGATGCACCGGAGAGGACTCAAGATGGGAGAGTGCTTGGGTGATTGGGAGTGCCGACAGTGCTTGTTGATGGGCTGGGGGCTCCTCTGCGACAGGCGATGGGGATAAAGGGATTCTGAGTCTCTTTTCGCCAGACGCGCGACACGAGACACGCACGGCAGCTTGATGACCAGGGCTGCGACCAAAAAAAGTCCAAAAAAAAAGGGAGAGAAAAAGAGAGAGAGAGAAAGAGAAGAAAGAGGAGTGTAACTACTCGATGATCGTGCTAGAAACAGAGACGTGGGCAGAAAGAAAAAGCTATCGCATCACTCACCACCTGGTGGCCTGCCCAATGCATGGAAAACAGAGCAGAGAAAATCGGTGGAACGGGGTCGGCTCCCTTCAGCTGGAGCCGTCAGAGCTGGACGACGAGAGAGACGAGAACACAGCAGAGCACTGGAATTGGACACTGAGACGGGTCGCGAGGAGAGGAGAGTGTGAGTGAGTGAGTGGGAGAGTGAGAGAGAGAGCAGAGAGAGAGAGAGAAGAGTGACGTAGGCGTGGATGGGGGGCAGGGATCGAAGACCATGAAGACTTAAAAAGAACGAGGAGACCAGGAACTTTTTTGGCGATGCCTCAGATTTACGGGTCTTCCACCACCGAGACTTCCCGCAGCCACTCAAAAACAACTCTGGCCACTTTTCCCTGGTTAATCCAAGCAATCCGGTTTGGAAGGGGAGTGGGAGGGAAGTGGTACTTGGACGGTACTCGCTTCTCCCGCCCAGTCTACGCCCGCCTGCGTGGTACCGAACAGGTACCATTTCCAAAAAACCCCCCTCCCCGGCCGATAGACTCCGGGGGGGAGCAGAGGGGTGCCAGCCAATCAGAGTGCCTGGAGCGCCGTTTAGGGTTTGAATTGGCGGCTGTGATTGGCTGGATCTGAAATCCTCCGGCAAACTTAGCGGGTCTGACTAAGCCTTCATGGGGGGGGGGGATCACAGCCCCTGATTGGCTGGTTGGTGCTGCGACCCTGGGCGATGACGTGTTGAATTCTACCAACAAGGGAAAGAGCAACGACTTTGCTTGCTTGTTTCTCTCTTTATTTCTCTCTTCGGAGTATTGTGTACTGCACTGCGGAGTACTGGAATATATATATATATAGGAATATCCCCCATATTATGCCAGTGGCAATGCGTGTATGTACGTACATGGAATAGAATGCGCATGCAAAATTAGGTGTTGTGTCGATGCTGTGCCGATGTCCCCATCTCAACCCCCCAGAAACGAGGTTGGACAGTCAGATTAATTTTAATAAGGCTGGATTAGGGTGTATATATGTAGGTGCTGTAAAATATCGAAAAGTCCCGGACTGGCGTATAGAAAAAAGTCAGAGCTCAGCTAGCTTCAGTGCTCGACGCGAGACGTTCCATCTTCGAGTGTGTTCGCGGGCAGAAAGGCGTATGTAGACTTGGAAGTGTATCCCCCTTCGCAGGGGACGGGGCCATCGATGCCAACATTTGTGGATTATTGTTGTCTCTTTTCTTTCTGTCTTTCTTTGTTTATTTCTTTCCTTTCTTTTTTTTTTTTTTAAGATCCGCGATATGTCGAGTAGCTCCACGGCCCAAGCAGCACCGGAACATGATAGTGCCTCCAGCCTTCCTCTCCCTCCTTCCCCTCCACCACGAACCTCACCTCCACCTCCGGCCAGAACGAATCCACCCCGCGCTCCTTGTACCACCCGGCCACGTTCATCAGCCGGATGCTCCAGACAGACCGTGCAGCGGAGGCCCCCGCGCCTCCCCCTCCTCCTCCTCCTCCTCCTCCTCCTCCTGCTGCTGTTGCTGCTCGACCGGGAAACGACGCGATGACGTCCGGCAACGACAGCGAGGAAGGGTGCGCGGGCTGCCACGCCGTCACGCGTCCGTCGGAATCCGTCACGCCGTGGAAGCTCAGCGGGCCGTGCTCCGAGACCAGCAGCGAGCTGGCCTGGCGGGCCGGGCTGTCGACGCTGATCAGGTTGAGTGAGCAGGATAGCCCCGCTGCCGGCGTCCCGCTGTGGGTGTTGAGGACATGGCAGGTTATGGGGTGGCGACGTTCCATCGTTGGCGATGCCGGTGTGGGGTTGTGGTTGTGTAGGAATTTCAAGATGGGTGTTCGAAGTGGCTTGCTGGCAGTAGTCATGTAACTTATTTGCAGAATGCCTTTTTATTCCTTTCTTTTTTTTTCCTTTTTTTTCTTTTTTTCTTTTTTTCTTTTTGGTTTTATTCCTTTTTCCTTTTCTTTTCTTTTCTTGTATTCTGTCTTGTCGTATCGTCTCTCGACGGCTTGGGCTGCCGACCATCGTTGATATCAACGCGGACTATTAGTTTCCCCGACATCCGGCCGTTTCTGCCAATGGATGTCAACCTTGAACGACAACTCGACCTTATCGCGGGAGTTGCTTGAAAAAGGCTTCCAGCCAGCACAACCTCCACACCTGCGACTTGCACGCCCAATCCCCAGATCAGCACCTCCAAGCCTCCCTGGGAAACCACTCCCACCGTCACTGTAAGCTTGAATTGCCTCTACCGTCCTATGACATCCCGCAAAGTGCCAAGAAGCTTCTAGAACTCAGCCTTGGAAACCGCCGCTGACGCTCTCGTCGCGCAAGAAAGAAAAAGGAGGACAGGCAAAAGACTAACCCTCCCCCCTTTTTTTGTTTAAGAACCAGACAGGGAATATCTCCGACATCTGAGCGGGACTAAAAACAGCCTCCATACCCTGAGCATAGTTTACCTTCTATACGGGCTTCTCGACTTTCCGGCAGCACATTAACATCCACTTTGCCCTTTTTTTCAAATCTCCTCCCGAAACCCCCACCATGTCTTCCGCCGCCCTAGTCCCCGCAGACGACATTCTCGAGCCCACTCTTCAAAGCATCCTCGACCAGAAGAGCCTCCGCTGGATCTTCGTCGGCGGCAAAGGCGGCGTCGGCAAGACCACCACCTCCTGCTCTCTCGCCATCCAGCTCGCCAAGGTCAGAAAATCCGTGTTGTTGATCTCCACTGACCCAGCACACAACCTGAGCGATGCCTTTGGACAGAAATTCGGCAAGGAGGCTAGGCTGGTCGATGGATTCGATAATCTGAGCGCCATGGAGATCGACCCCAGTGCGAGCATGCAGGATCTGCTGGCTGCTGGCGGGGAGCAGGGTGAGGATATGGGTTTTGGACTTGGGGGGATGATGCAGGATTTGGCGTTCAGTGTTGGTGGCTCCCGATTTCCCATCCCTTCCCTTTCCCCGCGGGATATCTCTCCCTCCTGGCGGGACAAGATGGGACATTTTGTTTGTTTTTGTTTTGTTTTCGCTTTGCTTTGCTTTGCTAACCGATATGTGTAATTTTTTGCCTGGGTCTCTAGATCCCCGGTGTCGATGAAGCCATGTCCTTCGCCGAGGTCTTAAAGCAGGTCAAGTCTCTATCCTACGAAGTCATCGTATTCGACACCGCCCCGACCGGCCACACCCTGCGCTTCCTCCAATTCCCCACCGTCCTCGAGAAGGGCCTCGCCAAGCTCTCCCAGCTATCAAACCAATTCGGACCCATGCTCAACTCCGTCCTCGGCGCGCGAGGCGGTCTCCCCGGCGGCCAGAACCTCGACGAGGTCCTGTCCAAGATGGAGTCCCTGCGCGAAACCATCAGCGAGGTCAACGCTCAGTTCAAGGACGCGGACCTCACGACGTTCGTGTGCGTGTGCATCGCGGAGTTCTTGTCGCTGTACGAGACGGAGCGGATGATTCAGGAGTTGACGAGCTATCAGATCGATACCCATGCTATCGTTGTCAATCAGCTCCTGTTCCCCGGGAAAGACAGCACATGCGAGCAGTGCAAGGCGAGGCGGAAGATGCAGAAGAAGTATCTCGATGAGATTGCGGAGTTGTATGAGGACTTCAATGTTGTTCGGATGCCGCTTCTGGTCGAGGAGGTGCGTGGGAAGGAGAAACTTGAAAGGTAAGGGCGAAAAAAAAAAAAGAGTCTCCCTTTCTCTCATATTGGAAAGACATGTAGTGTGCTAATTCGAAAACAACTGCAGATTTAGTGATATGCTCGTGCATCCGTATCAACCCCCTCAGGAATAGTCATGATCATAATGATTTTTTTTTTTTTTTAAAAAAAAAAAGAAAAAGCCTACAACAAACGAGATACATATATATACCCCTAATATCAAATTAAACATTTGAAGATCAATACTATTCCCAAGGCGGACTGAACGCTATTGCACCCCCATAGTCTACTCCCTAGGACCAAAAATCTGTGTCCAGGCCATGTACACTCTTCAGCCGGTTTACTTTGCTTGTAAACCAGCAACAATAGGAGGCATCATTACGGGAAAAAAAAAAAATTCCCTATCTTCCTTGTATTTCCCCCTGTCCTGTCAACGCAAAACAGTCGACCTTACCCTCTCAGAGACGAAGGCAGCCGCTCTCGTACACATGTTCGGATCCGGAATCCTGGGAAACTCCGTCTTATCCGTCCTTTCCATACCGATGTATAACTAGCGCAACCAAGCAAACAAGGGGGAGGAAGGGGAAAGTGGAATCATGCGCAGCCGGGTTGGCGATTTTCCAAGGTTATATAAAAAAAAGTATGGAGCATACATATTATATGTATCTACCCAAAACGGGGCGACGCAGGAAAAGCAAAACAATCAAATGAACAAGAGAGGATTTCCCCGGGTCCTGTGGGGTTCTTGGGAGTGTGGGTTTATATTTAGTTTTGCTTTTATTTTCCTGGTCTTTTTTTCTTTTTTCTTTCAATTTTCTGGCCGACAATGTCCGCTCGTTCCATTCCGTCCTTCCTGCAGGGTTCAGACAGACGTAGGACATGGGGAGTGCGCGGGATGTGTTGGCTTTCGATCATTGATGGCTAGCAAGGCGTCCTCTTTTGCAGCGCAGCAGCCTGGATCGGATGAAGACGGGCTATGATCCATATACTTTGGTCTCATCCGAACTGGATGCCCAACTACCCCCTCTCTTACACCCGGTTGGTGTAGGTCCATATCATTCTTCGCGGCTTTGGTTGGGGGCGGCGGTGATGGTGGTGGTCATTCATCTAGATAGAAAGGCTGTGTGCAGATAATAAGGCAAGCTCTCTTGACTTTGTTTCTCATCCCTTGTGACCCTGCCCTACTTCCATTTACCGAGTGGACCAAATGCTGGTTGAACGGCTAGCTTTTCGCCGTGGTGTGACTTGAGGGGCGGACAAGAATAGCCCAGGGCGCATTCTGCAAGGAATGGGTGTGTGGAAGACTCAGACTCTTTGGCTTAATGACTCGGTGATGGATCACAGATATCTCGGTCTTCAGACAGGAAGCCGGCCTACAAGAGCCATGGCTGTCATGCAGACATAGAGCATGAAGATATCGGCGTATAGGATCGTGAAGGGAGGACTGGACAGTGTCACAACAGCCCAGCCCTACATATCTGTTCCGTTTCGTTGTTCATCAACACGGCAAGCCCTCTTGATCAAGCTTGACAAGAATCTCGGTAGCAGGACAGGCATCATGCGCCCACTCGTTTTCAGGGGTTCCATTCAAACTATTCTCTTGGAAACTTGGCACCACAGCAATACGATCTGAAGATCAATCCCATGGAAGTCCCATATGGCCTAGGCGCCCCAAAAGAAAGGTGTACCAGAATGGTCGGTTCTAGGGAATAGGCTGCCATTGGTATAGCCAAAAAGATTGGCGCAGAGATATCTTTCCCCCTTCAGGTTAGGATCTATGCGCAGAATTCCTGCGAAAGAACACATCGCTCAAGTTTAGATTTGAAATGGGTGCACGGCATTGTGCACGCGCGTCTCTCATTCTTACCCGCAGAAGAAGTACGGAGTACTTTTGATGATAATTCAGCTCGCTGTACCACGGGCGTCTAGAACCCCTGCCCCGCAGTACAACAAATCGGCGCAGAAAATACAATCGCAGGCTTTGCTTTTTGTTTCCCGCTCTTATGCTTGCAATTCAGGGGAGGCAGTGCCGCAGTCCAGGACATCCTCGAACACCAAAAATGATGCGAGCAATGGTTAACTACCTTCCAGGATATTAAAAGGATGTAGGCAAAGGAAGAGCTGAGCGCTTTGTCTTTTGAGGTTCTTCCGAGACATTCCTTGCCTTGGAAGTTAGACAGCCATTTTCTTTGACAAAATCGCACTTGTAGCGAAATTAGCTCATGGCCCAGGCGCCAGATGTCGATCTTCTCGTGCTGCCTTTTGTCTGTCCTCCCGGGCGAGCCACTGAACCAAAAAAAATTGCCTTTCGAAACATCAAACATCTCGCCTGGCTGGGATGGATTCCAGAACATGTACGGAGTACAGAGCTGAGAAAAGAGCACAGAATCGAGTGGCTATCAGGTTCCCAGAGGGGAGGGGGAGGGAAAAATAAGGTAACCCGGATGTAACCGCCTCATTCTAGTAATCTTTTGAAGTTGAAATTAGCTAACCACTTAGAAAGCAGAAGAGATTCATGGAGAAACCAGCCGCCAGCAATCGGAGGTGGTTAAAATCTTCCAGATTCGTGCCCTGGCAGGACCCTCATCATACATGTAAGAAATGAAGCCCGCAATCATACAGGCCGTAATCGGGCCTCTCCCGTTGACAGCCCTTTTGACGCTTTCGTATGACCGTGTCGTCTGCAGCAGAGGATATGGGGAAGCGTCGAAGTCGAGCATGCCGCGCAAGGTCGTGCATGCTGCAAACTGGGAGAGGGAAGGGGGGGGGGGGGGGGTTCTCAAATTGCAGCGGAACACGATCAGCTGCAGAAACAGGCCTGGAGTTAAAGCAGCCAGAAAAAGAACCGCAAAGACTACTCGAATTCGGGTAAGACTCGAAGCTCCGTTCGTCTGACGACCCCAGGTCGAGAGGCGATGGATTGGTTGACTGAGGTCGATGGTTGCAGCCTCACTTTGAAGGTTGGAAAACAAGGCGGCTGGCCGCGACCCCTTTCGGGCTTAGCGCGTGGTTGGCAGGAGGTCGACGTCACCGCCTTCTCAGATCTCAACATCGCGGCGTCGCTGGGGTCTGGTGCTTGTCGGTTTCCGGTCAGGGGGGCCACCTGGAATCCGGACATCGAGCCGGCATATAAAGAGCAGGCCGCCATTGCTGAGTACTTGGATCTGGACAGCCGTGTCGTCCCAAGCATCCTCTGCCTAGTCCAGCCCCAGAATATCTGAAGAGAGTCTCCAGGAGACACCGTGATCCCTCCTTGATTCGCCTTTGTTTCTTATATCCCTCTACTCCGTACCAAAGGAATAGACTGTTTGATGTCTTGATTGACAGCGCTTGATCAAAACATTCTCAAGAGTTTTCTCAGTTCTATCTCGGGCTTTTCTTTCTGAGAGATAGCAGTTATATCCGTTTACTTGATCGGATATTCGTCCATTATCTGTCTCTATTGCGCACTACTTTCAACAATGTCTCCAGCACAAGAATATTGGCTTCCTGGCTATGGACTCTCACGGCACATCGTCCTCAGTAAAATGCAGTATTTCCTCGGCCCGACCGCTTCAGTGAGGCCGTACAGCTACCAGGTATGCAGCTTGGTGACCTTACTGCTCTTCACTCTCACTCTCTTGCCCGTCCTAACCCGGAGCTATCATAGGGACGAGAAGGTTATCTTGTTACCGGAGCGCCCCTCACGAGAGTACGCTACTTTCCCGGAACCACAATGTCTATGATGCATAACCTAGGGACTGACACGATGAGCCCAGACACAAATCGATGATTTGAGGAAGATGTCGCAAGTCTACGAGCAAGAGGCGTCCATCAGAATGGCGCAGACATCTGGGTTGACCATCAACGAGAAGTCAGACGACGAACTCAACGAACCTTTCATTAATCATCCCGTATACGTCGGTCGACGTGACAATCGCGAGCGCGACCGGGTTCGAGAGCGGGATGGTAAACCATACCCAATTGATCGATATCCGAGAATGAAACGGTCCTGGTGATCATATGATGACTTCACAGGCCTGCCTACAACGCATGGCTCGGAATTTCATTTCAGCCCTGTCTATCTTTACTTATTCAGGCGCATCGCTATTTCAGCCGATGCACAACAACCTCTGAACATAGTTCAGAGGGCAACAGATCCCCCTCTGTTACCAAGGGGATTTACTAATCCGCCCTTGAGGTAAAAATACCAGCATGTTTTAATAGTTTCTCTCTTTTCCGTTTCGGGTGAGAATTGGCATTGAAATTATTTTAGAACGGCGCAATGTCGGAGATCTCTTTCTGGACATACCCCTTCCTTTTTGGAATCACTGTGCATATTGTATATCCCCTTTCTTGCCCTTTTCCTTGTTGGGTTCATTTCTGTCCCTTGTTAAATACTGTGCGCTTCGAGCAGAATTCGGACAAAGATTTTCGAACCTCTGTGGTCCTACCGTGCCCGTTTGTTATATCGCAATAGGCTCCAGTTGCCTTCCCTCGATGCTTGCAAAGTGCAGCAAGAGACTAGACGAAGTCGTGGAAAAACAGCACACGCAGGATGTATATCCTATTCTTCGTATATCGAGTCAACCGAGTCTTTTCAATTAAAACGCCCAGAGGAAGGGCCAGGGCGGCCGCACGCCTCAAATTAAGCATTCGCTACACGAGTAACATATGACGTGTGAGGTCTTTCATTTGCACATACTTTGAAGTGTTATTGTTTTGGTTCCGTTGCTCTACAAGCCCTAGCATGGGTAATTGTAAAGATAACAAAACTGACAATCTTCCCAAGATCTTTCAGTACCCTTCGCAATCGATAGCAGCATTCTTTTCTCCTATCTTGCAAACATATTCACTCCACTTTTTGCCTTGATTTCACAACTCCACCATTTCCTTGCCTTGATACGCTGCAACACCTCGATCACCTTGCGTTTTTTTTATACCCGCACCTATCAGCATAGGTCGGCGTTTCCGAACTTCGCCACATGCCACATGATTCCCTATTTCTGTGCGATCCGGCTTATTCCGGGTGCTATCTGGCTTGCTTACCCTTGCTGACGGTGGGTCGGAAAGGGATACGGGCGTGAGTGTTCCCTAAGCCTTATCCATATTGACTCATAAAACTCCGTAAGGCGACAACAACTTTCTAAGCTTACGAATTTCCTGTCTTTGCCTGAGTGGAAGTCATTCCACTCGTCACTTCTCCCTGTGTGCTATATGTTGTCTTTGATGGAGCGAGCATTCTTTCTTGCGAATCTCTTAGTTGACACTGGGAACATTGTTTGATATATGCTGACACATCTTTATACATTCCCTGCCACCAGTATCGAGCTTGTAAGGTGGAATAAGTTCCTTCTCGCCCTTTATGACCAAATTCATCATGCATCATGTGTAGGATTTGTTCGCGCTGTTCCATGTTGTCCATGACATGCCTCAGAGGCACTCCAGATCCTGCTTGCCTAAATAATTGGTCTGCTTCCACCACATATTTGGTTGCTTTTCTGCGGAATTTGGCGTATTCTTTCCCATCCATGCCTAACGGTTTTGTTAGAGTAGTCAGATATCATGAAAATTTATCGGCAATTTTCATGATATCTGACTACTCTAACAAAACCGTTAGGCATGGATGGGAAAGAATACGCCAAATTCCGCAAAAAGCTACCAAATATGTTGTGGAAGCAGATCAACTTTTTAGGCGAGCAGGATCAATGCATCCCTACTCATTTCTACAAAAGAGGGATTGCAAGCTGCTGCAGTCTAGATATCCTGCAGTCCTGAGAGAAGTGTCGTCTACTTTAGCAATGGCAAGCAAGGTGTGTGCCTGCTCTCGGGGTGCGTGGTGGCAGCCGTCCCCCTCCCCGCCGGGGTTGAGTCTTGCGATGGCGATACGCATGGCAACAACAGCAACGAAGCAAAACTTGCATAAAAAGGGCGATCCTAGTTGGCCCTCGCAGTTCCTGATACACACATAATTATATAGCGCATCGCCCCTCCAGTTGCTATCAAAATGCTTCGAATAATCCTACGTATGAGATTTAGAACTTGAGCATAATAACGCATGACATTTTTGCATTTCAAAGCGTAAAGTCTTCATCAAATTAATCACCAGACAAAAATCTAACGCCCGCCGAGTGTTTCCCAACATCCATTTCTCGTTGTGAGTAGATAGAATGAACATGGAAAAGAGGAAAAAGAAGTAAAAGACCATGAGAAACTGAGATAGCATCGTCAGAAATTATTCGAACTTTTTCTCCGCACCGAAAATCGGCTATACGTGAAAGCCGTTATCTATATCCCTCACTTTTTAAACGAAATCGTTTCTAGAGGATTATTTCGCAACGGCAGCACTGATGGTATCAGTTAGTATGTCTTCAATCTTGAGATGGAAATGTTAGGCATCAGCCTTACCTTAGCACTTGAGTTCTGAAAAAGCCTCCCTTCGTCTTCTCAATGACTTGTTGGTATACTGATTGTGGTGGGTGGTTCATGAGCACAGTTCCTTCCTTATAATCGATCTTAGCATCTACACGAGTATCCCGGATGAGGTTGACAATCCATTTCTCGCCCTCATCCTGGCTAAGACCAAGACGGGTCGAGAGGTCCCTAAAATCACATATTAGTGCTGAACACGCAGCATGAGTTGCAAGAACCGGCACATACTTGATATCAATACGTTGGTGAATCTTGCAGTAGCTCTCAGAAATCAGATGTCTTGCCGACTCAACGAAAGCATCGGCCGCCGCGACCAAGAAGAAATCACTCCTCAAGACCTCCTCAGCCTCTCCAAGCTTCTTCTGGGCCTCCTCAAAGTCAAAGTCGATGTAAAGCGCCTTGATGAAATCAGTGATGGGATCCTGGTACTCGTATTCTTCTTGTCTGACGATGCGAATTAGGTCCTTCAATTGCTTCTGGTAGAGAGATGAGTTCTTGTGGACACGTTGACGGTTGGTGATGACGGCAGCGGTGAGGTAGCGGAGGATCCAAGGGCAAGATGTCTGAATAGTATTGATGTATGCGGGTGAGAAGAAAAGGTCTGTCAGAACGTCACGGGCGGGTTCGTGGTTGAAGAGCGGGAAGAGGGACCAGTGGATCAACCAGGTGCGGTGTTGAAGCTGACCCAAGGGGTTGTTGAATAGCCGGGTATCAATGGAGTCCTTGACTTTCTGGACCTCTTCCATGGCACCCTCCCAATTCGTGGTAAGAATCTCGGAAGCCAGCTTGCCCCATGTCGCAGATGCGACCTTGTCATTGTCCGTTGAGAGGACGCGGAACTGATAGAGGAGCTCGGCAGCGTTTCCGTAGCTTCCACAGCTGTATTGGAACCGACCGTAGTCATAGAGGGTGTTAACCATGTCCACTGTCGCACCGTGCTGCTCCTCGAGGAACTTCAAGTTGGCAACCTTATCGCTCCGAAGATTGCCCACCACGTTATCATCCTGCAATAGTTCTGTGATCTTGCTGCTGTCCTCGACATACTGCTGAAGTCTTTGCACCACTTCCTCGCGCTTCTTCACGAATTCCTCGGGGATGGTGTCGGAGTGGTTGATCTCCTGCCACAAGTTCGCGACATAATCGGTCATGTTGGTCTGCTTGAGCAGCTCATATTTTGACTTTGTGATCTCGTCTATGGATTCCTGGGTTTCTTCCTGGCCGGATGCGAACTCGAGCAAGGGGAACACAAGGTGGCGATCGAGGTAGGGTATTAATTTCGGCAGAAGGTCGTATTCCTTGATGATCTCTTCGGGAGTCTTCGCAGAGTCTGCCGACGGAGGTGCGTTGTCCGCCATGATTGCGAAGCTAGATGGCAACGAGCCGGGGTGGGGGAAAGGGAGGTCGTCGAGGGTGGGAGGACGGGCTGAATTCGAGCGTGCTGCTGGATGCTTGACCCTAGCCGACTCTTGCTTCGACTTCTGCGTCGTTCTTGTGTGGGTTGCGTGAAGTTCAAAAAAAATGTGAGTGGGCGGCCAGCCACGCTAGTCCCGGTCCGGCCTAGCCCCGGCATCGTCTGAACCTCCACCGCAAAAAGCAGGAAGAAATCGTGCGAGACCGAGAACTGCGAGCTGCTAGGACAAGTCCAGTGTGCTCGACGTGAATCCAACAGCAGCAGCTTGCTCGGCGGCCGGGGATCCAGAAAGGCTCACACCCTCAGCGACAACCCGGGAACGGCACGCACCCTACATGATACCCAATTGCCATAATATCTCATCCGCCAGTTGATTACTTGGTTTTCATTCCCCCAAAACAGCCATGGCTTCCGTATTCTCGTCGACCCTGTCGTCGCCATTGCGCAGAACATCCTCCATATCCTCGCTACACGCTCGATCTGGGTCACTTCTCTCCTCTTGTCAGTGTTCTAGAGCGCAATTGTCACAGTTTCACACCCACTCATCGTCAATCCGGTCTTGTGAGTTCCCTGCTCACGCTTATTTTTTTTTACCCTTTTTTTTTTTGCCCTCTCCAACGTTCCTCCCCCGAATATTAACCTCAATCAATAAACCATATGCGCATGCAATTGGGAACTAACATATCTATCTCAGCAGCACGAGCACGGTCATCCTCTCTCCTCTCCTTTCAATCTCATCAATCTCGCTCCATAACGACGCGCATCCCGAAACCCTTCTCAAAATCAAAATCCACACTTCAAGGTAGCACCAAATCAGAACACTTACCCACCGAAGCAGCCGCGCCACGACCTGTCCTCCCCCTCACAAATCTCCCCTATTTCATCCGTCGTACCCCTTCGAACCAACTACCCATATATCTCGTTACCAAGGCCGGAGGAACAAGGCAAGAGACCAAGCTGCAAAAGACTGAAGGCGACGTTGATGCTCTACGGGAAGATTTGATAAAAGCTTTGGGAATGGAGAAGAACCCGTCGGATGTAACCATCAATCGGCTGAATGGGCACGTAATTGTGAAGGTATGCAAAAGCCCGTTCAAAACAAAAAATTCGAAGAAAAGCCCCCTCCTAGATCAGTAGCTAATTTTGATTTTTGTTTTCTCTGCACATTTAGGGCTGGCGAAAACCAGAAATACAGCAATTTCTCCTAGACCGCAAATTTTAAGAGAAAACATAGAGCCCCTACGTATCCAGGACGCTCGAGAGGAAAGAAAAATGATGCTCCTTGCTTTCATCTCGAGGAATAAACCCGTTACACAAAAAAAAGTTACATTTTCCACTTTTTGAACGCTAAGAGGGAAACCTGTGTTTTCTAATTTGGACCTTTCGAATCTCATTTGGCAAGGCGTTGCTGCATTTCTGTGGGTTACTCAATTCCCGCCTTTTGTTTTTCCCTTTTCTTTCCCTTCCTCTATGGTTCCTATCTCGTCTTGTCTGGAATGGGGTTTTTGACCTTTTGTATTCTTGCGTGGTTTGTTTTCCATCGACTCTCCACATTTTGTATATGTATGTATCTACTCTGGGTCAGGTAGGAATGTGTATTACGAAAGACGTCAGTGATATCGCAACAATGCTGGTCCTTCCAGTTGAACTATCCCTATTGAAAGCAATATTCTACAGCATGCCTTTATTTGTCAGGGTATCAGTGGTGATGCCAGCTTTGTGGCGTAAAGAAAATATGTGAGGTACAAAATTTTGCTTCTATTGGGACCGATCAAGAGATGTAGGCCCCTGAAGGTCAATTCCCAGCAGTGTTCACCAACTAATGCTAACGCCTTCCTTAAGGACCATCCCTGCTTGGAGCAACCAGCCCCTTAACTGTACATGGATACCCGGTTCACATAAATCAAAATAAAAAGCTCATGCTAAAACAATCATCAGAACCATGGCATAGTAAAAACGACCTGCTGCCCTTGAATCCATCGCCCACACATCCATCCGGGCACACAGATGCCTGTAAGGTATGCAAGATTGGCACCCATCCCCCCTTCATCGGACATTGCGCCAGCACAGCGAGAGGAAAGCATTCCACCCGCAGATCCCGGTATACCAATCCCGGCAACTGGTCTTTCAAAACAGTGTCGACTAAACAACGTTGGTATTCGTGACTTGCGATACTCTCTGGCTCTTGCCCTGCCTCTTCCACGTGCTGGATGGCTTTGGATTAAATCCCCGTGGGCGCTAGCAACTCTTCACTGCCTGCTTAAGCCGACCCCTTCCTGGAGCACTACCCATATACCAACAGGCCCCGTGTCTGTTTTCGGCCTCCACTCAGTCCGAATCCGATCGGCCATTTCACAACAGCCCCCCAGAGACCACGAAGTCCTCAAATTTCAGCTCAAATGTTAAAGTGATCTTGAAGCAGGTTATCACAGCGAAAAAAGCAAGAACAATTGTTATGACAGCAAGAGGATCCATGATTGGAGGTGTTTTTAATGTTTCCCTGTAGATAGAGATATGTAAAAGTATCGCGTGGTTTTCTTTTCCTTTTATTGATCAAGAGGAAAGAAGTATGATCCCAAAAACAACTGGGAGTTTCATATCTTGCATTGGAGCCTCGAGCCATTGTAAATGTTGCATCACTTTGATGCAACCTGATCGTTGACAGAAGAAACAAGCCTTTTCCCAACGCTAACCGGTTCCATGACATGCGTTAGACTTCACCCTACGGAGTACAAGACAGGCACTTAGCTGGGCTGCCAGGAAGGGATGGGTAACCGCGCCGCCCGCAGAGGATCCTTAAGGCGCTGGGCTATGATTTGACTTTTGTCCCTGTTGCTTCGGGGCTTGCAGGGCCTTGAGTTCAGTGATAGACTTCAGAACATCAGGCTGGCCTGGAAGGCACACGACAGCGGTGTGCATGTAGCCGCCATCAGCTCAGCACTTTCTTTCCAGCCAGCCAAATAGATCAGGTAGATGGGCACACATGTATGAAAGATGGGAGGAGAGATTATTCATTTTGGTGGGTATTAAGTGATACCCTTTGGCTTCAATCTACACAGCGGCACGATGACTCACTATGTAACTTGGTCTTTAGGGGATTTTAATCAGCTGCAGGATTATCTCAGCGAGTCGTGTGGCAAACACGCCAGGCAAACTGTGTGCATTCTTGGGAGTCATACACTTTACCTTGGGAATAGATTCAATTTTCGACTCTGCTCAGGAATACAATGGAGGGTGCGAACCTTATCCTATACTCTATACTGGCTGGGTGGGTGTTCAGAAAACAGCCCGTGGGAGAAGAGAACAAGGAAATGGAGGAAGATGAGCACCAATCAATAGGGCCTTTTTCTATCATTTCACTTTCCGCCAAATATCAATTCGAAACCCCTCCCAAAAGGAACACCTGGGTCAATGCAAGTGATTTCTCATTACATGAAAACAAGAAAAAGGAAATGTAAATAATAGACAAGGAGCAAAAGGAGGAAAGGAAAAGAAAGGAAAAAGAAAAAAAAAAAAAAAAAAAAAAAAAAAAAAAAAAAAAAAAGGAAAAGAGGAAAAGAGGAAAAGAAGAAATCAAAGAAGAAAAACTATCATTCAACCACCCAAGCCTGCATATTCACACATTTGGCGAATGACATTTGGATCAACATTCGGAGTAAGAAGAGCACCCAGAAGATTCTCCTTTTTAGGAAATATACCCAGAGGAAGTTTTGATGCCCCATTGGACTTGTTTGACTTCTCAGCCAACTGACTTAGTACTGTTAGCGCACGGTTGCTGATTGTGCTGTGCCAATATAGATCAGCCTCTGCTGCACGAGCAGCTGCGCCATGCCGCTGTGGTCCAGGTGGGTTGCGATCAGCACTAAGTACACAAGCCAACCGCAGCAAGTTAGCCGCAAATCCATCGGCAGATCTGAACCACGCACAGGCAAGCTCATTGTCTGCTATGCCCGCTAGAATTTCGGCAGAGAGTAGTCCCTGCATCAGGAATGGCTTTCTAACATCCGCTAGTGCAATGACGTTTCCCTTAGTTTGCTCGGGTATTGGGGCAATAGACATCGCAAAACTCCTCGTCAGGAGATCGTTCGGCGGGGACAATGGGTTCTCTTGGGAGAAGATGGATTTCAAGTACATCCGGTTGGGATCATCCCGCGCAAGAAGCTTTGCAAGTGTATCCACAGCAGCTGGTAGATACCTATGTATGCTTGGGTCGTATGGGGCAAACATGATTCCATCGGGTCCCATTGAAGGGGGAGTTGGAGCAAAGGAGAGTAGAAAATGTAAAAGAGATAGCGCTTCTTCTTTTCCAGGAAGATGTATGGTATGAGCTATGTTGCTCAGATATATGACAGCGTCTTTCATGAAGTCAAGGGTATTTTGATGTGTTCGTAGCAGCATATTCCTCGTGCCTAAGTATCGTACGACCGTTGCCATGAACTTGACGACATGAGGCATCGAGAGCAAGCTGAAATTCGACTCGGCAAAGGAGAAATTCCTCAGGAGTGTCGTGATGCATATTAACCGGTCTACTGCACGGTCAAGCTCGTAATCCAGGCTTCCAAACTCTGGAACGTCAAGCAGCATTTCCATTTCTTGTCTGCATCCGCGAACGATCTCCTCGTAAGAAGGAAGAAGCATAACATCGGACACCTCTGCAGCATTGTCCGCGAGAAGGTCGAGCTGATCCTCGGCGCAGTCCACCAATGTTTCCACTAAGTCCTCGCAGTTATCTAGGGACAGCTGTACTGCAGGCTCAGACGAAATCTGCGCCAAGGTATCCAACGCCACTCGCATTTCTGCATGGATGCCTGACTTGATGCTCATAGTAAGGGCATGAATATCGATTACCCCAAGTTCCCCAAAAGTAGGTACGGTGGGTTTGAGTCGCATGACCTCTTCTCCAATCTGGAAAGCTTCATCAATTACAATAGGGCCATGGAAAGCACTCTCCGGTAAAATGGTTGGTTTGAACGGGTCCTCTAGAGGTTGGCGATATGATACAAAATCCACTCCTGGTTTCCTGGCTGAAATAGGAGATGATTGCTTTTCACCTGACACCGAGACGTCCGGAGGAAATTGGGCCATTTGCCCGTTAGGTGACGCTGCCTCGGGTGGCCGAGAAAGACTAGATCGATGCTGATGGCCCAGAGGCCGCTGTTGCTTTGGAATTGGCTTTCCTTGAGATGCCATGGAGAAACCGTTGACAGGCATTGAATGAACGTTATTTGGTTGTGGCAAGGACGGTTGGGTAACTGCCTGGAGTTGCGGTGGAAGGTCAAAGGATTGAGGCATCGTCTTGTTGGGTGCCATCGGTTGTGGAATGGTCGAAGGATCACCGGGACGCTGGATACCCATTTGTGCTGGATCTACGTGTTTTTGTTGGGAACTCAGCCAGACTTGTTCGTAAGCAGCCAGGTTTCGAAGATACACATCTCGAATTTCCTGCGCTGCTGTTGGATACTGCATCGCGGGAAACTGTAATTGCTGTGCGAGCGTTGGCCAGCCGTTCATCGCAGTGAGTTTTTTCGACCCACCAAGCCTCATTACGGCAGCGTAGAGCTGCATCAGATGGATTGGTCGTCCGCTCACAATAGGATTAAGGTCAAGCTGTTGTCCTCGTGCCATCATAAACCTCTGCAGTCCGCGCAGAAAACTCTCTGGGTTAGAGGGCTTCGCCATACTCTGGTGCAAGTGCCTCATCGCAGCGGCTTGAGGATTGTTTATGGCATTGACCCCACCCACCATGGGCCTTCCGGCCGCTGGCGCATTGGGAGATTGAAACTGCAGGGCTTGATTCTGAATCTGCATTTGATACATCCGTTGCTGTGAAGCGATCTGTTGGGCCGAATAGTTTTGCATCATTGCCGGGTTGTTCTGAGCGTATTGCGCCTGCATTGCGGGATGGGCGCCGGAGGAGCTTATTGGGGCTGTCGGGGAGTACTGTGGTCCAGATGGCTGCACGTACGGCTGAGTTTGTCCAAAGGTGTTGGTTTGCGGGGTGTTCACGCGACTTCCGTGATCTGAGTGTGTGGGTGATATCTGTGAGGCAACGTGAACTCCAGCGGGCGAAAAGGGACTTGGAGATGCCGTCTGCACTCTCTGAGAAATCTGTGGGTCAAAGTCTTGGAGAATAGGAGATGGACTCGGATTGTTAGAACCTGGCTGGAAATGTTGGTAAGGGGTAGGCGCAGGCTGTTGCGCAAATTGCGGCGTGCCGTTGACGGGATCGGGGTAACCGGGGAAAGGCGTCTGATGGGGTGTTTGCGAGCGGGAGCCAGGAAGGGCGCCAGGAGCCTGTCTTGGGGACATGGAGAAGCCGTCATCGGGGCGAGCCCTCTTAGACGGAATCACTGGGTTGGGATTATGGAAGCCTGGAGACATGTTTCTTGTCGCGCCATTGAACATGCGCTGGAATTGGCTGGGGTCGGAGGTATTAGGGGACTGGAGGAAGGCCATCGATGGATCGATGGTCGCATTGCTGAAGGAGCCATTGTCGTTCTGGATGCTCGCTGTCGCAGGGTCATTGAGCCAGGCATTCATGTCGTGAAATTATGGAATACCCATTCGCCTGTCATTGTGACGCGTTCTGGTTAGTCAACATCATCCCAATCAGACACAGGAAAATCAGGTTGATGATCATGTGGGTGTCGCGCGGGAAAAGAGGCCTGATCAACGCGTTCAAGAGACAAGGTCCAATGCACTATCTTGGGGGGTAAGGGGCCATCTGAAGCAAGCATTGACGAACCCTGGCGCCGTGAAGGCGAGTGGTTTGCCTGTGGCCACGCGACGAATGATGAGATCATAATAGGGAGAGGAAACCATTTGGGGGGGGCCGGGAGGAGAGGGTGGAAACGAGATACATACAAAAAAAGAGTACAGGCTGGATGAAGTGACGACAGGACGGAGAGAGGCGCGAGCGGAGGCCGGAGGAGGACGGACGAGCTCCCGTGGTGCTGCTGAGCCGCGTGGAGGTAATCCCAGGATGAGTGGAGGGCTGACCAAGCGCCGAAAACAACGAAAGAGGGAATTTTGGGGCGGGCCGGCTTCTGTTTTGGGTAATACACGTCACGTGATGGTTGCTGGTGGTGTGGGCTGACTAATCAGTGACGGGATTTGGTTGAAAGAGATTTAAAAAAGAAATATATATAAAAAAAAAAAGGGAAAAATAATAGGGGGAAGCCGCAGAGTTGAGGGTGGCTTTTTGGGGTGGCAAGAGATGGAAACCTGCTAATAGCGGAAGGAATCAGAGTCCGGCCGAGCAGCGATGCCGTCGCGCAATCGTAGGGACCAGCAGGCCGGCGCCATCCATGGCCGGAAAAGCAAACAAAATTATAAGTAACAACAGCAGTAACAAAAATAATAATAATAATAAAGACACCAATAAAGATAATAATAGAGTCCGTGTTGGGGCCGGATAGAACGAGAGAGAGCGTGGTTGGCTGGATGGCCCAAGGACAAGATGGCTTGTTTGATGCGGGTTTGGCGAACGAAAAAAACTGGAACCAGATGTGCAGATAACAGGGGATCCAGACAAGTATGGGGAAAAAATATCTGGGGAAAATACTGCTAAGGAAGTACGGAGTATAGCGGGAATATTTTTTTTTGCTTACCTGCAACCAGACGAAGGTAACAGAAGCTGCCAATGTCGTGCCTCCAAGGGAGTGGAGTGAGATAGGGGGCGCTGGGGCAAGGGAAAGCAGCCACGAAATCCCGAACGATTCCTAAAAAAAATAAATAAAAAAATAAAATAAAATAAAATAATTATTACAGAGGAGCTCGGCGATAAACAGCCTGTTCCAAAAGTCAAAAGGTACCAGGCCGAATGAGATGCAGCTCTCGGGTTTATCGGGTCAGGCAGTCGGGGTAAAAAGTCTGAAGAAAGGGCAGCGAGAATCGTAATCATCTACTTTTGTTGAGGGCGGGCGGTTTGGGGGCAGCGTCAGAGAAAATGAAAATTTTTCTCGCTCCGTCTCTGGCGCTGCGGGGGGCAAAAACACCACAAGTCACAAGCCGCCACCCACTAGGCGTTAGGGCGGCCACCGCCCACAGCGCAGCGCCGTCCAATAGAACCCGCTCGCTGCCCTGCGGACCCCGATCGGGCGCAACCGGATTCGACTGACCATCGCCGTGCTTGTCCGTTTCCGGTATAGTCCCGACGCCGCTTCAACCACCCACCCAGCGAAAAAGGAACATGCGGGTTATCCTGGACTCCCCTGCTCGACCTGGTCCATGACGATTCACCCGAAAATCGATGAAAATAACGGCTGCGACTCTGGAGGCTGCTCAAGAAAGCGAAGGTTAGTTGACCTACCTTCAAAAATAAAAATTGTTCCGTGTTGTATTATTTTTATTTTTATTTTATTTTTTTGCTTTTCTTTTCGCTGCCAGAAATCGTGCGTCCATCAAGCTCTTGCGGCGTGTCTTGGCGGATGGAACGTCCAGCCAACCAAGATGACACAGCGGAGGGCAACCGTAGCGTCAATCATGATTCACCAGATACCAGCCGGTTAATCTGCAAGGTGAGCCTGAAAACCCCGTCAGCGTAACCAGAATCTCCGTGCGAAAGAAAAGATAATCCTTCCCCCCCTGATGGAATGAACAGCGAGCAGTTCCAAAAGCTGGCGCTTGGGGACTTTGGATTGTATTCGTCTCACATCAGACAAGAAGAACCATATGCAAGTAGCACACAGCCGGACTATTCGCGTTTTACCTGGAGGGACGCAATGGTGAGTCGACGGCAGAGGGGAGGGGAGGGGGGAAGGAAAACAAAAGGAAAAGAGAAGAAAAGAAGAAAAAAGGAAGAGGAAGAAAGGAAGGCGGGGAGCGCACAGATAATATATAAGGTCCTCTCGACTGTCTTGTCTTGCCCCGTTAGCCTGAAGGGTCAGTCATACATACACTTTCTAGGTCAGGACCAGACTCCGTTTCCCTTTCCATGGTCTCTGTCTCTTTTTCGTTCTCAAAAACTGGAGATCTTACCCGATCTGCTCCTTTGAGTATTATTATTATCGCCATCCCTGTAAAAGGAAATCCCACCTGGATGCGGATGTCTTTGTCCCTGTCACACATGCCATGGCCAATCTATGTCGACTCCTCATTGATTCAATTTGTCAGATCCGGATGGAGCAACGAGGTTCCGGCCTGTGCACGTCGTCATGATCATCAAACTCAGAGCCCTCTGCTTGATCATCCTAAAACTAATTCAGCTGACACTTTTACAGATTTATTAAAACCGCATTAAACCCCTTTTTTCCCGTCATATTAAGGCTATTAAATTGTCTAGTCTATTCTGGCCGTTATCAAGGTCTTGGTAACAATGGTTCCTTTTTACATCCCGACACCTTTCTTGAACCTTGATACCAGGAGAGACAATGTGCTGGGACGAAGTTTAACCCGTCCCAAAATTCGTATGGACGAGCTTGAAACCGCAGCGACTTTTAGCTTTTTTTTAATCGTTATTTTTGACTTATTTTATGTATTCGGCTTTTTTTCCGCCCCTGAGAGATACCTGATTCTTACGCGAAAATTTTTGTATGTCACTGCCATGTGAGGCTCGCTACCGTTACAGGGTTGTTCATCATTGAATACGATAGAAGTGACAAACATGGCTTGACGGGGGAGATCCATTTCAGCTCTTGTGATGCAATCATTTTCAAGGCCGGCATAGGGTGGGAGAACCGAAAATTGGCTTCATCAACTCGTCCCGGAATTTGACTCGAGAACGGCTCGGGATCGATCCAAGTTCCCAGACTTCGGCTCCAATGGCAAAGGGCTGATGATTACACGGTGTCAAGAGCTTGGAAGGATGCCACGTTGTTTGTAATGCGTATTAATCAGTCCCCAAGGACATGGATGGGCCTATGCTGCTGTATGGAGGAGTTAGAGTCGATCGTTGCATCTGAATTATTTTAGGCTTGGGCGTCCTGTGCTTGTGTAGAGTATTGGTAACCACTTTCGTGCGTGTGTGCATCAGGAGTATTCGAGACAGAATGGCATGAATAAAGACGTCCAGTCTTTCAATGCTCCTTCGGTATTTAAAATGAGTGCTGATCCCTTCCAGCTGGATATCCACAAGCCTTGCAAACCCAACAATCTCCTGACTTCTGCGGCCCATGCCCCACGATGTCGATAATGTCAGGCTTGGGGGATGGGCCAAAACGCCAAGAGAAAAGCAACTAGTTACCCAAGCCAACGGCGCCTTGTTGACTAAGCAAGGTCGCCTGCGGCTTGGTAGGATTGCTGATCAAGAGCTCATCGACCAAACCAGCATAGCCAGCCTGAAGCAGCCCTTGCTGAGATTTCTCTTGTCGTTGAACTGGATCTCCATTTTAAATTCCTTGAAAAGATAGCTGATCCCCTGATCAAAGCTGCGTGTCTGAACCTGATATATCCTTCTCCAGCCCCAGTTTGTTAAACACCATGGGCGACGCCATCGTCGAAACACCGGTCAATGTTCTTGCTCCTCCGCTCAAAGCTACCCCAGCGGAAGCGATTCCCGATATTGAGCCCCTGGAAGGCTGGGGAACAGACGACGCTGATGAATACACCACGCTAAAGAGATTACAGCGACATTTGGAGTACGTTCCGGCCGGATGTTTATCATATTCGAAAAGAGGCGACACTGACATGGTCTTAAGGTACATAAATCTACAGGAGGAGTACATCAAGGATGAGCAAAGGTAATTTGAAATCCAAAATGACGACCTGTATCGAAAGCGGGTTTACTGACTCTATTCTAGGAGTCTTAAGCGAGAGCTCGTCAGAGCGCAGGAGGAGATCAAGAGAATACAAAGCGTTCCTTTGGTGATCGGACAGTTCATGGAAGCCATCGATCAGAAGTAAGGGGACCTGTAAAAGCTTGAGGAAAATTTCCTGGTCTGAGCAACGTATCTAATATCCTTTTACCTTTTTCTTTTTTAGTACCGGTATCGTACAGTCTTCAACAGGGTCTAATTATGTCGTTCGAATTCTCTCAACCCTCGACCGCGAGAAGCTAAAACCGTCGTCCTCCGTCGCCTTACACCGTCATTCTAATGCCCTTGTTGACATCCTTCCGCCAGAAGCCGACTCCTCTATTGCCATGCTGGGCGCACATGAGAAGCCGGATGTTACGTACGCGGATGTTGGAGGGTTGGATATGCAAAAGCAGGAAATTAGAGAGGCCGTTGAACTGCCTTTAACGCATTTCGATTTGTACAAACAAATCGGTATGTGATACTTTCCAGGACAATATTTTCGAAAGCGCATTGTTACTAAACAATCCGTTTCACTAGGAATCGACCCACCTCGAGGTGTGCTTCTCTATGGTCCTCCTGGAACGGGCAAAACCATGTTGGTAAAGGCTGTTGCGAATAGCACAACTGCCAATTTTATCCGCGTCGTCGGATCAGAGTTTGTGCAGAAATATCTTGGTGAAGGACCTCGTATGGTTCGAGACGTTTTCCGCATGGCGCGAGAGAACTCACCCGCTATCATTTTTATTGACGAAATTGACGCCATCGCCACTAAACGTTTCGACGCCCAAACCGGAGCCGATCGTGAAGTCCAGCGTATTTTGCTTGAGCTTCTCAACCAGATGGACGGCTTCGACCAGACCAGCAACGTCAAGGTGATCATGGCCACAAATCGAGCAGACACCTTGGACCCTGCTTTACTTCGACCAGGTCGTTTAGACAGGAAAATTGAGTTTCCTTCCCTCCGCGATCGGCGCGAGCGTCGTCTAATTTTCACCACGATTGCTTCGAAGATGTCGCTATCGCCAGAAGTAGATTTGGATTCGCTGATTGTCCGCAACGATCCCTTATCGGGCGCTGTGATCGCCGCTATCATGCAAGAGGCTGGCTTGCGTGCTGTCCGGAAGAATCGATACAACATCATCCAATCCGATCTTGAGGACGCCTACTCAAGCCAGGTCAAGAGCGGACAGGATGCAGACAAGTAAGTTTCTACCTGAGCTAACCAGTGAACCATTTCTCGTGCTAAACCTATCATAGATTTGATTTCTATCGCTGAGGACCTTGCAAATACGCCTCATTTTCAACTGTTCAACCGGGCTGGCTTGTTTTACGTTGCTGCGAATCAGGAGAATGAAGCTAGTTAGTCATTTTTGCATGTAACAACAGGGCTTATCCGGGCTGTTTTCAAATGGTATCAAAAAGAGTCCGTAATTTTTCAAGTAGTTAAATGTCCACCTGTACTTCGTACGGAGCACATTTCTTTGAATCCCTGCGGTATGCCTTTATCCTCGTGTTTTTGTCCTCAGACTTACGGGGTTCAAAGAGGTGGTTGGAAAGGCTCCTCCAGTACTCCGTACTCCGTACTCCGTATCTGGTGCCTAATGTAACATGTGGAGTCTCATGACGCCTGAGTTACACTCACAGGACTTAACAGGGGCACTGACCCTGGAACGTGTTCCTGGATCGAGTCTCACCAGTGACATTCCGACGCCCCTTCAACAGCCGGATGTCCATATGCGCGTATTCGCCTCGGTAGTCTTTAACATCGCATATGGTTATCTACACTATACTATTGCGATGATGCGAATTCCTTCCCCAGATTCTCAGTCTCGCGTTGCTCTCAAATTCGGTCGCGATGTCATCATCGAAGGTCTCGAAGAGGCGCCAAGACGCGCCGTATCACGTGACAGATCCGGGCAGGGGGGCAGCGGCCGGGTCCACCAGTCGTCATCGTCGCTGGCTGACTTCATATCCGAGACCAACCTCAGTCCTCCACCCCCAACGGTCGAGCTCCAACCTCCCACCTAACCTCTCTCCCCCATCTCCATCTCCATCAGCACCTACACGGCGCTTCCTATTACTCTCCGATCCTTTTTGTTTGTTGTGTATTTTAGTTTGCACACGCTCTTTCAAGACCTCGGAGCTGTTTGCCGCCCTTGATTCTCGTTACCCCAGCCACCTCGGTGACCATGAGGAACTCCATCCTGCTCGCAGCCACCGTGCTGTTGGGCTGCACATCCGCAAAGGTGCACAAACTCAAGTTGAAGAAGCTTCCGTTGACAGAGCAGCTTGTACGTACCCGGCATCCCTACTGCTGAATCAAAACACTCTCGTTTACTCGATGAACTGCTGCTAATCGAAGCCAGGAATATGGCGACATCGAAACCCACGTCAGGGCGCTCGGCCAGAAGTACTTCGGATCTCTACCATCGTCGCAGCAACAAACAGTCCTGTCAGATGAGTACAGTACAACGGGCGGCCATAACGTTTTGGTCGATAATTTCCTGAACGCCCAGTGTACGTTCCTGTCTGAACGATCAAAAAGTATCGACTAACTGGCGTTACTAACTTCGTCTCAGATTTCTCCGAGATCTCCATAGGCAATCCTCCCCAGAATTTCAAAGTCGTTCTTGACACAGGAAGCTCAAATCTCTGGGTTCCATCTTCGGAGTGTGGTTCCATCGCCTGCTACCTCCACAACAAGTACGATTCATCGGCTTCTTCGACCTATAAGAAGAACGGAACAGAGTTCGCTATTCGCTATGGCTCAGGCAGCCTTTCTGGTTTTGTTTCACAGGATACACTCCGTATCGGTGACCTGACCATCGAGGGACAAGATTTTGCCGAAGCCACCAACGAGCCAGGCCTTGCTTTCGCCTTTGGCCGCTTCGATGGCATTCTTGGTCTAGGTTATGACACAATCTCCGTTAACAAGATTGTTCCACCCTTCTATAACATGATCAACGAAGGCTTGATTGACGAGCCAGTCTTTGGCTTCTACCTTGGCGACACGAACAAGGAGGGTGATGACTCGTATGCTACTTTTGGAGGTGTCGATAGCAGTTTGTTCTCCGGTGAGATGATCAAGATTCCCCTCCGCCGCAAGGCCTACTGGGAAGTTGATTTTGATGCTATCGCCTTTGGCAACGAGCGTGCTGAACTCGAAGACACTGGTATCATCCTCGATACCGGTACTTCTCTCATTGCCCTGCCATCCACTCTTGCTGAGCTCCTGTAAGTCATATCTTCCTTGTATCCTTGGTTTTTCCACAGAGACTAACCGTACAATCTATAGTAACAGAGAAATTGGTGCCAAGAAATCCTGGAACGGTCAATACACCGTAGACTGCAACAAGCGCCCATCGCTTCCAGACCTCACCTTTACTCTATCCGGCCACAACTTCACTATCGGACCATATGATTACATCCTCGAGGTCCAAGGCTCTTGCATCAGCAGCTTCATGGGCATGGACTTCCCTGAGCCCGTGGGCCCTCTTGCCATTCTTGGAGACGCTTTCTTGAGACGATTCTATACCATGTATGACTTGGGCAACAATCTCGTTGGCCTTGCCAAAGCCGGAAACTAAGTTCAACAGAGGTGCGATTGCTATGGAAAGGCGGAAGAGCAGAAGAGTTCAGTCATGTTTCATGCTTGCACAATTGACGGCTGAATACCCTTATTAAGGTCTCTGTATACAGCTTCCGATGGTTTTTCCCTTTTTTTTTTTTTTTAATTTTTTATTTTGTTTTTTGCCTGTCTCCCCCAGATTGTTATGAGATTATTCCTAGGGCCTGGCTACACATCCTAGGCAGATATGCTTTGCTTTCGGGAGAGGGGTTTTAGTTATGAACATCATTTGTTATAATGATATAGTAGTTAGTCTGCATAATTAGTGATATCACTAAATGTCTACATAATATGTTTCTGCGATCCCCAGCCTGCACACATGCATCACTGTTGATTTGCCGTGATGCTTCGAGCAAGCGCTGATTCACCACCACAATGGCTGGGCCGCGGAGAACAGACCATCTGACGTGATGTCAGCTGCCAAGATATAGATTACCGTACTAGTTAATACAGGATTGCGCGGAGATTCTGCATAGAGACTGGGCCAACAGATGGAAAATTACTGTAATATAAGTTGCTAGTTGAAACCTTAGCACCAGCATGATGGGTTGTTGCTGCAGCTTTCTCCAAACATCAACGGCAAGACGAGCTTGTCTCTTGTTCACAAAGGTCACAAAGAATCACCTGCATCAATAAGGTACAATTGGCCGCTCATCATCTCACTTGCTCAGGTGCAATAGCAGTATTCACAGACTCTCTTCACACACTGCTCACCTTCACCCTGTTTTTTAAATTCACAAAATCCTACCTCTCCGTGACCACTTGCAAAACAACCTCCCACCCACTCCCCGCGCCAAAACAACCGAGCAAATAAAAAAAGGATACAATACCTTGAAGCAATCTTGCGCCATTTTCCTACCACTTCCTCCCTACCTCCAGTCCTTTGATATATATTCATTTCGAGTAACCCATTCCTTTTCTTCTCCTTGTTTCTTGTTTCTTTCTTTCTTTCTTTCTTTCTTTTTTTTTTTTTTTTTAGAAAACACAGATTATGGGCGCCGGTATAGGCCGCTCAATTGGTTTGAAGGGATGCTATTGAAACTATCATCTAGTCTCTACTATCCAATCACCGTCACCGAGCTCCTACGCCAACGGGGCGACAATGTCAATCAGGGCGATGCGCTGTTCGCGTATTACTATCATACCACGGTGACAGAGGGCGATGGACTGGGGAATAAGCGTGATGTGGTGAGGAAGTTTCCGACGAAGTTTGAGAGTTCAGTGGATGGGACGTTGTTGGAGTGGAAAATAACGGAGGGACAGGTGATTGAGAGGCCGTAAGTGGATGCCCTGTCGCACGAAGAATGGAGTTGTTCTTTTCTTTTCTTTCTTTATGGCTTCGTCAGTTGTGGAGACTAGATGCGCTGACGTCGGGAGTTTGGGATTTGTCCCCTCCGTGCAGAATCGATATTGCGGAAATTGATGAGCCCTGTTCTCATGATGTACAGTTTGGTGGAATGTGCGCGAACTGCGGGAAGGATATGACTGTGTATGACTTCCCCCCTCCATGTGGATTGTTTTCCGCCTTTTGGGTGTTTCTATGGGCCTTGCTGACGGGTTGATTTCTGGGATAACAGGTTCAATTACAACACTGAAGTGCTCGACTCATCGCGAGCTCCGATTCGAATGGTTCACGACAATGCTTCGCTCACCGTTAGCAAAGACGAAGCGACTCGCGTCGAAGAAGATGCCAAACGCCGCCTCCTCTCGTCTAGAAAGCTATCACTTGTCGTCGACCTGGATCAAACTATAATCCACGCGACGGTTGACCCAACGGTAGCGGAATGGCAAGAGGATAAGACCAATCCAAATCATGAGGCTGTGAAAGATGTGCGAGCATTCCAACTTGTTGATGATGGTCCAGGAATGAGGGGATGCTGGTATTACATCAAATTACGGCCTGGATTGGAGGATTTCCTGAGGAGCATTTCGAGCCTTTATGAGCTTCATATCTACACAATGGGTACCCGAGCTTACGCTCAAAACATCGCCAATATTGTGGATCCTGATAGGAAGATATTCGGAGATAGAATTCTGAGTCGCGATGAGAGTGGGAGCCTAACGGCGAAGAATCTACAGCGATTGTTCCCTGTCGATACCAAAATGGTCGTCATTATCGACGACCGCGGAGATGTATGGAACTGGAGCGACAATCTTATCAGAGTTCATCCCTATGACTTCTTCGTCGGAATCGGCGATATCAACTCCAGTTTTCTCCCGAAGAAGCAGGAGTTCAAGCCCATGTCCAAAGCACGCGCCAAGGCCAAAAAGCAGTTGGACGTTCGTTCTGAAGTGGAACCTAAGCCCGAAATGAACGGTTCTAGCGCCATAGATGTGGACGAGAAGCCAAAGGAAGAGGTCTCAGCACTGGAACAGCTCGTTACTATGGGGGGCGGGGACAATCCTGTCCTGCTCCAGGAGCAAGCACATCAGCAAGAAGAGGTAATTGCTCATCAGGTTGAAGAACGCCCTCTATTGCAAAAGCAGAAACAGCTCGATGCAGAAGATGAGGCTGCTGAACTTCAAGCTGCAGAGAACGGAGATTCGTCTAGCGATGACTCGCAAGATTCGATGAGACATCGCCATCACCTCCTGGAGGATAACGATGCTGAGCTTTACCAATTAGAGGAGAGACTTAAATTAATACATCGTCGCTTCTTCGAGGAGTACGATCGGAAGCGATCTTCAGCTCTCGGAGGTCGAGTCTCGGCCTTGAGAGGCGAACGTGTTCACCCGAAAGATAAGGATGTTGATCTCCGTATTGTCCCAGACATCAAGATCATCATGCCCCAGATCAAGCGAAGAATCCTTGAGGCCGTGGTGGTGGTGTTCTCTGGTGTCATTCCCCTCGATAAAGACACCCAAAATGCGGAGATATCGCTATGGGCGAAGAGCTTTGGCGCCATCATCACACAAAAGATTGATTCAAGAACTACGCACCTGGTTGCTGGCAGAAACCGCACAGCGAAGGTTCGAGAAGCGACGAGATATCCTAAAATCAAAATAGTCACAGTCCAGTGGCTGCTAGACTCGCTAACCCAATGGAAACGGCTTGATGAAGAGCCATACCTAGTACCGGTGCACCCGGACGATCGTGGCGAGCCGATCAGCTTGCTAGGAAATTCACCAAACGATGCAAAGGAATTGGATGATGCCGGCTATCTATCATCCTCCGAAGAAGATACCACCTCGGCGGATGATGACGAAAGTGATTTCTCGAAGGGAAGAAGCCAAAACGACGAACTAGAAAATGCGGATGAGGAAATATTACTTTCAACTGGACTTGATTCGCATTCCCTAATCGGATACGACGCTGAGGAACAGGCAGAAGTGCACGACGAGCTCAAGGAATTTTTGGGGAGTGATAACGAAGAGAGCGAAAGCGACAGTGACGCCTCCATGCTTCAAGGCACAAGTATGTCACGCGCTGATAGAAAACGAAAACGCGATCTTGAAAGTGACGAGAGTGGTGGAGAATATCGCGGCGCTACTGAACGTGCTCCGGGAGAACCTGCTGGCTTACGATTGTCTCAAAAGATCAAGCGATCTCATGAAAGAACGACGGGGCTGAAAGAGGTTTCCAATGCATCCTCGATTGAACATCCAGGGCCACCTCCGGTTGACACTTCATCTGAGCTGCTAAGCGACAAAGCTCAAGAACAGGCAATCGCGGGTGACACTAGCTCCGGTGCTAATGCGGACGTTCGAAAAGATAGCGCCATGGTCGATCTGGCTGCAGGCGACGAAGAGGACGACGAAGACGAGCTGGAACGCGAAATGCTTGCGGCGTTTGAAAACGACAATTGGGATGAAAGCAAGGTTGAAGAAGACGCCGGTGACAACGGATGAAAATCTTCCCCCCCAAAAAAAAAAAAAAAAAAAAAAAAAAAAAAAAAAAAAAAGGGGTCCTTGTTCCTTGCTCCGCCATCCGCTCTATATCGGTGATACAATTAAGTGTATTTTACGGATCTGTCCATGTCTAGCTCAGTTTTGTCCTGGCTCGTGTATAATGTCCCCATCAGCATAGCGAGGCGTTTTACGGTTCTACCATTTTCCATAATGTCTTCCATGATGTCTTATACAGCTCCGCTGGATTCCATCTGTTCGTCGCCGTGTCATCACTGGTCCACCCCTCCCGAGGCATGTTGGCGCGATTTAGGCGTTAGTGACTTTCTTCTTTGCTATATGGAGTAGAGGCTAGGTTTCTTTGAATGGCTGGTCTATGTGTGCATTGTGTGTTTTAAATCCGTCTTTGCCGGGCTCTGTTGTGAATACGAAGGATAATTTGGAATGGTCTGGCTTGCTTCAATTTTTTTTTTCTCCTTCTTCTTAAGGTTCTTATGGGCATTTTCTTTCTTCTCTCCTCTTTTTACGAGCTAGGCGCGAGCAGTTACAAATACATGCCATCCTGAAGACCATGGCATGGGCCAATGCAATGAAGGCTGATCGAGTGCTATCTTCACAGGGGGGAACATGTGCAACGGCCTAGCGGAGCAAGGTTGATAGAAGCTTGATATTGCACCATAAAAGGGGCTTCTTTACTTTCTACTCGTTCCATATATATTAATATCTGGGAAGCTATTATTAGCACGGATAAGCTATCAGGCCTGACCCCGTGGGGTGGAAGACACGCACTTCTTTTTTTAGGGACAAAGGCCTAGACAAGGCGCCTAGCAACTCCATGCCCTCAGAACCCCCGACGCTACCTTTCATACTCCAAACGAAGGGGACGATTACGACAGCATTGCTAAATATCGCAAGGAGCCAACGATTTGCAAAACAGCCGGCTGTTGAGGAGGATTGTTGCAGCCGTATTTCGCCCAGAGGTTGCGTTGCACGGAATGGCGGGTTTTGCTACGAAGTTAAACTTCCGCTCCAGGCAAAGCTTATTTAGGCTGGCAGGCGGATTGTTCTGTGGCCATGATGTCATTCAAGGCGCGCCATAACAGCCACCAGAGAAGAGGAGACCGAGACACATTCCGTAATGCGGTGCGCGCATTCTTCCGTGTATACGGAGTACGGTGTAGCTGAAATGTTTTCATTTGCCCCATCGAGGTAACTAGCTACATGTGTAGAGTCTAGATTAATCGTGGCGTCATTCATAAATTCATCATATAATCCCTCCTCCCAGGAACCAAAAAAAAAAAAAAAAAAGGAAAAATAGAACAAAGAAACTCGGCGAATTTCTAATTGCAAGAAGAATGCCGATAAACGCCTGGGATCATTCGCTAAGAGGCAAAAATTTGGAAGAGGATTTTTCAGTATACCCCTAAACTCCGGAGGACACCTTGAAACAATATCACATCCAGATTCCGCCTAGCAAAAAAAAGGAAAAAAGAAAAAAAAAATATCCCTAGATAAGCGTTCATGTAGCTTTCATATATACGTGCGAAGAGTGAAAGGTCAGAGGTCATTAGGAGAATGTGCTTGGATCAGGATTCGCCTCGGCGGACTTGGAGAGCCATGAAGAGCATCCAGATGAAAAATACTGTGTTGACAAGCTGGAACGAAAAGGCCGCCTTCCAGCAATTGCCTGAAACAAATTTAGCGGTTAGCACGGCGAGATGCCCGACACGGCCAGGGGAAGCGTGAGCCGGGGTAGGGTACTCACAGATATTTATCTGGGTTAGCCATGCCAAGGTGTTGATACTGGCTCCCCGGAACTCCATTGCTTCAACGTAATTCTGGCAATTAGAGTTGACATTCGCGATGGAGCCGTAAAGCTGGATCGAGGTACCGATTAGGCCTGTCAGCCATAGCACAAAGTTGACAAACGATCCAAGGATTATTATTTCGGGTATTAATTTAGCCTGGAACGCGAGTACGAGTATTAGACCGATGAAGATGATTGCCAGGGCCGATATTGCAACCATGAATGGGAAGACCCTAAAGTAACCAGCCGGTTAGCCAAGAATAATTAGGATCATGGGAAGGCGGGGATGGGCAGAGTTTGAGGTTACCATGGCGCAACCAGCTCCATCTGTGCCTGCACGACCATAAACCAGCTGAATATCCCAAGGCATGTTGCCGACCCGGTGAGCACAATGAGGATCCATATGTTCAGCTGTATCTCTGGCCAGTGGAACTTTCGAGTGTAAGCCGTCGTCGCTGTATACTCGGAGTGGGCCATGATTGGGCGTGTCTGCGTGGGTGAAGTTGCAGACGGGAGGGCGTCGGTGGGACCGCAGCGACGTGATTTCGGGGCGGGTGAATCGCGATCGAGGGGGTTGAAGATGGTAACGACGAAGTCCTTGGGCTTGAGATTCGGTAACGTGTAATTCCCACGTAGGCAACCAAGCTCGAATGCAGACCAAAGGAAGTGAAAATCGCAAAAACGCAGTCTAAGATAGCGTTGAAGGATACGGAGTAGAGTGAAATAATTTTCAAGTGAACGGTGGGGAGTCAGGCCGCTTTGCAGTAGTCAATCGAATTGAGTATCTTTTGCCTGTTGGACATGCCTCCAGTTCCTTTGTCGAACGAGTAGTGAAATGGTATTTTGTCAGTGCTGGCGCTATGGCAGCGCAATGCTGAGTCGTGCCACTTGCGGCGACGAGCTGGACAGTCGGTATCGAAATGGAAGAAAAAGGCCGGCGGGCGTTGACGTCGCTAACTAATGTAGTTCGTTGGCTTGCAGCAACAGCCTGGCTAGCGTGACATGTGGAAAGCTTCAGGACAAAGCAGCAACCAAGCGACAACCAGAGGGCGCTGAAAATCAATATAAGCTGGGGAAATAGATGATGGTGTCACAGGACTCGAAAAAAAAAAGGTGTCCAAGGTGAGGCAGAAATCCCAGTAACGGCCGAGATAATTTTTTTTGGTCTGGAGGAGGGACATAAAAATCGGGTGGTTGGGAGCATCTTCACCCGCGAAAATGATGTGGCAGGATTTCCGTCGTCGACAACAACCAGTGTTACATCCATTCTGGTGAATGGGTCGATGTATTGACCTGAGAGCTTGTTGTTGTCTGATGTTTGATTTTACATCTTCGTATGTTTGCTCTCCAGATGGAGAAGACTGTTTCCAATTAACTACATATTGACCCGTAAAAAAAAATGAGTGTAGCATCTATTTATTTACTCTGTACCATCCCACAATTTTCAGCTTCAGAGCAGTATGAAAAAACAACAGCGCCAAAAGTATTTGTTACATTTTGATTCCTATGTTTAGTTTTAGCTGCATACAAATGTTGATTTGATGACAGCAGCAAATTCCTGAAACCAAATCAAAACTGCCGCCATAATTTACAGAATGTAGCAATACGGCCACCGAGAAGGCATGCATGGACCTCCACAACGGCAAGAGACGGACGCTGGTAGTTTACAGAAGGGTGTCTCCCAGTGCACTTCGAACCAACGAGCATCCAGCACGGATTGTCTCGCTAGCTCCCAATGTCTCGAGGGTTGGGTTGACCTCTACCAAGTCCATCGCCACTAGACTGCCGGTTTCGTGGATGGATTCGGCAATAAAGTCACCTTCACGGAGCGTCAAACCTCCTCGGACGGGAGTTCCGGTGCTGGGTGCCCACTGTGGGTCAAGAGCATCCACGTCAAAGGAGAGATGGATGGGCGTATCTTGACCAATATGCGCAAGGGCCATCTCCACCACACGGCCAATACCATACCTAGATTCACATCCAGTCAGTCAGCAGGCACTCGTCCTTTTCTTTTCTCCTAGTTGCAAGTGAAACCAAGAGGGAACCATACTTGTCGATGTCATGCATGCTAAAGGCCTTGATACCATGTTCCTTCAGCAGTCTCTTCTCTGCGCGATCCACATCTCTTAGTCCGATATATACCAATTTCCTAGGGCTGATCAGATTATCCGGCTGCAACCAGCCAAACATATCTTCGTTGTCATCCTTTGCCAATCCGGTCAAAAACGCAAGAGGCATGCCGTGGATGTTCCCACTGTCGCTGTCCTCTGGCCTGTTAATATCCGCATGTGCATCCACCCAGATCACAGCCATCTCGCGTCCCAACCGTTCCCGGATCGCCTTCGCGGTTCCAGAGATGGTACCGATGGCGATGGAGTGGTCTCCGCCGAGGGTAAGCACTAGTCTGCCCTCGCGTGCGTGCTCGTAGACCTGCCTGCTTAGCTGTTGGGTGGCGGCACTCACGGTTCGAGGCTTTTTCATGCCCCGGTGGTTCGGATCGTGTTCAGGCACGAATTCGGCGTATGTGTGTACCTTGCCGTCATGGCGAATGTCGTATTCTAGATCATCGCGGAGCTGGTCAAGAAGTCCGGCTTCGATGAGGCCGGAGGGGTCGACGCCTTGGTTGGGCTGTTTTGTTTTTTTTTTTCCCAGAGTCAGATTTTCGGCTTTTGTAGGCTGATCAGCCCCGAAGGAAATATCCGTACCTGGCCATCCGAGAAACCAACGGCCACGACGCCGAGCTGGTGTCCCTTTGCTATGAATTTCTGCTTAATGGTGCTTGGAGATGTCATTGTGAATACGGCCGGCGATCAGGCAATAATGGAATGTTTAGTTATCGATAGCAAGAAAGCCACGGCAACTCCGCCGTCTACTCAACAAGTTACGGGGTATCAAAAGAAGCAGAAGCTGCGAAACAGGGTATAGCTCGCTTTACAGCACAAAAAAAACAGCTGCAGGGAATAAAAAGAAAATAAAAGCAAAACGTTTACCAGGTAAAGACTATATCCAGGCAGCAAAGAAACCCCCAGGGTCAATGGAGGCAATATATACTCTTGAGTTCTCCCCGCAAAGCTTCACCGCAGAATTGCTGGCGGATAGCCACGGCTCAAGCCCGACCCAAAAAAATCATAATCACCGTCATCCCCGAACCAAACAAGAAAAGGATTTCCGTACTGACGTTTCGCTGCTGCTCTACCGGGGGCACCAAAGAGAGGAGTGCGTTTCCTCCCGAAGCTCCGGCGTGACATTCCCACCGGCTCAAAATGCTTTTAGGGGAAGATGCGGCGGAGGCGCGGTGGAACCTGGGGGGCTGATTTTCCGCTAAGTACAGTTTTAAGAGAGCGCCACGGAAGCCGAGACATGAAAAATGGGTCTGAAGAAACCGGCGTGAGTCTGAACCTGGCTGGTTGCGCTTCCTCGGCTGCAGCGCTACGGAGGTATTGATAGGCTCCCGGCGATTTACTTAAATATGGAGGAGGCCATGCAGCTGTTGGATCGGGAATTTTTTTCTTTTTTTCTCCCTCGTGCGTTGAAAGCAGAAAATAAGAAAAATACAAAAAAAAATAAAATAAAATAAAATTAAAAGGCTGACCGAGAGAGAGAGAGAGAGAGAGAGAGAGCCATTGTGCATACAAGTACGTAGTACACTTGAGTTGAACTGGACATAGTCAAATAGGTTTCTCTCTTGAGAAAATTTACTGTTTTTGATTTCTTTTGGAGAAACTATCGTACAGGTATGAATACACATGATATTCCGGGAGGTGGAAGACGGGCCCATTATTATCGCAGAAGCTCCTCTAGGATCTTCCGAGCTCTGGGTGCTTCCACCCTTCCCTTGTCACCCAGTCGCATCATCTGGCCCAGAAACCAGCCGATCTTACCCACCTTTCCATTCTCGCGAATCTCCCTTGCTGTCTCCGGATTGTTCTGGATTATACTTTCCGCTAGAGCAATATACTCTGCTCGTGACAGTGGCTTGAATGATAAATCTTCTTCATCCACAATCTGCTGAATTGCCCTAGTGTCTCCATCAAACACTGTTGCGAGAAGGGATTTGGCGGTGGTCCCGGTGATTGCTTTCCTGGATAGGAGATGGACTATCTCCGCCAGGGCCTGTCCCGAGACGCGGTTTGGATCCCATGGAAGCTCGTATTTACTAAATAAGCCGCCCAGCTCGTGCAGGACCCAATTTCCGAGCATTTTCCCCCCAGCAAACCCTTTCACGGTCGCTGGGTTTTCGGCCTGGAAGGAATTAAGCATATCGACTGCATCTTGATAGTAATCCAGTCGGGTGCCATCATCCAGCTCCAACAAGGTCTTAGCATCCTCAGCCGAGAGGCCGTACTGTGGGTCCTCCGTGAGTGTTTTGAATATGTCATCGGGCAGCGGTGGCATGGTATCGTGAAGTTCAAGCAGCACGTCTTCACCAATGACCACAGGTCCTAGATCAGGATCTGGCATGTACCGATAATCCACCTCTCCCTCTTTCCCTCGTAGCTTTCTGGTTTCCGTGCTGCCAAGTGTCCATCCTCGTGTCTCTCCCTCAATGGTCCCACCGGCTTTGAGCACCGCGATTTGGCGGTCTCTCTCCGCGATGATTGCATCCTCAACAGCTTTGAAGCTGCTCAGGTTTTTGATTTCTGTTCGCTGGCCCAGTCCCATTATTCCCTGGTATCTGTGCGTGCCAGCTGCAGAATCGTGCTTGCGAACGGAGACGTTGACATCGGCACGCAGGCCTCCCATTTCCATTCCCGTCGTGACTGCACCACACGATTGTAGGATCGCCTGGATCTTTTTAACGCATGCCGCAGCCGTGGCGGGCGAGTGGATCTGTGGCAAAGTGATAATCTCGATGAGTGGCCGGGACACACGATTAAAGTCAAGGAGGTAGGTGTGCGAGGGGAGTTCTTGGGATTTGGCGGTGTCCTGCTCCATCTGAATCTGTTTGATGCCTATTTCAACGCAGTCTCCGTCTTCTGGGGCGATTCCATCATGCTTGTATAGACGGAGGATGCCGTTCCTTGCGTAGGGGTCTGCGGGATAGTTTGTAAGAATCTGGCCATTGCACTGCACATTAGGCGAGAGGACCTATCCATACCATAGTACTGTGTTATCTGATAGCCGGCCGGTTGGTCCTGGTAGAAGTAGTGTTTCCGGTCAAAGCTGCTGACTCGCTGGATATCGCAATTGAAGGCGATAGCAGCACGCAGTGCAGGTATCAACGTTGCCGGTTGAAACGACTTAAAATCATAAGCATGGTCCCATGCTCAGCGGCAAATGCTGTGTAGACAACTCACTGGTTGACTGCCTGGAAACGCCAGGTCGAAAAGCGCGACATTTGAATTCGGCGCATCGTCAAGGTAGGCAGACGCACCTATATTAAGCTCCGAGCAATTAGCATAAGGACCATTTTCAGGCTCGGACAACGCGCCTTACGTGAAAAGAGCTTTGAATCAGTGTCCAATTGCGCATGCACCTCAATTCCCACCGTTAACTCCCAATCGTCCCGAGTAGCTTTGGCGATGCCATTCCGACTCTGTTGCCCCTTTGCCAACCGCTTTGCTTTGGCCGTGTCTTTTAGTTCCTTGCGAAGTGGAACGAATTTCTGACGGCCTTGAGCATCCGCAGGTGTTTGGCTGCTCAGAGGCCGTGCTGCTCTCCACGACAGGCTCCCATTCTCAAACGGTTGGGTTCTGGGAAGCCGGAGACTCCCAGTCGGGCGATGGCTCGCGGAACGAGGGGGCAGTCGAGAGCGGGGGATTGCACGGTGCCATACGCTAAGCCGGACCATATGCATAGGGACGACACGAATCTGTCAGGCACAGCCGTTGCGAGGAACGGCGGACAGTTGGGCTGCAGCGACCTCGCGCGGATTGCAAGCTGGGCTGTTGCGCTGTTGGGTTGGAGAGCGGTGATTGGGCGGCCGCTGTGGGCTGCCGTAGTGCGCCCGTTCACGTCGCATTCTTCGCGCGGTGGAGGGATACAGCCGAGCGCCAGGACGGCGAGGATCACGGCGGGAAAGCGAGAGATAATTAAATACCGTACCATCCCAGGTTCGATAGGTGCGCTGATCAGAGCCCTCGGTCGTCAGAGGTCCATGGTTTACCCCGGCAGACGGGGCACACGTCTTTACCAATAGACGGCGTCTGTTGCCGACGATGGCGTGAAGCCAACCTAATATACGATTCCATATAGACCAGTAACGCCGGGATGGAACAAAAAAAGGAAACATGAATTTAGTTACAAAGGGAATGAAATCGATGGGTAGCCGGAATCGCGCGCTCGCAAAGCGAATATATACAGACTTTTGGGCCGTGTGCCCTGCCGAACTCCCCCGCAAATTCGTCAAGGTTTCTCTGCCAATGGCCGGCCTGAGATGCCCCAGATACGACATGAACAACTCTTCACGGTATTCGAGGGGGGTGTGGCCTCCTCAGCTGCGATTCGTCGGAGGTGAGATGGTCCATTCCCCCAATTAGCCGGGCCTCATCCTTGCGAGAATGCAATAATCGCACTGAGAAACGGTTGAAAAAGGACTATTACACGTTGAGCCACTCAGTCGGGCAATTCCCTGTGAGACCTCAGAACCAGTTCCCTTGGATGTAATGCAGGATGCAGCGTTGGACATTATGATCGATGATGTAGTAGAGTACATGAGTTCCAAGTTACGGTGAACAGCAGGGGGGTTGAAGATCGCAAGAGAGAGGACCACCAGGGACTCGCATACGGGCTGCTCGGGTTATCATCCTAATCGAGAATTCGCTGCAAACCGAAGCGTGTTGGCTCTGGATAGGGCAAAACGCTGTGGAATTTCTCGTCGTTCCACCGGCGTCAACGCGCGCCAGCGAGATCGCATGGTGGATGTCATCCTGTTGGAGATCCATCGCGGACAGGTAACTTGAAATGGACCACATGCGTGGCTGACAAGCGAATGGCGGACGAACATACTTCTTGGGGAGTTTGGTTCAGTTGGCCATGGCGGAGTATTCAGTCAGTTAGTAGATACTCCCGGCAGTTACTCCCAGCGTGACCCCCCTTGACCCAATGGCCGCGAGGAATTGACGAGTCATCGTTGGCCACGAGCTGCGTCGGTCTCGGACGACAATCGGGGATGCAGACAAGACGGTCTTTGTTGAAATCTTCTTTGCAGTAAGAAAAAACTATGTCAATGACGCGCGCCAACCGGTGCTGCTCCTGACCAGCAAGAAAGAAGACTGGCGATGAAGACTGTTTTACAACAGTTGAAATTGACCCTCGTATCTGGGGAGTTACTTCATCAAGTTGTAACTCTTGGGGGCCTCAAAAAAAAAAAAAAAAATATCACTGACGCACCCTAGTCCATTTTTAGCTCGGCCAGGCGTAGTGCAACGGGACTTCGCCATCATGAGACACATCTCAAACTCTTGAAGTTATTCGTCCACACGAGGATGAATTTGGGGGGGGTGGCCTCCCTCCTTCAGGTTGCGTCGCCGGCAGTGCGTACCAACATGTATCACTACCCTTTTGACGATCTCTCGCTTTTTTATCTCCTTGCAAATATAATAATAGTTGGCTAGCCTGGCGCTGGGCGCATTTGCTTTTTTTTCTTCTTCTCCTCCTCCCCAGTTGTTGAAACTATTGGAACTATCTTTATCTCATCTCGACCCATTTTATTTTATTTTGTCTTATTGAGCTTCGGAGCACGGAGTAGTTAAGGGTAGACCTTTCCCCGTCGCCCCAGTCCTACCGTCTCAAGTCGTACGTACATCTGTCGTCGACACACCGTCCTTCCATAGTGGCGGGCTGCATAAACCATAATATATATTTAACACTGAACATTTTTGTGTTTCGAGGTGCAACGGCTGAGTCGTCTGTCCTGGGCCTCTATGTTGCTTATCCCTCAGCCTGGTCGGATGCTTGGAACATTTTGATACCACCCCCATCTCTGGATACCGGAGCCTGAAGGACAAAGCTCATCTGGATCGAGGCCTATTTATCCGTAAAAATAACATTAGGGGATCTACGTCACGCAGACACTCCGCCATTGTTTACCCCGGAAAAGCTTTATTAGTCCCGCAGGTCATCTGGATAAACAAACAACAATCATGAGCCACGTGAAGAACAGCAAGCGGCGGGCATCCAAAAAGTCCTTCTCTCCCTTTGCCAACCCAGTGGCAGCAGTGGCGAACGTCGCTGTCGCACGGCCTATAGATGAGATTTTGGAACCCAGTTCGCGTCCCAGGAGCCAGAGTACCTCGCACCGTCCAAGCGAGAAGGAGATTCTACCGGGCCGTCGGAGGGCTACAACAAGATCTACAGAACCCACGTCGGTGGAAAGAGCTCCAGATGTCTTTCAGTTCCTAGATAACGAGGACTCAGAACCCAGTGGAAAAGCTCTGAAATGCGTAGAACGGCGCTATTCGGAACAAGCTCCAGCTTCACGGTCACCAGAGCAGGACTGCTCTCGCAAGGACAGCGCGGCATACAGTTTTCGTTCAGACTCGGGAATATCGGTCAGAGATCATAGCCCAGGACGTGCTTCGTCCACCGTCTCAGGAGACGAATATCAACCTCCCACCCCGCCGGATATACCCCTCGACAACATGAAATGGGGCCTAGTCAGGCCCCTGAAGTCGAAGCGACCAGGTCCAATGGCCGGCGCCTACATCACAGACACTGAATCCTTACTTGAGAACCCGGTGACCTCTTCTTCGTTTATGGACCCCTCAGCGCCCGAGTCGTTTTACTACGCTAGACATCTTTCGACGAAACCGGCTTCGCCAAAGAAAAAAAGACCGGAACGTCCTAGCATCGATACCGCCAAAGCAACCCAACATGCACGCCGCCGTTCTCTTTCCGTATCTTCTCCTAAATCATCACCACCCGAGAAGCCCGCTCCCGAGTCGCGTCCGCGCATCTACCGAAAATTCGATGCCCTGAATCACCGGCTCTTAAGGCATTTGCAAGAGGAAATAATCCAGCTTGAAGAAGACCTCAGCACCCTGGACGAACTGGAAGCCGCTCACCAAAGCCCCGCAAGCGCTCGTAATTCTCCCAGACAGAAGCTTCTAGCTGCCAAGTATCACGACCTTCAGATCCAGGATTACTCAGTGCTTCACTACAAGAGAACTGATCTACTTGAGAAGGTAGCATTGAAGACAGAGCAATACAGTAAGTTCACTACCTCTGCAGTAAAGAAGCTAGAACTTACCCGTCTTTCTCCACCAAGACCGGGTCCTGTGCTCTTTTAATAAAGTCGTCCAAACCCTTCCACCTCCCTCTGAGGATGACATTGAAACCTACCGCAACTCGCTCAGCACCTCCCAATCTACCACCAAGGGCGATCGACGAATTCTCGACCACAAATCCGACCTCGTCCTTGTCGCTCCCCGTCCAATGAATAGCTCCACGACCATCCTTCAACATCCAAATCCTATCTACACCACCATCGCTGCTATATGCGCAGCTATCTTGTTCCCTCTCCTCGCATTTGGTGCCATAAATGAATTCTTCGGAAGGATCGTGATCGTTGCCATTATCGGGGGTATGATTGCTCTGTGGGCATCGAATGGTCCCGGAGGACATGAATATTTTATTGATCCGCAAGACGGGTGGAAGTGCGCAGTGCTGTACGTAGTTCCTCTTTACAACATTCTCACTAACCACCGTCCCACACAACTAACATTCGATTCTTGGTGTCTAGATATTTCGGATTTATGTCCATCGCGGCAATGATCATTTCATGACAGCACCGGAAAAAAGGAAAAGGGAAAAAAACGGGAATCAAAAAAAAGAAAGAAAGAAAGAGAAAGAAAAAGGTCCACGAAAATATGATTGACGAATTTCATTTGTTCTTTATGACGAGTTTAATTACCGGTGGTAGTAGTTGCTTCTGATGATGACGCTTACGAGGTCCTCTTCTTATCTCTTGTTCCGCCTTTCCTGTCACTTTTCTTTCTTTTCTTTTTTCTCCCGTGTCTTTGGTATGACGAGTTTAGCCTTTGTGCTCTGCATTTTATGACGATATCATCTCAGAACCGGGGCGCATTCTATGGTTCCTGTGAGGGGAAGTCCTGGTGGTGGCTGTTATTGCACTATCTTTGCCTTTTTTTTTTTTTTTTTTTTTTTTTTTTTTTTTGTTTTTCCTTTTCTTTTCTAAAATTTGGGATATCCTACAACTGTATAAGCTGAAGAGGCGATGAAAATTAAAAATATGTCAAAATAAAAGGTTATCGGAAGAGGAATGCAATGTGTCGGGGGGGTGAGACTGTTTTTTTGAGCAAAACTGAAATTTTGGTTCGGTCCGCATTTTTTTTTTCTTTTTTTTTTTGGGGGGGTTTTTTTTATTCAAATGCATCTGTATACTCCATATCTACTCCGTACAAGTCAAAGCTTCCATACGAGATCTCCAAGTTTTAAGTGCTCATGGGCTTAGTATTTGTTGATGCATAAAAACTCTTTATGTTCATGTTCCTTAGGGGGCTAGAGAGTGTCCATGTACTCTGTAGTGTAAATAAGTATCTGCTGACAAGCTCACATGGGGACGACAAGGGGAAGACAGCATTCCAACACCACAACCCAGGAAGCCTTGCTCCTCCATTCTATCCATAATCTGACATGAAATCATTGATTTAAGACCAGATAGGAACTGGCTTTTCTTTCTGAAAACAAATATTTTTTAAAAAAAAAAAAAGGACAAGAAACGCAATCCATCCCATGAACCTTCGCAATTTGCACATTATAGGAAAAGCAGTAATCTACGGAGTGCTCCCCCAAAACAAAAAAAAAAAAAAAAAAAAAAAAAAAATATTGGAGCAAAGAGGGAAAAGCATTGTGAAAGGGACACGTGTAAAACGGAGATTTTCCTGACCTCGCGCCCTTGAGAAGTCGAAGATCCTTAAGACAGTCAAACCGCACGCCAATCCCCACTAACGAATACTGCATATTTGGTACCCGGTAAATAATAGTATAGAATAGAATTAAGTAGCTTGAAAGTACTGGTTCGCGTGTGGAAAGGGATAAAATGGGAACGGGAGGAGTGGTAGGGAAAAAGTACGGCGTTAAAGGCCGATTTCACAGAAAGATGAGATGTTGGGAAGAACCCCCATTAGCATACTAGGGTATTTGGGGCTTCGGAGTGAGTTGTTGGCGGCTAGCATTGCTAGGGATATTTCCTTGATTATTATGTGAAGGAGGTTGTGTAAGAGGTGTAGCCCTGCGTTGAGCTTCCATTAATGGAGTCCTGTTGCGTTCGATAAGTGCTGCCTGTTCAGCGGCACTGCGTGAATAGGCCATAGCAGCCGCGCTGTTTGAATACGTTGATGGAATGGGGCTGGCTTGGTTGGAAGGGAAGTTCGGATAATGGGTCGCTGACTGGCCTTGTTGTTGGAAATACCGAGGTTGCGTGCCAATAGACTGCGGGTTCATGTATGGCTGTCGCTGTGGAGTTTGGACATAACTTGTCGGCCTGTGAGGAGATGCAACGCTGGGTCGCGGTTGATAGTTTGCTTGAGGCACTGGTCGAGGGTACTGTGGTTGAGGTGTTTGCGATGGCGAGAGGCCCCTTTGGCTGGTATACGCGTTTGGGGTATTTTGGCTTGGTCTTTGGAATTGCTGTAGCATCCCGGCACGAGTGTATTGGGGTGCTGGCGAATTCTGTTGATAGGGTTGTTGTACATAGCGCTGGGAAGGTTGAGGTGTTGTGGCATACCCTTGGGAAGGATGAGTCTGCTGATATTGGATAGCTTGAGACTGTTGGCGAGTAGCATAACCTTGGGGGGATTGATAATTTGCCGAAGCGTTTCTAGTACGAGGAGGAGCGGGTTGGTATCGCTGATGCGGAGCAATGTTCGGGTGTTGCGGTGTCTGGTAAGTCGAGGCTCTTGGAGGATGAGTGCTGGGAGCTGGGGAGCGGCTGACAGCTTGAGGAACCCTGGGTGCATGCTTCTGCCGAATGGTCCATTCGTCCTCTTCCATCGTGCCAGCGTAGTCAATAGCGTCCTGTCTAATTGTTGTATTTATATTTAGCTCCGCGAGCTGATCCGCGTCCAGTTTAGCAACAGCATACGGTGGTAATAACGCTACCATTGATGAGAGACTTTGCTTTAGAGCTTCAAAGGTGGCTTTCTCTTCCTCCGAGGGTACGTCTGAGAGCTGGCCAAATGCATTGGAATCGATACTTGCGAGTTGTCCAGGCGGGGGGTAAAGATTGCGCAAATGACGATAAGAATGCAAGGTTCTCAAAAGATTAGAAATCTCGTCTAGAATTTGCTCAACATCCTCGTTGGAGCTCTCAGCATCGGTTGTTTTGTCCTTTGCGGGACCGTCCATGTTTATATCTGGATCAAAGGTTTCAATCGCTTGCTGTAGATCAGCATCGTTCAGGGGCTCCGGTTCTAGCGCCGTTTTCTCGAAAAGTTGTCGCACTGGCTCTACATCGTGCAGGTCCCAATCGGGGAATAAGCGATTGAACTGATCTCTTCCACGTTTATCCCAATATGCTAGGTATTGAATGTCCTTGCGCATAACAGCTCCTCCACTATCGTAATTCGGGGCGAAGGAAGAATAAACGGATCTAAACAGCGATTCCTCTGTATCGGAGCCTGCAACCCCGCTATCTCCACCAGAGGAAAAAGAACTTGTGAATTTAGCGCGAGATATCCCTCGACCATAGTCTAACCAGTGTCCTGGGCGCAACGGTTTGTTGTTATATAGCTTTTGACCGGAGAACGTTCTCGAAGAAGCAGCTAAGATATCCACAGGCTGGAGCCAGCGCACCACATTGTCACTAGTCGAAGGCTTACTTTTTTGCGGGCGTATCAGCTGAGGAAGATGAGATGGGGATTGAAAAACCTCGCCAAAAGTTCTCGTTACGCCCTTTTCTTTTTGGAAGTGGGTCGCGTTGTATGGGATGACTTTTGAAACCCTGATGTCGCTGGGTAGAGTAGATTCGTCAATGCGCGGGGATGGCTCTCCATCTGTTGTGGTCGACATAGAACGCGATGAATCTGTTTTGGTTTGGAAGCTTGAGAAATAAGTTCGCGGTGGGTTTCCGACCGTAACGGTGAGAATGGCTCGATCTTCTCGAGGAGGTAGCACGCGTAATGGGTACGCCTGAGATGAATCATCTTGGTCTTGTCCAGGTTCAGGCTTAACAATCTGTGACTGAAGACGCCTAGTTCTGAGAAGTAAGGTGTTTAGATGCCTCTTGAACGAGTTGGCTTTCTTCGAGCGTTCATTTACGCTTAATATTTCCAGGTTCCCTGGTTGACCTGGTGATTGTACATTGTCACTAGCAACCAGCCCTGAGACTGTTTCAACATCATCAGTGAACTCTTGTAGGGATTTGTATTCCTTCTTGTTGATTTTTGATTCAATGGTTGCCCTGCCTTCTGGCTCTGATAATTTCGTGCGCTTGTTATCAGGTTCTGAGTGTGATTTTGACGGTAGAGGGTACTGGAGTAACTTGAGCTCGGAATCATACCTGCAGGGTCAAGAGGGGGTAAGTCAGACATTGAACTTCAGCTAGAACAAAGAAAACTAAGGACATTACGCACTCAGATACAACTTCCAATATATCTCTGAGGGAGATGGCAAGGGAATCATCTGCAGGTTCACCCTTAGGAAGTGTGGGATCACCAGCGGATCCAGCAGGTTCAGTTTCTTGCGCGGATGTTGGATTATGCTTTCGTTTTGATGGCGTGAGGTATAATGAGGAGTCGGTGACCGGATCAGACAGGTCGCCATTTGAAGCTGGCATCATGGGCAAGTTATTCTTCTCCATGTTGCTCTGGAGCACAAAACACCAAGGGAGCCTTTGACGGGCGGCCTCCGGACTGATGGATTAGCCTTCCTCAATTAACCTTTCCACAGACTGGCCTCCTTGCGCAAGCAAGTCAATAGAACAAGAGATCATGGAAGACCTTCAGCTTGCGACACAGATTTTGGTGCATCAAAGGTCGCTGTCTTTGGTCAGATTTCTGGTGATGGCTGGTTGATAGGTCAGACAAAAGAGGTGTGTGCCTCCAGCTATTTTCCGCGCGTGTCGTTCACTAGTTCCTGATCGCAGAGTTATTTAGACGGGAGTTACAAGGGGGGAGGCGAGAGCAACAAACCTTAGTGTTCAACCACCTGGAAAGAGACAGGAGTAAACAGCAGAATACAACAAGACCACACTGATTATCCCGCAGAACAGCACTGCTTCAGGATGACAAGAGGACAAGGACGGGCACTCTGGCGGGTTTCCTGGAGCGTTAAACTCTGTTTGGATTTTCGGCTTTGCTCACTAAGCTATGCACGTGACATTGAGCAGTTTGTGCTGACTAAGCTGAATCATTGGTGGCCGGAGCTGCGCTTGGGCAGAGAAATTTCTCCAGCATCACCACCTTCTGTGCTGCGAGTTGGCTCTGGCGCCGAAACAACAGGATCTACGGCCTCCAATTGCTAGCGATTTTGAATTTGCCGTTCGATGGATGTCCTCAGTTCATAAATCCATCCGGAGCCATCTGGCAATTAGGCCTTTTTTGTCTGTGATTCGGCCAAATGCATCGTTCTGTTGGCAACGATGGGTAACGAACCACACTGTCCTTAGTCTATTTCTGCAAGTTTAACAGCTTTCTAGGGGCCGGCCGCACCTCTATGCGATTCTACATTTTCACCGAATTGCCCACACTTGCCGGGAGCTCCCGCATTTTCGTCCCGGCCGATCAAAGTCGCCAAAATAGATCATGATAAAGGCGAATGGAAGCAGCATCATCCAGATGGCGCGAACTTACACTTCAGGGAGACTCCCTCCGATGCATTGATCTCAGCACTACAGGCCAGGGGCCTAAACATAGATGTGTCCGAACCTAAATCCTACACTGTTGACTTGTCCTGGGTCAATCCCACCGGCCCAACTGACACGGAAAGGACGGCAAGACCCAAGTCGCATCAGGGCAAAAGTAGCCCAAAACAGTCCGCTCGCTTATCATATGCAACGATAGTTGCTAATTATATCCGTTATGTCGATCCTATTCTGTCGCCCGAATCCCTGAATCTCAAAAAATACAGTCTAAGCCTCCATCCTCTCGACGTCGTTCTTTTAAAGGTATTCGATAAGAAGACTATGGATTATTTGTCTCGGAGGGGTTATTCCGCTGTTGATGTAATGACATGGGCTTGGATCTTACTGTCACCTCATCCAGTTACTGCAGCAATGCGTTTGGCCGCCTCTAAGCGGTTTAATCCCCAAGCTGAGGCGTCTTCCAGCAGCCGTATTCCTCTATTCGTACTTTTGTTTACTCTTCGTCGGAAAGCTATCAACCTAAAGGCCCTCAACCTTTTATTGACTCACTCTTGGGATATGCTTCTGGATGTTCAACCTGGCAGGACAGTGCCTCAAACGCAGGCGGGTATTCAGCTAATGCCGAGTTCTCTCAAGCCGACATGGATGGTATCTGGAGATGATAATACGGTAATGATCCTTTTTGTTCGCCTTATACGAGCTGCTCGTCGAATTTCGCCGGAAGCACTTATGTCTATCTCTGACATGTTTACCTCTGTGTTTGGTTATGATGCTGTTGCGGAGACAATGAATGACAAACGGATGCGGCGTTTGGTTACTTACTACAATAAGTTTTTGTCTCTTCTGGCTGTTCCATGCAGAGTCGAGCCGTACGCATCTACCGTCATACAGCAGCGTTCTATTTTCCATTTATTGAGGGAAATGACAAAGTTTGACCCGCCGCTACCTGTTACTCGAGAAGGTTATCACGCCGTTACCAGGGTTCAGGGTGGCCGACCGAAGCTATCTGCAGAACGCACATGGGCAGAGTTCAAGGCTAAATCATGGCCCCCATGGAAAGAGGACAAGTTGGGAATTGACGTGGATAGGGGACTTGAGGGAAGTAAGAGTAAGACGATAGGTTCTATTACGCGGATGAAGGAAGCCGGCTACTCTCCAACACGATGGGACCGAATAGCCACCATTTTGGCCGGGTGGGATATCGACGGTACTCCTACGATTCAAACCCGATGCCTTCTTCCCAAACCAAATCCTTATCGGATGAGAGATCAACATACTGTATGGTTAAAAGAGAAGCGACAAGCGAGCAACGTTGATCTACTTCCGGGCTTCAGGTACGAAGATACGTACCACGATGTCTGGGCTGCACGGATCCGTGCGACGAGGACCATGAAGGAGGCCTGGGCTTGCTTCTTGTCATGTCGGGATCAAGGTTTTCGTATTACCAACGATATCTATTTTGAGCTTGTGGAGAAGGTGATATATCACGATTATTTACAAGACTCGTCTCGAATCCGCTCGACTGAGGCATTACCGGGTGACGGAAAGGAGGTATATTCTGAGCCATCCTCTCCTCGAGACGTAATCTACGTGCCTTCGGAGCCGCCAACGGTGGAAGCGCTACTTCAGCAGATGTTTTCCCAGGAGATAAAGCTCTCGAAGAGACTGTTAGTGCTAATCTTAACCCACTTGACTTCCTTTAAGTCAGGGCTGGAGTGCCTTGCCAATAGCGATTTGCCACCCCGGCAGATTCACGCATTGACATCTACTTTCAGCTGTGAGGATCCGAGCCGGAAGAAGCATCTCGATTCTGTCCGGAATGATATCTTCTCTGCCTTTATCCGTTTCCTTTGCAGATTCCCGAGCCATGAAGCGACTTCGTTGGGTAGCTCAAGCATACCACTTAGCCAAATCTTCCCTATCGCAAGGCCAACGGAAACTCGAAATAAGGATTTACGTGATGTTGAGGACACTGTAGCCGCTGCGGGAGGGTTATCGCATGCCATTTCTTTGGTGCGGCTACGAATGCCGGAGTATTTACCAACTTGGAGCTCTCTTTTGTCAAGTTTGGCTAACACCCGGCTCCCTGTCAGTGACAATCGCCTCTCTCTCTCGACACAGCGGGCACTGGCGTGGAGGGAAGTTAGCGAAGTTTTGAATTGGATGGAAGAAAAGAACATTAGTCTTGATGCCAGCTGTTTTAACTCTGTGTGTGAAGCTCTCTCAAGGTGGCTGCTTGCCGTACAGAATAACGAACGTGGAAGAAAACCGGGTTTAAAGATTTTACAATGCATTGGGTTTAGCACCACACACATATCAACGGACTCGGAAATGGCTAGCAATGGCGTCAGCCTGGTAAAGCGAAAATTTGACCAGATGGTCCTTTCGAGGGACGGGCCGCTTTTTCCTTCAATCACTGGAGATCCTCTCGCCTTTGGCTCGCCGAAGCATCCGGCGCTGCCAACAATGTTTGCCATCCCGAGTCCATCTACACTCCATGTGTTTATTCGTGTCCTTGCCCTGGCAGGGGACTTTGAAAGTCTAACGTGCCTTCTCGGGTGGATATCTCGAAATTCGAGCGACTTGCGACGAGTAACAAAGGAGCTTCTCGGCGGGGAGAGGTCGATGCGTCGCGCTGTGACTGCGGCTCGAGTGTACCTTGAAAAGAATGCACACAATATTGATCCTTTATCTGTACCGGGGTGTGAATCATCGAGTTCGAATTTGACAACCCAGTCAAACGAAGGTCCGAGAGTAGAGTTGATGTCCTCAATGCCGAACTATTTTTTGCAAAAGGCATATGATATCGTGGAAGACTCGGATTTTCTATCGCCATGGCCCACAGATGAGGAAGTACGTCAGTATATTGCTGAGCACAAGGGCTTTTTTTAAGATATTTGCGAGAACGGTGGACCGTCCCCGATCTCTTCGTTTGTTGTACACTGTTCCAGTTGTCCGCATCACTAGTGCGGTTTTCGGCCCTAAGTTGTCACATTAATGTATATTAGGCCTTAGATCTTGTATATACATAGGCTTTTTGTATAATAGTATCTAAAACTTTTGAAATTATGAAGATGTCCATTGAACTTGATCGTGGATATTTTTTGTCAATTCCATTTGTCCCGCCTTTAGCCGCCGTTCTTGGGTTGAGCAGATCACGGTCCCCATATCCGATCGGAGACCCGCGCCGAGGGCCATACACAGAGCTTCGGACAGTACATATGGGGAGTCCGCCCAGTTTTCCTTTGAATTTCTTACAGTCTCCAGGATCTCCGCCTTCATACTCAATTCCACAACCATGCCTCCTCGAGTACTCATTTTTTCAGCTCCATTGAGGCAATTGCCCTTCCGTCAGGTGCGCGGCAACGCCACCCTCGGCACCAGCGCGCACGGTGCCGTCATCAATGTCCAGCAGATCCCCGCCCCCGGAGCTGGCCACATCAGAGTACTGCTGTTGAACAGACCAGAAGCTCGCAATGCGATATCAAAACAACTTCTTAGCAGTTTGGGGGCGCATATCGACTCCATCAGCGCTGAGAGAGGCGTGGGTCCCACGCGAGCGCTGATTGTTGCAAGTAACGTCGACGCATCGTTTTGCGCCGGGGCGGACTTGAAGGAGAGAGCGAAATTCACGAGAGAAGAGTGAGTGTGGTAATCTCCTTGGTGGTCTACGTTTGCTTCGCTTTCCTACGAGAAGATTGGCTATGCTAGGAAAGCATTCGCCTCAAAAATAAAATTACATGCTCCTGTTGGCTTTTATGCGCAGTCAGGCGAACAAGGTATTGATTAAACGCTTTTTTTCCTTGCAGAACCGATGCATTCCTCGCTCAACTCCGACAAACCTTCGCAAACCTCGAGGCTCTCCAGATTCCCACCATCTCAGCCATCTCCTCCATGGCCCTGGGCGGTGGGCTCGAGCTCGCTTTGTCCACGCATCTCCGTGTGTTCGGTTCAACTAGCATCGTTGGTCTCCCGGAGACCCGACTCGCCATCATCCCCGGCGCAGGTGGCACGCATCGCCTTCCTCGCCTCATCGGCCAGAACCGTGCTCTAGACATGATCCTCACAGGCCGACGAGTCAGCGCACCAGAAGCCTACTTCATTGGTCTTTGCAACCGGTTGGTGGAAATTAGTCCGGAGGAGCAGGCTCAGGCGGGTGCAGCGAGGGAAAAAGTCCTTCACGAGAGTATTAAACTTGCGTTGGACATCTGTGAGGGAGGGCCGATTGCGCTAAAGCAGGCTGTCAAGGCGGTTACGGGTTACGAGAGGGGGCAAGAAGGGGAGAACGAGGCGTATTTGGGAGTTGTGGATACCGAGGATCGGTACGAGGCTTTGAAGGCATTTGCTGAAAAGAGGAAACCATGCTTTAAGGGCAGGTGATGAGGTCGAGAGCCAAAACAAGATCCAAGTTTCGAGAACCCCAGTCTCTTCGCACGGTAGGCGTGGTGCTTTCTCAGGCAATTATGCATTCAAAAATGTGCCTCATGTACTCAAAAGGTGCTTGACGATTCTCTTTAGGTGGCAGTCTACGGTGCTATCGCATGATACGTCTCCCGTGGCGACGCAACAGGCAAAAAGGAATGATGTAATATGTGAAACAGTCATGATGTTCGAGGCCGAGTGGCACTCCTAAGTGGCAGAAATAGCAGCAATTAAAATGCCAGCTACACCACTTGTAACAAGTTCAGCAGTGATGACGTAGTTAGCAGTCTCGAGATGATTTATAGGTCAGCAGCACCTTTTGTTGGACCCGATAATAACGAGCCACCGCATTTTTTGGAAGGCTGTGAGGGGGAGAGAGGAAGGTTAGAAAATGGGCGTTTAGTCGCCAGTCGTTCTCCAAAAGCCATGAAAATATGCATGCACGCAGAGACATGCTGTGCATCTGGAATTGAAGTTTGCTTCGACCGAGATTCCTGATTCGTAGGAGCCAACATGCGGCTTTGCTTGACCAGCACTTTTGAGGGTGCCAGAGGAGTGTTTGCTCAATATAAACGGCATACTTCTCTCTGGTCAGTCCTACCACGCAGTCATCATCTGAGGGAGACAAGACACAGCGCAGTAGCGCCCGGAAGTCGCATTTGTATGCCTGGAGGTGCCCCACAGAGCCTAGATATCAAATAGTAGTATTGGATATATCTGTTCGAAGGGTGGCATCGCATTGTCAAGTGGGAAAGCGAGTGATTGTCCAGAACGCATGTCGATGCTTTTCGAGAGCCGGCGGCTGACCGATCCAGTAAAAGTATTCAATTCCGATTCCCGTATCCACCGCTGCAGGAGCGGGCGACGGGGCATTTTGCGCTCCGTAAATCAGCCAGTATTTCCTTTGATACTAGAATGCCCTGATGTTTGGAGACGCAGGAGGCGTGCAGGAAGCAGCAGAAAACGCGTTTCCTTGTGGTCTTTTAGCCTCTTAGGGCCAAAGCGGTGCTGCAGCCCCAAAACACCCCAAAAGTATGAGAACTTGGACATTGATAGGCTCGTGCTGGGTCACTCAGCTTTGCGCCCTCTAAACCAAAATAGGTTTAACAAGTGTGTTAGCCCGGAGTTAGCGAAGTGACTTTTAGCAGGCTGAAGGTGATGTGACTAACGAACTGGCCGGTGCAGATCTTGATGATTCGATTTACTCCAAGTGCAGCCGCATAGATGACAGCGCTGCGTGCTTTGCACTGTGAATAAATAATACCATGGGCATAAATCACCTGTAGTTAATCTTGTGCATAATGGTGTCACTATGCCATCCTCTTCCCGGTGTTTTAAGATCTGGTGTTCCTCGGCTGGTAGCACATAGCACATACAACCATGCACACATGGAGTCCGCCCCTCACGGTTGAACTTGCTTTGGATCCGGGGCCGGGAGGGACCCAGAGACCGGGGTTGTGCGCCTCGCGGGGGTACAAGAAAACGACGAGGATTGGCCGACACAACGGGATGGGCTTCGAAGCGAGAAGGGAAGTTCGCAGCCAGCGAAGACATCCGAGAAGTACGAGAGTGCCGGTGAGGTCCCTTTGACTGGTACAGGGCGGCCTGGTGGTGGTGGGGTGGGCGGTTTAAACTTAGCACCAGAGTTAAGTTACCTGTTGGTTGGCGAGCAAAAAGCGGCCCCTTGAAGAGGCTTGTACCAGGGTGTGTGTTCTCCAGAGCAATGCCTCATTTTTGACTGGACCGGACAGGGCTGTGCGGCTCTTGCAGGAGCCTGGTGGGAGACGGGCGGTATGCACATCCACCTTTTCGTCGCGATGGTTGACTCGTGAGGGCCCACACCCTGATCGACCCTAAACGCCCGCGCCGTCTCAGCTTTCCCGCAGACGATGCTGAAAGGTGAGTAACTCTCGAAGGAGGGAACGTTGAGCGGGTGGTGGAAAACTCACTTCTACCAAGCTTCAGGCGAACCGACGGCTTAAGGATGACGGCCGATTAATGACTTACATGTTTCCCATTTCCGAAAAACGCTGCCTCTCGGGCGAAGTCCTCCATGGTGCCTCCGAGCAAAGCGTGACTCTCTGCGCTTTTTGCATTCAGGCACCTGACCAACCACCGCCGGGCGGGTTAGCTCAATGACGACTCGTCACTAACGCGTTCTCTGGCCCTGAGTCCTTCGTCTGCTCACAAGACTGTTTTGCACCGGAGTCAGGTTGCTGCCAGGGGCATCTTGCTTTGAATTTGTCCTACCCTGTACCGGCCTCTTGCTTGTCAACAGGGCTGGGATGTGGCGGCCATCTGATAAACGTATATAGTATTTAAACACCTGCCAGTTTACCCGCCTGATGCTTGGAGGTTTATTCCACTTCAGGATTAAACAAACATCGCAAAAATGGGCTCGACTCACAGAGAAAGGCCCCGAGTCAAGGAGTTCGGATTGTCGGAGGTCTACACTTCCCAGGACCCTCAGGTCGAGTAAGTGTTGCTGGCTTACCTGTTGTCACGACCAGTGCTAACAGTGTATGTTCTTAACCCTTCCAGCGTTGTATTTGTCCATGGCCTTAACGGATCAGCGTATGCGACGTGGGCGACAAAGAAGTCCGACATATTTTGGCCCGCAGACCTCCTCCCTCGAACACTTCCAACTCAACAGCTTCGGATTTTGACATATGGCTACGATGCTAATGTCTCCGCGTTCATGGACGGAACCTCGAAAGATAAAATACACAACCATGCCGAGCACCTAGCAGCCCACCTCTTCGCCAACAGAAATGTGAGCACAAGATTCTCCCCTGGAAATGGCATACCCTCTCGCTGACATACGTTTAAAGCTCAATGGAGCGGTGGATAGACCGATTGTCTTCATATGCCATTCCCTCGGTGGCCTGGTAGTTAAAAAGTGCCTTACGTTTTGCTCTAGAGTAAGGCACGAACACATTCAACATCTTCGATCTACATACGTATCAACTTACGGCATCCTGTTCTTGGGAACCCCGCATAACGGCTCCGATGTTGCCAAGTTTGGCAGCCTGCTTCAGTCGATATGCGGCGCTGTATTGCCAAAAAAATTGTTTGATACATCGCCTCAACTAATTCAGAGTCTTAAAACAGATAATGAACATCTGCAGATCATTAACCGTGACTTTGTTCAGATCATAGATAGATTTCGAATATATTTCTTCCATGAGTCGAAGCCCATGGACCTCAAAAGTACTCGTGCTTTTATTGTGGATGAGGCTTCTGCAGCCCCGTTGATGGATGGAGTGGAACGCATGGGGATCGAAGCAGATCATGGCAGCATGTGCCGATTCGAAGATAGGAATTCACCTGGCTACGAGGCGGTATCTGAAGCCGTTTTTCGTTATTCAAGGGACGCCCCCAAAATCATCCCCGCCAGGTGGGCACAGGAATATAGGGAACGGGCGATTGAAAGACAGGAGGAGGCGAGAAGACTCTACGGTAAGTCCTCCAGATGTTCACTCTTCAAAACTATTGGTAATTCTCAAATCTTCATTAAAGGTTTAAATGATCCACTGGGAGGAAGCCTGATTTCCCTACAAACAGAAAAATTTGATTCCCTAGGTAAGCTGCTAATCTCTGTCCCACCCTACTCCATCACTATTCAGGATGTGTTGACTTTCATATAAACAGCGAACAGCGTGTCTACCCTTTTACCAAATCCGCCATCTGAGATAGGAGAGATCCCTCAATCTCAGGACCCAGAAAAGGATCCCTTTATTCGCGTTGTGCCTCCAGGTTTCCACCCAAATTCTACCTTTTTTGGAATGGAAAAGGAGATGAATGAACTGCACAACCGTCTGTATAAGGCTAAAAAGAGGGCAACCGGTACCGCTTCAGTTCTCCTATATGCGGTTCCGGGCGCCGGAAAATCACACCTTGCGCGACAATATATGTACACCTATCAGTCTTTGTACCCTGGCGGCATCTTCTGGATTGACTGCAGAACGAGGGAGTCACGGTATAATGGTATTTGGCAGATTGCACAAATGGTGGACGAACTAACAGGGGAGAAAGAAAGCCATGACCCTAATTGGGGGAGCACTGGTGTCTATGTGGACAGTGTTCGAAAGTGGCTTGGGTCAAGGGAAAACTGGCTCCTCATTTTCGATGGTATCTCCTTTGAGCACAGCAAAGATATTGATGAATTCAAAAATGTGCTTCCCTATGCAAAAGAAACGGCCATCATTTACACGTCCGTCGATCGCAGTTTGAGCAAGAAGCAGAGGCTCTTGGAGCCATATGGACTCGAGGTTAGACGTCTCGCGGTTTCGGACGCATGCAAACTCCTCTACAAAGATTTAGGGATTAAACATCCCACCTCTAGGCAAGAGAGGAAGGCCATTGAGTTGGTAAATTACTACCAGTGCTTGCCTCTTGCGATTCACGCGATTGGTCATCGACTGAGGGCTTCTGGAAAGGCTTTGGAGAAATACAAATTTGGTTCTCATCTAACGGATGAAAAGCTGGCCGAGCCGTTCCGGGATATCATGAAAGACTTGGCCGAGTATCAGCATGTCGAGGCACTCAACCTCATAAAAATTCTTTCTTTCTTTGGGCATCACATTCCGGTCGGGATGTTGAACCTTGGGAGGAAAGCTCTTAATGCATACAGCGTTGAGATCCGAACCAGCGATCGAGGAGGCAGTAACCAACGGCATATCGACAATACTTTTACCACACTCATGAGGTACGGGCTGATTGAGAGAACATTATACTTGTATTCGTTGAACGATAATTTGGGCGACTCCGGTACTTTGGTATACTCACAGATGTCTTCCGATGCTGACGATTCCCATGCGAGCGACAACGATAATTTTTCCACCGCATCACGAAGCACCATAGAGACTGTCAAGATCCACACCGTCGTCCAAAAGTTTTGCCGTGACGAACTAACAGACCAGGGCGAAAGCCATTACTATTGGTGGCTCGCCCTCGCAACCGCGCTGTTCTGCCTGTCCTACGACAACGCGAAAGCCCAGATGCGGGCTACCAGGGGTTCAGGCCTGGCAAGGGACTACAGGGAGTATTTGACCCATGCAAGGCGCCTAATAAGCCATTTTCCGACAAAGTTCACGGGAGTGGCCATGAGCCTGCGAAATTTGCATGCGACGTTGAAGAAACTGGAGAGTGATATGCAAGACGAGATTGAAAATCGCTCCCCAGGATCTTCGCAGGAATCGTTCCGGAATCAGAAATCAATTTTTGACCGAACAAGCAGTATGTCCTCCGTCCCGGACACTCCTGATAGCCATACATCGGCATCCGCTTGGCCAGAAGGGTTCGAGGAAGTCAAGTCAGAGTCGCCTGTGGATATATATTTTCCTCATCAGATAGTACCATCAACCACGGACCCAAGTTTACACATACCTATCATAGCCGAAGAGGTGGAAAATCCAAGGGAGATCGAAGACGGAAGTTATACCTCAGGGCTGTCTCGCGTTCCATCACAGAACACTGAAATCCCGCAACTTACAATAGACGAAGGAGAAGAAGGGGACGAAGAGGGATGGCAAAAGGTGGAAAAACGCCAACGTGGTTGGATATCAGCTCTTGGTCGATTGCGAAGAGTCAAAGGTAAAAAGAACCTTGGGGACTTTAGACCTCGAGCGACCGTCTCGGTCACAGAAGCTCATGCTAAAGCCGAGGGCGCTATCTTGCCTAAGCCCTCGATAAGATCGATAGAAGGAAGATCCGATGCCGAGTCGTCACTCGCCGCAGTGCATCATTCGAGCCCCCCTCCTACCCGCGGAGGCGGAATTAAGCCTGCTAATCGGGCTGCTACTCAGAAAGACAACAGTCAAACTTACGCTTATGTTTTGGCTAATCAGCCAAACACCTCATTTGCAAGACGGTCTGCTCCCTCTCTGAGCAACCAGCAGCCTCCTTCAACGTCTTACAGCCCGGAGCTCGCCCAAGGCCGGTTAGAAACTCGCCGTGAGAGCATGCCTACATCAGGCCAGATGGATCGACCCTTTGACGCATTATCTCAGTCTACCCATAGCGACCCTGGCATGCCCGTGTCGTTTAGAAAGTCACCTAATCCCAATGTGCGCCACCAATTCTCGGGTTCCGCCGCGCATTCTCGAAACTCGTCAAGATCCACGGATCCTCCCGACAATCACGGTTATACACCTCTAGATCCGTACGACCCCCAAAGGGTCCTTGGTCCTAACCCCATGCCTCTTCCCTACCAGAGAGACATAGCCATTACATACGGGCCACAACATCCTGCGTTGTCGAATCTCTCAAGAGCGGCGGCTCCTCCTTCGCCCTTGGCGTCCCCGCCCTATATGAATCGGCCAAACTTCCCAATGGGCTATTTGCCGGCTGGCTATTCGTCGCAGCCCATGTCTCGCGACCACTCGGCGCAGTCAGAGCATTCTCTACGAACAGAACCTGCTAGGTTCCCGCCTAACTTCTCCCCGGCCCCTAACCCTTCTCCGTTTGGATACCGCGATAGAGCGCAGATGCCTTTCGTTGATACCAGGCGAGTGCAGCACATCATGTTCGGGCCTGGGGAATCGGGAGCTGACTCGTCTACAAATTCCCCTGTATCCTTTGAAGCGCCGGGTATGTCACGGGGCCCATCGGGGCCGGGTTTGATGGTGAACTCCGGTGATGGTATGAGTCGGAGTCTTGTGGAGTTTAGTCGTGTCCCAAACACACAGCATATCCAGTTCGGGGAGACCAACCCTGTTAATGTGGAAGCGGCTCGTAGGCGCGCAAGAGCGCCATATCCGAGTCACAATCTTATTCCGACCGGGAGTGACGACGCGCAGCTTCAGATGCTACTCAGTGGGTCGGGAGGGCCTGGATTCAACGGACCACCCCAAGGTTGGCAGAGGCAAAGAAGTGGGAGTTCTCCTGTGTCGCGGCACGACCTGAATGGGTTTGGTGTTCAGTTCCAATGAAGGTAATGACTATCTGATTATTACTGCACGATGTTTATGTTACTTGTTTTCAGGCCCTTTGAAGTGGCTGGATTTTGGAATACCTGTTTGTGGTTGGCATACATTAAGTATAGGGCATGGTTTTTGGACAGCATAAAAAATTATGTCATAGCAGGATAAAATACACCATGAAAGGGTGGAGGGGGATGCATGGAAATGTTCTTGATGGGCCTTGGGGTTTATATACTACATTTTGTTTTGGAGGGATACTGCAAGCTATGAGGTCATTTGTTATGGGTTTGGAGTTAGGACTGGTGCTGATCTTTAATATATTGTTGTATTGTTTTAAGGCGTTACTTTTTTTTTGGCCCCCACCTCCTGTTTGGATATGAATAGAGAGCTACATAATGGAAATAACACTGGCTTGAGTAAAATAGCATATTGCATATTGAATATTTCAAAAGGAGCTTATCGAGAGCTATATCTGCATGTAGGCCGTTGAGGCTTCGAAACTTTCCTCCAGCTCCTGTTAGTCAGCAAACCTAGTGAAGGGGGCGAGATTGGCGAACGCCAACGTTCATGACGTCGTCGGCTCTGGAAGCTTGCCAGGATTCGCTGCGGAGCTGGGAATGGCGAAAGTGAACACGGAGTATAAAGGCCCATCTCTTGCTTCAAGAAGGACTTCCCTCAAGATCCCAGTCCAAGCCGTTTTAAATCCTCATCAGCATATATCTGCATCACGGTGTGTTACCAAGTTGACCAGAAGAATTGTGTATGTTCCCCTGTTGCCGCTGCTGCATGTATACGAAGCGTTGAGCTGCAATTTGTCTGAAGAATAGACTGCTTTGGCAGGTGTCTAACATCACATTAGGCCCATCTCCACCAACATGGCTTTTGTTGCACGTTTCTCTCCAATTACCAGATGCTCTCTTGCACCAGCAAGATCAGCTATCTTTGCGGCTTCCAGACCAGCTCTCTTTTCCACCACTACCCAAAGAGCTGATAGAGGACCCATCGAACTCACCAAGGATACCCTCAAGAAGGCAGATAGGATAGTGTCTAATGCTGCCGTGAGGGGAATAGAAAAGGGCGGTATGTGAACGGTGGATGACCAATGACGAAAAAGGGTGGACACTAACTAGAAATACAGAGGAGGCGAGTCACAAAATCAAAGAGACTTTCAGCCATGGCGCAAAGCGAGCTGGGCATGAGGGAACGAAGGCTGCTGAAAAGGGGAAAGAGGCCGCTCAACAGGCGAAAGAAAAAACCATTGATCTGGAGGAGCAGGCGAAAGCGGAGGCGGAGGAACTGACCGGGAAGGCATAATTTGAACACAGAGCCGAGCCGACGAAAGTTTATCGATGTATGAATGTCCCTTTGTGTCGGCTTTTGGCCTTGCCTGACAATTGAAATGAGATCACGATGTATTATATGTATCTTGCAGTTTTGCATCTTTAGATGTCAAAAGAATTGACATCGAATAACTGGAGAAAATGAACCAAAACTCATAATTCGTTCAATCCGGTGGCGGAAGCATAAGCACATATTCCCTCGTACTCAACCCGAACTTCAAAACGTCCTTGTCCATAAGTTCCATATACCGTCCTGGAGGCGCAGCGTCGCCGTTGACACTTGATCCATTGGCACTTTCTAGATCGATCAAATATGGCCTGACGCGTCCGTCTCTGTCACCAAATTCATTCCGCTTTTCAACGTATCGGAATTGAATCGCGGCGTGCTGCTTGGAGCAACTTGGATGATCAATAGGTAGATCTGCAACAAGCCTCTCTCTTCCGATGAGCCAGCAGCTCCGTGCACCTAATTCCACTGTTTCTAACAAATCTTCTCCTTTGAACACGTAGAGTCTCCATGCATTTTTGGCAGGAGGTTTCCTCGCCTCTGGTGGTTCGTGGTATTTAAGAACGATGCTCCCTTCGCCGACTCTAACCGTATTTGTTTCTGCGGCCAAACGACCTGTGTTCGCGAAGTTCGGCTTCTCTTTGTCTGGCGCCGGAGTAGCTACTTCTGAGAGCTCTCGAGGAGTTTTGGAGAAGGCGTCATTCTGAGATGGGAGGGGTTTTCTGGATCGTTTTGAGGAAGGAGATATATTTCGCGAAGGTGAAGCGGAATCATGACGTCTCGGATGACGAGGTCGTGGTGATCTGCTTGAATCACGCCCATCGCGTCGACGCTCTTTCGAACGTCTGCGGTGTCTCCGCGAAGAATCCTCATAAGGGCTTCTCGAACGGCTACGGTCTCGGTAAGACCTGCGATCCTTTCGATCCCTAGAATGCCTTGAGGGTCTCAAGCTGGAGACCGATCGTTCCCGTCGATGTTTGCCCCTATTTGACGATTTGTCCTCTCTGTCGTGTGCCCTGCGATCCCGACCTCTGCTTCGATCTCTGGCTATGCGGGCTTGGTTGTCAGGCGAGTAAGAGGGCGATTTATGCCGATAGCCGCAAGGTTCTTCATCGTCATATCTGGGCATCTTTTGCAGGGAAAAGGGTCAAGTCGCTGTCCCCTGGAGGAATGTTGGCGGTCTTCAACCGCGATTCACGTGGAATGTCTTGAGCACGTATGGAAAATTACGCCGTTACCGCTTGTGGAGGCCCATACAGCGGCCCCTGGGAAAGTAACGTTAGTTAACTAAAGCATACGCGAATTATTATATAAGCGCGAGTTGGGTCATCGGGGTCCATTCATGCTGGACGATCCGCTTGCAAAGCCGGGAAGAGGGGCGCTCTCGGGATGCACGCACAAAATCGTCGCTGGTTCTGCCACATTGTCCAGTGGGCGTCCATGTCACGGTTCAGCCACTGATGCCAATCACCAGCATGTAGTCATGTTCAAAAAACCGTCTCTACTCTGCTCCTGTTGTGGCAGCATCCAGCTGCTCAACTCGCCTTCCTCGATTTCGCCGCAATCGGCCACCTCATCCCGACGACGTCCGCATCCGTTTCGACTGCCTAGGCGCTTCGCCCATGTTCACAGCACGAACCCTCTTGGTCCTGAGAGGGACTTCACCTGGCCAACTTCCCCTACCTTTTCGCCATACGAGTTATTCAAACTAGAACGGACCGCTCCCTATTCGAAACGGCTTTTCTACGAACTTGCCAAAATCTACCACCCCGACCGGCCATGCAATGGGCATCCATTGTGCAAAGATCTTCCGGAATCAGTCCGCATGCACAGATACAGGGTCATAGTGGCGGCTCACGAACTCCTTTCCGATCCATCGAAGCGTGCAGCATATGACAGGTATGGCGACGGATGGCATCAGCGCCGCGAGCTCTTCGGCGTTCATGCTAAAAAGGAGCCCCGCCAATCCACCACGGTCCGCTATACCCACGGCAGGAAGAATTCTGGTGAAGACATATTTAGAAATGCTACCTGGGAAGATTGGCAGGAATTCTACGAGAAACGCGATGGACGACCGAAGCAAGCCCAGACGGTGTCTCATAGCACGTTCGCGTCGTTTTTATTCCTCCTAGCGCTGTTCGGTGGCATTGGTCAGGCAATTACCGTTGGAAAATATTCGACGTTTGTACAGGACAAAGTGAAAAGTGTCAATGAAAAATGTGGACAATTGCTTGACGGCCGAAGACATGACACTAGGGAGCATATGAGCTCCCAGGATGCCAGGGTTCAGAGTTTCCTAATGAAGCGAGATCCATCGGGCTACGGGTTGAAGGAAGAAGAGGAAGAAACCTACCGACGCCTTCTCGGTGCACATCGGACTACTGATGTTATAAATGATATTGACTCGATGAGAAATGAGTCAGAATAGAGGCGATGCGGGTTTACAGAATTCCCGTGGAAGCAATATTATGATTTTGGGTATTGTTGGCGAATCAAGGCGAACGGTGGGATCTCCGCTCTTACATAAATACTCTCTACCAGGAAGAATACGGTTGCTATGGATGTCGACCGGGGCCCGATGATTTCCAAATCTATACGGTTTGATATCGCGTATATATCTTTGGCCTGAATCAGCTGCTGAACTTCCATTGTGTACATACAAGTTTACAAATTTTAACCGGACGGGTGTCGGCTATCTCATTTTCTTCGTTTGTGATGTTGGAGGAATGCCTTTTCTTGTCCGTAGAAATCTTCAAACCACGGTATTATTGGTTTTCTCACTGCAGCATATTGGGCACTGGCGAAGTTGAGATAATAATACGATATTTCACATAACCGGAACGATCCAGTACCGCCAGCCATGTACTCCGTAGCCGAACAAAAATGTCTGACAGGTGTATTCGGTCTGTGCCACTTCAACAAGGCAGGTTTTCCAGACTGTACTGTTCATACGACGTACATACTTGCTTGTTCTATGTCCCGATAATCTCGCTATGCCCTTCTAAAAGGCATGGTCACAGTTTGCAGCAATGCCGTCTGTGCTACGAATTATGGAGCGAGTGAATCCGTTGACTCCCCCAGCCAACTGACTCGCCAAAATCAAGCTCAGGCACAACCTTCCAGCGCAATGGTGGCTGCGGGACCTGGAAGGCTATTTGCTAACGAGCTTGTCCTCTCGGGGTAAAGCGCAACACCGAAAGTACCAGCCATCTTACCGAGTCTACAGGCAGGGCCCACGCAGGCTTAGTTGCATATGGAGAAGTGAGGTACGAAAGAAGTCCAGAGCATCCCTGCCGGAGCACATGCTTAGTCCCACCTTGCCGACGAGCGCGAGGGCCACTGTCCTCCGCAGCAAGAGTCCCTAGTACGGGGGTTTATCTTTCTTTTCCGTCCGTCGAAGAGCCTTGAAAGTAGGTCTCTCCTTGAAATAGCGTCCGTCTTTACCCAAGTCCGCGCAACTAAGACGGCAAGATGGACCGAAAACTCAGCTTCGCTCTTGTCCGACAAGTTTTCCAGCGAGTTCCGCTCGTCCTCAAGACCGTCGCCCTCAATCTTCTTCGCCTCTCTCCCGCCGGAGGAAAGCAAGATCTCAAGCTGGAAGTCTCCGTAGGATTTATTCGATCCTTCTTCAACTTCTCTGCTTCGTCTCTCCAGATGCAAAAGCGGAGCGTGAGAGACCCCGGAAAGAAAGGGTACATGTGGGTATCGGCAGTGACGATGCCAAACCCCCCCGAGAATGACGTGCTCCAGGCATTGTTGAAGGCAATAGAATATCATATGGACGGTTCGGAGACGTACGAAGTTCCGAAGGTGTGTGATGTTGAGGCAGAGTGGAATGGATATAGGCAGGGAGCGCATGCGAGGACTCCGCAGCCAAATATTTCTGAGGAGGCTAAATATGCAAGATTGATGGAAGATGTTAACGAGGATCTTACCATTCTTTATTTCCATGGCGGCGCTTATCAGTATGTTCCTTCTCCGGGAAACGCTTTGTCTGAGTTGGAATTACTGACGATGAATGCAATTTGCCCAGCATGATGGACCCATGCACCCATCGTGGAGTGACGACGAAATTATCCAAACTAACCGGTGGCCGATGCTTTTCCGTTCGATACAGATTGGCACCTCAAAACCCGTTCCCAGCCGCGGTATTAGATGCCTTGGTCGCATATCTGTCTCTCATCTCTCCTCCTGAGGGTGCTTTCCACGACCCCGTCCCCGCAAACAAGATTGTTCTAGCAGGAGACTCGGCAGGCGGTGGCCTCTCTCTTGCTCTTGTACAAACCCTTTTAACACTTCGCCGAATATCTCCTACTTATACCATTCACTTTCATGGCAAGGACATCCCCGTTGAACTACCCGCTGGCCTGGCCTTATCAAGTCCCTACTGCGATATCACGCGATCTCTTCCATCAGTATACCGTAACTCCAAATATGACTATATAACTCCTCCTCCACAAACGCCTGGGTCGCTCTATGAGCCGTATCCATTCCCGCCAGACGCAACCTGGCCTACAGACCCACCGAGGGTTGAGATGTATGCGAATGCCAGCATGTTTACCCATCCCTTCGTTTCACCTGTTGCCGCTCCCAAGGACACATGGAAAGAGATGCCGCCTATCTTCATAACTCTTGGAGAGGAGTCACTCGAAGACGAAGGTATATATCTGGCGCGCAACATTCACCGCGCAGGTGGTACTGTGGTGCTAGAGCGCTTTGAAGCTAAACCACATTGTTTTGCACTAATTCTGCCCACCACAGAGGCCGCTAGGCTGTGCTTTCAGAGTTGGGCCGAGTTTTGCACCTATGCAGTGCAGGGTCAGGTGCAGAAGACAGGCAAGGCGTTGTTCCTGGATCATGCTGTGCGTCATGTTGAGAGAAAGGAGTTGGACAGCTTAGGAGATCTAAGTGAAGAAGAGGTGCAAAGGAGGGTGGTTGAGGGGAAGAACTGGAGGTTGGATGGCGAAAAGGAGTTAATCAGGAAGTGGAATAAGAGGGCAAAGCTTTGAGATTTGGGGTCTTTGGCCTTTGATCAGGATGTTTGGTGGTGTTTATGGCTTTGGGTTAATTGAAATAGAATTCCTGCGGGCGTAGTGGGCGTACGGGTGGCCCTTTAGAAGATTGCGTAGATACCATACAAGTAACAGCATTTAAATGATGTAATTTAATCATTGTTGATTGTATTCCAACCGGCGCTATCGAATACATATGCAGTTACAAAAATGTAGCTAATAAATCTCCGCGGACTGTAAATATATCGCGCGGGTATCACATGTGCTCTGCCAGACGATTTGCACCAGAATATCAATGGATGCGTATCCAATTTACCCCAAAACTTAAAAGAATCAAAACATCCAGGACGAGAAGGTGAATAAGAAGCATATCTCTCCCCGGTTTTTATAAAATAGTGTCAGCGTTCATGCTCAGGTCCGGGTCCGCTCCCACTCCTACGCCCACGCCGCCGCCGGTGATGCCATCACCGCCACCACCAGGCTCCCACGCAGCATTTGGCCGAAAATGCCCTTGTGCAAGCGGCTCTCGCCTAAAGAACTCCGGATAAACGTCATGGTTGTATCTCTGTATCCAATTCTCCCCGTACCATTCATCCCCATACATCCAATCATCGAATAACCGATCCCACATCCCTAGTGATACACCAACATATCTCACACATGAAAAAATGGTGTCTCGAATTGGTACCCATATCGCTGAGAGATGGAGCCAACGCCATATCGTGTGAGGAATCGCGGTGGGCCACTCAGGGTCTCTAGAAGCGATAAAGCGTGGTTTGTTGAGGAAGGAAGGGTGGTAGCGGTATGTTTCGATGATTGCTTCGAAAATCTGCCATATGAAAATGATTATAAGGGACCATCCCAGTCGGGTAAGTCGCTGTCGTCCTGTGTCCGGGTCACGGCGCCAGATACGAGGGATTGGAATGGCAACGTAGCGCAAGCCATCATCGTGAAAGCCACACGATTCACACGTTCCGTCTCTGTGAATATGGGACTTGGTCTTTTGAAAATCCTGAGATTGGCGAGTAGCAAGGAGTGCAGCCTCTTTTACAGCCTTATCCTCGAGACTAACAAGGCCCGCTTTGGCCTCATTGATATTCTGAACAAGTGACTGGAGCTTAGAGTTTAGTCGGTCGATCAAAGCCTCTTCGCTCTCTTGGTCAGCTCTGATCTGTTCTAGAGCATTCTGCTCAATGGTTTCGACCTTTTTTGACGGTTTTGATTCGATGCTACTCGTTGATGAAGATTCCAGAAGTTCTTCGAGCGATTCAATAGTATTGCCTCCAAGAGCAAACTCGCCTTTTCCAGATTTTACCTCTTCAAGCACCGCGGCTAATGCACTCTTTGGCAAATGTGGCCTCTCTAGTTTCATCAGGGAGGTGCGTTTTCGCCGTACTTCTTTCGGAGAAGGTTCTTTCTTCTCTTCTACCGGCTCTGGCTCTAATTTAGGAGGTGCCTCTCGTGGAGGCAAGGCGGCTTTCGACGCTTCTTCTGGAGGGTTATTAGGCCGTTTTGTTAAAGGAGTATCGATCCAGGCCCCCATAACGACCGGCGTCTTTGGGTTAAGTGGTGTATTAGAGACAACTTTTGCTTCTGGGGTATTGGTGATGCTTGGGCTTTCCTTCCGCACGAGTCTTCGTAGGAGATCTTGGGAATCTTCCTTACTGAGTACTTTGGGCTTTTCGTAATCCATACTCGTAGGTATTACGGCAGGAGATCTATTTTCCACTTCGCTGCGCGACGGTTTTGTTTCTTGTTGCTTTGGAGGAGAGCGAGCTGCAAAAACAGGTTGACCTATTGGTTCCAGCTTCTGCACTTCCTGTTGATATTGTAGGCCATTCCGAACTGGAGGGCTATTGGAAATCTGCAAGGATTGGCCTGTAAAATCGAAAACATCATTCTCCGAATCATGATACAATTCCAGCTCTTCTGCATCGGCCATGTAGTCACCCTGTACTTCCTGCTTGGTTCGATTTAACCAATCATTCGTAGCTCTACTCCGTGTTCCCCATGTTCTTGGAATGTTTAATGGTGGGTTTCTGCCTTCGTCGACCATCCCATCCTCTACTCCCTCTTCTTCCCTCTGAATCTCCTCGTCTCGGCGGGTTAAGTTATCAACTGATAGAGCTGCCTTCGAACCCATTCTCGCCCTGCTAAACGCTGGTTGCTCTCCGCCTCGCATCCGCTTCAAGCGCTGCTCGTCTTTCTTGCGTTGAAGTGACCTCCTTCGTAGGTCCTCGTCCGAAACCTGTTCTAGATCATCAGGTTCATATCCGTATGTATTTCCAGCATAATTCCCCATTCCTATATCACGATGTCGAACACCTGGACTCGGAGAACAATTAAACATCTGTTCATCTCGTTCGCGCCTTGAAAGGAGGTCAAGGTCGTTTTCATTCAGATGCTCTGGCAAATTATCCGTGTCGTCCGTCCGTCGATATGTCTCAACGAATTCATTCCGGGGGCTAGAAGCTCGGGATGCAGGAGAAGTCACTGATGGCTTTTTCCCCTTCCCTTCTATTGTATACTGTCGCGGGCTTCGTTTGGAATTATCCGACGCGCTCGAGCGCCCGGCAGTCGCCTCAAATGCGCCAGTGAGGGTTCGCGTCTTGGTAAAGGTGACCCGGGACCTTTCGCCATTCCGAGGTGATAACGTAGGTATTCGGGAGGTAAACGAGTCGGTTCTCAGGTGTGAAGATCGATTTCTGCGGGGAGACAGATTGCTGTCGGCGTCGCGTTCGTCCAAGCTCTGCTGGAGTCGGTCGAGGTTCGACATGTCGGGCGGAAACGATTATAATAAGCTGAGGATATAGATTAAATACATTGCGTCAAATCCAGTGCCTCATCGCATCCTTTGGACCTCTAGCTGTCCAGTGGCAAGTCTACCCTGCCTGCGCCCTTTGGTGTTATCGCCCAACACTCGCGTCAGTTCCTTGTCCGCCAGATTGATACGATTTGTCCTAAAAGGGTTTAGCGGGTGATCTTAACTGCACAAACTTGCTGTTCTGTCTATCCAAGTCATTAGCTCATAACAAAGAACAAGGAATAGGCAGCTCTACTGATTCATAGTGTTGCCCAGTGCGTGTTTCATTGATAGTTATTGATGGCACGGATTATTGGCGAATCCACAATGCTTGTATGACATTATTTACAAACAAGATAGCTAAACAACAACTAGTCCACCAATATAGTGCTAGAACGCGCTGAAATCACTCGCTAAGACCTAGAACGGCTGTTTCCTCCTGACTTGATATAATGTGCATTGGAGGAGACACGGGGCGAACCATATATTGGCTATATATATACTTGTTTTCCTCAACTGTCCCCAAACAGCTATTGCTCCAGTTAGAGAGCAACCAGCATCTCAATACATGCTCAGATTGAACGGACAAACCTTTCTGCCCATATATAATCACCACTGTGATTGCCAGCCTTCAAAGCGTATGTGATTCAGTATTTCAGAGGATCATAGGCTGCACAATTTATTTCCTCAAGATTTGTGCCTAATGGGAAAAAGTCCAAGAACGAAACCTTCAAAGGTTTCCTTCTAATCACCTTCCGCCAACAATTTGATAAATGGGCCACAGGGGAAAAAGGTTATTCAGGCAAGGTGCATTAATGTAATTTTTGTCCCCGGAAGTTGTGCCTGAACACTAAACTGCATCAAACTATCTCTGGGCAGAACCTTCATTACATTCCTGTATATATTATTGATCTGGACAGTGGTGTTGTTGTATGTTGTTGCGTGCCCACAATTCTGTTTTGATAATTCTCATTTGTGGAATTCTCGCAATCTTTCTTACTGCTGATGATTAATAGAGCTGTCACTTTAAAGTCTCGTGGCATTATCATCACTCATGCCACTCTGATCAGATGCTGAAGTTGTGTCTCTGTGATCTGAAGAATGGGAATTAAGCAGTAGAACATTACATATTGCTAAGTCTGGCTCTGTATATTCAAAAGCATCATTCTTCACTCCATTCTCATCTCTTGGGGGATATGCAAGGGTGCTCTTGCTAACCTTCGTGTTGCCAAACGTAGAGTAACATGCCCTTCCAACATGAGCACCACCCACCACTCTCTACTTTTGTTTTGCAGGTATGGCTGGTGAGCACTGTGTTAGCCCAAGAAGACTCCTTTAATATCAGACCCCGGGTTTAATGTTATCTCTTGTTTGTAGGAGTTGCACATACTCTATATGGCTATGCCCCCGGATGTGGCATTTGTGGGTATTAATCAAACCACCAATAGTTAAGCAGCCGGTCAACAAATGGTTGACTAGCGGTGGCTATCACAGTTGAGGGTACGGAGTACAGGACCTGAAATGAAGTACTCTGCATTCCATACAGGGCATTCCATATCCCATACAGGAGCGGGTAATGGAGCAACATAGCTATTAGCCAGCAAGCATGAAGTCCATACACGTCAGGGTTCTCACTCCCCAATCATAGAAATTTCAAGACAGCACTACCGCAACTCCAGTGCCCAAACCTCGGGGGGTTTCGTTTTTCCAAATAGGTGTGTACAAGCGCCTATAACATTTAGTGTGTCTTTAACCAGGTGCTCGAAAGTGTGCAGTCAGCCCTACTACTATTAGTTGCCCTATCAACTACAGTGATGAAAGGGATACGGAGTACTCCGTACTCCGTACAGAGTCCTATGACATACGCACTTGAGTTTCACAAGATCTTTTCTTCGCACGGAGTACGGAGTACATATATGATAAACAGCTATCAGATAAAGCAGTGATATCATTTAGTCTGGGGCATCAAGGTCCATGAAATGGCCCAAATGCGGCTGTTGAATACTGTCATTGGATGCTCGCAGCCTCAGGTCATACAGTTGCGTCCGACCTGTGCCCAAACCTGGCCTGACGCTAATGAGCTCGGTTGACAATTGGACTGTGGGGTACTGCACTCCGCCAGTCACGCACGGTTCAGCCCTGAAGAACGCCCAGTTCGTGAGTGAAGGAGTTAGTTATCAACTCTGCCGAATAACCACTCTACAAATCGCCCACAAGAATTTCGGCCTCAACGCCATGCTAGGAGTTTTAGCCACCCTGCGGAGTACGGTGGACAGCCTGGCTGAAAGGTGACACTCGAAAACCCGGAATTTCTTCGCAAATCTGTCTGCAAGTATCGTAAGTAACCGCCACTCGCCCGAAGAGAAAGGCTGAAGCTATTCCCCCAGAGCAACTTCTAACGACGAGGGCATGGAGACACTGGCCCGAGGTCTGGACCTCAATTACGAATGCCGGGGCGGAACAATAATACTCCAGCTCACCACGTTGAACCTTGTTGACAAGCTTCTGAGAGGTCGGCTGAAGAAGCTCAAAAGAAGATGCTCTACTCCGTACTCCGTATGACAACTTCAAAAGGAGCCTTAAGAGATTCAGATATGGCAATTTGTTAAAATCGATAAGTCAACACGCCGAAACACTAATCCAATAGTGCGTATTGGATGAAATTTGGTATTCGCGAATATCGCCCAGCCCGCGAGCTTAGTCGGCCGTTATGGCGAAGCCAACGAAGCGAGCATCAAAGCAAACACCAATCAATCCAGGTGCAAAGCAGGCCGATAATTTTGAAACCCCGGCAGCTTTCACGCAAGCCCCATCCTCACTTACTCAATTCCTTGAAAATCTCTCACCCGAGCATGTCTACCTCATTCACCTAGATCGCCAGCCAAAGCTCGAAAAGCACCAAATCTTTTTCGTCCCCCTTGTCCTGAATAGTGTTATACTCGCGCTCGTTATTTACAGAGTGTATATCGGCATATTCACATACCCGGATATCCTCATTGCGATCCTCGGCGGCGATAGCCCCGCGAGAATAGACCCCAAGAGATCTAGTTGGAGTCTGATATCAAGCGTGCTCGCCCAGCGAACATTCACATTCCTATTCGACTACCTTCTTATAGCACTCTTTCTTCCCTGGCCGGTACGATTTATCACCGGTCCCGTCCGATGGCGTCTGAAAGTCGGATTCCAACGCGTTGAAATCGTGGTGCGCAAGAGTCGTGCATGGAGCGAAACTTTGAGACGAACATGGATCCGGGACGACGACGGTGCGATGAAAGAGCGCATTATACCGGCCATCACGCCCATGCGGCTTCGAAAGACGGGATATTTGCTTATAGATGCGGATTGGGATCTTGATTTTCCGTCGATGACTCGGGCATATGACGATGTCAAGACAGGCAAGCTTAATTTCGGAGATTTTGAAACATGTGTGATAGTCCACGGTGGTGGAAATAAAGGCTGGCTCATCTGGCGCGTGGAAGACCACGAGTTTGCCCATCGTTCCGATCCGTCTATGGAATTAACTCCCTCGGAACGCGGTAAGATCGTCGCATTTAAAGATAAACTTACATCCATGGGGAAAGAGGATTTGTTTTTCCGCTGGGTAGAGATAATACAGTTTGAGAGCACGCAGCCGGGGGGTTTTACAGCTGAAAGGCAGCAGAAAGCCATGCTAGAAACGAAGGAGCTTTTCGAACAGCACGGAGTGGATTTTGAACAGTTCTGGTCTGAGGTTGGGGGTATGCAGGGCGTATCCTTATGAGTTTGGAAAAGAAGCAAGAGCATTAAGCGCATGTTCTATGGAGAACATAGACTTAGATTTTCATGTTGAATTTTCATGGATAGAAGAATAATCCTGTTACAAGCATTGTAATACCATGATCACTTCAGCCCCTGTTGAGCGCTTCTCCAAATTGCCAAAGAGAAAATCATATTGTTCACTTAGGAGGAGTTGGCTGGTCCTTTGCTCTCGTAGCAAATTTTTGCAATAATCCAAGTGATCGCTTCAACTGTTGACTAACTACTAAGATTTATGGTCCTTCACTCAAAGGTTCCATTCTAAAGAAAAAGAGAAAAAAAAAATCATAAGAAAATGGGGTATACATATCACAGAATACCTTCACTGCTGTATCAATATTCAACAAACAAGCCAACTAGAAAACGATATCAGCGCTAGAACGCAGCAAAGACGACGAATGTTGGAAATTGAGCCTCTCAAGTAACAAGCTACGCCAAAGCTTCGACCAACCGAAAAAAAAAAAAGGAGGAAAAAGAAAAAAGGGAGGCGGGAAGGGGAACGTATGCAGTCATAAAGGTTCATCACATGTGTCCTAAAGGATATATACTTTAATGGAATATTCGTTTTGGCTTTATGGCAAGACTATTTTTCAGGACGATGCATGCTCTCCTACCCTCAGCCGGTTGTAGTGGAGGCTTGCGAATGAAATCGTCAAGATATGCGTTGTGTGTTGTCGAGGATTTTTTTCGTTTTCCAGTTGAGAGTTTTCGACAGTATAAGCCGCGAACAGTCAAAGCTCTATGGCCGACTTGATGGCGAAATGCAGCCGCAAACAGATATACAGTCAAGCGGTCGACAGCTTGTACCTCAGCGAACAGGAGTATGTCTTATTAGGTCTTCCATGTAGTAAACAAAACCAGTGGCATCTGCAGGAGGAACATATCAGTACACACTCAAGGACTTGGAAACTACAAGACCTCAAGTTCAAATGGGAACGATTACGGATATTTGACTTACCTCCGTCTGTCGTAAACGTAAGGACATGCTTTCCATCCCGAGTTCGTGGCGGAATATACTCTTCCGAATCGATAAATGTTATACGCTGTAGTTCTGACAAATAAACTGTCTTCGGTCCTGTCCTTCGAAGCCAGGACTTTTTTCGAAAATAGGGGTGTACAAATGCCGTCCAGACGGGCACTCTAATAGACCAAGGTCAGGACAACTTTGTCATGCGTAATAGGGTAATACATTATCTAGACGTACCTTTTTAAGTCGCCATCGAGGACCGTAGCTTGTAGCCTCACCGCTTTAGTTTCGTGGTCCCGGAATACCCTAAGAGCATGGGCGAAATTGTCGTCCACGATTTTCCTATTAACATCGATTAGGATATAAGTCCGAGCATGATTGAATTAGGAGCCCAAATGCACGCACCCAGCAAAAACCTCAAACTCGCCGCATAAATGGTAGTCAGGAATATTCGAAATTGGTTTACTCGAGTCCTGCCCTCGAAGCGCAAGGAAAGTGCAAAAGAAAACAACCATCTCTGCAAAACTTGTTATCAAGCAGACCAAAAACGAGTGCGGGAATGGGACATACTTTCGATGGAACTAAACTGAAGATTCGCCCACGCTATCATTTCATCCGGATCGGGACCTTTTTGGCATAGTTGGAGGCAGGAACCCGAACGGTATATTTGTAGTGAAGTTATGGGTATGGTGGAATATACAGTGCGGCGCTTGGAACTCCGCACCCTGCATACAATTCTCGTTCGGTGGTCCTCCGCTCTTTGGTAAAATAACATAGTCAATTGTGGCTTTCCAGGAAACTCACTGGTCAGGGAGTCAGCATCAGAACGAAAAGATTCATACAACAATTCATAACATACAGATGAAATAAGGAGTAGTACTCCTGGGCCAGATGCTCCTTTACACCCGACATGATGGGACCGAAACATTTGGTACTGCGAACAGCCAATTAGCCGGGACAAGGAAAAGGAGGGGATTTTCGAATGAATACCCACATATCCCCCGTTTGGATCAACGATGTGGACGAATTCAGCTGCATACCAAATGCTCTTATGGACCAATGCCTAACTCCATTCTCTTCGTTTAGAGAAGAGGACGAGCTTGAGCTCACCGTTCTGGTGGCCGGTGAATCTGGGCCTGTGTAGGAGGAGATAGGGCTCTCTTCAGAAAATGAAGGCGACATTGGTGGTTGAGGCGGTGCGGGCGGCGGGGGCGGCGGGGGCGGTGGTGCTGCCGCTGCGCCCGATGAGGGCCTCTGGCGCTCCCATGAACCACGCTGTTCCATTTCTGGGAATCCCCGTGCGTTCTTGGACCGCCTTCTCAGGTCAGGTGTCCGAGGGCGACGGGTATCGGGAACTGGAAGCGGGGGAGGAGGTGCAGGAGGTTGTTCGGCTGCGGAGAAGTAAGCACCAGGCATTTGAGGGGCGGGAGGTACCGGGTGCTGTTGCTGTCGTCGCTGTTGTTGTTGCTGTTGCTGCTGTTGTTGTCGCTGCTGATTAGCTATGCTGTCATTGTAGCGCTGGTCCTGAATTGCACGTAGGTCGGAGATGGCTTGACGCATCCTCGCCATCGACGCTACATCTATTTTCTCACTATGACTGTTGTTGATATTAGCCAGGGCATTAGCACTCGCGCAAAACTGCATTTATTTCATTGAAAAATGGAACAAATGGAGTAAATCAAATCATGTGGCAAGGAGACTCGCTCTTTTACAATGAATTTCATCCCTTCCAACATCTGCTTGTAATATTGAAGCCGCAGTGGTAGCGTATACCCGGACTGGTAAAAGAAGAAATCCCACAGTAAGGACCATGTCTGCGGATAGGACTGCGAGACATCCAGGCCTCTCGCGGCCGCAGTCATCCGATTCAAAGCATCGTAGATATCCCGCAGTGTATGGCGAAGGCTAGCGTACACGAGTTGAAGATCATCGTTGATTAGGATGAAACGGGGTCGATGGATCGCCGAAGCTTGGAAGTTCGCCAGTATCCTGAGAGACGCACTGATAGAAAAAAATTCGGAAACCACAGTCGCAAGATTCACGGAATGCGCTGGCACCGGCTTTATGAACTTGATGAGACTGGCCCCGATGTCCTCGGTATGAGGGGCAATTTCGAGCAAATTCATCCTGGCCGATTGGATGCCAAGCTCGGCATGATAGGACTGTGAAGAGACTGCAGGTGCGATAAACCTTTGTGCCGACTTGACTATCCGTTCACAGGGTGTAGAACGGGCTTGAGGGCGAGGGGTGAGCGGCGCGGTAGAGCTCAGGCGGCAAAGAAAGCAAATCTCAACTCAGTTAAGCCTCATCGAGACCGAAGCAAAAGAAGAAAACCCATGATTAGCATGTTTCTGCTAAAGATGAGGTTAGGTGAAAAGGCGGGAGACAGAAGCAACCGGCCCTCGCGAAAACAATGCGGGTCATTCTCCGCGCATTGGGCCTTTAACCTCCTAGCGTGTGGGTGGCAGAAGATGCAACGATGACTTGTCCGTGCGGCTCAATTGGATGATCCCGACGAAAGCGGGACACGCAGCGGCCAATGGACACCTGGCTTTATCAGTGAGAATCGAGGGCTAAGCGCCAGATTCCCTCCGATTCGAGTGAAGCGGTTATTTTTAGATTAATTTCTTGAGAAATGCCATTTCCAACGGCTTTTACCACCGTGGTAGAATTGGCTTTTGGAAGCCTTTTGAAGACTGTCCTCATTTCTCAAATTCTCATCTTCTGCTCTGGAGTAACCTTTCAGAGTTGATACTTTGTGCAAAATATTGCTTTGTTCACGACAGTGCCCGAGAGAGAAACCTCTTCTGTTCAAGCCTACACACCCAAACGCTGAATTCCACATGGCGGAATGCCACGACATATATCTCGGCCCAAAGCACAAGGTTACGACTGATGACTGGGGGAGAGCAACGACCATGAACCGGATGACAGAGATGCAATTCTCACCACGTCCGCGGTTGACGTGGACAAATAAATTTGCTTCGCTGATATAATCCGGCAGCCATGCATGCTGCTCCATTGGCCGGGCAGCCACGTCGTGGAATAAAATCCTGTTATGGGGAACAGAAAGAACTTATGTGACTCATGCCAGCGTGTCGCGTCAGGGGCTATTTAAGTTTGGTCAACTCCCATGTAAGTATAGTTCTCGGCGCAATCCTGGAAAAACCGAGAGGATTAGAGGAGGAGAGAACAGGGCCATAACAATTGTATATTGCTAGTGTACAATATCGGTGTGTTTTGTATGGTGACCCTCCGCTGGTTGCAGTTACTTGACCTTGACCCTCGGGACGAATTCGATAGCAATCGATCAATCTCTTGAGAAAGCTGGCAGACAGAAAGAAAACGAGAGGCGTCAACGATCAGTCTTCCCGCTTGGCACAGGCTGCGAATCGTAACAGATTTAGAAAAACCATTGGAAATCCGGTGACCTTCCCTTTTACTGACCTGCAAGCAACAACAAAAACAAAATGAACATGTTAAAAACTCTGAAGGGAAAAAAAGAAAAGATATATATGAACCACCGTCAATACCGTCCCATAAACCATTTGAAACGCGCGGAAACGAAAACCAAACAATGCGAAAGACAAGAAACGCCGGCACGACCCTAGATCAACTTCGTCATGTCCTAAAAGCTATCTAGGCGGATTCCTCATCGTCCTCATGGGCCTGGAGAGGCTAGTCAGCGCGTGTCCAGTGGCGCGGAGACCGTCGAGATGCTGCTTACATTGTAGTTGGCTTTCTCGTCTTCATACCGCTTCTTGTCGGCTGCAGCCTTCTCCTCGTAGGGAGCACGCTGCTTATCGCTCAGTGCCTTCCAGCGTTCTCCAAGGAGCTTTCCAACTTGACCTACACGAGCAAATTAGAAGACGCCTTAGGCAGGGACGTTGATCGACGGCAAGGGTCATACCGAAGGAGATACCAGGATTCTCCTCGCGAACATTTTCACGTTGCTCATTGGCGAAGAACATGTAGGCCGACAGGCCACGCTTGGGCGCGTTGGGGTCTGAGTATGGGTGGTCGACATTAGCATCCCATCGCAGCACCACTAGCTTTTTGAGGGTTTGGAGGGCGAAATCATACCCTTCTTCTTCTTCTCGGCGCGGCGACCCTTGGTCTGACGGGTGCTCTTCTCCTTAGGCATTCTGGCTGGTCCTTGATGGCTGTGTCGGGGTGTTAGTCGCGCCTTTGCACTCTGAGCAATTGATGACTCAATCGCGTCAAGAACAAGGCGAAAATCAACTTGCAGATAGTGCTAGGAGCAATGATGCAGAAGATACATAGAACAGGTGAATAAACACGTGTTGATGCTGAGGATTGTGAGGTTAAGTGAAGCAGTTGGGCAGTATCGCATCGTGCCAAAACACCGCGACCACAGAGGTGGCGAAGATGGAGAACAGCATCGCTCATCCAGAAACAGAGTCGCGACACTTCAGTTGGAACATGTATATTTGTGTTGATGTCGACCATGGAGGAACCATAAGTGTAGTAGGTGATAGGCAGGGCAATAGCATGCTTTGGGTGAAATATCGCTGTAAACACAAGGCGACAGCAAGGAAAACAAAACAGTGGCAAAAGGACAGGATGAAAGATGCAAAGTGCTGAGAGAGGATGTGTGATTGTGAATGGTTGGGTATGTGTTGAATAAATTGTGAGAGAGAAGCAAAATGGAAGGGGAACCAACTTACTGAGAATATGCAGTACCTTTTTTTGTATGGGGAATTTATTATGTGGAGGGGAATGAGGATAGCAGAGAGAATTGTATGGCAGCAAAATTTGGTGGGAGAGGTTGGGTGAGAGGAAAATATGTGAGGGAGAAGGGAGAGGGAGGGAAGGGAGCGAGCAGCCTTCCTGACACCTGGGTTGGACTGGGCTACGCAAGCCAGATCAAAGGAGGGGTGGCAGTGGCAGTGGCAGAACCAAACCGGAACATGGATCACTGGAAATTTTACTGTTAATTACACACTACCCATACTTCGCATCTCAGTAAACAAGGTATTCATGTGCGTGTTGATATCAGCACATCCGTGTGCCTTTCCCAGTCCCGGAAATCATCCTGCTACCATTCCCGCTGTGTTATGGCGCGGTAACTTACTCCATCCTGCATCCAAGGCACTACAGCAACATTTGCTTGTATGTATGCATGTAGCTATTCTGCATATACAACAAACCAATACAGCCTGTGAAAAGATCAATAAGTAAATAAAAACTGTGGGTGTACAGAGCATGGAGCAGAGGACCACACATACATACAACTGTGCCAGTACAGTATGATGTCTTGAGGCAAAAAGGGACACTCCATACTCTGTATAATATGGGGAAGACCAAATTTCCGTTTGCGGTCTAGCGTAACTATTCGGGTAAAGTGCTCCTCCGGCTAGCCGGTAGAAAATAGGAGGGACGGATAGCCAAGTCCTTTTATTTCAAACGGGCTGCTGAGTGTAGGATGAGTGAAGCCCATGACGCCCTGGAGTTTCAACCTTGCAACTCCTCGACAACAGTATATATGACACAGCAAGTTGGTTCTCATGTCGGTAATTGATTACCTATAAATATCATCATCATGATCTGTACGGAGTACGGAGGGTGGTATTGTGACCTGTCGAAGATAACTTTGTTTCCCTCCTTGCCCCATCGCAATACAACTTCCCAGTCCAACAGAAATTAAGAAGTAATGGAGGAATAAACACTCGAGCAGCACCCACCTGTGTGAAGGTGACAAAAATCAAAACTTTTAGTCTTAACTGGGAATTGTTCAAGGCAGGGAGAATTGTGCGGCGATGGTTAACTGCTCCGTGTGTGTGGGCTACTCCTGATGTAATTCACTCTCTGTAAAGCAGAATAATGACCTGCCATGGTGCACCGAAGAGGCTGCGTCTTGACTGTGTATGTGTGTACATACATACGGGGTACAGGACGTAATTACCATCTGTCATTTATTGCTCCTGTTCCGTCCGGCGGGCTTCTCACGGCAAGTGGGATCCTGATAAGCTCGGAGAAAAATTACGCGTTTAAGCAAGGCTCTGTATTTTCTGTTTTTTTTGTGACGGGAAGTGATGGGGTGAAGCCAGGTGTGTTGGATGTGCCTTTAGTTCCAAGTTCCAAAATAAAAGAGTACGAATTGCTCCGTCCAATGCGCATCCATGTTCTCCGTGCAGCAGAGGCTACCCCATGCACTGACGAAGGTATACATACACCACCCCCTGAACAGACGCTCGACGACATGCACCCTTACCGTACAGTGCCGAGGGGTAAAAGAGGGTGTTATGTACAGGCTGCTTCTGAGTGACTTCCTTTATTGTATTTGGGTATGAACGGAGACCTTTCGTAGGGAGCCATGGTTCCTCTCTCTTCCGTACGGTGTACGGAGTACAGGGTACATAGTTACCAAGTACTTTGTATTGAGGTCCCTGTACTCCGTACGGAGTAACCGAGTAACAACTCTAAGGAGTACTCCGTAACCCTGATAAAGTTTCGCTCCGGAGAGACCACCGCAATCCTTGCTACAGATGGAGCAAAAACTCTGGAACCTACTCACTCCACCACTATTGCCGTCTCTCGGCTGAAGAGCATAGCGGTGGTACGGTTGAACGGCCAATGAGCCCGGTGATTTCATCCTGTATTCTCTGGGTTTTGTGCGACCCACTGTTTGACACCTTTTTTTAGCAGCTTGGTCAAAAGTGAACCACGTGTGGATGGATTTGATTTTACAGAGCGACCCGGGCGTGACGCCTAATTTGATACCGCCAGCGGTGGCCTTCAGTAGATTTTATGTGGCCTCCCCTCGTTCCTGGTTCGCCACAGTTATCGGTTGAAGAGCCTCATCCTAGCTCTATCAGAACTGTAGGGCATCAACATAGAAACATGACCAAACATATAAATAGCGCCGTGCTGCTGCGCGTTGAATTTTTAACCCATTAATAGCTGGCTTAAGATTCGAAAGTAGGCGATTAGCCAGCTCAAGACCAGTCGGCACACGGGTCTCGGAAGCAGAGCAGCACCGTTGCTTCTAGGTTATTTTATTAGGTAGTCCATGCACGATATGATGCGTGTTGATGACATCCACAGGAGTTGTGGTCCCAGATAATTACTAATTACGGAGTACGGAGTACTCCGTAGTGGATATTGTAACACTTGGCAGCGCATATCTGCTGCAATAGCCATTACGTTCATCATATATCTTCAAGCTGTCAATAGTTTATCCGCTATGTTCTTGGTGATTTCTCAATGCTCAAATTGTGTACTCTTGACCTCAGACTTTCCTGTTCGGAGCCATGAAGCTGAAACGATGGATGCAATCTCATTGTACCTGTCCAGGCGATCCCTCCTAAGAGCGTCTATATTCAACACAGCACAACGATCACTTTTACTCATCTGAGTTGATTGGATACCGCGGGACTGGGTAATGCAAGAAACACAGCTGCCACAGTTTTTGAATGCATGCCAACCAAATACCAGCCCCCATTATCACTAGGAGCAGTTCAGTGCGCTGTATAAAGCTGTCCCTCAATCAAGCAGGCTAGACCATTTTTGGGCCTCATCACAGTGTCTACTGCCGCAGCAGGATTGACTAGTAAGCGCCAGAGGTAGTCCCTGGTCTCTTAGTGGTTTACGGAAATGAGTTCACCCTGGTCTCATTCTGTGAATAGGAATGTTGACCCTATAGAACTGAAACAATGTGCCTCAGGTTCCTTTCCGCCATTGTGTCGTCAACCATTGGCGACCACTCGTTTAGGATGGCTCTGATCAAACTTCTTTATGAGTTGGCAATACCAATATAGCCCTCTGTTTCGCAACTCAACCCCAAAATGATTTGTCTTGATATTTTTGTACGCGCCGGCCTCTTTCCTGCGGCACACTCATATACCACTTATTCAATCACCCGTCAGTACCCACAGCGCGGCGTCTTCAGGGCTTTGGCTACAGCTCGTCTTATCAAACTACTTGAGGGATGGAGGCCAGAAAGATGCCTGATAGTCGTTGTTCTTCCGTCGTGGGTAATTTCGAAGCATTGCGAGTTCTCAAATGGAAGGTATAAAAACGGCCCTGATGTCCGGCAAAAAGGGGAATTTTGAGCAGCTCAACTCACCAATCAACCATCGAACAACCAAAGATAAACCCATCCCAATACACCTTATTTTCTCGTTTTGTCCCTAGCCTTCAACCGATATCGGGATGGCTTCCCGTACCTTTTACCTGGCCACTTGCCGAAATGCCCCCAGTCAACGCAAGCACTTTGGCATTTTTGTTCCTTTCGCCGATGACCCCCAGATAGGCACTATTATTCACGTCGTGGGTGCCCCGATGGTTGGATATGAACTGCAGTTCAAACGGAACTATAACCCGTCAAGCAGTCAATCGTCTTATCAACTTGTTCCCATCGGCCAAGTGTCCGCAGCCAACATCGTCGAATCCCCTAGTGGGCCGACGACAATCGATAGCAATGCGAAAGGCATCATGGAAACCGTGGCAACACAAGTGCCGCCGCCTCCAATCAGCCAGAATTTCTTGGCGCCTGTTGACGGTGTTCGTAGACCATTTCCTGATTGTGACACCCAAACTTGCACTGACGGATATGTTGGTCTAGGTGTTCAACAAGAGATGTCAGGAGTGGACTGTCGAATATGTCGATCGGCTGATCTCCAGAAATATCATCGACGCCGGGGCTCGCAATGTCGTGCAGGCCCATCGCGATCCTCCTGACCATGGAGTTGGCCTGCAGTCTGTTGACAGGGGTAGGGGCCGTGGTGTCTGAGGCATGGGTCATTATCATGTCTATAGTTGCACCGAGAATATCATGTCAAAAAGGATATATGGTACCATATTTTCCTATCTTTCGCCTTTATTACAATGATGTTCAAGTTGTGTTATGTTGTGCTATTGACAATGTAATTAAGCACTACAGTAGAGCAATGTGTCAGTTGATATATATAATCAAACATGATAGGCGGCTGAAGATCATTAAACAGTCCACAGACCATGCTTTGATACGTGGTGTAGAGGAAGAGATGATTCGATCCAGTCAAGCTTCTCTTAACGTAGTGCAGGCACAAAGGTCAATGGACTTAGCCCTATTCATAGAACAACGGCTCTACTTGTGGATAATTGCTAAATTGCACCCATAAAGTGGACGTACTCTGCAAACACATTATGCTCATCATGATAGGGGGTCAAGAACATCGGCATGTAGTGAAGTCGCCATTCTCCCTCGTAGTCCGAGGTATAACATGCCTTGCACCACTCCCAATATTCGGGATACCAACCGGCCTGTTCCCAGTCAATTATCGCAACAATTTGAGGAGGCAGGGTTTTGGAGACAATGATATTGTGCCTGTGAAGATCCGCATGCGTGAATTTGATAGCGACTGCATCTGGCAAGTAAGCCCTGTATGGATCTTCAACCTGGTTTGGATCAGGCAGATTACGGCGAGGTATCCAAGATATCCAGTCGTGAAGTTCATTGACAGTCTTAAAAGGACCCGTCGACCAATCTCTGAAAATGTAATCAAGAACGCGATTGCCGCTAATAGAGCCTAAAATAATGATCAGAAAGGTATGTTTTGCCTATTTCTCTTGTGTCTCGTACCGATGAATGGATGGGCGGGATCTTGTCTCAATTCTCGCAATGACGAGATCATTCCATACAGTTGTGCGCAGACTGCTATTTTGTCCGTGTCGCTGAAGGACCCCCACTTGTCATGCAACAAAGCACCCTGAACCTTTTCCATGTAAATAAAGACGACATCGCCTTCGACCCGCCAACCGTATAGTTCTGGAACAGGGACCCTGTCTCCGAACAGGTTTCGGATGGCCCAGATGCACTGGGCCTCCACAACAGACACACACTGACCAAATTTGACTAGGAGACCCAGCTGATTGAACGAAACAGGCGACGGGCGGTAGAATGTTTTGTCTGCATGATTGCAGCGCTCTTTCACTTGTTCAGGAGTCGGCAGGCTGACATGGCTTTTGAAGTATGACGAGTCGCGGAAGTCCATATGCGAGACGCTTGCATCAGGGAGATGCGCAGCGAGTAGTGTTGCTTGAGCAGCAGCTTCCAGTGGCTTTGCACTTGGTAATAATGTACCGTTATCCATGCTTTAGTTCGGAACCGTCTCCGTGTCTCGTTTGGCGATGAATGTTGTCGTGCTCTGCTTCGATGCCCTAGGGACAAGAGCACCTCGTCTCACTACTCGCGAGCCAATCAGCTCATAGGGAGGATAGTCAGTTGTGTAGTGAGCATTCTCTATCCTGTGGGCTCTGAAAGAACTGCAGGGTATGGAGGTGTAGAGTAATTAGGCTAGGTGATCAGGATGCCTTCATGTTCATGGAGAATGGACACTCTCGGTAAATCTTCTAATAAATATCAGGCCAAGTCCTGACGATATGTTCCAATGCAGAGTTTTTTTCCTTCTCATTTAAGCTGTAAGCCCTTAGAAGCAAGCAATTGAGTGAGAGCATTTAAATTAATTAATTTTATGACTTCTAGAGATTTCACGCATGCATAGTAGGCTAGCTAGTCTGAAGAGATTCTGAGCAGTGAGATCTTCTTAAGAAATCTTTGAATTTATTTTACTTCTCAAATAAGGCAAATCCTGTTCTGAAAACAGTGGTATCTGTTACCAGCTAGCTGAGAGTACTCGACTTGGGGGTTGGTCTATGACTGGTGACTTGGAAACCTTCCGAAAGGGGTCATCCGCACATCGGAATGCGGGATTGGGCAAAAGAACAGAGAGATGAGTCTATTAAAGCTGCAAACAAGAGACACACACTGTTTCAATCCCAAAATCTCATTACATCTGAACGCGAGATGATCTCTGAGTTTACAACTGCTCTGGACGACTCTGATACATCAAATGTGTCCAATGATTCCGACTTTCATGATGCACAGTGGAGCTTTGCACACCCAGGAGACACTGCAAAGGAGGGATCCCAACTTTTGAGGGAAACTCACAAGAAACCAATATACCAACTTAGATGACAGTGTCGGTAACAAATCACTCCACAGTTGAGGCTCTAAGACAATCAAGTTCCCCTTTTTACCGCGACCTGGCTCAGCTGCTATGTGTATGAAGAGATGATAAACTTTGTGGATAAGGGTTTCATTATGGCTCTTCATCTTTGTTACCTTTTCTATCAACGTCTCCACAATTTTCTCCTCTAGCTTGTCTGTCTGGTTACCTTGATATCCAGAAAGCATTACCCCTTATTTTCAGGCGCTTTCCCATCATGCTGAGCACAACATGAGGTGCAGAGGATCCTGGATTTGCAAACCAGTACTCTCCGATCAACCTTCAACATTGTCAATGATGGAATATTCTGTGTTTAGAACTGTGAAGCGCCTCCTCAAAGCCCGTTTCCGTGAAAAGTCGGTAAGTCTATTTATCAATTTCGGCGCTGAACCGTGTGTCCAGAGCATTGGCACCAACCCACTTGCCGGAAAGACCAAGCAGCTCCGAGTTGGTCAGAACCACTATAACACTGCGTGTTTTCGGGATCAGAGTCGAAAATGATGTGAATCCCTGGCTAGTTCCCTGGTTGTAAGAGCGAGTTTACATGTAGATTAGCTTCCGACGATGGAATTCCAGGGTCTTGGGCCTGCAGAACGGAGCGAAGTTGTACGCGAACCCATTCGAGCACGTAGCTATGTTCCCTGAAGCAGGAAAAAGGCATGCTGATCATGCCCGTCCGTATGGTTTTACTCTTGATGGAGATCTTTCGAATTTCGGATGGGTCAGGGAGTACGGAGTATATGCTGCATTTCGTCCAATAAAAAAAAAAAAAATTGTTACATATCTGCCCGCTACTGATTCCTACATGACATGACTTCACCGTACATGATGTATGTATATCACAACCTAGAAAATCGATCGTAGATGGAACGACACGAGCGAGTGCGCGACTTGCGAGCTGCCAGGCCTTTATCCCACGCTGGCCTGTTAAAAGCCCTGTTGGATGACCGATTACATACTCCATACATCTTAAATCTTTGCAGGCGATCCTTGGTTCGCCGCATAGTTATTTAAGCGGAAGAGCTGTAAGTTCTTACAACTCGTCCGCCGACTCATCCTCCACGACCAGTGTTAAGAGTTTCTCGTCGCTTGCCCAGTCAAGTCCACTCGCAACTATAACAGCGCTTACGATTCTCTTCATCGTCATATACTCGTCCCTTCTATTCTTGTTTTCTCTCTTTAGGGTCTCGAGTTCTTCTTTCGACTTCAGATCCTTGATCTCTTCCTCCTCAGCGTTGCCGTCTGTAAGCTCAAGGAGCGACCTGACCAAGTCACGATTGTCCTTCACTGCCTGGATATTGCTCACCTCCGCGTTGGAGAGATTCTCCACGCACGAGTTATTGACACCAGCCAGGTTTTCGTATACCAGTGAGAGAACATCCCGCCGGTTGATAAGCGGAAGCAAGACTCTGTCGACGTTAGCATTTCCTTGAAATGCGAACTTCTATCAAGATTTACCTTTCAGTCGGAGAAGCATGCGCAGAGTAGATAGACTGAACACTTGGCTCTGTCATTAAAACAGATTCGATAGCTTTCCTTCGTACAGAATAGGCCGCTCTGGCTTCTAGCAGCTCCCGCTCTGCTTTGACCAATTCTGCATCGACATCTTCCACCAGAGAGACATCCACAGGATCTGGTCATACAGTAATAGTCAGCGGAGTTTACGTTCGTATCCGCCGTCGTTCATCCAAACCTGGGCGAATAGCCGGATAGTGCTTTACAGACCTTGCAAGAAAAGAGCTTCTTCAAGCTGCTGGTCATAGATCTGATCGTAGAGGCTCAAAATCTCCAGCTCCTTCTCCCTTAAAGGCGGGTCATCCCCGGGGATATCGGAGGCTAGCTCTACGAGAGCCCGTTCATTAGGCTTCAGCAGTGACTGAGAGCCGTTTAGCTCCGCTTTGCCTGGTGCCATGGGAGCCGTATCCGTTGATCCAAACAAAGCATCTTGTGATTCACCTTGACAAGCCGGGTATTTATGATAACGTCGCTCCCATCGGTTTTTGCTCTGCACACGAGGGGAGGAAAAGCCTATTTTCGCACGCGAACAAACTGACGCTGCCAGCCATCTGTTGGGCGGATCAACTGACTGCGGCGCGAGGAAAAACAGCAGCAGGCGTTTTGCGCGTGGGCCGTCCAACCCAGAAAGGGACTAGCTCCATCGACAGCCGACGGCTCGACAAGTCATTGGGTGACCTCAAGGCCCAGAACCATGCCAATCCGTCACCGGCATCTGTGTGCTGCCCATCCCCAGCACTCTTCCAAACACTCGGGCGTGGCATGGTCTGTCGTGGACATCCCATCCGTGGAAATAATGCCATTGCACATCTATATAGCTCACACCGGTGAGCAGCTCTTCGCTGATCCGGTATCATTTGCCTCGTAAGTGCCTCCCCAAGCTTTGACCGCCGCAACGAGTCGTCGCCCCCGTTGATTGCTCGCCTCGCTGTGAACATTACCTAACAACTTGAGATGCACCTAGTCCGGACGCCTTGCGAGCATGGATATCTCGAAATACGTCCATTCCGCCCCAAAGGCAGATCCTAATGACTGCCCGGGGCAAAAACGTGAAGCTCCAAAGTCTCGCCACGGAAGTATGTACCGCCTGACTGTTGTTGTACCATACCGTCGCCGGGTGTAGATGGCTGACGATTGTAGAATGAAATATATGTATATGATAGACAATTTGTGAGCGAACAAGGCGCCGGTGGACTTCCAGAGCTACCGGCCCCCGAACCATTCCATCCCGAAAATCCTCCCGATACTCTCGCGAACCAGAACAGTCTACAAGCATGGAAGAACCTCTACATGGCGCGTAGGACATGGGCCTTGAACCTCACCACAAAATGCACCCAAATCGCCAAATCCATCGATTTGAATAATGAGAGAACCAATGTCATCTATCAGAGTGTTGGCGTGGCTTTAGAGAACTTGAAGTCTCACGTCGGCAACCTTGAACAGAAGCTTCAAGAGGCACAGACTTGGGCGAACGATCTTTTAAAGGAACAGCAACTTGCATTGGGCGGCTGGCAACGCAGCCTCGTTGATCTCGAAACTATCCCGGCCAAAAAACGGTTTCCATTCTTACGGAGGTCGTCAACTACTAAGAAAGCAGCGGATGGCGTGAATGGGACGTTAAGCGATTATGTTGATGCGGAGCAAACAAAGCGCGCGGCATCCCAGGTTTCGACACTCTCGACGAAGTTCTCCCGTCGCATGGATGAAATTGAAAAGGCGGTGGGAGATGTGGCTTACCAAACTGGGACCTTAATACAAGACGCCCAGCCCCCTCCGATGGAGAATTCTAGTGGCCTCTTGGAAGAAATCGAAACCATCTCTAAGAAGATTAGTTCCGATTACGAGCACGTCCTTGGCCTCCCTAGCACTGCGAAGACGCTTTCAAGCATATCCCGAATGGCGCTAAACCATACCGAAGACCTTTTACCATCCATGGTAGAAATATCTCTAGAAATGCAGAACGGCTTAATTCAAGCAGTGAAAAACCGAAATCTTGCCATGAAGATGTCGGTGCGGCAAATGCAAAGGATATCTGCTATAGAGTCACGCCTTGCAAGCGTACAAGCCGAAATAGCAAATTTGGATGTTGATGGAGATTCTTTTGATGTCCTTTGCATGGTATTCCATATCCCTGTTGTTTACGGGTCTGTTCTTATTGAAGCGGTACGGCGCCGTGAATGGTCTGAGAAGATGAAAATAGACTCATCGACCTTGGCCGAGGAACTAGCGATCTTTCGAGATGAAGAACAGCGTCGAAGGAAGAAGTGGATAAAGAGTATGGGAGACTTCGTTACTGTAACAGAAGACGGAACGCCTGGGGTAGAAGTCAACTTGCAGAACGGAAAGGGCCCCGAGTGGCCCCAGGTGTCTCGCGCCGATATAGAATCGTACCTCCAGGATATCAAAGGAAAGGACGGAATGGAGCTCACGGTCCAAGAATTAACACAACTTTACAAAGATTTGGATGCGCCTACAAGACAACAGAGACGAAGGGCAAAGGCCTTCAAGCATGGCAGTGTCATCGATATGGGTCGCAGCTCCCTCCTAATGCGCGGGGACGAGATGGTACGTAGCCTGAGGGAAGAGAAGACCAAGCTTGAGGAAAAGTTGAAAGGATCTGAAAGCCGTGTTCGAAGGCTAGAGGACCTTCTTCACCGCTCAAGTCAACTGAGTCGGCCTGCCAGCGGGCACTTTGCAACAGATGTACCCATGTCTCCAGCGTCACCACATCCAGATCCCGTATCAAGAAGATC